TGTTGCTCAGGATTTGGGGGTACATTATCTGCGACGGTGTTGGCTGCAAGTTGCTGAGCTACGCGCATTTGACGAAAAGAAAACTTTCCTATTGTTAAATTTTTGTTTGTCCTACGAAATGAAATTTTTTCGGTCACGTCTACAGTGTAACCTTTATCCAATATCTCCTTCAAAGTAACTAATCTCTTCGGTATCATAATCTTTTTCGACAGAGGCGTTCCAAAGATACGTTGAATAACTGTTTCTCGCAGTGTAACACAACAGGCTTCTTGCATTCCCCAGTCGAGCTCAATGTCGAAAAGAGTTACTGCCATCAGAGATGCTGCAGCTTTAGTTTGAAGATTTCCTTCAATCCAGTCTCTAACTGCTCGTATAAAATTCGCATTTTCACTTCGTTTGCCAGACCGAAGAGCGTCCAAAGTTATACCGAAGAGTGATGAGAAATCTGTATATTTGAAAATCTCTCTCTCCCGTCGACATATACTATCCGTGCTATAGACAGCCTCTATGCAACTTTCGAAAGTATCACATTCTAGCACTCTGATGCAGCGAAGCATCTCTTCTAAGTCTTTGTCTCCAATAACCATTTTGAATGAAGTCATAGGAGTCTCCAAAAAGCCCGCTTCAATAAAGTGTCTATCTAGTTGTACAGCGCAATTGCCTTTTATATATTGCGCACATCCAGTGATTACCGATGTGAGATCCTTAATACCATCTGAGCATATGAAGCCGTATGGCATCGCCACTTTCGATTGATCCACTATTATAGAACCTGTAGTGATGTTTTTGGGTTTTACATCATCGTTCTTTGTAAAGTCAATTTGTATTTCCGGAGCATTGTGAATGTCATTTTCTTTATCAGCGTAGAGCTGACTATACAATTTACTGTAGTCTACGTCAATGATCGTATTTGATTGCCGCATGTTGTCCATGCTAACTGTCAACTTGCGGCTGGTCGTTTCTCGGTGATACTCCGTGATTGAATGTAGCTTGACAGTCTTCAGCATCATTCTTATAGAACACCAGTCAGGTTTCTCAAAAAAGCTCATTTCATTCCATTCGGGATAAATGATATCAAAGCCTTTTTTGTCTTCGCTACTGAGATCATTGGCATCGAAAAATATATAATTCTTGGGTACTTTGTCCATGTCGAAAGCAAAAGAGAAATGGAATGTATTTTTAACGACGCTGTGGTACTTATGGCTTGTATGTTGTGACACGCATATCATGCGTCTATTTTTCTGGAGCCGAACAGCCTTAATATACTGGCAGAGATGCGGTTGTAAAAATGGAGCTCAAGTAAGTTTTCAGCATTTAAATATGTCTCATCTTAAAGATATAAAAAGCTGCTATGATTTGCGAATTGCCATAGAGGCCACAAAATAGGAGGAAAGTAAGCTAAATAGTACGCGTCGGAACACCTTCCCTGCTTAATATTATTTGCCGCTATTATACACCTTCAAGTAGGTTTTTATTTTCCTTCGTACGTCAGCATGCTTTTGTTCAAAGTGCCTTAAGTATCAATGCCTTTTGGTTGAACACATAGGATAGATTGCTGGAAGATACTTAAAGAGGAAATCATGCCTCATGATTCCTGTTGCTCATTGCGAAATCTCTTAAGGGAAAAATCACTCTCCCTGTCAACATAATTAAGCTTCCGTTGCCTCGTTCCGGGTGGTTCTTCTTCTCTCTTTTCCTCTTTATGACTTAACAATTGGCTGAAAAAACACAACAACTTTCACTCTTAAGGGGTTTAGCCGCTGAGTAGGTCATATGACTACTTGCTCATAGGCACTAAGCATCAGAGGAGAACCAACGTCCTGTTGGTAAAGCTTCCAATGCAAGTATCAGATATCCTGTATAAACCTCTAGATATACACATCTCCGGCAACCTCAATTCATTCTGTAAGTTCTATGGGAAATACACGTATTTATGTCATAAAAACATGTGGTATTCCCCTTACTGTATCTTTTACACCAAATGTTTAAATTGACTATCCATGCTAAGAGCAGTATACTGGAGATTGCGTAAATGTCGCAGGGTGAGTTTAAGTCTATGTAACTTAGGCATTCACCGGAGAAAATTTGCATTATTGCTCGCTACTAAGGTGAATTTCATCATTTATAACTGGAAGTCAACTTACGCAGTATTGACGTTAAATTGATCTAGCTCTGGGAAGGACACATCGATTCGACAAGTTGGTGTCGCATAGGAGTTGTCGAGTTTGAAATGACTTATATCTGGGCGAGAACGATGACGAAATGATGGGAGGACATGACGTAAGAAATGAAAACGTTATAGGAGTGCGCTGAAGTCAGAAATAAGTGGAATGGAGTTGGGAAATGGCGGAATGTTGAACAACATTCGTGTCTTCCTCAAGGTTAAAAATGAATTCGAGGTTCCAAGAAATATTTGAAAGGCCGCTTACGTCAAAATTTTGCTTGGCCGCCTGTAGTTCTGAAGTGGATTTTGTAATATATTGTATCGCCCAAACTCATTAAGGCCCTTTTCTGTATGTTTACCATATAAACACTGTATTTTAATGAGTGGGTTTTTAAATATGAAGCGCTGTACTTTCCACTGCGGTTTCGCGTGAGCAAGAGCTGCCCTGATACCTATCACCACCAGTCCCATACCTCAAATATAGAAGCGTTGAAAGACTGAACCACACCCTAGCTATACTGTTACAAGAGATATATTATCAAGCATTACGCTAATTGGACCTTTTGTCGGAAAAGTTCTCTAGGAAATTCGCTAAAGTCCATCGGGTGTTTGAGCATGATGCTAGAGACCTCTCTCCCACCACCTCTACTCAGGTTTTAGATCACTACAGTACATATCGACCAGGATTATATAACTTTTAAATTATTGCTCGAAGATTTAGCGAATGAATGGGAAATGATTATAGCATCTCTAAGCACATGTTCTTTCAATCCTTTGGGACTGAACTAAGAAGTATAGTAACACGCTCCGTGTCAGACTTTCTTCATAAGGGTTGTTAATGATAGTGTATTGTATGCTAGGATATTTTTGCGACGACATTACTAACATAGCTTATGTACAGACCTACCAATGTATAACTTTGCTCTACATGACTCCAAAAATGACCATAATTGATATCTCTTCCCATCCTATTATGGTATGCATTGTAAGATTGACGACGTTGATAAGAAGAATGTACCTTAAGGAACAAAGCATATTCATCAAGGTCGAGTGTTTATTTTATAAGATGAGTCAAACGCTTTTTCTTCATGCCAAACCTGGAGCTCCAATGGCATCATTGTGCAGCATCCTGATTTTTGATTTATGATAAAGCCAGTACTTTCCAATATGCGTCTTCAAAATCATATCATTTTTAAGAGGACGGTGGAACTTACTACAGTCTTCAGTAAGAGTGGCGGTTAACGGTTACAGCTTTGTTCAAGGGTAGTGCGACTCGCTTTTTGGACACCTCGGATGAGAGATTTAGCGTTCTGGAGGGATACAATGACAATGCTAGTATAGTTAAATGCAGCCTTACACAGCACCTTGATACTGCATGCGCATTTTGGTGATGTACTCGTGTGAAATAATTCTATTCACACTTGATTACGTGGTATTCTTGTTAATTCGAGACGATGTATTACTTCTCAAGAGGAGGACTCGCAGTACTTCAGCAAAAACATTGTCCGATCTAGACTAACTAATATGAGGACGATCAATCAGTACTCAAGCGTTATCTCATTCCAGTCATGAATGTAAAGTTTGATCCCTATCATAGTACCCTTGGTATTACTCACTTTTAAAAGGTTACAAATAATTTCACAATTATGCTTTGATAGATAATAGACGTCCTTTGACTATCTACTATACTACTGACTTATTACTTATCGAGTTTCTCTGAATCTTGCTCAATGACTACCCCTAACGCTAGCAATCATATTCTTTCTGAGCGATATGATTACATGCTACTCTCTGTTCCTTTGGTTTCCATCTTCTAACACCTTGCTTCTTTACACTTAACACTATCAAGTAATCAAATCGGTTCCTCGTTACAGGTCTAAGGCAATTCATGGACAAACAAGTCACTGCCTCCCATGGGATGTTCAAAAACGCTTATAACAAAGGAAAAGCACTTTAGAAGTGTTAAAAAAAATTATATAGCTATGCTTGAGTGCCAAAACTCGGCTATTTTGGTCTAGGAAACGAAAGGTATAGCATTCAGAAGGGACACTTAAATGGAACACAGTTGGCTAACGCAGAGTAATGCTTGAAGGCTAGAAAGAAGTTTACACGTTATTGAGGAAAAGATGCAACGATTCGCAAGTAAGTAGTACAGGTTATTTGTGAAGCAGTGTGAGAAGGAGAAAGAGCTCAGTTTTCTATTATTTGAACTCACTTTCAATGCAATTCACATTTTTATTTATTATTGAAGAAACTCAATGTCTTTAGTCATTGCTATCATTGTAATCGCTGCTCTCGACGGATCATTGTTATGCCCATCAATTGGCCATCAAATGAACCTAACTTTTGAAAGTAATGACCGCGAGGCTTCCTATGAGCAGTGGTAGCAAATACAACTAAAAGCTAAAAATAATGCGTTACCATGCTCCTTATGAATGAAAACCTTGTAGAAAAGACCATTTTGCCTTTCTTCTGTATATAGTCTATATACCTCATTTAAACGCATATTGAAGACATCATAATTTTAAAACTATCTTGCAGGACTTCGAATGCGTTCTGTTTCACGGCATTTCTTTCGTACGTTGGACTTATAAAGTCGTAGGAGCCGCAGATCTTCTCGTAATCGGACACCCAGAACATGTGTTCGTCCGTTTGATTGTCAGAATAGCATCAAGTTCACTTCTGCCGATTAAACAGAGATTTTATGGAGAATATACTGGCTAAATTTTTATTTGAGTATTTTAATACATTACGAATAGAGAACAAATGAGGAAATGTAAGCTATTTCATAAAATATTCGTCAAATCTTACCTGTTTACAGCTATCGTGCATGAATGTCATTATCTGCTCCTCATCATTTGGTGAACTACCGAGGTTGTATACTTCTGTTACCTAGCTGAATGTGAATCTACCATTCTGTGTATCTTACCTGGCAAGGGCAGCCAGTCTCTAACCCAAAAACACAGTTGGGTTAGCGGAAGGATCACGCACCAGCTTGAAATAAATTTGCGATAAGCAAGATTGGCCTATGGACCTCTAGCTCATCCTCCACATCAGTGAGTTTGCTACAGCCTTAAAAAACTGAAGCTACGGAATAGGTAGAAGAAGGGTGTTCTCTTTAGCAACGAAAGGATGGAAAAAAATGAACCCTTGTTAACCACAAATGGTCACATGTGAGGGGCAACAGTATCAATTCAGCTGTCACGGGCAAAACCTCACCAAAACAGATTATTGAACGTTCATCTTACTTTTCAGATCATTACTTCATTCTTCAACCTTTGGTAATTGAGTTGTCTTCAACATGACTGCCCACAATGTCAGAACCTTCATTTCCCGCAAGACAGTTGACGACCTGTTAAGAGAACTGAAACCTCAGTCCGATTTGGTAGACGTCGCCTCCAGTGAAACTTTGGAAATAGTCTTTGACACTCTACTGGCCAACGACATTCTATCTGTGCCAGTGTATAAAGAAAATTCGCAGCCAAAAGAATACATTGGATTTGTCAGTGCGCTGAATTTGCTGAGATTGATAGTGAACAACGTAAGTTTTGGGATGTAACGACTGTGGGAACTTTTTTCTTTGCCATACATGCCAACACATTATATTTGTACGATGGCGCTATAAACAGACGAATTTGGAAAACCTGAAGACTCATCCAGATATTTTGCAACAACCAGTCTCCGTTGCGTTTGAAGAGAATATAGAACAAGCAGAGATATCGGTGAAGTCCACGGATCCACTGTCCTCCATCTTGAATCGCTTATCGCGAGACAGATTTCACAGAGTGCTAGTCACATCTGACCACAGGGAGCCTATTGTAGTGTCACAGAGAGACTTACTTCGATACTTTCATTCGCATAACCATGAACTTGGGAAAGTACTGGATGTTTCCGCGTCGAACGTCACAATGGTTGCTCTAGGTGATAAAACGGTACAATCAATTAACTTTCGACACACTGCATGGGACGCTTTTACTAGGATAGCTAGTCTCAATCCCTTTTCAGCGATAGCTGTGTTAGATGATGATGAAGGGCTTGTCGCTGAAATATCGGCTGGTGATCTCCGTGGCTTGAACCGAAGACGCATACCTGACTTGAGTTCTCCAATCATCACTTTCTTAAAAGGTACTCATGGTGACGATGGTATTTTGCCTCTGATATGCCATAAAAGATTCACCTTGCAACAAGTAATGGCTGCCTTGGTTCTTGGTCAAGGCCATCGGATTTGGCTCTGTAACCCTGACGATACTGTGGAAGGTGTGGTGACTTTGACAGATGTTTTGGTCGCTCTCAACGATGACGCTGCTCTCCTTCAATAAGTATTGTCTTTGCCAAAGTATTTACTGTATAGGATAGCCATATTACTACTCCTCATTTACCTTCACGCAACTCTCCCTTGATTATTTTTCTTGTATATAAAGAACAAAATACATTGTACATAGCAGAAGATGGTGTCCAAATAGAGAGGTAATAGTAGGGTGGTCAAATCACATCTGATAACAAATATCGGAATTCCAAGAATGTACTTTATTGTCAGAATACTTGCGTGGCAGAATGCTTATCTCTCTTAGCTTTCCTTTTATCGATAACTGTCGTTAATCATCTTTAGTGATGTCCCACACTACATGTAACATTGTCGCTGAGGTAAAGAAATATAGAAGAAGAGGTGGCGAAAGGGAAACGAAGGTCATAGTAAGGTCAAATGCGTCCAAAAGGCGGAGATGGCGTTGATATATACATCATAGCATTTTTGTCTATGGTGTGTTCCAAGATAGCCAAGTTCTTGTTCGTATGCAAAAGGAGTAGGATGAGATTGAGAGAGACAGAGCGAGAAGAGTGACTCAAGCTTGAACTGTGCAGACGCAGTGGCAATCGCAGAGGCTGATTTCGTAGCATCATCCTTTAGCCATTCTTAATGCGGCGCAAGGTTTTGAGATACTCTGCCACCAATTCAGATTTCAATATCAAGTCATACGTCTTGACTGCATTTCGGAACCTGTGAGGGCAGCAGTGCTCTATTAATGAGTGCCAATGCCTATTGTCTCTTTTCGGATTGCTTGTACTCACCAGTCTCTTTCAGATATTTGCCCACGTTTGCCTGACTTTCTTGTCGCCGCAAACACTTGATTTCTCAGGTGCCGCAGTAAGTCATCCATTGATTCCAGTTCTTCAGCAGCCTCAACCTTCTCGCTATGCTTATAATGCCACGAATAAGGAAGAAGAAACAAATTGGGTAACTCTGTATCCTTGTTGAAACGTGGAAGTGCATTTGAAAAGGAGATCAAGCCTTCAATGCTGATGGTGAGTCGTCAAATTCTTTTGGTACTGCTTGCCCTCCAAAATCTTACCCTGCCACTCCAGCTTGGAATCCGAGAGTACGGATTTTAATAACAAATTATTACGATCGTATACTTGCTGACAGAGCTCTAATTCGCTGCACTTGTTGTTGACAAAAACTACGTACCAGACAATGTTTAAATCGAATAACGTTTTCGCTGCTTATCAAGTACAATAACTTACCTATCTGAGGTTGAACATTCATCTCAGGCCGACTTAAGCCTAGTTTCTCCAACGGAATGAGAGGAAACTCAGGAATACCATGTTTCAACATATCCGCTCGTTTCAGACATCGAATCATCTCCATATCAGCATCTGCGCCTTCTGAGACCACCAGTATTACGTCGCTAATTGCCAATAAGAACATGATACTGTGAAGGGACTGAAAGAAAGAAGATAAGTACACCAATAGCAAAAATACAGAGGTTACCGTAACTCACCTTGAGGTCGCGCCAAATCTCGGCAGGGATTCCGTCAAGAGAGCCATAACGCAATGTATGCTCCAATACCGACCAACTTAGTACGGGTTGTGTATCCAATAGAATGATACGCTCAGCCGTGACATACATATCAATACCAGTTGTCTGATGATCTAAAGGTTTCGTTGCTGGTGCAATTGTAAAGGTCTGCGGTTGCAAACTGTCAATATGTCGGTAGTGAAAAGAGCTCGCATTTGCAACCCATACATACATTTTGGGGATCCTCAGAGAAGGCAGACAAAACAGTAGATTTACCAGCACCCTGCTTTCCAATGACTCCTACTACAAAATGTCCAGGATAGTCTGCTAATGCCTAGGATATTGTAGTGGTCAGGAGACGTTACTGTAGCACGACTTGCAAGATGAAAAATGCCTTGTTTACCCTGAGCGCAGCATCGACACGAAAACTTTCAAAGGAATCCATAATTTTTGTAATAGAAGCAGCGTTTGGAGCCTCCTCTTGCATGGGGTGCATATCTTCTGGTCTCGAGCGGCTTGAAGGAGGATTCCTGTCAAGTTGAGGTGATGGTTTTGCATCGCGCCGTTCTAGGATAACTGGAGTTTGTAGTATGGTCTTTGGAGCAACTGATACTGTTTCTCGCTTTTGCCCGCCTTCCTACGTTACGATTAAATAAATTCGACGTGATGAGATCTCTATAAAGCATGGAGTCAGAATATGCTCAACATATAGGTACCTTCTTGCGACGGCGATCCCGCGAACGCTTTTCATTGGTGGCTCCAAAATCGAACAGCTGTCGCTTTGGTTGCCCATCCGGTCCAACAGACTGGAGTGAAGCGCCAGGTACACCAGCAATGGCATACCTACCACGCTCTTCTGATGGCATGGTCGCTTGCGGAGAACGTCTTCTGACGCTCTTTCGATTTTTGATGAATGGAATAGTGTAATTTCGATCACGTGCTATGCTTCATAGAGCCATTTGAAACCATGGTGCTGAATATCATCGTCCATAGTTACCTATCTCATGGATTGGCTACAAGTATATAAGAGACTTCGGCACACTGACTGAATATAAGAAACCAAACTCGAATGCTGTACTTTGTTGTATCTGACTTTTGCTATATCACTGACGGCTATCGTTGTCCTGCAATTGGGCACCTTATCTATATTCTTTTGATAATCCATCGTAACCACATTCGAAAGCTAGCAGCTCTTCATAGATACAGAAAAAACTTTTTTATTGGTATGCGAACAGAAAAGTAGAGCAAAGGGCAACGAGTTCAAACAAAGTATCATAAAAGGATGTTTACAAAACACCTTTTTGCCATTTTTTTTTCTCTCGCGCAAGAGGATATGTTACAAGTAGACATGCGTTGAGGATGAATGAGGATGTTGGTTTGGTAGAGTAGGAGCCAAATTACAACTTGGACTTGGAGTTGACTTGGACAATGTCATCATAGAGTTGAGTAGTCAAGAAGTCCTTATAAGCAGCGACTTCACCAGAAATTTGAGTAGCAAGGTGTCTCTTGGCAGAGTCATACTTGGAGCTAGCATACTTGTCACCCAATTGCTTCTTAAGGCGGTTGATTTCCTCATCCAAAAACTTGGAAAGCAACTCGGGGGTGACCTGAGTACCTTCTTGAGTGCGGGGCTTGTGGTGAGCCCATTGCCAGAGCTGTGATCGGGAAATTTCAGCAGTAGCAGCATCTTCCATAAGGTTCATGATGGGGACACATCCAGAACCACGGAGCCAAGCCTCAGTGTATGTCAAGCAAATATCAATGTTATCGCGAATACCCTTCTCAGTAATGGCACCCTTGAAGTTGATGTTGAGCAAGTCGGAAGCAGCAACAACAACATCGTCACGGCGAATATGAATTTGGTTAGGTTGAGGCATGTATTCGTTGAAGACTTCCAAAGCGATCTTGGCAAGATCAGGGTGAGCAACCCATGTACCGTCATGACCAGCATGGACTTCACGAAGCTTATCGTTGCGGACCTTGGTCATAGCAGCTTCGTTGGCCTTGGCATCGTTCTTGATAGGAATTTGAGCAGCCATACCACCCATAGCATGGACACCACGCTTGTGGCAAGTCTGAATAAGAAGACGGACATAGGCATCCATGAAGGGGACAGTCATAGAGACATCGGAACGATCAGGAAGAACGTATTCAGGGTTAAGTCTGAACTTCTTAATGAAAGAGAAAATGTAATCCCATCGTCCACAGTTGAGGCCAGAGGAGTGATCACGGAGTTCATAGATAATTTCGTCCATTTCGTAAGCAGCCAAGATGGTTTCGATCAAGACAGTACCACGGATAGTACCACGGGGAATGTTAAGCATATCCTGAGCAACGTTGAAAACGTCGTTCCAAAGTCTGGCTTCGAGATGAGATTCCATCTTGGGAAGATAGAAGTAAGGACCGGATCCATTCTTGATAAGCTGGTGAGCATTGTGGTAGAAATAGAGACCAAAGTCAAAGATGGAGCCAGACATAGGTTGACCGTCCACCAAGACATGCTTCTCTTCCAAATGCCATCCACGGGGTCTGAGAAAAGTAAGGGCTGGCTTAGTATCATGAACGCCTTTCACACGTGAAAATGATGTCGAACTCAAGCTTACCTGACAAGCAAGACAGCAACCTTACCATCCTTACGGAGAGTATATTGCTTTCCAGCAGGGTTGGTGAAAGAGATGGTACCACGGACAGCATCACGCAAGTTGACTTGACCGCTGATGTTGTTTTCCCAGGTAGGGGCGTTGGAGTCTATGTTAGATAAAATGCAGGATATTGTTAATGCCTGTAATCAATCTGACTTTTACCCAATCACATAGCTCTTCCCATGCTTACCTTCAAAATCAGCCATGAAGGTCTTGGCTCCAGAGTTCAAAGCATTGATGACCATCTTGCGGTCAACTGGGCCAGTGATCTCGACACGACGGTCCTGCAATCCAGGAGCAGGAGCAGCAGCACGCCAGTTGGGATCATTGCGAATGAAAGCAGTCTCAGGAAGGAAACCAGGAAGAACTCCTCGGTCCAACTCTTGTTGACGGTAATTACGGCGTTGCAACAAAGACTTGCGAGTACCGTTGAAGGCACGCTGCAAAGTAGCAATGAAGGTGAGCGCTTCAGGAGTCAAGATCTCAGCTTGAGTAGCGTCGACGGGAGCAAGGATAGAAACACCAGGAACGTTGGCCATTGTTAGAAAATGAAATAATACAAAAATCCTTTGGGCGTTAACGTTTTGCTTTTATATTCATCGACGGAGAGAAGCGGAAAGGAAAAAAAAAAAATAGGTCAGCTCCACCGAGTCAGATACTTTGGAATGTACCGGGGTAAGCATCACGTGTAGTTATCATATGCTAAACCTCCCACTTTTTAAATACCCTATTACGAAATGTTTAAGAGTTGCCAGCCCATCCTCCAGCTTTCATTTTGCAGAAATGGACCAGATTGCCAGAAAAGATGAAAAGGAGAGTGATTGCATCTTAGCTGGAGTTAAATGCCATTTTTTTATTATAGCGTACACGGTGAAATGGTGTATACACCAGTATCTCTTGTTACTCCGCTCAAGGTTTCCGCAACCGGAACCAATCAAAAGCCAAATATACCGGGTAGTTTGAAAACACCCCCATCAGCCTAATTATCAATCACCGCTCGATCTTCAGTCCTAAACCATGGAAGTCAAGTATGCAGCTTACTTTATGGAAGCCTTACAACATGAATAGATGGAGAATTCAGGTTCACCTCGATGAAAGTTAGTTTCAAGAGCTGGTCGATATATGGAAACCGTTTCGTAATGCACTGATATAGACTACTTTACTTCCGCTACACACACAAAAAAACCCCCCTCCCGGTTATCGAACAATAGCCAGTCATTGTATCTCAGCCGCTGACAGTGATTGCTTGGCAGTTTCGGTCGAGTTTTATATCGTAGAAATGAGTAGTTATGCTGACGGTTTGCGACTTTATAGTTGAGAGAGCAGGAAAGCAACACGTAAAACCGATTCTCACGGTGAAAACAAACCAAAGAACTCCGCCAAACAATTTGGCTTATTATTTTCATGACTGATCCGAAATGCTGTTTGTTGGTCACCTGCATTACCGTCGAGAACACTCGTCATTTGTGGGGTAAGGATTTTGTCGATCATAATAAATTTTATTATCGAAAGACACTAGATATTTTCTCTTAGCTCCTATAAACATCTATACTGGCTATCATAAGAAGTACGTCAGGTAAGGGCACACTTGTAGTGAGGGTGTGAGAAACATGGATGGGATTTTTCAGAGTGATTTATAAAGGTTAGCTGTCCCAGCAGATGGCTGTCCACACAGTTGTCATAGCATTTCCAATGATAGCCGGCTGCAATCTACATGGATATGTCAAAATGGTAAAGCAATGTCGACTGCATGAAATAGGAGATGGCAAAGGCGCAGTGGGGGTATGTGTCGTATCAGCAAATTAAAAAAAGAAATCGCCTAATGCCTCATAGCCGCCCTCATACATTCTTTTACTTCATTTTAAAAGCCCTGCCGACTAACCCAATCCCAATAACACTTTAAATAATAGGGTTTTCAGCATATCCTTCTCTAATGGGCGATGGTGGTCGGATTCATGCTAACTCAGTAAGAGAAAATGAAAGTAGCGGACGCGGCTTCGCTGTCAATTTTTATTGATGTCTAGGCGCGATATCATCTAAGCTTCGTAGTCAAAGGCAAGGATGTCCTCCTTATGAGCGGCCAAGTCGCTGATAAACTTAAGATGAGCAGGGTGTGTAGCATAGACCTCCAAATCCTAGAATCAATACGTTAGTCATCACTCAACAGCGCAGACCCACGTCTCCATCGTTAATTACCTTCTTGCTCACGTGCTCAAATACCCAACCTATGCGAAAACGTTAACACGACAGGCATTGATACACCAAACGCTAGCTATGAAAATACTTGCCCCATTCAAAGCCCTTGCCGCGTTCAGTGAAGTTCTTGCCAGCAGTGGCCTTGGTGATTCCAGGAATGACTTCCTTGAGAGCGCACACCTTATCACAGAGCTCTCTCTTCACAGTCTCTGGAGTGGTAGGTTTGAACTTGACGAGGACTAACAATAGAAAAGCATCTGATTAGAGATAGCCAATACACCAAACGGATGTAAGCGTTCAACCGTTCATACCGATGTGAATGATAGCCATTTGTAAGCAACGTGTTTCGCAACTGCAATCTGGACAGTTTTGACAGGCTTCTGCCGGAAGGCCAGTCACTCAAATACTTGAATTTCGAGGGGCTGGGGTAATAGCCCCAAATCTGTATAACGTCTGTGTCTTTATTTCACTTCAAACAAATCAGCCTTCTGAAGCGAATTTCATATCCAAAAAAAAAAAGAAAATCATGTACAAATCCTGAACACCGGATTTTAATAGAAGACACTTTTGATTTTAACTGCCTACAGCCTACTGAAAAGAAGTGGCTGGACGTTGCGGTGCGTAATGTCAGGAAGAATTCGGAGCTGCAGTCGCGGATTATTTATCAAGATGAGAGAGTGTATTCAAACCGAGACTTCCCTACGACAAGTGAAGCTTCCTTAGTAGATAGATGTATGCAATGTTCAAGTTATAGTACGGCATGAGAATACAATGGTCTGTATGAAGTATCGTAAAGCATGCTGTTGTACGGGCAAGCAAGAACAAAATCGGTCAATCATGTATCAAAGCTACATTTTCATGCTCGTAAAGAATACCATTTCTCCCGGCAGGATAGCAATTGATTCTTTCTCGTCATCAATACTAAGCTTCTTCATTTGGATGCGGCATCAAGCAGCAGTGATTTATAATAATTTGTTCAATCTCCTTCAAATTCGTGCAGACATGTTCTAAAGTAAACATGATAGGCTGCGAGACTCATTTAATATCAAGTCGCAGAGCACCTTCATTTATTGCACTTGCAAAAGCAAAAATAACGTCAGATAATCAGTTTTCAAATTGAACAAACAGTAGCTTCCCATTAATAATCAGAACTTCGTAATGCAAAGCTCGCTGTACAAACAAGAACAGTTTCGATAGAAGGGCCATATTCACTACATTGTGATCCACTCCAAGCGTGCTACAAAGTGTCCCTACCCCAAGCCTGAGGCGTTTCACTCATCTCAAAACTAATCTCTTTCGCGTCCATTAATTGTTCGTGTGTGAGGATAGGTTTGGACAAAGCATTTCTACCATCTAAATAGAGTGATTTGACATATGGCATGGAAGGTGCTCCAGGTGCTGATATGACCAAATTTTGCTGTCGTCCTGGCAAGTCGAGGATTACCTTATCGAATGCTGGTGTGCCTATCATATACTCTCCAGTTGTTGGGTTGACAGGGTAAAAACCTAGATAATTAAAGAAAGCCCAAGCACTCATTTGACCACAGTCTAAATATCGGGACAGGTCAACAAAAATTTCACTGGATTTTGAACCTTCAGGAAAATAATAATAGTAAAAAAAATACCTTCATTTCCACTCAATCCGTCCACAGAAACGTTATAGCTTGTCTGGAGAAGATCTCGGATTACAGATTGTGTCTTGTGCGGCTTATTTGCATAGAGATAAGCAAAGGGTGTAGCGTGTGAGGGTTCGTTACTCTGATCGTTGTGACCGCCTTGAAAGTATGTATCGAGTTTATTTTCAAATGCTTCGGTTCCATTGAACAATGATCGCAGCCCAGAAAAGTTATGCGGCACATTAAACGTATAAATCCACTTGTTTCCTTCCGTCCATGTTGAAGCATCGTCATTCCAACTGCCATCCTCCATTCTTGCCTCCATGAACGTCGTATCGTTATTGAAAACGTGCCGATAATTTTCACTTCTCTCTAAGAAGAAGTTCGATTCGTTCTTGTGTCCTGTGTAATTAGCCACCACGGCCACGGAGAAGTCGGCCCAAGCATATTCTAATGTGCGTGTTCCAGCTTCAGCTGTGCGGATTGCCGGTACCCATCCATTCTTCTTGTATAAGGTCAATCCAGCCCTGACTTCCAGCGGTGTCTTTTCCTCTCGGTCATAGTATTGGAGTATCAGATCGTCTTTAGGTGGCACCATAGCGTCTTTCCATACCGCCTTCCATGCCGTGTCCAGATCGAAGTCGTCTATACCCTTACGAAGTGCCTCAGCAATCATAGAAGATGCCCATGTGCATACCATTATATTGGTCTCAACCAGATTTTCCCACATCGGCAGTCTGCCAGATTCTTTGTACGTTTGGAGCATAGATGTGATCATGCCGGGAACCCTCTCAGGTGCAAACATGATCAAAAATGCCCATTCTGCTCTAAAGATATCCCATATTGAGTAACCAGTGTAAGAGAAGGCGCCTTTGTGAACTCTGTCGTCATAACCCGAATAATAGTAGATGCCGGTCTCATTTGATTCTGACTTTTCGTTGGGATACTATCGCGCATGAAATTTTTTATCATTGCCTATTCTAAACATGGCAGCCAGTGTGTATCCGATGAAAAATTATCTCAACTCTTTCCTTACCTGTAGAGAATGAAACATACCAGTGTATAGGATTGTTAGCTGGTCCTGAGACGCACCTTCGATATTGACTCGGTCCAATTTTTCTGCCCAAAGGGATTCAATCTGTCTCGATGTTTCCTCTAGCGTTGTGCCGTCGGGAATCTCGGTGTCCAAGTTCTTGCGTGCTTGCTCAATTGATATAAAAGATGTACCCACTCTAACGTTCACTTGATCTGTTTTTTCTGGGAATATGACATAGGCTGATAGTCCACTACTGATCATGGTGGTCTTATTTTCGTGCATTTTCCCATTGGTAATTGTTCCCCAAGAAGAAAACGGTTGGTCAAACCTTGCTACGAAATATCCATTGAAATTGTTCGCCTTAAATGGACCAAGCTTGTAATCTTGTCTTTCTGGATTTCGCCCAAAAATCTCCCGTTGATTGGGAGAAATTGTAATTTCGCCCTCTATGGTTTCTCTTGTCGCATCCACTATGACATGCGAAGAAGACCTGCTATTGAAACTGAAGCGCATTGATCCAACTCTGGAAGTAGCGGTTGTTTCCGCTGTAATAGTTTGACCAGTCTCGGCATGCATTGTTACTTTATAATAATACGGGGTAGCAGTTTCTTGGTCATGTGTGAACGGTAAACCACGGTCAGCAAAATTAGTCTTGACATCACCAACTCCTGGAGCAACTACCACTTGCCCAAACTCGCCCATCCAAATCTGAAAACATGATTAATTAACACATCTTATTTACCTCACGCTTATAAACATGCAAAATTGCGACCTACTGCTGGTTGATGAGTTCCAATGAAACCGTGGATAGCTGTGTCGGAATATCGGTAAGGGCAGGTACTGACATTATTTATTCTCGTCATGGCTGACCACCTTGTCATAGCGAAAGGAGGAGCTAGTTCACGTATGAGTCATGGAGCATACACCTAAAAATCACAACTTTACGTTTTGCCTTACCTGTTGATGGAATCATGCCACCGTATTCGCTCTGTGTGAAGTTACTATCGGTTCCAATAAGAGGATCCACATATTTCAGATTTCCTTTTGCGGATGATGGAGGTAGTTTGGCGGTGGCAAGATGGGCAAGCGCCACCACTTTAACAATAACAAAGATGAAGCCACCTTTCATGGGATGGAAGTAAGGAAGCGTTCAATACGACTTTTGCGTAAGAACCAAATTTAAACCCAAAGAAAGAAGAAAAGGGACCTTGTTTTATAGGATTTGGATTATAGCTGGTGAGAAGTGTAACATGACCTTGAGGAACCCCCAAATATCAATAGCACCGTAATATGTTGATTAAACATGAGCCGTGAGATATTAGAAGCTACTGCAAGATTATCTAATACTGGAAGTTACGGCAATAAATAAGCTGTAATTGCGCGTTCTGGGAGCATTCCAAAATATTTTACGGTTTTTATCTGTTCCGTACCGTATGTGCTATGCCTGGACAAAGATCTATCAAGGGGAGTGGGTGAAACTATATAAAGCCAGGCAAGTGGCTACCTATGCGAGCCATATTCAATCTGTAATTGTCAATGTTATACTATTGTTTATGAAAGGAGCATGGCTACCTTGAGCCGTTACCGGGCGAGTCGTTACCAGTCGTTGTTTGTTGAAAAGGTGCCTCCTTGAGCTACAGTGTTCCATGATTCTAGAAGATAGAAAGATAATAATATTTGGCCATGGTGAATAAAACTTTTTATAACGTAAACAGTATGTATCGGCCATTCAGATCGTAAAAAATGGGACTGAACCAGATAAACCACACAAATCATAATAAGAAATAACTAAAGGTACGGTATTTGATCTCATTTGTCTGCCTAGGCTTAGCCATTTAGTTTTTTGTAGAGAATCACCATTTAACTTTGGGTCGCAGGTGACAGAAAGCCCTAGTCAAACCGCTTTAGTTTTGAGGACAACAGCTCAGCGAGCGGTAGCCCCAGGCCAAATCATGCCCCGACGGGCCCATCTGGCAAAGAAGTATTACCCGCGATTGCTCGAGTTCCAAAAACACAGAATTTAAAATACCGAAAATAGAAGTCGTCTCTGTTTTCCTTTCGTTTTTGCACATTTTGAGGATGGAAGTGAAGCCAACGATAATTAGGGCCCTTAAAGCTCTTGTTACCGGCTATATTATTCTCTCTTTATTCTACTCTGCACATCACCTTTTCTCAGTCTATCGTGGCTCCTCCACTCCCGCACCTTCTGTCTCTCTATCTACGAAAGCGTCAATCGACATATATTCATCGTTAAAAAAAGGTCAATATGGTCCTCAACGAGTAAAATGGACCAACCCAGAAGGTAATTTCCTGGCACATTCATGCGATTTTTTGGTTAGATCAAAGCATCTTAACTTACAAATCCGCGTCATCCAGGCATCACGGACCATATGCCCGAGGACTTCATGCTGACCAAAGTGTTTTCTGACGCTATGGGCCCATGCAAGGTCATCCCATATTACTTCCGAGCCAACGAAGAGGCGGATTCTGAAGAAGTCACCATTGCTACCCTTGTCACTCATAATCGTTTAGCTGTACTGAGTCGTCTAGCCACGCGATACAAAGGTAAATGATTTACCCTTATGTTCTGATGCAGCCCCACCTCCTTATTTACAATTCAATTAACTGTACCTCCTCTTAGGACCTATTTCGGCTGCCATTCACATTAATGATGACGAAACCCGAGACATGATTTTAAACGACTTGCATGCCATGTATGAATCCAATCCAGATGTCCAAAACCATGTGGATGTTCACTTGATTGTCGACAGGTTCGATAGACAGTTCAATATGTGGCGAAATGTGGCAAAATTCTTTGCTCGTACAGAATATCTTATGATGCTTGACGTCGATTTCCACCTTTGCACCGATTTCAGAAAATCCATCCGAGCAAACCCTCGCATCATGGACAAGCTCCGAACTGGCACTGCAGCACTCGTTGTACCAGCGTTTGAATTCATCGAACAAAAGGATGGTCAGGATTGGAAAACTTTCCCTACTGATAAGCAGCAGCTTATGGATCTCGTGAAAGCCGAAAAAATCGACATGTTCCACCGTGATTGGCAACGCGGTCACGGAAGCACAAATTACACCAAGTGGTATGAGAGTGGTGACGAATACGTCGTTACCGACTACAACTACTCTTACGAACCTTATATCATATATAAGAAGGAAGGATCTCCTTGGTGCGATGAAAGATTTATCGGCTATGGTGCCAACAAGGCTGCCTGCTTGTATGAAATTTACTTGTCCGGCATTGACTATTGGATCTTGCCCGACGACTTTTTAATCCATCAGACGCATTATTATTTGGAAGATACTCGTAAGAAAGAGGTAAGTAATTCGGCGGAAATAGATGGATTTTGGCCAAGTATTCATCACTAATGCATCTGTTACTGTAGCGTAAATACAACAAGAAGCTGTACGATAATTTTAGAGAGGAGGTTTGTTTGCGGTACTCTAGAATGATGATCGCAAGTAATCTGTGGTCAACTTCAAGAGCTGATAACGTCAAAGAGGAATGTTCAAAAATCAAGGGTTTTAAGTCGGCTGTGGGTAACCTCAATTAAACAAACTTGTATCTTCCTTTACTTTTGCATTCCCTTCTGGACTCCCTACCCAACTTGCATCTTTTATCTTCCATTGTACTTGTGTTTATTTTGTTCTCTTTCTGGTCCGGTTTTCATGATTCACGTCATTTCTCATTACACTCAATTTTCTTACATAGCTAGTGATGTTTTACGCGCCTTTGTTCCTTACCCCTTGTTGTACTTTATGCCTTTCCTGGTAGTATATTTTCCTCCAAGTGTCAACAGGCGCCTGCATCAATTCCTGCCAAACGTCACTATTGTACCATCCTGATAGAATAAAGCAGTGCGATACGAGATCAAACACAGAATAGCTATTACTTTTGGTGCCATGATCCAGACCCAGAGGATGAACCAACTCCCACATTTTTTATATAAAGTACCTGTACAACCTGTATCACGATCACGAAGTAGTGCAAGTTTATGTACATCTTTTTCCAGTACGACGAAATGTCTACATGAGATTTCATTTCGCTATCTAAACCTCTTGATGTAACTGCTCAAATGGTCGACTATGGTTTGAGTGGGGAGGGGGATTCCCAAAAAAAAAACTAGATTTCTATAGGTATGTTGGCATCGTCGTCAGCGATTTAATTTTTCAAACGGTCCTCCAAAGCAGCACGTCTGTGAGCTATTAAAGATAAAAAACAAGTTAATAAAACCACCCGTCTGACGTATCATCTCTGGAAAAAGTTGGCCACTGTATTTACCCTTAGACTCCTGCACATCTTCCTGAGTAGCATTATAGTCGAGAATATTGGCTTGGTTGAAAGGATTTTCGGGTGACTTTTGGAAATTCTTGTAAATGAGTTGCTCCATTTGCTGCTTACGCAATCCAGGGTGATCTATCTTGAGTTGAGGCATCTCTCTCTCAGTGTAAGCGGCCAATGCAGCCTTGAATCTTCTTTCAGGATGCTTCTCAACCTCCTTGTTCTTGGGTCCGCCAGCGGTACCACCGCCAGGGCCGTCCAAAGACAAGAGATCAATGGCATCATCCAAATTGCTAGCCGAGAATTCTGGGATAACACGTCGAGCCTGAGAGTCGTTATGGACAGCGGAGGCCTTCTTGGCTGCCTTTTTCTGTAAATCGCGAGATTATGTGTTAGGCCACTGCTGAAACGCTGCAAGATTCGTATAATATTCATCCTTACGTCTTCCCCCTTCAAAGGCTTGGTAGGCTTGGTCTTGCCCAACTCCTTCTCTTCCTCAGCCTATATAATGAGATCAGCATATATTTCAACCACAAGCTTATTACCACCAATATTCCACTACGTACCAAAAGTCTGGCAGCCTCAGCTTTCTTTGCTGCAACAGCAGCCTAAATAAATATAGGATAGTTAATGTGCCATTTACTTTGTGAATCAGGCTAATGGATCACGCAGTCAGTTTACCTTCTTCTCGGCGTCTGCATCTTTCTTTGATTTTCCTTTGCTACCACCAGCCCAGTCTTCAGCCTCTCGTTGCTCAGCTTCTTCGTTCTTCTTCTTATCCTTCTGGTTCTGATTGGCAGCCTTGCGTTCGTTAGCAGCCGCTACTTTGGTATTGACTCCGGTTTTCTTGGGCATTGTTCTCGGTAAATTGACTTGAGCGGTTCAGTCATCAAAACTTTCGTAATGGATTACTGTGACTTGCAAAAAGTGCCGCGCATGCTTCTGGAAAATTTAAAAATGATATTTAATCTCGCTTAAGACACTACAGGCTTTGAAACCTGGCTACTTTGCGACATGGACTCTAGCGGTCAATTAGTCTTTCAATCTGGCAAGAAGGGCTCTTCAAGTCCTTGGGATCAACTCTGTAGTGATCCAGAAGGATGGGTATGTTCATTCAGCCTTTCGGTGACTTTTTTATTGCCGGTGGCTATGTATTAATAAGCACTCGTTCATACGCTTTGTAGGGCCCATTCTCGAAAACCAGAACCCCAGACTTTACACCATGCTTTGAAGACTCGTAAGTAGGACTAATAACTTGTACTGTACCTTTTGCTGGCATGTGTACTGAAAGCGGTTCCATTCATAGGGTTGTTATGATGATTCCCGCTGTGTTCTTGATGGTGTTCGGTATCGTCAGATTATGGCAACTGTCAAAGCGTAGCAGTTTGCCTTTGGACATGACCTCCAACTGGCTCTATTTTGCCAAGATGGTAAGCAATTGCCTTATCAATGTGATCTATGGCGACGATATCTAACATACGTACCAACAGTCAGTGCTTGCTCTCTTAACAATTATGACTGTCGCAATGGCAAGCAGGAGCATTATTCTTTCTCCATCTTGGATTGATGATATTCAGATTTTGGATCAGCTTGTTGGTGTCTTTGTTGTGGTGAGTATTGGTTTGATTCTTAGATGCATTGATAACGGCCCCATTGATTGACTTGCTTGTTTGGGTGAAAGATTTTCGTGGTTGCTCTGCATTATCTTGAGTATACTCGCGAACGTATTGCTTCTACTGTGCTTTTGTTCTTTTGGCTTTTGACTATTTCTGCTCAAGCTATCAAAGTTCATACTCTGGTATCTTTGGATGTACACAAATCAGATATCTCCGGATTCGTGCTGTTTGTCACTTCTTTCGCTTTGTCGGTCATCATGTTTGCTCTGGAAAATGTCCCTCGCCCAAAGAGCGAATACATGCTTTTAGATGAAGACGAGGTACGGAGAAATGAGAAATCTTATTTGATTTTATTGGATAATCGGTCCGTGGTATCGGTATTAATTGGTTTTAATCATTAGATGGACTGCCCAGAAGCTACTGCCAATGTTTTCAGCAGATTGACATTTAGCTGGATGACACCTTTGATGAAATTGGGTTACAAGCAACCTCTGATGATGGATGACCTATGGTAAGATCTCGTTGCAGCGGAGGTTGTAAGGCACATGGAAGTGGAGAAATTAACGGCGAATGTTACGTAGGAATTTGAAACCGGAGGATCAAGCGGCTGTTATTAGCGAAAGATTCGAACAAAATTGGGATTTGGAAATGAAGAAGAAGAAGTAAGTTAATTTGATGCGATAGGAAGGGATAAATAACTTGGGTTTAGAGAATTTGCTTTATCTAACTGCCACATGTTTGCCTTAGTCCTTCATTACTTCGTGCATTATGGGCCACTCTTGGTGGACCGTTCCTCTTTGCTGGATTTTTCAAAGCTATGCAAGATTTGCTTCAATTTACACAGCCACTCCTTTTGAGAGAATTGATGGTTTGGGTCAATAGTTACAGCACCAATGAACCACAACCACCTTATCGTGGTACAATTATTGCTGGTATGTCGCTGAAAAAAAGCTTACCAAGATGTTGTTTGTACCTAGTGTACTGATACCGTTATTCTCTTTTAGTTGGCATGTTCCTCACTGCCATCTCTCAGACTATGTTCTTGCATCAATACTTCCAGCTCTGCTTCAGTACTGGTATGCGCATTCGTGCTGCTTTGGTCACTACTATTTACAAGAAGACTATGGTTCTCAGCAACTCTAGCCGTCAAGCTTCCACTGTTGGCGAGGTAGGACCATCGAACAAATATTGTCTTATGGTGATATGTTTACTGTACTGTGCTAATATGAGCTATCCTAGATTGTCAACCACATGAGTGTTGATGCCCAGCGTTTGATGGATTTGTGTACTTACTTCCACATTGTTTGGAGTGGACCTTTCCAGATCGCATTGGCACTTTACTTCTTGTGGCAAACCATGGGTCCAAGTATTTGGGCCGGTGTCGCCGTTTTGATTTTGGCCATTCCATTGAACACCTATTTGGCAAAGAAGATGAGATCATATCAAAAGAAGCAGATGGGTAATAAGGATGCCAGAGTCAAGTTTATGAACGAAATTTTGAACGGTATTCGAGTCATCAAGCTGTACGCTTGGGAAAAATCTTTCTTGAAGAGAATCAGTTACATTCGTAACGACCTGGAATTGGCTATGTTGAAGCGTCTCGGTCTCCTGAACGCTGTCCAGAGTTTCACCTGGGCCTCTATTCCCTTCTTGGTATCCCTCTGTACCTTTGCTGTTTACGTTGCAGTGTCACCTGTACCCCTTACATCGCAAACTGCCTTTGTTGCCATCTCCTTGTTCAACTTGCTGCAATTCCCTCTTACCGTCTTCCCCAACGTCATTAGCTCCACTATCGAAGCAACAGTCTCCCTTTATCGTATCGAAGGTTATCTCGTAGCTGATGAAATTGATCCTAATGCCGTTCAGAGAGAGCCCCTTCCCAACAGCGCTGCCATCGCTGCTGGTACTCCCCTGGTTGAAGTCAAGGACGGAGCTTTCAAATGGAACAAAACCGATGCCGAGCCTACTTTGGAAAATGTTAACTTTGCGGTTAAGAAAGGCGAACTTGCAGCGGTTGTTGGTCGTGTTGGTTCCGGAAAGAGTTCACTTATGAGCGCACTTCTTGGAGATATGCTCAAGACCAGCGGCACCGTTAAAATCCGTGGATCGGTTGCTTATGCTTCCCAACAGGTATGTTAAAATGAAAAGCGACAGTGATAAGTGTGCTTAGAGCATGTTCTTACCACAACATACTTACGCTTTTACTAGCCTTGGATTATGAATTGTTCCCTTCGTGATAACATTACCTTTGGTGCCAAATTTGACCCTGTATTCTATGAAAGTAAGTGGGAGTACGGGAAAAGGGCAGTACGCGCCTTGTTGTCATGACACTAACTAACCAATGACATCTTAGCTGTTTTGGAAGCTTGCTCTTTGAAGGCTGATATCGCCATGCTTACAGCTGGTGACATGACTGAAATCGGTGAAAGAGGTATCAACTTGTCTGGTGGTCAAAAAGCCCGTGTCTCTGTTGCTCGTGCTGTCTATGCTCGCGCTGACATTTATGTCTTTGGTAAGCGTTCGGATTAACAAAAAAAAATGTAGCACTTTTAGCATTATTAACATCTAACACCCTTCCTGTCTTCCCTACTATTAGATGATCCACTTTCTGCTGTTGATGCTCACGTTGGTAAACACATATTTGATCACGTCCTCGGTCCTGACGGTTTGCTCAAGAGCAAAGCTAGAGTCTTGGTCACCCATGGTATTGCCTTCCTTCCAAAGGTTGACAAGCTGTTGATGCTCCGACATGGCAAGATTATTTTGAGTGGAACATATCAAGAACTCATCAGACAAAAGTCTGAACTCTATCAACTTGTTGTCGAATTCGGAAATCAATCTGTCAACCCTCAAGAAGAAGACGAAACTACTTTGATTGCTGATATCGATAGCGTTGAAACTGATGATGAAGGTGAACTCGGAAACTGCGAAGAAAATGCCCCTATTACCAAAACCCTGTCCCATGAAAGCCGTGAACGTCAAAACAGCGTGTCAAGTGCCACCACACTTCGTCGTCCCTCCATGGCCTCACTTCGTAACGTCGGAAAGAAGCAGTCTTTGCTCATTAAGGAACAACTGATGACAGTTGAAGAATCTGCAAAGGGTAGCGTTGACAAATCCGTGTACTGGACTTATGCAAAATCTTGCTCTGCTGTCGGTGTTGCCATGCTTCTCCTGTTCCAGATCATTGCTCAAGGCTCTCAAGTTGGTTCCTCTCTTTGGCTTAAGTACTGGAGTGATCAAAACCAGAAGTCAGGATCTAATGACCGCGTTTGGGTTTACTTGGGTATCTACGCTGCCATCGGTTGGTCCTCAGTCATCTTCACTGTCCTTCAAACTGTTGTTCTCTGGGTTTACTGCGCTATTCGTTCCGCTCGCGTTTTGCATTCCAATATGCTTCACAGTGTGCTTCGCTCCCCCATGTCTTTCTTCGATACCACACCTTTGGGCCGTATCATTAATCGTTTCAGCAAGGACCAGCACACCATTGATGAAATGCTCCCAAGAACTTTCAGTGCCTATTTCCGTGTTCTCTTCAGTGTCATTTCAACTGTTTGCGTTATCTGCTACTCCACACCACCATTCACACTCTTGATTGTCCCTCTGATCTTCGTTTACATGGCTGTCCAACGGTACTATTTGCAAACTTCTCGTGAACTGAAGCGTTTGGACTCCGTATCCAAGTCCCCTATCTACAGTTACTTCCAACAGACTCTCTCTGGAGCTGGTGTCGCCACCGTTCGCGCTTATGAGCAGCAAGAACGCTTTATGCACGAAAACCGCTGCAGATTGGATGAGAACCAAAAGGCTTATTTCCCATCTATTTCTTGCAACCGCTGGCTTGCTGTACGTTTGGAATTCTTGGGTTCTATCATCATCTTTGGTGCTGCCATTTTGGCTGTCGTTGAAGTCGTGTATGGTGGTAACCTTGATGCTGGTCTTGTCGGTCTCAGTGTCTCATATGCACTTGGAACCACTCAAGCTCTTAACTGGGTCATCCGCTCCTTCTGTGAAATTGAAACCAACATCGTCTCGGTTGAACGTGTCAAGGAATATATTGATCTTCCCAGTGAGGCTCCTGAAATCATTGAAACCAACCGTCCTTCTCACATTTGGCCCGAAAAGGGTATGATCGAATATCGAGATTACTCCACTCGCTACCGAGCTGGATTGGACCTTGTCCTCAAAGGCATCTCCTTCAAGGTTGCTCCTAAGGAAAAGGTTGGCATTGTTGGTCGCACTGGTGCTGGTAAATCCTCACTTAGTTTGAGTCTTTTCCGTATCATTGAGGCTGCCTCTGGTAGTATCGTTGTTGATGGTGTGGATATTTCTACTATTGGCCTCCACGATTTGAGGTAATGATTCGCGATTTGCCCTTTTCATTTTTCTCATATAAGCTAATTCATTTGTCATACGTTTTAGATCACGTTTGACCATCATCCCACAAGATCCTGTTCTCTTTGCTGGAACTGTTCGTGATAACTTGGATCCCTTTAACGCTCACGATGATGTTGAAATCTGGCAAGTGCTTGAAAACTCTCACTTGAAGGATCATATTGCTAAGCTTGAGGGCAAGCTCAATGCCGTTGTCTTGGAAGGAGGAGAGAACTTCTCTGTTGGTCAGCGTCAACTGATTTGTCTTGCTCGTGCTCTTCTTCGACGCACTACTGTCCTTGTTTTGGATGAAGCTACTGCTGCTGTAAGTGACATTCTCGTTCTCTATTTGGACTTTCTTGGATGATATTGATTATTAACCTTGTCCTATTTTTATCTAGATCGATGTCGAGACGGATTCCATCATTCAAGAAACTATTAGAAGAGAGTTTGCTGACTGTACCATCTTGACCATTGCACACAGAATCAACACAGTCATGGATTCAGATAAAATCCTTGTGTTAGATAAGGGTATGATTGCTGAGTACGACTCTCCAAAGAACCTCTTGGCCAAACCCGACTCCGTGTTTTATTCCCTGGCCAAGCAAGCTGGCCAAGCAGAGTAATTTACAGTACTTGGTATTTACAGATGTTGGTCGTTTCGGCACATCTATATTGTAAACGTATTACCATTAGACGAGTCTGCAGTGCTGATAGATCTATAAAACTCATTTTTTTTTTCTAAATTCAAAAACGCTCCATTTCTACCTCATGTATGTTTGTAGCGTACAGTCCTTCGATGATGGCCCAGTCACTTGTCATCGTGACACTTATATAATCTTGACTTGCAAACTTCATATGAGCCTCGGAATATTGTTATTCGCACGTCGAGTTGATATTTGTTTGTGAAAATAGTTCATCATTCCCTCGGCACCATGCATGTGTTTGGCCTTATATTAGGTAATCTATAATTTAGAATCAAGGTTCCATCCGGGGTTGACGTTGGCGGAGGAAGCGTCGGCGATTGTTCTTCTAGATGAAGACGCCGGCCACTAACGACTTGTCTTTAAAATGTATGTAAAAGAACCCACTATATTGCTCTATCTACTTTTTACGTTGATTAACCATTTAGTAACAAACGACTGGTGAATACACACACTCAACCAGTGATATTTATCACGACCATAAACTATCGGATGGCATGGAACTCAAAAATTATTTGTGCAACTGCTTTCGACCGAACCATCTTCTTGGAACTCGCGTGGGAGTGCAGACAAGCATATAAAAAGCAGCATTCTGACCTTCAATGCTAGAACATATAACCTTTCATCATGACTTGGAATGTTGCCCGCGAATGGGACGATTCGAAGATCGTTGGAATCAACCGCCTACCCGCTAGAGCAAAGTCTTTTCCCGAAGCCAACCCTAAAGTGGCTGTCGAACGTATCACTGGTAGAGACCAACAATACCCGTTGAACGATATCAACTGCGCTGAAAAGGTCCACTCACTCAATGGATTCTGGGACTTCAAGCTCTATCCTAACCCTCAGTCCGTCGAACCTCACTGGTTCAAAAAAGAAGCAAGCGAATTCTGCAAAATACCAGTTCCTTCTAATTGGGAGATGGTCGGTCATGATATACCCCGCTATACCAATGTAGTCTATCCTTTTGAGATCGTAAACCTTCCCCACGCTCCCGAAAACGATAACCCTATTGGATGCTACAAGCGCAAGGTGGCTATTCCCGAGAGCTGGAGGGTCTCGGACGGTAAGGATCGTGTGATCTTGCATTTTGCTGGTGTCAAGTCTTGCATCTACTTGTGGGTCAACGACCAGTTCATTGGCTTCTCCAAAGACTCTATGACCGCTGCAGAATTCGATATCACCGAGAGCCTGAAGGCAGGTGAGGAGAACGTTATCGCTGCTCAGGTATTCAGATGGTGTGATGGCAGCTATCTTGAAGATCAAGATTTCTGGGATTTGTCGGTAGGTTACCATCTGGCTAGAGATATAAAGATTTGATGTAGCATAATTATTTACAAAGCATGTATAGGGCATCTATCGAGATGTTATTTTGTTCTGTTCTCCAGCAGAAGAAGGCTACTTGACCGACGTACAAGTGGATGGGTTCGCTGATGGAACTCTAAAAGTTCGTACACAACTGTACCGTAACTCTGCCCCCTCTGAACTTACTGTGCGCTTGACATTAAGTGAACTATTCAATAACAAATCAACCGTCCTCTCCGAGTCGTATCCAGTACAATCTCTTCTTCAATCCAAAATCCAGACTGAAGAAGACAAGACCTATGAACTTACTGAGATCGTCAAGACCATTGAAAACATTCAACAATGGACCGGCGAAACTCCTTTCTTGTATAGCTTCACTATTGAGCTTCTCAAGGGCGAAGAATTGTTGGATTGTAGAGCCTGGAGAGTTGGGTAAGTTTTGTTCTGGTGTTTACCAGATTTCCTATATACATGAATTTAACCTCGCTTCTTTCAGTTTCCGCACTGTCTGCATCAGTGAAAACCATCAAATTTGCATCAATGGGCAGCCAGTTGTTTTCAGAGGTGTTAACCGCCATGAGCACAATGCATGGAGAGGTAGATATTTGACTGAAAAGGACATGTTGGAGGATATCCGTCTTTTCCAGCAATACAACGTAAACTCTGTCAGAACCTGCCATTACCCCAACCATCCTAGATGGTATGAACTTTGCGACGAATATGGTATTTACGTTATGGATGAAGTTAACATCGAAACTCATGGACTTGGACCTTTGGGTGACTGGGATCTGATCTCCAACGATGCAGAATGGAAGGACAGCTATGTCGACCGCACCATCCGGATGGTTCAACGTGATAGAAACTTCCCCTCTATTATCATCTGGTCTTTGGGTAACGAAGCTGGCTATGGTCAAAACCAAGAAGCTCAGTATGCTTGGATAAAAGCCTCTGATATTAGTGGAAGACCCGTTCACTATGAAGGACGTCCACCGGATGCCTCTGGAGCCTTCCCTGATAGAATTAACGGCGTAAAGAACCTCCACAAGTACAGCAATTTCGATATCAACTCCAACATGTACTACTCACCTCGAGAAGTCCTTACGGCCACCATTGAAGACCCCGTTCGTCCCGTAGTCTCTGTTGAATTTGCTCACGCCATGGGCAACGGAACTGGTAACTTTAAGGAATATGTTGAACTATGGTATGAAAATCCAAGAACACAGGGAGGCTGGATCTGGGATTGGGTTGATCAAGGTATTGCTCTGGAAGTGAGAGAAAAGAACCCTGGACATAAGTATCATCATCCCAATCCTGATGTTACTCACGACATCTCGAAGGGTAATGGATGCTGGCTCTATGGCGGTGACTTTGGAGAAATGCCTAACGATGCAGACTTTTGTATTAACGGTATGATTGCTCCTGACCGTGTGCCTCACCCTGGATGTCATGAAATGAAGCTTTGCTATTCTCCTATTGCCTTGAAACTCGTCCAAGCCGAACTTCATTACACTATGGTTGAAGTGAACAATCGTTTCGATTTCACAACTGACTTGAGCAAGAAGTTCCAAGTTGTATGGAGCGTCGTGGACGAAACTGGTCATCAAGTTACGTCTGGCACTGTTGGCCTGCCTTCCAATCTACTTCCACGCAACAAGCAACATCTTCTTATCAACCACGCTGATGCCAAGTCATACCTCTACAAAAAGAAATGGGATACTCCCAAACAACTCTTTGTCAATGTCCACATCGTATATACAGCTAATAGCCAATTTGTATCCGAAGGCTCTGAACTTGCTGGCTGGCAATTTGAGATTCCTTTGCAAGAACCAGGTGGTATCATCCGCAATGCATTATACAATCCTATTGATGCAGGAACCCCCACATATGGACAAATCAAAAATTCTGATACTGAAGTCATCTTGGAGGGCGAAGATAAGAACACTTTAGTTACCTTTGACAAGTCCACTGGCAACCTCACTTCCTTTGTCGTGAACGGAGAATCTTTACTCATTGAAGGACCTTCACCTTGCTTTTGGAGAGCGCCGACTGGTAACGATGAAGCGTGTGGCGAAAAGAGCTATGCTACCTTCTGGAGAAAGGCGGGCTTGGACAAATTGAAAGCACAAGATATCTCCGTTGTCGCTCGTACACCTGGTACCGTCCGTGTCACTGGTTCACTCCCTCTCGCAGACCCCGCTGGCACGATTGAATACACTATGGACTACACCCTTGATGCCAAGACCTCAGAGTTGTATTGTTCTGTAGCATACAATGTTAACTACGACAGAGATAGCAATAGGTATCAAGAGCTTACCTTCCCTCGTGTTGGTGTCAGTCTCAAGCTTCCCACCTCCTCCTCTACTAAATTCCGCTACGCTGGCCGTGGTCCATTCGAGAACTACTCAGACAGGAAGGACTCAGCATTCAACGGTATCTATGAAGTGGATATTGCTTCCGACGAAGTCCCATATGTCAGACCTCAGTCTTACGGTAACCGTGAAGATGTTCGATGGATTCAGGTTACTAATAGCGCATCAGGTATTCGAGCTACTGCGACGCAAAGTACTACGTTTTCTGCCTCTGTTCAACCCTACAGCCAAGAAAACCTCACTTCTGCACAGCATCTTGACGAGCTTAAAGTGGATGACTGCGTACATTTGTACATCGATGCGGCCCATTCTGGTGTTGGAGGTGATGACACATGGAACAGACGTATACATAAGCAATACTTGGTTGAGGGCTCAACCTATGGTCTTCATTTCAAGCTCTCAAAGGTTTAAAACAGAACCGTGGGTGCTTGGAGGGAGGGAGTGTCTATATTTTCGATAAATAAAGTGTCTAGTACCTTCAAAAAGATGTGCAAGCGTACTTTTTGCTGTGGTTTCGACTTGAGCAATGATCTGTGAGAATGATTTCTCGAAGCAATATCTACTTTCTTTATTTCTTCTTTTCCCCTTACTTGAAAGAGAGCCGTCGATAACTTGAAAATACACATCAGTCAATAAACTCGCTGAAATGCCTCTGAGCAATTTCACCTGAGTTTTGCGCTTTACTGCTAACTACGGTAAATGTCAACTAGCTAACTTCCTTTGACAATCCAGCAATTTCGTCTGACGAAAGGATACGATCCTACAAACAACAATATTAGGGACACCTTTACGACCATCACTCTAGCAAAAGAAAAATGTTCTTACGTAAACTTGGAATGCAGATATTCTTCCACTGAATCCTTTGCCAATGTAATCGAGCGGTGTAACTAGACCCATTGAAACAGTTCTCGACGTGCGTGGTATGAAGTAAGTGAAATTCGCTAGATACTTTCCATCAAGGTACAGTTTTGATCCAACAGGATAGGCAGCTGAAGTAATGGCAATATCGGCCTTCTTTACCAATGTGGTGTTAAACTGGATACTGTAGGTGTAGTTATCGTTGCTAATTGAGATCTCAGATTGCGAAATCTTGATTGCTCCTTCATCTGAGGATAATATTGTACTAGGATGAGTAGAACTGATATCCAGTGTCATGAAAAGAGTGGAGTTGAATCCTTTCGTTCCAAGGTCAACCTTGACCACAGAAGATTTTCCACTGAATTCAAGCGCCTGTGCAAAGTGCTTGCCTACCCACTTTGCTCCTGAGATTTTTGCGTCATAACGATTACCAGAAGCATCCTTTAGCACGTTTCCATGAGCTCCATCAAAAGTAAAGTTCAAGAGAGTGTCGCTCTTTGAAGAGATTTCTAGTTTTAGATTGACCGGACCTTGAGTGACCGTTTGCACGTTTGAGAAAAAGACTTTGGGGTCCGTAGTGTTCTGACTTCCGTTCCATAGAATCTCAGAAATGGCAGCCATAGTATCCCCTACAATACTGTGAGTTTCCCATCGAGTTGTGGATGGCCCAAGATTATCTATTTTCGTAATCGTAGACGGAGCCATTAATATTGGTTCAACAGCGACGAATTTATACAAACCTAACATTTGACGTACCGAACCAGACTGCGAACATGCCTCCAAGAACATTGTCCAGTTGCTTTTGAGACTCAAGATTGTAGCCCGTGCCGAAAATGGGAGGACTATATTGGGCCAAGTACTGAACACTATCGATTTTGTCACCTCCGCCGCCACTCTGAGATGGAATCGATGAATGAATTGAGTTTGTTATGTTGATGATAGATAGTCCGACAGTTTATACTACTGGCTTTACCTTTGGAACAATGTAAGAAGAAACTGGGCCACCATCGTTTACATTGATTATCTATATAGCGGCATTGTAAGTATATCTATTGAACACTAACAGCAAATACCTGGCTGTTGGCGTGCTTATAGCTAAATCATACCTTGTAACCATTGTTTGTCACATTTTTTGGATTATCTTCCCAGTTTGCCCTATCATTTGTGTTAGCCATTTGGATGACTATCTAAGCATAGTGTATAATAGAACTCACCAGTGACTGATTGTAATGTTGGTATCGATGGATAAGGTCTGGTTCTTGTCAAATTCAATACCGGTTCCCCACACTTGTGGCTTCTTTCCATGCTTTTCCCAAATATATCTTGCAATGGTGTCTACATAATCGCGGAATTGAGCTGCTTGACTTGAAGGATACTCATCGGCACCAATATGAAGAGTCTTTGAGTCAAACCAAGGTGCAAATTCATCCCACACTGACATCATAAAATCATATGTTTCGCTCTTGTTCAGATTCAGGTACGAATTATCAAGAACAGGATAAGAACCAATCTCAGGTTTGAATTGAACCTGTGGAATAATGTATCAAATCATTACTGTGTTAGGACAAAAAATGGCCAAAATTTCCAACACTTACGAATGCAAGTGAATGAGCTGGACTGTCGAACTCTGGGAGTATAGTCAATGCGTTTGCTTTGGCAACTTTTTGTATGGATTGGAACTGTTCCTTGGTGTACCATTCATTCTCTCCACGGGCCAATCCTGAAAGCTTGGGATTATTTGTCTTAAGCCGAAATCCGGCATATTTGGTTTTCCCTACAGCTTGAGCGTTAGCATTTATTCTTCCTCAGAACAGTAGTCCAATCGTCAACTTACAAGTAGGATCAGTAGCATTGGCTAGGAAATCATTATCGTTCAAATGAAGGTGAAAGGTATTGAGCTTGAACCAGCCCATAAACCGAGCATAGTCCTGAAGAAAAGATACTGGGAAGAATTTGCGAGCATCATCCAAGAAAAATCCTCGGATCTGATAAGTTGGCCAATCCTCAATACTGCCAACCGGTAAAGTTCGTTTATTTTTTGACTGGATCATGATTTGTAATAGAGACCGTGTGCCATAGTAGATTCCTCTGGAGGTTTTTCCGGATACGACGATAGAATTGCTGCTGATCTGAAGTATATGACGGTTCAATTCAAAGTTTTTTAACGCATTTAAATGTGCAACCAACATCCTTATATGAGAATTTTATCCTCACCTTCATAGTATATGCTTCGTCACTCGTTTGGTTCGCCTGGTGACCTAGTTGGAGGTATAAATCATCCGGAGCAGGAATACCAATTACCACCTTCAGCGATAGAGAGCTTAAAGCAACGATATCTTCGGCAAGCATATTGGCTACCTGTTTCAAATCCGCCGGATTTTCCATTCTTGAATTTTTATCATTTTCTTGCTTGTAGTTACTTGATACTACAATTCGTGCTCCTGACTTGAGAAGGAACTCCCCCTTTCCTCCAGTCCAGGATTTGAGAGAAGGCACTACGATAGGTTGAGTATTTGTTGATATTACTTGTCCAGCAAACGATACCTGCAGTATGGCCAACAGCCACACGTAGGATGTCAAAAACTTCATATTATGAGGTTCACAACAATCGGTTCTCCGAAACTGAAAGGAGACCCAGGGTCCTTTTATGCAGTGTGAAGCAGCATCTAATCTTTATTCGTGATTCCATTCCCAGGGCAATCAATACAATTTTATTACACTAACCTAGGTTGAAGAGTTGCAGTTAATCGTATATGGTATGGAAAGCAGAATGAAAAAACACAGGCAAGGTCAGCTCTTTCGCAGCTGGCGGAGTCTGCCTGGTCCAGACGCATGTACCCATTTCTTTGAGTTCTTTTTCTTATATTTATAGGTATCATCAAAGATGTATATGCTCTATCCTCTCTGTGCTAACAGGGCAATGGATGAGTATATTTTGTTAAAGCCCGACGCAAGATCAGCAAAGTTTCGCCAAAGTCAGCAGCATTGTATCACAGAAACCTTGAAAACCATGGGCCGGCTATTTAAATGTCCGTAGCAAAAATTTGAAACCATAGCACCTTGGTGTGTTACTGGATTAAATAATATGAACATAACGAGCAATTGATGAGGTTGAAACGAAAACCACGGAAGAAATTATTCCGGAGTTGCCACGCTTTTGCGTTACAGCGGATGATTCATCAAGCTTTGCGTGAATCTCAAACCGTGCCTGCATCAGGTCTTAAACCTTATTCTCGCTATGACCCATCTCACAATCGTAAAGTGGCCGAAGAGTATCCTCGAAAGCTCTCATTCGATTTGAGGATGAATTCTATAAGACAAATTCAATAAAAATGCCTCAAACCTTCGGAGAGGGAAGTAAGGAACACAAGTAATGATGATTCTGTACGACTGCTGAATTTTTTGTGCAGTCCTGGAAGTTATCGTTGCATCGTACCCGCTTCCGGTGGGACAAAGCATTCTTTCTTCAAGTTTTGTTTCACCGCTCACTTCGTTTGCAATAGCATTCTCTTTGGAATATGGTTGCTAAACAAGACTCCAATAGCCATGTTACTGTCCTTATCGTGGGTGCCGGACCCGCTGGAGCATTCCTCGCCAGCAATCTCGCAAGGCTGGGATTGCAGTTTCGACTCATAGGTAGGTAGTCTGGCCCTTCCTCAACATGTCAGTTGCCCATTACTAAATCACCCTTTAGATAAGCTTAAGGTTCACACTACTGGAAGAGCTATTGGTGTTGTGGCTCGCACTCTAGAAGTTCTTGAGCAAGTCATCGGTCCCGAGATTACACACAATCTGGTGAACAATGGTCATCAAGTGACAGAGCAAGGATTTTGGAGAAATGGCAAACTCACTAAGAAGACAGAAAGTTGGGATTGCGACTCACTTTATAATTATGTGAGTGTGTGGAAAAGCCAAATCTACTATTACGGTCATGTTCTAGCCAACTAACATTTTTGGCAGTACTTAATTCATCCTCAATTAGGCATTGAGGATGCCCTTCAAAAGGACATTCAAAAGTTTGGTCAAGAGGTCGAATTTGGCGTTCGTTTGGTCGATGTGTCAGTGCCCACAGATCCTGAAGAACCCATCCTCTGTACATTGAAGCATGAAGAAACCGGAGAATTGGAATACATGACTTGCAAGTACCTGATAGGAGCTGACGGTGCGCACAGTTTTGTACGAAGATCCATGGGCATCACCACTCTTGGTGATACACCTAACATGGTTTGGGGCATTGTTGATGCTGTTGTGAAGACTGATTTTGAAGCAATTGATCAATCAAAGTAAGTGGTAGTTTATGGTATATCTGCAAGCTTCTAAAAACACTGACTAAGCGTTGTTTGAACAGTATTCTCTACACCGACAAAGGCACTGCAGTTGCCTTCCACTGGGGCAATGGAATTACCCGTTTAGCCATGGTAAGTTATTTCCCCGTGTGCATCTTTCGGCAATTGGCCTGTCTGATAAAAACCGTTCCTCATCACAAAATCGTTTTCCAGTACTTGGGTAGCCCGGAGCTTGCCAAGGATGTTGCCAACTACCGAGATATCAGAAACTATCTCAGTATAGATCAATTTATCGAAAAAATTTCTACTGCGTACTCTGATAGTGGATTTAACCTCGAGATAGGAGAGGTTAAATGGTTTAGCATCTTCAAGATTCAAGAAAAAATATCTGCTGACTGGTTCGCAGCGGATGGACGAGTTATCTTAGTAGGTGATGCTTGCCACACACATTCTCCAGGAGGTGGCCTCGGTATGCAAGCAGGTATGACTTTTATTAAAACATGACAAGTGATCCAAGCGAACCATAACACTAACAATGACTGCTGTATGACACAATTAGGCATCATGGACTCCTTCAACTTGGCTTGGAAATTAAAACTTATGGAAAGCGGCCTCGCGGACAAATCCATTCTCAACACCTACATGCAAGAACGTAGAGAAGTTGCTGAACAGGTACGCATGCATACTCCATTTTTTCTTTTGATGCTCCTTCTCTTTAACTTTTTGCGTTTTCAATGTGCAGTTTATTGAAACAAGTGCCAAAATTATTCGTGTCATGTCAAATATGACCCCGGCCAACACCTCACCTGGCCTAAACTCATCCTATGAGAAGGAACTGGCTCTACTTTACAAACGAAATGGTGCCAATATCACTGTTGGCCCATCATACAATGCTAACGAACTCTGCTGGGATGGAAGCGGTGCGATCGAAAGAAACTACGCCTTTTGGAAATCAGCTACTACGGTTCGTCCTGGTCAACGTGCTCCCGATGTGTTTGACGTGCGTCAATACAACCTTAAGAGCCAAAAGAAATCTGACCCACTACGCTTGTTCACCATCACAAAATACCCCGGCATCTTTAATATTATGGTTTTCACAAACGACTTAAATGATGAGGTTCAATATAACCTATCAAGCTGGTCTGCTCATTTGGAGGAATCAGATGCTTTTTATACCAAGTACAAATACAAGCGAGGCGACTTGTTTGCCTTCCATACTGTGACTACCGCTGACGTTTCTGTCATCGAAAACACCAGCGACCAAGTCAATCGATTTTTGAGCACTCATTCTACCGTTATTCTCGACCGTGAAAACCAAGATGACTCGAGTACTGGTGGACAGGCAATGTACGGAAGTACCTTCTTGACGGCTGCTGAACAGAGGGAACAAACTGCTCATGCCAAGTACGGCATTCCCAGCGACGAGAGTGGTGTCATTGTTGTCCTCAGACCTGACGGATACATTGCCTGTGTTGTTTGTCTTGAAGACTGGGCTCATCTTGACGAGTACTTTGATGGAATTTTGGGAGGCAACCCGTTTGCCTCTGCAAATGAAGACCCCCTTTATTAATTATCACACACCTCCTCTAGACCTGCTGGGATGATCACTGATGGAATTTAACGAAGGATCACTGTTGTATCCTAGTTCTGTGAGTGATCATCCTCAAGGCCGGTCAAAAAGTCATAGATACCGTTTTGAGACATGCATTTTGCTCTTATAATAAATATTCTCCATAAAAAAACTGTCAATGAAATGTCGAAAAGTATTGAACCTCACCTTTCCCCTTGCCAATGCATGCTCACCGTTGGTCTGTACCTCTCTCTCTCAAAGCGCACTACGTATCAATAGCTTTCGGTATTGACTTCTTAGTCCAACGCACTCCATGTCCTTATTCATCGCTTCTCTAAACTAGCAAGCATGAATATTCCAGTAGCATGTAGAGGTCGAGCGTTGAAATCTCATCTAGCTGCTATATAAGTCACAAGTCGTTGAAAAAAATCACAGCAAAGTGTTTAGACCTTGCCAATCATGTTTGCTTTACCGAAGAATCAAAAGCTTTAGTCTCACGCGCATACCTGGTCCATATGTCTCTTGCCGTTTCGTTTATAAACCACTTTCAGTAATACTTTTTATAATGAAACAGCCACTCATTCATCACGACGAACAGTCCAGTTGAAGAAAGTGCCGCAGTGTGTCAAACTCACCATAGACAGGCTCTCGGTGGATGTCATCTTAGGAGACTGCAGTGGATAGAAACTGCCATAGTGTTGTTGACATTTAAAAGCAGAGGTCCATCTGGGCCAATATTATGCTAAGAAGTATCCCTTTCTATAGGTTGCTTGATCAGGAAGGTTTGAAGTGGGAATATAGTAAACATTGGCTACCAATGTGATAATAAACCTGATCCAGAAGTTGACTACCATGCGTTCTTTAATCATCTTCAAAAAAGGCAGCGATACAGTCCCATTAAGCCTGTTAAATTGAAGAATTGTAGTAAATATTTGCTTGGGTGGCAAGGCTCATACAACGAAGTCAAAGCACACCATTCGAATGAAAATCTCTCTGCTAACACCTGAAGCAAATCTTTACGTGTTCTTCTTTTTGATCTTTTCCTCCACCAGCCTCGACTTTTTCCGTGATATTCTTTCATGTTACATCCTGCTACTATCACTTAATTGAGCAGAACGAAAAGAAGTTAGCCAACTAAAATGTTTGCCACAAACAAAATAAGCTTTCTCATAATCGACACGTGTACCTTACTCCAGTGCGGGGACCTTATTGCGATTATACTGGCTACCATACACACGAAGAAACTCAAATTTGAAATAGTAATTCTGACTATCGTTATCAAAGAGCTGAAAGGACAAGAGCTTTTTGTGCAAGATGAATCCTTTGTAATTCGCACCTGCATTTGTACTAATATGAAGTAGTATAACAGGACAGACCTCAAAAAGCTAGATGCATATCTCTCTTCGGCAAACCAACCCACATTACAAAACGTGCACAACACCACTTGCTAAACAAGCTACCGTAATTATTTCCTTCCTGGAAAAATGCCGTGCAAAGAAATAGAACTTACGTTACCAAGGCAAATTTGAAACAAAACACTATCCTACACAGGTCCGTCACCTCTTCTTAGCACATACTTTTCTCAATTAAATGACACATAAACACTAATGATCTGTTCTGCTAGGTTGCCAACGACTTGCTCTTAGACTGCTTACTGTGCGTATCGCTTTTTCTTCATGGAATCAGTCATTCAAGCTTGGTGTTAATCTTTATATATGTCCTCTGAAATGCTAGGTACTATCACGAAAGTATGACGATAATGCCACCTTAATTTCTCATGATTGGGAGCTCTGCTGCAAAGCCAATGTAGTTAAAATAAACTATATCAAACCAGACGGATCACCATAAATGGCGTGGGTTGTTGCATGCTTGCCAAGTTGATCTAAAATTTCTCTTACTTCCTACCCGATCATTGACACGAAAAAATGTGCTATCAGATGCTGAAAAACAAAAGCTAATATACGGGCCAATGATTGACTGCAATCTTGGTGTTAGAAACATGTACTGGATGTAATGACAGTACTCATGCTTGCCTCAAATGTGATGCATTCAATATGCAGGGTATTAAGGGGCAGCGGAGCAGCTTGTATTTAGCGATCTAAACATCTCTTCAACCATCATGTCGTGAGCCATCCTGGCAATTGTATATAAAGTTTTTGTTTTCCACCTTTAATACTGTTCATTCCTTGAGTATTCACAACAACCTATCGGTATGTTAAATTAGTAATAAATACTTGCTTAACATCATACTCGAGCCACTAAAAACGACCATCACGATGACTTATGCTGGCTTTTACTGGTTGTTTATTCTTAGGCAATTGACAGTCTATGCTGTATGACTTTTCAAATGTTAGCCAACATTTGATGTCTCAATCCGACCACCCTCAATTAGAGTAAATTGAATCTATAATGGGAGTCTGATAAACATCCATCATTTTCGGACATGTAAATAAAATTGGCGATCCCTTTCGGCAATCCTCCCCATTACCTCAAGAATGCGAAGGTCTCTTGCTAACATCTCATATATTCTGTAAAATAATATTTTTTCTTGCAGATGGGGCGCTGACCAAATTGGAAGATGCTATACATCTTGTGGTGAGGTAGTGTAAGTGTTGCCGCCAAGTACTGCTGGTGCCATTAAATATGTCAATATCTGCTCGGGTTTAACATATGCCGCACTGCTATAGTAAACCCATTGAAACATCACCTGCACTTTCTACACTTTCTTTCTCGTCCTTGGTATAGCTCTGTTTGATATAATGTCAATGTAAGTGTACAACTGCATCCGACATTTATCTGGAACTATGTTAAAAATTTCTTCCCCTAATACAAGCCGATAGGGTCCTATATAATCACAGCAGGCCCGCCAGGACTCCATCTGAGCGATTTAATTTCTCGCTTTATTCTCTCTCTTTTTGAATTTTACATTTTCTTTGTAACTTTAGAATTGCGCTGATTGTACGAGACGGAACCTTTGTGATGGATTATTCGGGACTGACGATCATTGCTAGAGGAATATCGGATATACAAAGAAACTAGTTAGCCTTGTCTTCGAAGTCTTTATTCACACTTGCCTTAATGCAATTTGCAATTAAACTTAATCTATCACGGGTACAAAAGTTGCATTATAAAACTGAAAAACTGCATCCCTACCAACAGGAGTAGTGTACCCTGATCCCCTCGACATTTTCTACTTTCACGAGCGATGAAGTCTGTCACCTATGGGCGATGTCAAATAGAGATATTAGATCAATTTATAAAAAGTTGATCTTAGCGAAAAAAAATGATGGCTCACTTACTAGTGTATCAAAACATCCTCTTCCACACTTCTCAAAACATTAGTAACGGTAAGAGGAGACTATTTACATACGTTTATGGAATTGATAGTCATGAGATCTTAACCAAGCTTAGGAGTCTCCTGTGCCTAGGTTTTGACCAGGTCATGAAAAATAATGCAGTTTACTAACTGATGTGAATAATAGGGTTCAAGCCACACCTTGGATGGAAGAGTGCCCATGCTTGAAATGAGCAAATTAAACTTGTTTGCGGGGTGGGTGAGGCGTTTAACCCTTTTTTCGGAATAACCTTGAAAATTCATTTATACAAATCGATAATGTATCAATGGAAGCATTTAGACGTATTTAAAGAATAAGTAAATTTTTTAAAATTACTTGTAATCAAACGCCATAATGTTACAGATTACTTCAATTGTGTTGGCTCTGTGCCTGCTTCAGTATGCTGAAGCAGGCAAATTTATAACGGTACCATTCAGAAACTGTACCGTAACCTCGCCTCAGTCATTTAGAGAGCGACTTGAAGAAGACCGCAATGCTTTATCCTGTGTAGCTGTAACACCGTTATCAAAATTAAATAGTGGACTTCCTTTCTGTGAATGTACCTACGATGGAGAAGGTACAATCACCAAGGTAACAAAATGAAAAGAAAAAGTGAAATATATCGTGACCCTCTATCAAAGCACTAATGATTGGACCATACTTTTCATTCTATTTATCAATAGCTTTTAGAATTCAATGCAATTGTCTTTGGTGATTTCACCACGTTTGGCGGTCAAGATATTCTGGGCAGATTAGCTGTACAAGGAAACTTCAATGCTCCCAATTACGTCGTGAATGCAAATACCCAGCCAACGTGCTATGGAGAGAACACAGTACCTTGGGACGAGCTGGCTCTGGCCGTAGGTGGCGACATTCTTTCTATTGACACAGATGTTCATGGCCACTGGTGGACTGGAGGCAGTGGCGCGGGACTTCAGCTTAACGAAGGATGCGATTCGCCTGCGAATGTCGACACACCGTTCCCTTTCGATGCCGTTCGCAGCGACGTGCTTACCCTGAGTCAGAAAATGGCTACGCAAGTACCCGATCTCCTTTTGCAGGAAGATGGCGACCTAACCTACTACGAGGATTTATCAACCAATTGTTATCACGTCATGACCCTAACGCCCTGTCAGCTAAACCCCCTGATTTGTCTTCTTCTTGCCCAACATTCAAGTCCGAAAGCCATTTTGCTCGGCATAGGAAATTGGAATGGTCCCAGTGACCCATATCCAACGGATGGAAAGACTGTGATTATCAATGTGCCAGTCTATGACGGAACTACCTACGAGATTAGTACCAATCAACCCAGTCAAGGAGCTAATTCATGCAAAATTATTTGGAACTTCTATCCGGTTGATGCAACCGGCGCTTACCTTTCTACAGGAAGCTTTACTATTATTAGACACACTGGATCTCCATTTACAGGAGTAGTCATTGCACCATTGGGAGATATCATTGATGGCTCTTCAAGTGTCTTTGAGGGCAGATTCTACGCAAAATCGTATATGTGGGAGCACCTCAATGGTGTCGAAATCCACGATACCCCGCCATGCGATAATTACCACTTTTGCTTACCTGATGTACAGTCAACATCGGCTACAGGTAGACCGACTAATGTTGTTCCTAACGTTGTCAGCTCGACTGTTCAGCCTTCAATTACTACCGTTAGCAGCAGCATTCAAACTCTGACTGCTTCTGTGCCATTTAGCTCCGGCAGTATAAGTTTTGATTCAAGTGAAGGCGTTGTCAGATCCACAACGACTGCACCTGCTCCCGTGACAACCAACGATGCCAACAATCACCATACCCACACTGATAACGACAATGACTACCATCATGACTGGCATCATAAGGACAAGGATGATGATAAAGACTGGCACAAAAAGGATGACGACAAGGACTGGCACAAGAAGGATGGTGACAAGGATCACGACAAGGGCTATTACAAGGAAGGGCACCATAAGGACTATTATGGTGGAAAATATTGAGAGGCGGTTGAAAAAGGTCTCTTTTGCAATTTATAGAATGATAAAAAGTCCTGTCATAGAGTTTTAGTTCATTCTAAACCAGTAATTAAAGCAAATAAACGCTTTGCTACAGTAGCTGCACTTACAGTATGCAATGTATTCGCGGGGGTCAACGATATCTCTGTCATTGAGAGTATGTTTCCCTTGCACAGACAGTACCTTACTCTTTCCCTGGCAAACCAATTCACCCCAAAAAATGGTCGACGATGGCAAACCCCAATATATCAAAGATTCAATTGCTTTTATAATTGCACAGCTTACATCGCAGAACACTCACAGTGAACAGCAGAGTCTGTATATTTGATAAATGGAAAAAGAAAATCAGATATATAACGAGGATGATATTACAACGTATAGGGAGAAAGATGACAAGCTGAAGGACAAATTACAAAGGATGCAGTAGCAGCAGCAAATCGAGATTAGCAAGGTTTGGCTGGGGGGAAACGAGGGCGAGGTTTACAGTGTGAAAATGAGATAATGGAGATGAACCGATTTCAGCAGCAGTGGTGAAATACAAAGAAGAAGAAAAAAAAATGAGGTACTAAATGGAATTGTCGAGATTCAGCAAACAAAGTTACGATGTATGCTGTTTAGATGCGGCGACCTTGATGTGAAAGGAGTTCATGTGTCAAGTGCGAGTTGGATGAGCCGTCAGTAGATTCATCCCCATCATCAGAGTGTTGTTGTTGTTGATGCAAGGTTTGGGGACTTATCAGCATGGTGGGTGGTTGTTGATGTGGGGGAAGGCGAGCTGTAGGTCCTCTTCTAGGGCTATTATGTGGTTGGTTAAAAGATTGCATTTCGTAAGGTGTGTCAACGGCGACGGAAGATCGGTTAGGAACCATCATGGGAGTCGAAGGTCGGTTCATTTCAGGTATATTGACAGGCGCGACATGGTAAGGTCCAAGTCGAGGGCTTCCAGTTGGTGTACCACCTCTTGAGCTTACCACAGAAGCAGGTCTATAAGGTGAGTTGGATCCCATCAACAAAGATGAGGTGGAGCCATACATTTTACGATCCTGGAAAACAGTGCCGAAGACAGGTGGAGGGCTAAGCGAAGCAAAGCTGCCATTGTCGTAGGATTGCTTGAAATCAGGTGTCTTCAAGTTACCACGGCTACCACTCTTGAGGACCTTACGTCCAGTACGCTCGGCTTCCCATTCCTCCCATTTCTTCATGACCAGTTGTGACGAGTCAAATTTGCCATCGGCATCACCGTGGCCCTTGTCCTTCTTCTCTCCTTCAACCACACGAGTGGCACCCCATGAGAAATCGTCAAAGCGCCAGAAAGAATAAGCTGGAAGGATCAAATTCCAAACAGGCAAAGCCAGTAAATATACTAATAAAAAGTGGCAAAGGTTAGCAAAAAAAAAAACCATAAAACATGAAAAGCACGACTGTCGGCAGGACACTTACCAATCATCCATAGAATATAGATAAATTTGCGAGTGGTTAACACAATCAACACGGCAGGGAGACCGATGATACAGCAAAGCAGAATAATGGGTTGCCAGTTTCTGTTTTCAGCCAAGGCAACACTGATAATCACATAGACGGTCAAAACGATGGCAGCTGGGAGGACAACTGTACCGATCAAATCGATAAAGACAGAGAACTGCATGGAAAGACATGCAATACCACAGAGATCAGAAACAAGAACAAGTTCCATCAAATTGTGCACAGTAGAGTTAATCCAGCGACGACGTTGAGATAAAAGGACAGAAAAGGTATCCGGCACAATGGTCTTGCAGCGAGCCTGAGGAACAAACATCATTTGTCGCTTGGGGAAGGTTCGAAGCATAAGGGTCGACAAGAAACGATCCTCGCCTAGCAGCAACAAATTCTTCTCATGCAAAGTAGTGACGACATTCTCGTTGTATTCTAACACAATATCCGGGTTGGCAAGAATAGGCACCCATGAGCCATTCTTTGGAGCCTTGATACGATACATGGAGAAACATCCTGGCAAGCAAGTGACACCACCAAACAGGGATTCGAAGGCTTTGGCGTAATGATGAGAGATATAATATTCAAAGACTTGAATAGCGGTGACCCCTGTAAGAAGGCGAAACAATGAGTGATGCTTTTCGTGTGTGACAGAAGGGGGCTCAAATCAAAAGAGGGTGAAAAAAGGAAGATGAAGAACAAAACAAAACAATGGGAGAGGGGGCTTGGGCAAAGGAGGCTTCGTTTTTTTTTTTTTTTCGGAAAAAGTCACTTACATGAAGTTCGCTTGTTGGCAATTCGAGTTTCACCACAAAGTCCCATAATAGTGATGTCGTTGACCATAGCAGCCACCATATAGGTCAAAGCATCGGGAAGGACCTTGGTATCAGCATCCACCATAAGAACAGTTTCGAATTTGTCAGGGGTGACACCTTTGGTCAACCAAGTCATTTTCCAGAAAATCTCATAATCCAACTCAGACAGACGATCATTGAACAGCACGCGTTGGAAGAAAGCCATGAGGATCATTTGAGAGTCACGTTTGCCACGATTGCCAGGCTTGGGAAGCTTGGCTTCAGCAGGTGTACCGCATTTAACAATCACCAAACATGCCACACCTTTGTAGTGACCAGCATAAACCTTGGCCATATTCAGTTGTTTTTCACCATCAGCAATAGCCAAGTAAGAGCAGGCTTTGGGTTCAGGCATGGTAGGGTCGAGGTCCAGCATATCAATGACAATATCAGGGGTTGAGCGAGATTCGCCAGAACCAGTGATTAATCCATCGGCGATGACCATGAATACCTTGTGTTTGTTGGAATAGGTTGTGTTCGCCAAACTGTCCATCGTGGTACGCATGGACTCCTCGCCTTCAGAATAACATGTGACTTGAAGAATGGTGTACAATTTGGTAGTGACAATATCGACATTGGGCTTTAAATCAACAGCGGACAAAGACGGCGAAGCAGTGGGAGAGTTATCTCTGGATGAGTTAACGGACGAGCTGGATTGCATAGCGGCACTGTTGTAGATATTGGTAGGTGCTCGAACATGATTCGCAGGATCGTCATTGCCACCGGCTTTGGAACGCCAAGACAAAAAGCCAGATCGACCACCAGGCTTGACCAAACTACTAGCAATAAACCATTGGAAGATAATAGCCATGAGGTAACGAATAACAACCACGGCGATAATGACAGCGATCATGACATTCATGATAATATTAGCTGCGATACATCCACCGTTTTCAGTAGAAATGACACCAGCTTGATAACGAGCCAGTAAACAGGGGATGGCGTCTTTCGTCTGGGGGTTGTTCATAAGAGAATATGAGGCGTCATTTCCTCTTCCATTTTTCAAGATGAGATCGCCAGCGCTGCCGAAGAACTGAGTGTTGGCACTGAGGTAGTTTGAGATGTTCAAGACTGTGATGAGGTAAAGAAAAAGGTTGGGTTTTGTTAATATGGGTTGGTTGGATGCATTCATGTTGTGATGATCCACTTACCACTATCGCCGTAAATTAATAATGGTGATTGAGCCAGATTATCCACTCCATTAGGCTGCAAGTCTTCCCAATCAAAACTGAGAGAAGCTGCAGAGGCGTAAATCTTTTGCAGATCGGCCAAAGCCAAGCAGCTATTATCAGGCTTTTGAATCCATCCGCCATAAGGATCATTTACTCGACAGGCACCCAAAGAATTTGGGGTGTGACCAGCGTCATACTTTTGACAAGCTCCGGTGGAGTCCGCATTAAACATTCCGCTTAAATCGGTATTTTGGTAATCTTTGGTTAAGTTGAGACCATTTGAAGAAAAAAAGGACTGAGCAACCGAAAAGGGGTAGATGGAACCATAGATGGTGACGTTTTCCCGATAGACCTTGTCACGATGACCATCGACAACTTGTGAATAAGGGTATGACAAGCGAACAACTGGGCAAAGAACACGTTGAAGACCAACGGTAAGGAAAGCAAGGGCCAAGCAGGCAAGAAGAATGATATAAACCAAAGTAAGCTTCTCTCGCCATGCTTGCTGCATGAGAGCATTGGGCTTCCGCAGACAGCTTTTTATGAACCAATTTGGGAAACAGCACGTTGCTATACGAGCAGTCCAACCCCACCAACCACGAACGACAGTGTCGCTCTTCTTCACTGCTTTCGGCGGAGGAGGTGGTGGTGGCGGGCCCTGTGGCATCGGACCTTGTGGTATCCTTTGAGGTTGCGCAGGAGCAGTACCGGGCATAGTGGATTGTCTCTGCAATGCATTTCTCTGTTGCATTTGTTCTCGCATTCGGCGCTGCTGTTCTGCAGGTCCGAGGGGTCGACCAGGGGGAGGTGCTTGTGGTCGATAATCCATCTCTCCTCGAGTATGATCACGAAGCATACCGGGTCTTGGTCTCTGTCGTTCTGGTCGAGACAATGACCTGGCTCTGGACAAACTGACTCTACGATATGGTGTGTTTCCAGCCTCCATCATTTGAGCTGACGTTCGAGTGCCATTGTAATTGGCAGGAGGGGGTCGACTGGTTCTAGGTTGCTGGGTCCGAACCGGACGAGGCTGACGGTAGGGTTGCATGTCATCGCCACCAGGAGGGAGTGGTCGATTTGACATTGGATGGAAACAAGAGAAGAAAGTCGAAAAGCAAGAGAAAAGGGAAAAAAAAAAAAAGATTTTTTTTTTTAATGATATTCAAAGGGACACCAGCCCAGCCCAAGAAGCGGGGCGAACGGTTTTTTGACTTTTTGTAAAAATAGAACCTGATTTTTCATTGACCGATTGTTCAATAGCCAGCCAATCTGACTGGACACTCATGTTTCAGATAAATTTCCATCTACGATTTTTATTATTTATAACAAAGGCTTTGAAGCTTTGTATGAGGTTTTATGAAAAGAAGGGTTGAGGGTTTCTAAAGTAGTGGCTTGGCCAAAATTGTCAATGTCAAACAGAAAATATAGTATCATCATTGCCAAATGGTTTTAGGACTCAGCGTGGTACAATGGCACGAGATACCCTGATATAGCCAACGGAGGTCCCGCGCCGAGCCCTCTTAGCCGGCCATGTTTTTAAACAATATGGGCTGCCATCCATCAAGCAATCTCATAGGTCAGTCTTCTTGTTCTCTTGGTCCCCCCAAAAATCAACAAATTAAGTCTTACATCTTAAAGGACATGCCACAGGGGCAGTGTCATCTACCGTCACTTCATGAAGTCTATGCTGGAATCTGTATTTGATCACTAGGTGCTTCGCCTCACCGAGACATGGGTCATGAAAGCCCAAAATGTTCGACTGGGTAAACGTTTTCAGTATGCGTGGTGTTGGAAGGAACATGTGGCTTGGAGTGCTTTTACTTACCTTTGCGTGGCCTCCAGGAATGGTCAGCTTAGAGTCATTAACAAGAGCTTGAATGGCCACCGTTACATCAATCATATCATTGTTCCCATCTTTCTTGCCATACCGAGCCTCAATGATCACAAGGCCGTGCTTGGTTTCTTCAGATTTCATTTTACGGCCCGCGATATCAGACAAGATCAGCAGAGCTTGCTCGGCTTCGGTCTTGCGTTGTGCAAGGTAATCGGCATGTTCCTCGCGGAGTTCTTGAATTTTACTGGTCATAACTTATTATTAAGTCTGCGCGGTCCCCCGACCAAACAAAAAAAAATAAGTGGTACGTACTCGTTCAGTCTCTGCTTTCGGCGTGGCTTTAGAACGAAATGATCGGCAATCACCGCAACTGAGGCAGGTACAACCGCTCCCCAGAACGCAAGTCGAATGTTGAATTCTCCGGAAAGCACAATAGGGATTACGATCTTTTGGCCAAGACGCGTCACTCTGCATGAACAGCCAGCCACCCAAGAATTAAAATTATCGTCCAAAATCTATATGCATAGAAAAATTTGCAATTTGCCTTACTTGAATTTAGCCACGACACCGCTTGGTACACCGCATTCCATGGCCATACCAAATCGTGAGTGTTTGGTCAACCGGTGATCGCTACCAATACTGGCCATAATCCCGCCAACCGTTGACAAAGACCCTCCAACGCGAATGCGAGTGGAGTCGACCATACGATAAGTATAGTCAAGAGCCAAATGAGATGCAACAATACCAGTCTATATTTGTTTGTTTGACCAGGAAAGTAATAACAATAATAGATCAGTATTTGGTTGGTCTCTATTTTTTGTCTAAAACCCGTTCCTCTTACCTGAATCTCAGCGCTGTAATTCTTACGTTTGCCCTGACCAGCAATACCCAGTGCAAACGACGATTTGTCCATGCCTTGACCTACACCTCGTCCCCATTCACCTAAATTCCATTCTCCAGTTCTATATGTCAGGTAACCCGTGGCAGCTGAAAATATTCGCCTTCCAGCAGTCACTGTCAAAATTGGAGGCGCATAGATGGTACGGGCTTGTGAAATGGTGTTGATGAAACTATCGGAAGACACGTTGAAATACGTCTTAAACGTCAACGCTCTGGGTCTTAACAAGTTGGCTCCGCCCTACACGGAGCGAGAAATGGGGTTCAGTCAATGTCGTAAGCGTATTTCATTTTGGCAAATTATCCAACTTACTTCAACCCAGAAGCGGGGTGATACCGTATGGCGAATAGTACCAATGATGTTACCGCCTCCCATACCACCTCGCGATACCATGCTGCCCGCGATAACGGCATGAGTAGCAGGTCCAACCTGAGTCTGATACAAAATGTTTGAATGAGTTAGTTAGCGTCATGAGGGATAGAGACATGGTCGTCTACGCTGGCTGACTGACACATGCGTCGCGCTACTTGAATATCAGGCAAAATAATTACCTCAAATGAGTGCTTCATGAACAATTGCTGCACCTGCGCTCGAGACAAGGCGCCTAATGGGCTAGGACGCTTAGCCTGTTTAGGTGGACCTCCAAATCCACTGAAGACAGGTGGTTCGTAGGGGTCGAAGACTTGTGTAGCATCCAAGTTGACTTGGAATTCACCTTTGGAACGTACCAGGTTTTCCAAATCTTGTTCTCGCTTCAACCTAGCTTGCTTTTCATATTCCGCACGCATCTAAGGTAGGGCCCACATTTTGCATTAAACAATGACCACTCTTTCCCAAAATATTGGGTTTGCACAATTAAAAAAGTTCTCTCCATACCTCTTCAGGTGTCTTCAGCTTCGGTCCCACCTCCATAGTCCCTTTGAGGCCTTGCTCGCCATACGTATCATACAGAATGCGTTTCGTGGGATGGACGAGAACTGGTTGATAGAAACGTTGTCAGTATCGTCGGCCAGCATCATCACCAATTGGTAGGATTGGCGCATACCTTCATATGCCTTTTGTATAGACTGGAATTGGGCTTCAGCCGCCTTTTTTTTCTCTGGATCGGTGTGCTGTAAGACGGACATAAGATTAGGACCACCATGGGATGCGAGCTATGCATGGGAGCGTCTACCCACCTTGTCCGGGTGAAATATACGGCACAGCTTCTTGTACGAATCCTTTATTTCATCTTCAGTAGCCTAGTGCAAAGAAAGGCGTCAATAGAGCACGTCTCGATGCCATAGCTCTGACATTAGTATGCCTTGCCTGTTTGGAAATGTTGAGAATGCCATAATAATCAGCATCCTTTGGCGCTAACTCGGTCTCGAGTTCTCTAAAGTGCTCCTCATCGTCAACAAAATCGTCGGGAATGGAAGCCGACGACTGCGTTTGCTCGTAAGGGTCCATGGGTAACGAGCAGCCTAGCAAGAAGGTTATTGCAGGGAGCAAATTTTCATTGGGCATTGGCGGGGTCATGTCACGTGCTCACAAGGAAAGAAACCCACACAATTTCATTGACCCATCCTTTTTTATATACAGAACAACAGAAAAAGGAGTGAAAACAGTGAAAGCAGACAACACTTGTAAAGAAAAAAAAAGGGGAGAAGAAAGAAAAAGTAGTAGAGGATAGCAAAGAATAAAAATAAGAGGACAAACGAAAGAGAAAAGGTGGCCTATTGTATCAACAAGAAGATCCAAAGAGGTGAATAACAAGAAACAGAAGGGGTGGTGCGCTACCGATAACCACAACACCTTTCATATCCCAAATATACATTGATAGAAAACGAATAAAGTGACAGGAAATAAAATTTGTCAAGCGAAGAAGGACCCTTTGCCTTACTAACACACTGCTTTAATTTTTCGCAAAGACGGATGGAGTTTCCTTCTTTTCCTTTGCCGGTGTCTTGAGAACAAGCTCGCACATGATCGGTATATGACTGATGATGGAAATAAGGCATGGTTAGATAATTGAACCGCAAGAATATAATGCATTGTAGCCCAATTGACTTACTCTGAAGGAAAGTGTGGGTTGGGGAAACCAACTTGTCGGCTGATATATTCTTTGTCAATTGGACCTAACACGCCAGACACGCTAAACGTATTGGCGGACGGGAAAATGTAATCCAAGACACCCTTGTAACCAGGCGTATAGTTGGTGAAAGGCAATTCGTTTAGCGAGGAATAAGCACTTCTAAGGTTCAAATCGTGCGTCAGTCCTTCTGTAGTGTAAGCACCATACGCGTGGTTACCAAAATCTTCGTGATCTTGCTTGACCGAGCCTCTGGATAAAAACTCGTAGACACCCGAGGACGGGACGGAGTTGAAATCACCACAAATGATGGTAGGTAGCTGAGTAGCCGATTCATAAACGGGAGCTTCAGGGGAGGATTCTGGAGTCGGCTGGAGATGTCTTTCTGCAAACTTGATGGCTTCTTCCATCAACAAACCGATTTGAACAAGTTTAACATCAGCAAAACTGGGATCCCAATGGAGATGGGTATTGACAACTAGTATACGAGCATGTGTATGCTTGTTTTCCAACATAAGCATCACGGCAATGTTGTCCTTGGTCATCACACGATTGTAGATATCAGCGGTTTTCTTGAAATCATCTCGCTTGAGCGAAGATTGATTGTATTCCAAAACTTGCTGTTCAATGAGATTGAACCTATTTTTTGGTAGTGGTTAGCGTTGTTCGTGAGGACAAGGAGGGCTTTCCCGTGATGACTTACTTTGAAGATCGGAAAAAGACAGCACAGCCATCAACGACCATGCGCTCTTTTTCACCCATAGTTTTCGCTCTAGATTTTGGCCAAAATGCACCATTGTAGTCGCCAAGTTTCTTCAGATCATCACGAAGGTAGTTTTCATATTCGCCCAACTCCACCTCCTGCAAACAGATGATATCTGCACCCCATCCGACAATTTCCGGAACGAGAAGCTCTCTACGGTACTCCCAGGACAATGCCCATGATGGAGTATATCCATACTGACTAGCAGTGGCAAGCCGCTCACAAAGGATGTTATAAGAAAAGACTGTGATTTTGTCTGGGAGGAAATGGGTTAGGAGACAAGGCAATTGTACAAATGATACCAGAGTAACCCCTACCGTTTGGATCATCGTTGGATGAATCGCCATCTACAGTAATCCACTCTCGCTCAGGTGGCGGCATACCAACTAAAAAAACATTCCAAGGTCAGATGATTTTTCAGCCTATGACAATAACACGATAAAAGATGTCTATCCCGTACCTGGACAATTCTCGCGCAAAGAAACAATGACGGCTTGTGAGCCCTCTTTCAGCAGTAAAGACTTTAAAGCAGAATGGATTGGATTTCCTTCTAAACCTAGCGTCTCCAGTTGATAGAGAGTACCTAGTTCATTGGGCAGGGTTTCGAGGCTATTGTCAAAGAGTAGCAGTTCTTTCAGCTGCACAAGCATACCCATCTCCGGTGGTATGGAGGTGAGCTTGTTGCCGGATGCGTCTAGAACCTTTAGGTTCACAAGATTCGAAATGGCGCTACTTATGTAGGTTAAGTTGTTATGGTTGATGTACAAAGTAGTGAGAAATTCATAGGCATTGAACAGGGTAGCAGACAGGTTTTGGAGACCCATTCCACCCATATCTAAAGAAGACCATGACTGCAGAGGATTGGGGTCATTGACTTTAGCAGGAACACCTTCATTATCATGCCCTTCGGTTGACCTCCCTCCGCGTTTGGCACCAAGACCAGTGAGGGTCTTGGTTGGGTTGTTTGGATCGGTGATGGTGACAGCCGTGGATAAGGTCGTTCCTCGTGCCAGTGCAGCAGCTGTTCGAGCGTGATGATGAGGTGAGGCTGACTGACGCGACATTTGTGCATAGCTCAACTGTCGTGCCAAATAGGGGGTATTTGGTTGTGAAGAATTGAGGGTCGATAGGTCTATGTGTGGCGATACCGGGGAGTTTCCGGTAGGTGCTGAAAGGCTATGGTGAGCCAGAGGATTATGATTCATGCCACTTTGCTGTTGTGGTTGAAGTTTCTGTGACAGATTCATTTGCACTGGATAACGGGCCATATTGTTACCGTACATGGGCATGTGGTACCCAACCATGGAAGGTGAAGATGGAGCAGGTGATTGAGAGGGAGAGGATACCAGATTGGATGACCCATTGACAGCATTAGAGCTGCCATAGAATAGTTGATGTTGAAGTGGATGATCGTGCATTGGAGAAAAGCCTTTGACCAATGATTCCTTGTCCTTGTCGAATGACGCAGACATTTGGGGAGCTTTGTTGTTTTACTTTAATTCAGATCAAAGAGGGAGCGTTGTCTGTAGTAGTCTTCGTTTTTGCTTTTGCGATACCTGGATATTTCGTTTTAGCAAAATTGGCACATACCACCATGAAGTGTGAGTAAGATGAATGGAAATGTAGCAACGGGGGGATTAATCAAACGCAAGTTTTCATGACCTGCAAACGCTGGCAAGTTTGAGATGGCACGCTGCTTTGAAACTCCGTCAGTTATGAATTTTTGGGCCGGTGTAATTTTTCGAAAACCCTCAAACTTTTGTAGACGCTACCAATAGGTTGTACTTCGGAAACAATATCAAGAGATGTTTTCTATTTACTTTGCTTATAGATACTGTTTTACAAGAATGACAGAGGGTGGTAGCTGATACGACCGTTGTTATCCGGTATCTATCTACAAGTAGATATGTAGGCAGGTTGGCTAGATCGTTTAGCATCCATTTCCACATGGCCACCACTTGCAGAATTCCAAGTAGTGATACTCTATACATTGTTATGATTTGAGCCCCTTAAGGTGCTTATTCGTCAGAACAGTATCTTGGCTTGCAGCGATAAGCTCCAACCAGGTAAGCGAATATATGCTTTTGACAGTCCATCCAAATGCTCAGAATGCACGATGAATGCCCTAAAATGCTGCAATGTTTACATTTTATTACCGATATTCGTTACATTGCGCCAGCCACCGTTGAAGTGTATCGCTTTGCTTGGGCTGTGGAACTTTAAATTTTTGACGGTCGCTTGATTTTTTTTCATGCTGCCAGATTCTTGTGCGCCTGTCTATAGTCACACGGCCAGCTATTTCACGATGGAAAAGCTTTCTTGTTGTTAGTGAACGACTACACTGCAGATTAGTCATGCTAGCTTTGGTCTCATAATGAACTTGTAATCTCAAATCATAAATGGCTATCTGACCCCGTTGAACATATCATTGGTTCGCTTGTCAGACACTATATATTTTGGCTTTGAATAACGCTCACATTTGCTGTACGGAGGTAGGATCAGCCAATGGCTCTTGATACAAGCATATCCTCTGACTACTTCAATAATGTTCAATTCGCGAATCTTGAATGATTAAGTACACAGTCGATACGCGGTATGACTGTGCTCAGAGTCTTGTCATAAGTTACCTGTCCGTGCCACATTCTGCCCTTCAGAAGACAGTCTTTCTATGCATCCAATGTTTTTGTCCTCAGTTTAAGCTGTCAAACGCGGAAGCCAAACATCTCATTATGCTCATCCTATATTTATTTATTACAGCAGGCTTATTTAGGTTTGCGTCCTCCTTTCTTCTTCTTGTCATCTTTTTTAGTGTCCGCAGGAGCCTTGCGCTTGATTCCAGTATTTTGCGTAGGCACTGAATTGAAAAAGTCCTGAATACGTCCTTGAGTTGCCGCTTTTGCATTTTTATGCAGCTTTTCTGAAGCTTTTCGAACGCGCTCCTCGCTGTAAGAAATGCATGACATTGAGTATGTCGTATTCATGCCATTTTACCTTCATGAAGCGGTAAATTAAACTTACTTGAATCCCTTTTCTTTGACAAGGAAATCGACTAAATTTTCAATATTAGGTTCTTCCCATTTGAGCTGGTAGAAAGAGTTAGAGTGCGAAGCTAAACATGTACCCATTCCCCTCTGCTACGTACCTCCATGTCAGTGCAGTCAGCGACCTCTGGTTTTCGGAACAACTCTCTTGCTTCATCATATTTCCAGTCAGCCGGTACATTTTCTCGCAGCTTTTCGGGGAGAGCAGGGATAATCTTTTCAAGACACTTGTGTTCTTTAATCAGGTTGATAGCACGATGCGGTCCTATTCCTTTGATGCTGTCGACATAGTCACATCCCAACAAAATACACAAATCGATGAACTGAAAAGATGATGAATATATGCTGAACCTAGTTTTCTGACATCCCAAAGCTTAGCTCTTACCTGATCCATGGTAAGCTCTAAGCCTTCCAAAACTTTGGACAAATTGACTTCATCAATTGGCATTTTTCGTTGTTCTGAAAATGTCAGATGTCGCAGTAGAATAGGTGACGCGAATGTGATAGTATCCATATCCTCAGACGCAGCGGCAAAAACCTTGTTAGCCTTAGCTAACGCAGCACACTGGGCTTCCGCTTCACAAGGAGCCTAAGATGCGCTTGTTATAGACCGTTGGTATGCCACATAAATGCCAAATATTACCAAAACCCTCTTACCTCCACATAGGGTATTCCCATGCACTTTAGCAGTCGCTTACATTCATCATTGTGCTCTTTCGTGACTTTGACCGTTCTTCTTGTAAACTTATTGACATCATCGCTAGTACCAACTTCTTTTGCCTCTTCAATATTTTTCTCAGCTTCTTTTCTTCGTTCCAGTCGAAGAGCAAGCTATAGGCAAAGGTTAATTCCTTGAATCGTTCTGCCGGTACAGTTGCATTATATTTTACCTCTCCTGACTTCATCATTGGTGGCTTTCCGTCAAAAACATACACCGGCTTGATACCATTATCCACCATTCGAATTGTTCGGTAAAACATGCCCATAAGGTGACTAATTCGATTATTTCCGTCAGTAGTGTCTCCAACATAGATGCTCTTAGGGTTTGTAGCTTTATCTTACCTTGTCGTTTCACCGGCGTCATTCGTAAGCATTTGACCATCCTGCTGGCGGACAGCGATCATAAATTGGTATATGCTCATGGAAGCGTCAATGGCGACTTTTCGGCCAAAATAGCTGCCGATCTCATGAGGTCTTATGGCACCTGGAGCATGCTCTGAGATGAGTTTGGTCAATCCGTGAATTCCCATGTTTTGTAGTCAGGAAAATAGTCAAAGGCGCGTGTCGACTTTCAAAATTTTCAGCTTTAATTTTTTGGGCTTTGTCGCGTTGCTCTCAAAAGTTCCAGTGTGACCGTGCCCATCGAATCATAAATATCCTTCCCGATCATTGTTCAATGCAAATCCTCAGAATTCCACAATAAACTGACGGGTGCTGGTTGTTATGGCTCTTACAATTTTTAGTATGGATACTCTGCCCGTGACCAGATCATCCTCCCCCGAATAGACATCCCATCCATAGCAAACCCATTCGACATATCGTTATTCAAGTTCACCGTCTAATGATTGATTTTATATAAATTTTGAGTTTGAAAAAAGACAAGATATTGGTAGAGAAAGAAGATAAACACAAAGTCATTATAATATGCACTTTTTGCTTTTTCTCCATGTTAGATTTTTAAAGGGAGAGGGAATCGGCGAAAGGAAGAGCGTGGAGGTTGCCGACAGCGACGGCTGTAGAGTTGCTCTTCAAGATAGACTCGGCGACCTATTGGATACATATGATCAATATTTCGCTTTCCTTGATGCAATTACCACCACTTTGAAGCATTATCTTACCTTAGCGACATCGGAGGCTTGGACGTTGTCAAATGATGCAACGTTTTGACCGAAGGCCTGCAGGGAAAATACTCTATCAGTACACAAGTTCCACAAATGCAAACCACTTAAATTCCATGATACTCACCTGGCGACCGAGAACATCAAGGCGATCCAAGCGGGAGTCGAATGCTGCTGCAGCGGCAAACTTGGCTTGGGCAATACCTCTCTTAAGGTCCTCATCAGAAACACCACCTTGAACAGCCTTGAGCTGCTCAGCAACAGCGCTCAATGCAGAAGAGATGTTATCTGAGGAAGCGTTGACCTGGACACCGAACAAACCAGCGTCCGAGTAGCCAAAGTTGAAAGCGTTGATTTGAACATCGCCGGAAAGCTTGGCAGCAGTTTGAGAGAGAAGGGAGGCACCCTGTGTGAACTTGACAAGTTGTTCACCACCGAGGACGTGACGCAAGACTTCAGCAGCGGCGTACTCCTTAGTACCAGCAGCAACACCTTGGAAAGCAAGGACGTAGCTAGCAACAGGGGTAGCGGTGGACAAGCGGAGCTCGCCACCGTGGTACTTGGAAGCAGGGAGAGAGACGCTGCCACTTCCGAGGTTGAAGAAAGCATCAGCATAGGACTTGAGGTCTTCATGTTCGACGTTGGTACCGACAAGAGCAACGTTTCCGGAGGTGAACAACTTTTGGGCATACTCCTTAACGGCAGCGTTAGAGACACGAGCGGTCTTGCTGGCGAAGAGAGAGTTACCGAGGCCGTTACGGAAAGCAGCGCTGTGAGCAGCTTCGATAGCAGCAACGGCGGGGGTGCCATAAGCGTAAGCAGATTCCATAGCGGTTTGCTTGCTAACATCGACGAACTCGTGATCCTGGAACTTTTGGTTGGAGACAATATCACCCAAAATCTCGGCGAATTGAGCACTGATATGATCGCATGGTTATAAAAGTTAGTGACCTGTACCACCCATCATTTACAAATACCCGTTCTTTACGTACGCATCACCCTTCAAGAATTCGGCACTGTAGACGATGCTCTCGCGGGTCAAGTTGGAAGACAAGACGGCGCCGGCAATTTCAGCTTCGCGAACGATGCGGAATGCGGTGCGGTTGTTGGTGTTCTGTAAAGTGGTGAATGGGTTGAGCAAATCACGAGAATCCCAATGGCAGGTTGAAACGTAAACAAAACGTGTGTCATCGTTAATTTTACCTTGAATCCATAGTTCTTCAAGAAGTGAGCGACACCAGCGTTGGAGCTATCCTCACCCTTAACACCACCATTGACAACAACGGAAATGCCAGCGGTTGCAGAGGAATCTTGAACAGAAGCAACCTTGATTCCATTCTTAGCAGAAGAAATCTGGACGGCATTGGCGGCGGCAGCGGCAGAGTAGTTTGCCTTTAAGACGGTGGGGATGGAGGCAACAGCCTTGCGTGAAGATGCCAACATTATATAGAAGGAATTTATATAACAGAGAGGGGAGGAATTGGTAACTTCTAGTCAGCTAAAATTTTGTTATGGATTTTGCTGCTCACCTTGCCAGGAAAAACTGATGACGTCACGATCTCGATTGCTTTGCCGTGTTTTGCAATCGCTTGCCACACATTTCCCCACAACCCCTTGTCAGCCAGCTCTCCAGAACATATTCCACTGCAAAATAAATTTCTTCAATATCTTTTAACTCCTTTTTTTCTTCTTTTGATATACCAGCTTGTAAGCCATCGTGATTGATTCGTATTGTCTGAATATTCTTCATAGACATCACCGCACTCAATGTTGAAATAGTAGCCCCACCAAGCACGACCCTGTTCAGAGCGGTCAAACACACCAAGCACTACATGTATACCTTTATGATACTACAGGTTTTTTGTTGGACGAGGATATTGCTGCTACGAATTATCATCGACATCGGAAATTGATATCTTACTAAAGACTAGAATTCATTTTGGCTATTCAGTCTTGTCTTGCATGTTGCCTAACATGATGAAGTCAATATTCAGTTGTTTTTTGGCCTGTTAGATTTTGATTTTCAAACTCTAGTAAGTTCTAACTCACCTATGCGTAATGTCTCATTCGTAATATTGTTTTTCTTATACCTGAGAGTGTGTAAGCTATGGTTTCTCTGTCGGCGTGATCGAATAACGATAACGAACTTGTATCTTTGCGATTGTGCCAGTTTGCGTCTTCCTGAACGCGTAGCTGATTACAATATGGAAGGCGGCGGCCAGGTTGTAGTTCCACAATGGTTTCATGTTTTAAAGTTGCTTGATAAAAATTCACATTACTCTTCCATAAAAGCATGCCGTAAACATGTGGCGATAATTTTTCTGACTCGCTTTGTAGGAAGAAGTCGTGCCTTGTCGTCGCTGCTACCAGCATATCACCAACCATTTGCTTCCTTCTTCTATCAAATGTTTGTTTTCCGCTCAAATCTTCAGTTACAACCATATACGTCAAGGAAGATATTTGACCAACTACCACATAATCAGCGTCAGATACCAATGTTAAGTCTCCGAACTTTCTTTCTAACTTCGGCTGGTTAATAAAATGAAGTGGTTCCGTCGCAAATCCAGTGTGCGTCAGCAAGTCATAAGCAATAGAGACACCTGGGCAATCTGGGTACCTCTGTAAACGATTCAGTCGATTATGGAATGGCTGTTGTGCAGCTGGCAAATCCTTGGATGTTTGAAGTACCGTAAGCCGCCCAGGTATGATATTGATGGCTTCTTCGTACAAACTGTTTGTACTTTCACGGTTCGTATCATTTCTGTAAAATTTTGATGCCTAGTAACAACTGTCAACCGACGCATTAAACGCTTCCAATTCCATTTTACCCCAACTCGAGGTATGCTGCACCTGTTTGGTATCAGTAGGAGTCACACTGATGGTGTTCTCGACTTGTGAGCTGACGTCCGGGGGCATCTTTTGCGAGTTCGGAGCTGATATGAAAAGAGTTCAAATTATACAGTGCTCTCCTTTATGCTGATTTAAACAGGTTTACTCTAAATGCCGACTCAGCTGTTCTGCAATATGTATTTGTGATGACTTTGGCATCCCCCAAAATCATATATGAACAGGAAAGCGTGCGCTAGTAATTTATTACAACAGAATGACATTGATACGTATTATTTAGTATCGGCATATGTAGATCTCCGTTTAGCAATGAAAGTTGAGTTTTGTGATTTCATAGCTGCTTTACTCGAAATTAGAAGCAATCTCTACTGCATTAATTTGCTTGTCATTTGCTCAACTCAACCATCACTCGACCCGCTCGCCAAACCATATCACCCTGTAAAGTGAATGACTACAGATAAATTCAACATGCTTCAATAGTCATTTTTTGAAATGATAACGCATTAGTCATTTTGCTGTAAGCGACACAATCCATCAAAGTGTGTAAAATTGACAGCCTGACCAATCGACATCCTGTCCGCATCCCCAAAAAACACTAAGCTCTGCACATATACTTTAATACGGTGTTTGAAAGGCTAAGAATAGAGCTAGCACAGAATGACCATGGATATTCACATGGACCTCAGCTATGATTAATTCCAGCTTTTTGCTTTGCTTTGCTTTACTTTGCAGGTTAAATAAATTAAATGTAGTCAGTAGTCAGTATTCAGTCATTGTTTTTTTTGGCCGATTGAATAAGTATTAAAATATGGGAAATGCTAACTCACTAAAAAAGGTACGAAAGCCTGTTTACACACTCTTTTCTTATACCAGAGAGTATGTATGCTATGATCTTTCCGTCATCGGCGTTGAATAATGACAGCGAATCTTTATGGTTGTTACCGAGGGGAACGCACCTATTTTCAAGAATATCTATGTCTTTATAATAGAATGTGCGTTTTGATTGTCGATTATCAATATCTTGATGGTCAAAAGTCGCCTGATAAAATCTCACTCCACTCTTCCATAAAAGCATGCCGTAAATGTGCGGCGATATATCATAAGACTCGTTTTGCAGGAAAAAGTTGTGCCTTGTCGTCGCTGCCACCAGCATATCCCCGACCATTTGGTGTCTTCTTTCATCAAATGTTTTTTTTCCGCTCAAGTCTTCGATTACGACCATATACGCCAAGGGCGACAAAGGTCCAATAGCTACATAATCAGCGTCAGATATCAATGTTAGGTCTCCGAACTTCTTTTCCAACTTCGGTTGGGCAATGCAGTTAAGCTTTTCGGTCTCAAATCCAGTGTGTTCTAGCAAGACAGAAGCAATAGAGACACCTGGGTAATGTGGATACCTCTTTAGACGCAAAAGTCGATTGAGAAACGGCTTTTGCACAGCTGGCAGATCTTTGTAATTTTCAGGTCCCAAAGGGAGTTCAACTATGATGTTTTTTGCTTCTTCGTACAGATACTTATTGTAAAATTTTGATGCCCATTCTTCAGATTTAAGCGACATGCGGAACGACTTCATCTGCTCTTGACCCCAATCTGAAGTATGTTGCAGCTGTCTAACATTAACTGGTGACGCGATGATGCTGTTCTCGGTTTGTGCATTGACCTCTGGAGGCATTTTTTTCGAATCTGAAGCTGATAGAAATAGTGATGAAGTGAGAGGAGTTTACAGATTTGCACTTGACTACGCAATAACGGATGTGCTCTACCTTTTTGTCCATGTTTATAACAGGCTGCCATAAATGCTGACTCGACTATTACGCAATAAGCATATGAAAAGTTTCGAATTCTGACAGTCTTATGTTAATGGCAAAGCATTATGCTAGAGAAATAATCGTATGTTCATTTTTCATGGCATGGATAAAGGATTGATAAATTGCAATTGGCGGTTTTCAGGGCCATGCGCATTAAGCAATGAAATATCGGACTTGCAACGAATCCAGCTCCGTGATTTGATGTTTCATTTGGAACAGTTCACGCAATGCAGCTATGGTAGATCACTAACGCTCTGCCTGACTTTCTCAATTCACGACAGAAAGGTCATTGCATCAGTAAAGCTATATGATGGAAATATCTGACATGAGCTCCAGTTTAGCCATATCGACACCTCGTGCTTTATCACTAAAATAGGAAAATTTAGTGTGGACGTGAGCTCAAAGACTCGCAAATTGACAATAAAAAAACCCTTTTGAAGTATTAATTCTCGCGGCCAGTTCCTCAAATTAGCGCGTTCCTAATGCATGTTATAGAAAAATCATTTAGACAAGCGACTCCGCACAACATACTTTCGCATCTGCTTTGACATGTCATGAAACGCCCATCGGAATCCCGTCAGGCACCTCGCCAACCTACTGACTATGAATATGCTTCTGTCTCAGACTGGGATTCAGACTTGGAGATGTTAGAAGACAAGAGCCGAGTTCGAAACTATAGCGATGAAGACTTCAGACAAACGTTACTTGCCACTAATGCACAAATGTCCTCCAGTTATTATGTCTCGGTTGCTGATCGCTCCATGAAGTCGCTCAAAGGCATAGCTAAAGACGATGGGAATTGGAAAAAAGCTCTCAAGCACAAGAGTGGCGTCATAGTCTATATTAGACCTAGTACTGATTCTACTGAAAAGGCCCCGGTATTCAAAGGAGAAGGCATCATCCAAGGCTATACGCCGCAAACTATCTTTCAGGTGATCGGCATGAGAAAGCTATGGGACGAAACGTGAGTTTGAGAGACCAGTGACCTGACATGCGCGTTGAAATTTGTTTTGGCTGACCCTATGTATTACTTAGGTTCCTTGAAGGTAGCCTTCTTGAAAATTTAAACGACACAACCTCTATAACATATGAAGTCTTGAAGCAACCATCATCATCAAAGTAAGATTGGTTGTATAGGTTCACGAAAAGATGATCAACGTTGGCTAACCATATCTTCACGCACAGGGCAACTGACTTATGTTTGGTGGAAAAGATAGAATGTACCAGCGAGGGCATCATATATTTTGCTTGTGCGAGTGTTGATACTCCAAAGAAGCCTAAAATCAATGGTAGGACGCGAACAAATGTGAAGGTAAAGAACAGCGTGCATAATGGGTGTTGTGTTGGATTTCCCCTGAAACCGCATGCTGACAAAAACACCTGTATAGCTCCTAGGGTGGATCCTTAAACCGTTGCAAACATCTCCACCGAGTACAAGGATAACGTATGTAGTTCAGGAGAGTAGCCGAGGATGGATGCAAGGATTCACAAAAAAGACGATGGCGAGAAAGCCGCTGGTCATAGCCAGCATTGACAAATACCTGCAAGAGAAAGCGGAAAGATTATACCCTCAAACCCAAATATCTAGATCCGTAAGCGCAAGGTCTTCACCATCGAATCATCGGAGACGGCCATCTCTATTGGATGAGCGTGCGGCTTCTCAGCCATTGCCCATACGAACAACCTCTCTAGGGTTAGTCATTTTATTTGATTGTGAATTTGTGTAAATGCCACTAATTTGATCCTGATGTTCTTTTAGACTACCATCGATATCTTCTCCAGCCTTGAACACTCCTAGATATACACCATCTTCTATCTACAGCAATAATAATTCATCCGACAGCATCAACACCATGACCAGCACTAACACTCCTTCCAATGTATCTACGCCACATACATCGGTATCCAGTTCGCCTTCAGTGAACAGGCGCAGAATACGTTTCGCAGATGAACATGAGGGCTATTCAAACGAGGTTGAACAACCAGGTCACAAGTCTATCAAAGAAAACTTACCATCCATACTGGTAACAGGTCCTGCTGCACCAGCCTTAGCCAAACCCAAGGTCAAACCAACACACATTCAAGTTCATAGCCAGGTCCAGAATCAGAGCCCGAGTCAGAATCTATACCCCTCCCACCGACACCTTGAGGCTAAACAAAAAAGTATATCCTTGCTCAAATTGCTCTCATCGACTAATATCAGTGAATGGAACGCAATAGACGACGAGCCGGAGCGTACTTATTTGAAATCGATAGACGGCTTGGCTATGCCTATCTTTAGGCGACAGAAGCTAGTTACCTCTGGTTGGACGGTAGAGCAGCTTTGCACAGTTGTACAAAACTTTGGAGCACGTAAAATTTGTAAGTGCATATTCACAGCCGAACGTTACGTTTCCTTCTATCATGAAATTAGGATAGGAAATACTAACTATGGTAACAGGGGATCCCAAGTTTGTTGATGGAAAAGCTGTTGAAAGGTTCTCGCAGAAAGACTACTTACTTTACACCAAAGTGGATCTTGAGAGCGTAAACCAGATAAGGGATTTTGCACTGCTCGGTCTGATTGATAGCGAGCCTGCTTCTGGTATCGTTTACTATGTCTCCACAAGCGTAGAAGACCAAGCTATTCCGAAAAGCGACAGACATGTACGAGGCCATGTCTACTTGGAAGGATGGGTTTTCGAACCAGAGTTTGATACCTCAGGAAGGACCAGATCAGTTATGGTGACCTATTTTTCACATATCGACTATCGCCAGCCCATAACGCACCGCTCCGAAGAAAGCTTACATCGCCTACTTACTCAAGATGCTATCAATATCTCGAGCATCGAGAAGTATTTGTCGAAATATGGCTGTCCGCCTTATATTCGCCGTGTTGCGGGTAAGGTCAGTAAGGAGACATTTGACGCATCGAAAAGAATGTATGGAGTGGCCTTCATTGTCAAGTATACACCATCCATACCAAAGGAAGAACATTCGGGTGCTTGGTGTACGGATATTCGAGTTCACTCCAACATGTACCCGAATGGCTTTAGAATGCACATTTCTTCGCAAAAAGGTGTACGTGTTGACTTACGACCAGATTCAGCTGGTATCCGCATATACACAACGTTAGCAGAGATGGATGGGTCGGTTCTTACGATCAATATTATGCCTCAAGATGCTGGTTTGGATGTTGCACCATTTATCACTTGCAACAACCTACCTTTACTCCCAGGGGGCAGTTACCCTATGGCTGATACTGAAAAGAATCTGTCTGCCACATCTGAAACTAGCTCAATTTCTTCTGACTCGCAATACCAAGACGCCGAGTCAGGCATAGCTCCGGATACCACCCATAGCAGCGCTACTCCCATTGCGGATACCGCCGTATTTGAATCTAACAGTACGACGTCTGTGGAAGCTGATACGATGCCACTCATCCGGCAAGAGACACCTCCTCCAGTTTATGGCGGTATTACGGAAAATCGAAAAGATGAAGATGAAGGGATAAATGAAGTTGAGCAGCCAGGTACGTAAGAGTTTTTTGTTGAATTAAGCAAAGTTTTGATCAGCATTAACACGTTTTCAACCGGATATAGCGTCCTCCGACTTATCAGAACGAATGACAAAGCCCGCCTTGGAAGATCCTTTCCCGCAATTTGATATATATAAACCCTTGGATCGCGCAGAACCAGGTGAAGGATTTGTGAGAGAGCGACGAGGTTCGTTGGCGTCCATCTTGACGGTAAGTGGTCATGACGGATACGATATGGACGGGGTCAGATGCAAGTTTACTTATCGATATTTCACTAGAATTCTGATAAAGTTCTTATAATCAACGAAGAACTTTATTTCAATAGACAGCAGCTTGCATTTGTTGTTTTTGTCATGGTCATATGCTATTACATGGGCAAGTTTTCCTGTACCAGTAAATGCTGAGCGAATCATTCGTTGACAGAGTGTAAAATAAAATGTGGAATAGTAACAGAGTATACAATTGGGACCGTTTTTGAGTCATAATGGAATGAAGAGAGCAATGAAGTGCACCTTGTCAATTGATATTTTCAAAGAAGCAGCCGATCAACGTAGCTCGGAATATCAATGCCAAACCGCCAGTCATCCATTTGAGTTGTTTGTTGTGATCATGGTATTGGAAACGAGAACACGAACAGGGAAATATCTAGTTCGAAGTCTGACATCTAAAACATGAGAATCAAATAAAGTTGCATTAATTTACGGTGTGTTTTATAACTTCACCCACCTTGGCGGATGCCACTTGCTGATCCTTAAGGAAAATCAGGTTATGGGATAAAGACCCGTCATGCATCGGGGTTATAATTTAATTTTTAGCTTAAACAGCTGTTTAATGGGCTCAAGCAGTCCTTTTTTACCTTTTGCGATTTCTCGTTATTTCACAATCAGCTCAACAGTATACACTGATCCCACGCTGGCAAGGAACAAGCGTAGGAAAGTAGATCGTTTTCCTGAGCAGAAGCAGGATTCGAAACCTGCCGTTACATCATCCCATCTGCCCATGTCCATTGACAAGACTACGAGACAGTGGTCCTCTACTGACTCAGCTCCGGACATCACAGTCTCTAATTTGGAAGCAAGTGAGGACGGATCTGCCGAAACCCTACAAATCCGAGGACGGCCTACCACAAGAAATCGATCCAAATTAGACAAAGCAAAAAGAACCAAGTCGAATCCAGGTACAGAAGAACAGGACTCATTATCAAATACGATAACGAACCGACGGACATCTTCCAACACCTCGAAAAATGCCGGAAATAATATCAAAGAGCATAATTCAACACCTATAAAGATACATACATTGCTAGCATCTAGTCCGGATGGAGTTTCGGAAGACGTGCAAAGTTCGTCATCAGTAGACAGGAAACGAAAGCAGCCTCAGTCTAACCCAATAAACGGCCGTTCCATAACGACCATACAACTTCCATCCCACAAGATACTGTCGGAATCTAGTGTCAGTCATGACGAAGACAACATGATGTTCAAAGTCGACTTGGACGGTAATGGGTGTTTGGGTGAGTCGGGCTTATTCGTGTGATCGGTGTGTGTGTGACCAACTGCTTGCTTGGGTTTCTAATACCAATCCAATGACAGCGGCCATTTGCTATCTTCCAACTCGATTCCGCGGTATCATAGAGTTTTACCATACAGTAAGTTGAAAAGATGGCGATGATAGCATATATGACGTCAAATACTGCAGGTTTTTGAGAGGAAGAAAATACTGACAAGTACTTTGTGTAGGAAATACCCACGGAATACCGATCGGCAGGTGTTGGAGACCTTTTGACCGCTAGCGCTTTTCAGTGGGCTGAAGCCAATGGATTTCTCGTTTTACCGACATGTCCGTTCATACAGCGACATTTAAAGCAGCGATTTCCTAACGATGAAGGTCGATGGACTTGTATTGTGCGAAATGAACAAGAGGCGTTGGATCGTATTGGTAATATCCATGCGAAGCCGTCGTCGTCCAAAGATTTCTAGTCCTTTTCGCTCTGTAATTTACTGTGTTTCCGGAGTTAAAACAGCAACTCTCCCCTCCCATTAGTCTTTCACTTTCATAATTGGCTTCGACTGGTGGCGATTTCCCTGTATATTTATAAATTTTCTATGTTTTTGGAAAGGAAATCAAAGAAATTTGTTTCACCTAAGTTTACTTTTTGTGAATGATGTTGCATTGAAACAGTTCTGTTGCAATGGGACTACCCATACTGGGCAGCTGCTAGCTGTGTTACAAGCTCAGTTGTCGGTAAAAAAGTCATTTCTTTAACAACAAGTAGATTGTTATCCACTCCGATTCAAAACAATAATAAAATTGTGGCATTCAGTGGAGGTGATGTAATAGTCACTAATGCCCCCCTCCCCATAATGCAGATTTGCCGAAATTAGGGAGAACATATCGTCACTGTAGAAAACTTGACAAGAGGTTACTGATTTTCCCCCTCCAAGACTAGCCAACAATGGTATTATATAGGTCGGTGTTTTGTGAGTGGATGAATGAATCAACTCTGATGGCAAGCACAAATCAAGAACCATGGATATAATGTAAAAATAAATGTAGAAAGAGGTCGATGAAAGGTAATATGGATCAATCGATTGGGTTTATGTACAAGCATGGATTGTAAGTCTAACCGTACTGCCGCTTGAGCTGTTGCGCACATGTGACCTGTGGGCATCTCCACCTAACCTCGTGTTCGGTTGCCCCACAGTAAGCCAGTCCTTCCCGAAAACGCCTCAATCATCTCTTACTCTCTTCAATTCACATCATGGCCGCCACGACGGCAAGGCCACATTCTGTCGCTTACTCTGATAGACGGCGGGCGGCGAGCGTAGATTTTCATCCTACAAGTGGCGAAACCTCAGCCAAACGATCTGTTTCAACATCTCAGGCACGCAAGTCACGAACAAAAAGCCCTGAAGTCGTTGGCCAATATATACTCTATTCCACACTTGGCCAAGGCAGCATGGGCAAAGTTAAGCTTGCTAGACATCGAAAAACAGGTCAACTGGTAGGTTTATTCATCCCAACGTCGTTGACCCCAACATGGGCTTTTTTGCAACCTCGTTCGTGGTAGCCCAAAATTGCCTTTCTCCTTGTATTAAAATTTGGGCTATTCTTAGGCTGCCGTTAAGATATTGCCAAAGATGAGCCTCAACGATCCCAACCACAAAAGTAAAGATCCGAAAGATACACCAGAGCATCGTCATCGAAGAACCGAAAGAGAAATAGCAATTATGCTACTGTTGAATCATTCCAACATATGCAAGCTGCTACACTGGGAAATTCACGACAACTCTTATTATATCTTTCTAGAGTATGTGGATGGTGGTCAGCTCTTGGATTACATCATTCGGCATGGTAAGCTGAAGGAGCGCCAAGCCAGAAGGTTTGGTCGACAAATATTAAGTGCAATTGGTAAGGCATTGCGACTAGCAGGCAGAATACCTTGCATGTTGAAACTGACAAACACTCGCCCACGTTATCAAAATCAGATTACTGTCATCGAAATTCTATCGTGCATAGAGGTAAGCAGGAGAGGGTAATTTTTTTTACTCTGATAGGAAACCTTCAAGCCATGTCCAAATAGTCGGCTGACAAGTTGTTTGTTGATGATAGATTTAAAAATCGAAAACATTTTGCTGACGCGTGACGAAAATATCAAGATTATTGACTTTGGATTATCCAATCTATACTCGCCAAAGTCCATGTTATCGACATTTTGTGGTTCTCTCTATTTTGCTGCTCCAGAGTTATTGCAAGCTACGAAATATACTGGACCAGAGGTGGATGTTTGGAGCTTTGGTGTAGTGCTCTTTGTGCTGGTAACCGGTCGAGTCCCTTTTGATGATACCAGCATGCCTGCGCTTCATGCGAAGATAAAATCTGGCGTTGTGGAATATCCAGACCACATGAGCCGAGGTAATGTAGATTTCCATTATGTCAGTTTTGGCCACACGCGACTAATTAGGTAATGTTTGATGGGCAAATTTTAGATTGTGTGGATTTACTCAAATCTATATTGGTGGTGGACTCTAAGAAGCGTGCAACCATCGCCCAGATTGCAGCTCATCCATGGATGAACAAACGATACGAAGTCCCCATTACCAACGAACTTCCCCGTAGATCACCGTTGGCTGTGCCAGTAGATATACAGACTGTGGAAGGAATGCATGGGTTTGGTTTAGGCGACACCCAGGACATAAAAGACAGACTCGAATCCATAATAGCCACTCGGGAATACCAGGCAGCGGCAAAGTTTATAAACAAAATTCCAGAAACGTACCGTATGGAAAATATACCCCAACAGCAGAACCGATGGCGCTTGAAGGAAAGTCCTCCCAAAAAGGTGATTGTCGTAGCAAATGACGATCCATTATCACAGCCAGCCATGTATGATCCATTGCTATCTATCTATTATCTGGTGAAAGAAAGACAAGAGAGAAATAGACAGGATTTGATCAGCGCAAATGATGCTGCTGTCCCAGAACTTTCCATAGCCGAAAATCCAAAACCTATCATTATCAACAGTGAAAACTCGAGCAATGAAAAGAGATTCTCAAAACAAGAGAAGAAACCAGAGCCATCAAATCATTCACCTTCAAACCACATCAAATTCACAGCTTCTACAAAAGCGCAGAATGGTGAGATGGTGGTCTCTCCACCCAGTAGTACTTCCACTCCAAGCAATACCGACAAACGGGCTTCTAAGCGTCTCAGCGCATTATTTCAAACCAAACGATTCTCAAAGGATACCAGAGAACCACCATCTAATAATTCTATACCATTAAACAATGCGTCATCGTCAGATGATCTTTCAAAACACCTTCGTCCCAACAGGAACTCCAAGACTCCTCCAGCTCCATCATCTCAATTTCCTACACCCACAGGTTCTTTGTCAACGCCGATTAAACGAAGCACTTTTCAGCAGAATGTTAATAGTTTGGGTAGACGGCTGACCTTCAAGCCTAAGCCGAGCCAAGAGGCTCCCACCCCACCGCTATCATCCAACGAACAACTGAAAAAGCCCACTATACCTAGACCACGCACGACGAGCCCTGGCCCCAGTCCAAATCGAACAGAATCAAAGTCACCCAGCAAATCACTTCGTTTGGACACTCGAAAGGCTCGCAATGCGATCAGTGGAGTGCTCAATGGTACCAAAAGCCCCAAGAATACAAGAGATTCCACTGGTATGTTTTACAACTTGGCAGGATGTCGTTCTGAGTTAGAAATTGAAAAAACTAAAAAAATTTGACGTCCATGTTTGTTAGGCGCTAATGGGTTCCAACTATTTAAGTTGAACAACAAAGACAGTTCAAAGGATATAAAGCCGAAGCAAGAGGCACTGCAAGGACTGAAAGGCTTAGCGAAGAATCAGCTATTTCATATCGCACCAGAGGAACTCTATCAGCATTTATTGAAAGTGTTGGAGGAACTTAATATTGAAATATCTATTCGGGACAGCTACGAAGTGCCGTGCCAGTGGCGATCATGGAAGCAGTATCTACAAGAATCCTCGGTCTCGGTCGGGGTGGCCAATAATTCTTCTCGGTCTTCCAACACTTTAGACTCCTTATTACAGCGGCGAAGTTCAGTCCATAATGCGGTGGCAAGGGAGGCCGATGGAACGCTATCGCCACCCTCCAAAAATGTCAATCGCAAAAGCAGTAGCCGACGACTAAGTCACACCCTTAGTGAATCTGAATCTCCTTCCCATCTGGTGTTCGATGTGATCATCTTCTCTGTAAGCTGGGCTAAACGGTATGGCATCCGGGTTCAAGCGATCATGACACAGGATGAAGAGAAGTATAGCCATCTGTTCAAGAAGGCTGAACAGCTCATTTTGAATGCTCTGGAAGAGCGTTGCAGGAAGCATCAGATGATTACCATTTAAAACCTTTTAGTTAGTGTATACATCTAGTAATTGATACCTATTTTTCCAACACCTTTTTTTATTTTATTTTTTGATTTTCGAGTAGCTAAAGTAATATGATATTTGAAGACTTTCAAGTACCAACTGATAACTTGAACATACCCTGCGATAGGATTGTTAGTAATGGATACCCTAGTATGTAATGATTTAGTGGAAAAAACACAATACATAAGCTTTTTATAAAGCGGAACTTCCAAATGTTGAGCATTTTCCCTTTCAGTTCTCTGCCATCTGATTCGCCTCATTAATGCATAGTGACGACTGCTGGCATTTCACACCCTCTCTTGCATAATTGAACTAGCCAACGCCATAACTTTGATCTACCATGAAGTGATGTATTGTTTACAAGCTATTGAAGTAAGGTTTATTTGACAAAAGAGTAGGTTTTAGATATGATGGGTTTGTGGGAAACATATACAGTATCAATTTTTTTCATGCTTTGAGACAATGCAGTTTGACTAATTAAAATGCGCCAGGCATCTGACGTTGTTGTCCGGGATTAGAGGAAACCTGGGTGGGGAGTTGTTGACCGGCATTATGGTCAGTGGTAGAAGTGATATTTCCAGGAGCAGCATGAGCAGTGTTTGAAGCTACATGCTCAGCAGGAGCCTGATTGGTGGTAGAGGTGATGTTACCAGCCGTAGCGGGTGTGTTGTTATCCCCAAAGAAATCGTTCTCGTGCTTGCCGGCGCCAAGAGCAGCTTCAGCAGACTTGCGGTCAGCATCACGAACATTTTGACCACCAGCAGCGGCGTTGCTCTGGAGATGATCGCTGGTTTGCTGTCTGTCGATGGAAGCCTTGTGTTCATCATAAGCCTTCTTCTGAACATTGGCTCCGACGGGGTTGTTATCGGTGGGGTGAACGGCGGCAGTGTCGCGAGATGCGTCACCTACATGTTCAGTGGTAAACTTCTGCTTTTGAGCATCGTAGGCTTGTTCATTGGAAACCTTGTTGGAGTTGCTGATATTGGAGACATCTTCGCCATTGTTATATGCGGCTGCAATATCGTTTTTCTTGGGGATTTCGGAAGGCTTGAACTCGCCAGTCTGCTTAGTCTGCTTGGCATGCTCAGTCTTTGCCACACCAGTAGCTTGACGGATCTCAGACTTGTCCTTGAGGCCAAGCACATTCTCTACCTTAGCAACAAGCTTGTCGATAACACCTCCAATCTTCTCTTCGCGAGCAGTTGTCTTGACGACATGAGGATCATTGATAACTTGATCAGATGTGGTGTTGTGAGTGGTGGTGTTCTTGTTGTCAAGGTTGGACTTGTGTTCGTCATAGGCTTGCTTCTGAACATTGCCGCTGGTGGGGGTATTGGAATCGAGGTTGGACTTATGCTCATCATAAGCCTTCTTCTGAATGTCACCACCTGCGGGAACACTGCTGTCGAGGTTGGACTTGTGTTCATCGTAAGCCTTCTTCTGGATATCACCACCTGCGGGAACACTGCTGTCGAGGTTGGACTTGTGCTCATCATAAGCCTTCTTCTGGATGTCACCACCTGCGGGAATATTGCTGTCAAGGTTGGACTTGTGCTGGTCGTAAGCTCGGTTCTGAATTTCACCACCTGCGGGGACATTGCTATCGAGGTTAGACTTGTGTTGATCATATGCTTGTTGTTGAATGTTGCCACCAGCGGAAGCACCGTTATCAAGGTTGGTCTTGTGCTGATCGTATGCGTGTTGCTGAACGTTTCCACCAGTAGGGACATTGGAATCTAGGTTGGATGTATGCTGATCATAGGCTTGTTGCTGAGCATTTCCACTAGTGGGAACGCTTGAAGCCAAGTTGGATCTGTGTTGTTGGGAAGGCTGTTGCTGAACATTGCCACCAGTGGAAACGTTCTGCCCGAAATTGCCTCCTGTCTGTCCGTAAGTTTGTTGGGAATCAGTAGCACCTCGAGGAATGCTGCTATCGAGGTTGGACTTGTGTTGTTCGTAGCCCTGTTGCTGAATATTGTCTTGACCAGGCATGAATTGAGCAGGATCCATTTGAGAGGACTTTTGAGGAGCGAATGCCTGATCTTGGATGTTTCCGACATTCTGGGGCTGGAAACCTCTTTGATCTTGACCAACGCTAATGTTCTGTTCAGTAGAAGAGGGCTGGAAACCAGCTCTTTGAGTCTGATCATAAGCCTGCTGGTTACCAGTGATATCTCCTCTTTGCTCCTGATTGTACGATTGGTTGTTGTCTGTGATGTTGTTCATTATTGTTTGCTTCGAAACTAAAGAACATACAGAGCACAGAGCTTGCTTATTTATAATGCCTGCCAAGATTACGATGACAAGATAAGATCGTCATATTCTGAAGCCTTTAAGGGAGGGTTGGCGTTGAATTCCATTAGAGTTTATTTACTTTTACTTCTTTTAGCGCGGTATGTCATTGTCTAAAGAACAGCATCATGGTCACGTCATGGTTTTCTATTGCTAATGCATCAGCCACGAAGATCGCGCCACACGAAATCAACAGTTAATTTGACAGTCACATTGAATCCGCTCCTGCAAAACCGTGTTTGGATAGCGGGCGGGCGGGCAAGCTGCTTTTCTCAAACCCACACCTTCAAAGCAAACATGTCGCCTGCAAAGGCTTCCAGTAGCTCCGCTAGCAAGGCTGCTAAAAAAGCTGAGAAAGCTCCACATGCGAGCGGTAAGTTTTGTTGTCTGAGATTGAGCGCACTTGAATTCACATCGAGACTAATGAATGACGTGGACCAGTTGCAAAGAGGCATCCCCAACCTGCTTCCACCAGCGAGTATAGAGATATTGGCAGTTCAAATATACCAGAAGGAAGTGTAAAAACAAAGAAGCCGGATGGAAGTGATAATACGGTACAGGTAAGTTTTAGCCAAACATCAGGGAAAAAGGGCAACATGGGTTTTGGTTGTAGACCTAACGTTATTGCTTCGGGTGACGTTTTCAGAATGTACCACACCCTTCGTCGTTACAACGTCGTTCTCGCCGTCAGAAAAAGAAATCGAGTGTTCTTCGAAAGCTTATAGCGAGATGTTCCTTTGTTTATTTGGTTTATGCAACCTTTTGGCAATGCCCGTCTTATGCCAACGACAAGGGAGCCTTCGGGTCAGATGGCCCGCTCTTATGCGCTGGCATAAACGAAGTGAAAGCGGACATACGATACCTATTCAGCCACCCATTATACAAGCAACATATCGGCCAACATGTCGATCCTTATCTGACCCAAGCACAAGAGCATTATACTCAGCATGTCGCTCCGTTGGTGTCTACGTCGAAGTATTATGGCTCAAAATATGGTGCTCCTGCTGCTCAAAAGGCGAACGGACTGTACAATCAACATGTTCACCCCCTCTATCTGAAAGCCCATGATCACGCTAAGAAGCAGTATGACGTACATGCCAAGCACCATGTAGACCGTTATTACACTGAAGCGGAACAACGTTATAGGAAACATGTTGGGCCTCATGTAGATTATGCTACAACCGCTGCCCAAAAGTTGCAAGGTGATGCTCTGAAGTTTCACAAGGAAAAGGTTGTCCCCTTCAATGAAGCAGCTGGCCAACGTCTCCAGAAAACCTATTTGACGACTAAACCCGTTGTAGACAAGGCTATCATCCAATCTATTGACTTCTACCACAAGAAGTTCCAACCCGCTGCTTGTGCTGCCTTTGATACACTCTGGCACCTGATAAAAGAGATTGCTTACAGAATTCAAGTGATATCTGTAGACGCTGCAAACAAGGCTTCCGTTTGGTCCAAAGATGTCTACGAAAACCACGCCCAACCCTATTACCAAAAGAAGGTAGCGCCATTGGTGGCTCAAAAGTATCAACAATACCTCGAACCAAGTGTCATCGAAGCAAAGAAATTCATTTTTGCTCATGTTGACAAGGAGTTAGTGGATCAAACTTGGAATACTGCCAAAATGAACGTAGACGTAGTCTACCGCTTTGTCGAGAGACATGCTCTTCTGGCCAGTGCCATTACGGTTGAATTTGTTCAAAAGCAACGCGAGAGATATGAAGCAAACCGTGCCAAAGCTGCTGAAGCTGCCAAGTCAGTTCAATACGAGGCTTCTGCATCCGCTTCAGTTGCTGCTGCCCACATTTCCAAAATGATGACCGAACAGGAATCCAGCATTAAAGTTGCTGGTGCTCAAGCAACCGTCGTTGCTGGAGAGATGAAGGGCAAGGCAAAAGGAGCTGCTCATCACTTTGCTACCGAGGCTGCAAACATGGCCAAAAGTGCTCAAGACAAGGTGTACGGTGCTGCTGGTAACGTTTACTCGCAGGCTAAAGAGGGCTCCAGCGCCGCAGTCTCTCAATTTGAAAAGGCAAAGCAAGCTGTTGCTAGTGGCCTTCATCATGGTGTTACCGAGGCCTCCAATCTTGGTGCTCGAGGCACCGCTAAAGTGGTTGATGTCGCAAAGAGTGCTTCAACTGCTGCGTCTTCCGTAGCTCAAGCACCTGCTATCACTCCCCTAGCAGGGATCAGCAGTGGCAAATCGTCTGCGTCTCAAACCACTGCTGATACATCCTCGCAACCCACCGTATCTGTTGCCCCTACTAATACTCCCGAAAGCGTTGAGGAAGAAGATAATGCTCATGTCACTAATGGAAAAAACGGATCTAAACAAGGCACCCAAGATGGCGCTCAGACAATCGCGGCTCCTTTCCGTGATGCCACCAAGGCGAATGTCGATAATGCGTCTGCCGAACAAAGCACACTATCTCCTATAAACGAACGCCAGCAAGAAATTGTAAACGATCCTAAACAGGATGTCACTGAAGAACTTCCTGTTCTTGAAGAAGCCCCTATTATTCCTGGCGAGGAGGAAAAAATTGAGGAAAAGTTTAATGTGCAAGGTGAGGCACCTGTGCCTTTGCCTGTTTCCGAAAATAGCTCAGTTGATGAAGACGTTCAAACTGTCCAAGGTAAAGTACATTCCGACATTATGTGAAAAAGGAATTGACATTGAACCATGTTTCTGTTTTCAAGGACGTGTACCAATCCCCATTGTAGAACCTGAGCAACCCGTTTTGCCCATCCCTGTTGAACAGCCTAAAGAAGCTGTTGTACCCACCTCTGATGAACAGCCTGAACAAGCCCAGTCTGCTGAGGATACTGACAGTCAAATTGCTGGTCCTGTTGTCCCTGAGCTACAACCCAAGGGTGATGGCGACCTGAGCAAGCTACCTCCAAACGACATGGGTGAGCACTTCGATGACAGCGAATTCAAGCAAGCCCCCATTCGCTCAGAAGAGAAAGGCTATCTTGATAGTATTGTCACCGACCAAATTGAGGACATCATCAAGTCAGCAGATATCATCCGCACTGAGTTGGAAGAAAAGTATGATGATATTGAACGGGCTGCTCTGGAAAACATTCAGGCCGGTGCGAATGCCATCGAAGAGGAGTCAAAGAGCCTTGTATACCAGGTGATTCAGACCTTCCAAGACTTTTACCAATCCCAAACTGCTGATTCCACCCGATCGAATGAAGAAAAGCTCGTAGCCATAGACGAAAAGTACAAGGCTACGCTTAAATTCCTCTCGGATTTGTTGACAGATCAGCGCTCCATTTCTTCACAGTCTGCTAGACAAGCCAAATCATCGGTGACGGCCGCTCAGAAATCGGCAGAAGGTCAAATTCGACAACGCTTCAAGGAAGGTTTACATCGTCTTCGAAGTGGAACTCAAGAAGTGTCTGGGTTGAGCGAACGTCTGCATCGTGAACTCACCACTAAGTTGGAAGATGCACAACTCCAAGCCCTCAAGACTGTACATTCTGCTGAAAAAGTGATTGCCGTCGAACAAAAGTTGTTGGATGCTCATACCCACCGACTCACTTCTAAACTTGATCGACTGGAAGCTACAGCTACTGGAGAATTAAACAAGTGGCATCAACAGGCTCAGCAGGTCTTTTCCATGTCTGAACCCTTGATTGATTTGGAATCCCCTAGTGTCGATGTGGACTTTGAAGGCTTTGAAATCGAGCATCAACCTATTCCCGAAGAGACTAGCCCGGCGAACGTAGATGATGAGGAAAACGTCACACCTGTTGAACCTGTCGTTGAACATGTCCAAAAGGACCTTCAGCATCAGCAAATCATCGATGATCACATTCGCAAAGCCCAAGAAAGAGCAGCTCGCGTTGCCAAAACTGTGGAAGATTGGGTCGAAGCTGCCAAGCGAAAGTCCGCGCGCACTGAAGCGCCATCTCTTTAATCCATATCATTCTGGACTTACCTTTCATTGTCGCCGCTCATTCTTTTGGCCTTCTTGTTCTAAATATTTCTTTGAGTTCATTCTCCCTGTTACACATAAAAATTACATCCATATCAGCATGGATATGCATGTAGGCAATCAATGCATTATTATTAAAAGGATCATGTTTAAAAAAATTTATTTCTTTTGGGCCAGTTCTTTACAAGTGTCGTACGCCTAAATGGCTACATAAGCCGGGAAAAAAACTCAAGCGTAGACATCAGCGGGAGTGATATCTTACTTTTGCTTGTTGGGGTCGTTGTCGACATCCTTGTACTCGCCCTCAGTAGTGCTGGAGCCTCCACTCTGAGCATCACCACCTTCACTTGCACGCTGAGACAGAGATAATGTCAACATACCATTCGCATGGCTAGCGTAAAAAATGGCCAAGTTTATCTTACCTTCTTGTAAACCATTTCAAACAACTTCAAGCTGGCTTGTTGCAATTCATCGCTCTTAGCCTTCACATCTGCGGGATTGACTGATCGGTCACCAGTTTGAGCTTGTGCGACGACCTCGCGAAGAGACTGAATCTGTTGTTGGAGTTTGTCAGCTTCGCCAGAATCAAGTTGGTCCTTAAAGTCAGTAATAGCCTTTTCGGTGTCATGTATGATGGAATCAGCTCGGTTGGCAGCTTCAATAGTATCACGTCGTGCTTTGTCCTCCTCAGCATTTTGCTCAGCCTGCTGAACCATGTTCTCAATTTCGTCCTTGCTGAGACCAGAAGAGGCAGCAATGGTCACTGGAAGATGGCATTAGCATACACATGTGTAAACAGCAGCATTAGCTTTAATGCCACTTACTGGATTGATCACGGCCAGTGGCCTTGTCCTTGGCTCCAACGTTAACAATACCATCAGCATCGATATCAAAGACAACCTCAATTTGTGGAACACCCTTTGGTGCTGGAGGCAGACCAACCTATAGGAGTATAATTAAGCATGGTACTTCAATTGTTAACTCCAAAGGGCCGAATGACACTTACCAATTGGAAGTTGCCGAGAAGTTTATTATCACGGACAAGTTCACGTTCACCTTGATAGACCTTGATGTCCACAGCGTTTTGACCATCAGCGGCGGTAGAGAAGATTTGTGATTTCTTGGTTGGGATGGTGGTATTGCGATTGATCAAGCGAGTGAACACACCACCAAGAGTTTCTATGCCGAGGGATAGAGGGGTGACATCAAGTAGAAGCAAGTCAGTGACGCTTCCGGCTAACACACCACCTTGGATAGCAGCACCCATGGCGACAGCTAAAGGAAACATCCTGTGTTAGATATCAAATAGACATTGAATTCAATGATGGCATTTACGTTGACTAAGGTTTACCTTCATCAGGGTTGACGCTCTTTGTGGGGTCACGACCAAATAATCCTTTCACAATTTCTTGGACTTTGGGCATTCTAGTCATACCACCCACAAGGATAACTTCGCCAATCTCTCTAGCTTCAACACCAGCATCCTTTAGTGCTTTCTTACAAGGTTCGATTGTCTTGTCAACAAGTGGCTTGACAAGTTGTTCAAATTGGGAACGGGTCAACTTGTAGTTGATATGTTTTGGTCCAGAAGCATCGGCGGTGATGAATGGCAAGTTGACTTCAGTCTAACAGTGTGACGGGATTAGCAATTGCGAAAATAGAAATGAAATTTTTATCAAACAGCAGTAGTAAAGACTTTTAACTTACCTGTACGGTAGAAGAAAGTTCAATCTTTGCTTTCTCAGCAGCCTCGCGAATACGCTGTACGGCCATACGGTCCTTTCCGAGGTCCATTCCAGACTGTATAATTTCGTTGTCAGCTATGAAAAAAATAAGTGGGCTTCCATCATATAGGCTACACTGATATCTCACCTCCTTCTTGAACTCATTTATCATCCAACGAACAAGTGTGATATCGAAATCTTCTCCTCCAAGATGGGTATCACCATTAGTACTCTTCACTTCAAATACACCCGATTGGATTTCCAAGACTGATATATCGAATGTTCCACCGCCGAGATCGTAAACAGCAACAGCCTTGTCACCGACTTTGGTGCTGTCAAGACCATAAGCCAAAGCAGCAGCTGTAGGTTCGTTGATAACACGAAGGACATCCAAGCCAGCGATGGTACCGGCATCCTTTGTTGCCTGACGCTGAGCTATCAATGGCGAGCATTAATCATGTGAGAGATAGGCGGCGACTTCAATGTTGAGCTACTTACAGTCATTGAAATAGGCCGGGACAGTAACGACTGCGTTCTTGACATTCTTTCCAAGATAGCTTTCGGCGGTTTCTTTCATTTTTCCAACGACAAAAGCTCCAATCTGAGAAGGACTGTACTTCTGTCCTCTAGACTCTACCCAAGCGTCGCCATTGCTATGTGGTACAATCTTGAACGGAACAGCTTCGATATCTTTCTTAACCTCTGGGTCTGTGAACTTGCGTCCAATCAATCTCTTGGTGGCAAACAGAGTATTCTCTGGATTCACGACAGCCTGACGTAATAATCCATGGGTGTCAAAATTCTCAAACATATGCCGGCTTACTGAGCTAACGCCTTACCTGTCGCTTGGCTGGGAGACCGACAAGACGTTCACCATCTTTGGTGAAAGCGACAACGGAGGGAGTTGTCCTTCCACCTTCGGAGTTCTCAATCACCCTTGGGGTTTTACCCTCCATGACTGAGACACAGCTGTTTGTCGTTCCCAAGTCAATACCGATAACTTGGCCTTGGACCTTTTGGCTTCATAATTTCAACATATGTTAGTAACTCACAGCTTGGACATCAGTTTTATGGGCATTAAAATAGTGTAGATGGTTGCATACCTAGCAGCGCGTACGAACATGTGCGCTGGACGCGCCTAGCGGACAAAGAGAGAGAGACTGAGTAAGAAAGAAGCAGTGACAAAGCGGAAGTTGAAAGCAACCATACGTACATTGACGGCGGCTTTACTGAAGGTATTTAACAGTGGCAAGGAAGATACTTTGTACATGGTAAGAAGCGAAAGAAGAAGCGAGAAACACTCGGCAGCAGGATGGGAAATATAAAGAAAAAAAAAATCCCAAGGTGATATCATGCCACTAATTTAATTTTCCCCATAAAACTGCGTTGTTTCAAGTGCGGACAGCATCCTGGCATACGCACCCTTGACCATGCAATGGTCCTTCGAGGGCTTATTCAAATATTATATGTTATAAACCATTGCTTCATTGCATTGCTTGATATGCACTGACACATTGCCGTTTGGTCTGCGAGAATACAGTAGCCGCAGTGTAGTCCGCCAATGAAAGAACATACAAAGGTGGGTAAATTTGTACGCAGCTGCTGCTTTACTGTGTCAATTGGACGGCTCATCATGCGTTTCGATAATGCTAGCAAGAATATAAGTACCTGGTCTTGCTATGCGCCATTGAAAATAGTATAACAGCATCTCTTACTGAGAAGACATCCAACGGGAACCAAGGACAATTTACTACCACCTTCATACAAGCCTCATTATTTTATCATTATTTTATTTTCTTGCTAATAGTAAAGCTAATTAGGTTGTTTATTACGAGCGTTGGAGTTGTTCAGTAGTATTTTTTGATTATGCTGTTTTTCAAGAACATGACGGAAAAGTAAAATTTCGATGAAGGTAATACCAACAGCTGACCGAAAACCCAAAGTCGCAGAGTACCCAAAAAGTCATATGGGTAAGCATGGATGATAATTTGAAGATGTTCTTGTCAACTCAAACTCCAAGTCTACGCTCCAGGGTTAAGTCACCTTTGTTGCATAAAACTGTCCTTATAAAAGCACCAATATATTATCAATGAAAGCCAATAATCATGCTGCTTTGTTCAGATAACAGTATAAAACGAGCCATTTAATGGAGGAATTGCCCATAGGATAAGAACCAAAAGGGATTTCAAGCAGCGCCGCATATCCGCCGCCGCCTGCACGAGATTTTTGTCGGGAGGCCCATTGTGTGAAAGGCAATATGGCATAAGCGCACAGCCGTAAAAGCTCGTTGTAATCAAACGCAAATATGATTATCGTTGTATAATTGCAGTCTCCCCATAGGAGACATGGGTTTCCAATGGAAGTGGAGAATAATTATTAGGCTCACATTGACAGCCGAAACAATTCCCTTGTTTGCTTTTATAAACGTCAACTCGGTTTTACTTTGTACTGTTTAACCTTTCTTCTTCAGATTTCTTCGTCATTAAATTCGCTCCATCATGACTATTGGAGAAGGGCCGTTATGGCATGACAGGTTGGCATCTTTACCAATTCTACAGTATTTGCTCATACCTCACTAAGTCGGATGTCTTTCTCCGTATCACAGCCCGGTTTGCGACTTTGTAAAACCAGACCCACGAAGACATGTTCAACGCATTACCATTCACCACTGGTAGTTATTTTTTAGCAATGGGCAGTTGTGATTGCCAATTCAGCTAATCTCATTGATCTGCAGGCAGCTGAGGGATCTACTATTGTGTCCCGAAAACAAGAAAGAAGTCGTTTTCCCATATCAAAATAATGTGATCCAAGTAAGCCTCCCCCCCCCCATTTTGTGACTTTAATTCATCACGTTTTTGACTGAAAGCTATGTTAGTACAACATGGAAACCGAAAAGGATACGTTCCTCCTCAAAGACTTGACATTTGCTCCAACCAGTATTACTGCCAGGTAAGGCGTGCATTATGAACTATCCATTACCCTGTTTCGTCAGCCAATGTGTTCTCTTTTTGGTAGCTCCGGGTATTTGGCAGTAGGTGGACAGAGGAGTGAGTTGGTGGTTCGAGACTTACACGGGAACTGGGCTATTACCACCACCACGGGAGGCTCGATCAATAATGGAGTTACTATCGCCGAAACGAACGGGGAGAAGCGCTTAATGGTGTCCAATAACGACGAAACCATCAAAGTATTTTCAGTACCATCTATGCACCTGATTGATAATTTGTGCCTACCCACCGCTGTGAATGGAGGTAAATTGAAAACAAAAAAATTATTTTCCGTTTTGTCTCCAAACAAACACCTGTTTGTTTTTTCCAATCGCTCCTCGGCGTATTTATTAACCTTCGTTTCAATTGAAGTCACCGTCAGCCCAGACGGACGTCATATGGTAGTGGTAGGTGACAGCAACGAAGTATTCGTATTCAACATCACAAATTCCGGCGAGTACGTTCATACCGCTAGCCTATGTGGTAAGAGTAAAACTAATATGTGGATCGTTTTATTTTATTATCTGAGAATGGCATTTAAATGAATGTAAAAATAGCTTCCAAGGACTCCAACTTTTCGTGTTCATGGAGTCAGAATTCCGATAAATTCGCCGTTGCCAGCCAAGACGGAACGGTAAATGTATGGGATGTACGCAGTACCATCACTTTGTACACACTGGGCACGAAACAAGTACGTAGTTTGGGATCGATTACATTTGATCCCCGTCAATGACACTAATTTGATGCTTCTATATTCTTCTGCCAAAAAAAGAGCCCTAACGCTAAAGGTGCAACACGGTGCGTCAAATTCTCGACTTCTGGAGCAGTCGATTTATTGGCTTATACAGAGGTAATACTATCAAAGGTGAACTTGGCGCGCTCTATATCATGTGTACTAAAACTTGTAAAACTAGCATGTTTCATATGTCAATATCGTAGATGCTCGAAACTTTTCTACACAGCAAGTGCTGCGAGTGAGTCCCTCTCATTTGGACTACCATATCACTGGCATGGCTTTTGCGCCCGATAGTAGGAGCCTTTTAGTTGGTATGTATCATGAACGGCGGTGAAAAAGTTTTCTGGTCTATTTCCATTTCAGAACCTAATCCCTTCATTATTTACTCTGCCCAGGCTTGGAAAATTCCGTCCTAGAATATCCTGTCGAAACAACTGCTAGAAGAAGATTTCCAATAGGATCACTGCTATAAATCTCTTGTCAAAAAAGAGTCTACCACCGTATTTATTCTACGTAGCTGGGAAACTACAAGTTTCCCAATTTTTTTCATTTCCACTTCACAATTGTAAACATGGGCGTATTTAAACATGGTTGAATTTGTACATAGCTGAATGTTATTAAAGGTGTTTACCGGATATTATACAACGCGAAAGCTTCCAATCTTTTTATTCTGCTCGCGCTCCTCTGAGCTGAGTAAGAATGATTTGTCTGGATTCCAGCGAAGGCACTGATGCGTTGGGGCTGCTATCTTAAGTTCGTTCACTTCTCCTAGCACTAAGAGTTGATACTGTGGATTGCTCGCAATGCTATTGGAATCAACTCTAAAGGGTCTTAATAAATTAGATGCGGGAACCGTGAACAAGTTTCGCATTTTAGAGAGCCATCCATCAGGCAGCTCTTCCGGTGGTGTGTCGGTGCTGGTATTTTCTTCGTCATTGTTCAATGACAGAAGTCCGGAGTTATACATGTCGTCTTCTGGGACGCTAACGTTTTTCTTGTACGATCGGGCCATTCGCCTACCAGGATCAAACATCACTAAATTACGTTTGCCATCGCTTAATATTTCGATACCGATAATAGTTCGACTGTGACCGGAGTGCTGTAGATAAATGGGCGGTCGATTTGTGATATGGACAACGCGATCTTTATGTTTGCCGGCTTGTTGCTGGCGCGCATCCGCCTCGGCAAGTTTGCCTTCCTCAGAGCACCCTTCCTCAAAGTAAGACTGTATCCAATCAAACATGGCGTCATGCGAGTTGTTGGTGCCTGTGGGGCGATCGAAGTCCAGTATCGTGCAGCTGTCACCAAAAGTCAGTCTAACGTTAAGAACGATACTCAAAAATCCCCTTTTTTATCCCCTTTCCTACTTACCGAATGCCCAAATATGCGAGCATGGTGTACACTTCCGTGGTACCAATCCACTTGTGGGTTTTATAAACACGATGTTCGAGCTGTGCTGCTCCTGCTGGATCAAAACCTACATGTCCATTGTTACTGATTAGTTGAACTGACTGACTTGAATGTCACCATCGGCAGTTATACAGTACCTTCTTTCCACGCGTTTTCCAGCAGTAATTGCAATCCCTTAATGTTCACTACACCATCAAGAATCGGAACATTCTGATCCCGTTGCTTTGACAAAAAAGTCATTAACATCTGACAATTACGGTATCCACAACCCCAACCAAGATCCATAAGTCCCGTTGCAACGTGATCAGTATCAGGACTGCATAGATAAACCATTGATGTTTTGCCTTGCTTCTTCAAGCTCATGAAGTGGGGTTGAAGCTTTGGTATGATTCCTGAAGGGGTACAGTCAGCGTTTGAACGTCAATATGATTTTGTTGGCAAGTGCGTCTTTACCATGCGTGCGACTGGACTCTTGAAGAGCCTTCATGCCTTTCACAAAGGCATCTCGGTCTTGCCGCCAACCTACTTGCTCTTCTTTATTTGACCCAATATGTTCCTTGTCACTTATAATCTCTATCTTCGGGATTTCGGCTGTCATTAAATCGTTGCCAAGCTAGAGTAGGTAGCTGAAAAAGAAATCAGTTGCGTAAACTCAGAAAATTAAGCCCATTCAAAATTGGAATCAAGAATGTTTCCCTGTGACACTACTCTATTCCAACAACCACTGAAAAAGTCCTGCTCTCCTTCCATATAAATTTACTGTTAATAAGACAAGTTCGCATTATTGACCGAATCATTCACCAACATATCGACAGTTATAAATGATAGGCGATGAGGCTCGCTTCACTATCAATATATACCAGCTGAACTTCCCATCACCCGAGGATCATGTTGACATAGAAACGATAAAAAAAATGGGTATAAAAGGTGTTCCATGCAGAATAGTAATCCATACCGAAAGTTTATTATAGTTCCTGGAGTGGCCCTTACATCTGTCGGTAAACAAAATTGGTCTACTTTTTACAAACTTGATAAATAAGTGAATGTACAATAGATAGAAGTATACACAGAAACTATCCGCTCATGTCAATGTCTTTAGCATTTGGGTGTTTCTCCTTGATGATTTTCCTTATTCGATTTCGTCTATTAGGTGTTGACAGATCATCGTCATCCCCGTCGTCGTGGTCAGGCGATTGCTCCGTATAACTAGGTTCTTCAGTTTGTGCTTCTTTTGTGTGATCGAGATCCATCCCTTTAACCGCCGTCTGCTTATGCTGTCGCGAGTAGCCTCGTCCTCTCCCTCTTCCACCACCCAGACCGCGAGAAGCTCGGCCAAAAGATACTGACCGCGGGACCTTAAGCTTTGCGATCCCTTGTGTAATATCTTCCATGGCAGCTTCCATATCGTCAGATTTTTTATGTTCTGGTTTTTCGACGTCCATTTTCTCCGGTTCTTTAGATTCCTTTTGAGGTATGGCCGTACCCTTCTTTTTAGCCGCTAACCACTTTTTTCCTTTGTCTTGCCTTTGCTGCTGTTCCCTAAAGCTGAGATTTCCTGTAAATGGTAGATCAAAAGGGTATAACTTTGAGTAGTGATGCTTGTCAATTAAATGTAGCCTTCGCATTTTAGGCGTAGAAAACACCTGGGGACAGCCAGGAACGTAACATTTGTACTAATGGTAAAGATTATGGAGGCGCATGGTAAGTAAACAATAGGGTAGAGTACATCAATATAAAAACACAAGTATAACGTACTATTTTCTCTCCTTTTTCTTTCGATATCTGATTCAGAACGTTGTGAAATTCATCAAAGTGCATTTCCAGCCATTCTTCGCCAGGAAAACTCTTTTGGCATTCTTCGCATATGTATCGATGCCACTTTTCATAGTGTATTTCATAGGCCGTCAAGGTTGGAAAATCCGCTCTTCCATTCCCTTTGCAAAGCGTTAGATCGCATGTGATAGGATGTGTCCTAAACGTTACGTTATGAGTGAGTTAAGGATCTAGGTCAACGTAGCCCAGACCTACTTACTGCTGTGTCGCTATGATCTCGTCGCGCATGGTGTCCCAATACTCGGCCAGCTGTGAATCCTGTTTCTGCAGCCATGTTGCTCGTAGTGCGATATCGCCTTCCGAGAAGAATGGATCCTCGCACTGGTAGCGACGTTTTGAGGGAATGTACAAGAGTTCCAACATGAAGGGGCCAAAGTGACTCGTAATTTTTTGCACAGGCATGTCGTTTTTGTTCAATTTGGGCCAGCCAGCGGGTTGAGAATTCATTCTCCATTTTGCCAACTATCATTCAAACGCCATTGCCACTGTTACAAAGTCCATCCATCCACCTTCTACATTTAACCACTTTCCGAAAGTGCTTAACTTTTAGTCACAATCATTTGAGTGAGCGAGAAGCAACTTAATCCTGTTTTTAAATGGTCGTGACGACGGTAGCCACTCCCACACGGTCGAATTCTGCTGTCAAACCATCCAACCCCAATTCCCACTTCGCACACGCTACGCCTAATGGCAGACAAGATGTCCTGGCTCTCAAGCAACAATTAGCTGATGCTTTGGGAGAAAACGGTCCTTTGTATTGGGATTCCTTACGAGAATTTATTACCGGAAAGCTCAATCGCCAGGAATTCGACTATTTTGCCCACCAATATGTGAAAAAGAATAATGGTAATTGTGGTGCCTTCGACTGCTTCACCTTGAACCAGCTACTAATACTTTATCATAGCCCACCTTCATAATGCTTTTATATTAGCTACCATTCATAATGCACTTTCGGATGCACCTCCCCCTTTGAAGCAGCGAGCGATAGGATGGGCAAAACGCAAGCGAGGGAAGGATGGGTCATACCGAACTGCTGCAGGGCAAGGAAGAGATCCAAAAAGGCTCAAAATGGACGTCATGTCACTAAGTCGCGTTGATCGTGAAAAATTGAAACTGTTATTAAAGGTAACGAATCGGCATGTGTTCAGTGTGCTGTAAAGCCAAGTACGCTTACTTACGTTTTCATCTATGGCAGGCTTCTGGTGACAAAATCAATCTACTTAAAGACAGACGTCTAGCTCCAAGAATTAGCAAGCCTCCAACCATTCCCTTCCCCACAGAACAACTACCCAGCAGTACGTAGAGGGTTTCGAATTTCGCTTTGTATCTAACACCACGCTTATCACGTTTTCCTTGATAGATTTTCCACAGATATTTTCAAAAGGATTATATGCTCCATTATGTATACAGTCTAAGGAACTACCAAGTGCCGACGGTCTACGCCCGAGAATGACGACTATTGCGTACGAAAGTGGTTTGATGGGTGGCGTGAATGAAGAGGTTTTGGAAGCCATGGCACTCGCTCTTGAGGTAAGATCGAATTCAGACATTGATCGAGTGGCTCATTTGCTTTGCTTTGTCTACTCTGTGCAATTTACTAATTGTCGTTATGTCATCTCCATTTTACCCGAAACTCCCTATAGATTCACATCAAGTCGGTCATATCTACAACTATATCCAAGATTCGTGTAAACAGAACCCTAGGTCCAAAGTGTGCTAATATCCGAAATGTAATAAGGAAGGAAGCTCAGTCTCTGTCTTCACAAAATGCAGATGCTGCCGTTGGATCACCCGGACCCAGCTCCCCAGTTAACAACGGATTTGCCCTAGCATCACCTGCACCTGTCACATCTCAAACCACGAAAAGCAGTATTTCAGACAAACCCTTCATAGCCACGAAAGACCTTGCTTTTGCATTCGATCTCTCTCCTTATATATTGGTTGAGACACCCCTCAGTGCTGAGAGGGTCACGACCCTCATTGGTGATAGCGAGGACGAGGAAGATGAGTATGACGACACGGATGACGAGTTAGAGAGTGATGAAGGCGAGTTTGAGATATAACATTAATTTGTTTGGCAATCCTGTACTATTTCCTTTTTTCCTTGCTCATAAAACAAAAATATAACGATTCGGTTTCTTGCTGTTAAAAATGTGGTTTTTTTTTTTATAAAGAAAAAAAAAATTCGAAATGCAGTATCTCGGTGCACATGCTATAAAAGCGTTGACGTGAACAGATATACAAATTTCTGATGCAAATTGAGGTCTACAGTATGGATGTAATGGAAATTAAGAATCCTGCTTCTGTTCTTGCTCACGCGCGGATTCCAACAGAGCTTGTTTCTGTGCTTTGATCTTGCGGTGGTTGATCAAGAACTTGCCAAGGGGCGTTGAAATAGGCTTCAAATCTTTCAGGAACCCGTTAACGCTGTCCACGTCGGCAGGGCTGTAATCCACTAACGATCGCTTTTCTTGAATAAATTCTGCAGTAGCTTCCATCTGAATCAAACGAGATTGGATGAGTGTCCTATCGCATCCCGCTTCCTTAACTTATGTGGTCCTTACCTTTTCAATTAAGCCGTGCACTTGCTTGTTGAAGTTAACGTAGTTGGATTTCTTAATGTATCTCTTGAGTTGAACAATACCGGGACCAGCCATTTCAGGGAAATCAATGGACAAGCTGAAAGTAGCGTAATATTCTATCAAGCACTCATACAACTGTTCTAAAATGCCATGCTAAAGGTGGGGGATGTTAATACTTGTGCCTAACAACGGTATTTGACCATGCATACTGCTACATACCTGGTACACTTTGGTGTGGAGAAATTGTTTTGGTGCTCGAATATAGACGTCCCATTCCATTGGCTTGAGTGAAGCGGCTTTACCCTTCTTTTTGATTTCCGCACTTTCGAAAACTTCGAAAATATATGGTGCAAGCGGAATGAATACCTTGGTTGAGTCTGCTAATGAAGTTAATGCTCGAATAATATGGAATCTCAATGGATAGTATTGTGCGGTTGGAATGAGCCTATCAGAGTAGAGCAGGTGAGTATACAGGTATTCAAGTACAGTTTTCAATTCGCTTCTCCCATTAATTACCTTATGGCACCAATAGCGACTTGTGTAAGTGGGTAAATCATCGAAGCCAGAGGTGATTGTTCGTAATCTGCCCGCGCCGTGTTACAATAAGTTGCGAACACGTTGGCCCAGAAATCAATACAATGAACATATTGCCAGTTATAAACTGTTTTGAAGCTCTCCTACAAAGTCACATACATTGTACATCAGTCAATGCGAATGCAACACCATTAGCATCGCCTGAAACATGAACCTACCTTTGTCGTATTTTGCATAGCACCTCTCAAATGAATGGCAAGCTGACGAACAAATGTGAATGCATGCTGATAACTGAGTTCCTGATTGAGTCCATAAAGTTCAACAGCAAGATTTCGCATCAAGTTGATGGAGGGAAGAGTGTGGACGCTGGTGGTCTTAGAGTTTCGGACAAATGAGAGGTAGATTCCCTTCAAGCAATCATCTAAATAGCTTGCGTTCTTGCTCTGCTTAGTAACAATAGGAGCCAAGGCGAGAGAACGAATATTCAAAAAGCTTTGAATGCGAACAATGTCAGAGGATGTAGGTCCAGACCAGAGTTGCAACAGAGACTACAAATAGAAAAGAAGAGTATTACTATAACACTCATGAATCAATCTCCTCTTGTAGCGATAACTCACATTAAGATATTCCTTTGTGATGCGAGGGAAGCAACCAAAATACTTTGTGCACTTCTCCGTCTCCTTCAAAATATAGTATACCATGGTGCTATCTGTCAATCCTCGAAGCAAGTGAAGCACATTTGAGCAGTATGACTTGACCATGCCCTTAAGAATATTCCACTTTTTGGCAGTGACTGGTGATGCACCTTCCTTGTTGGGAGTAAGGTTGTAGTTGAAACAGACAGGAACAAGTCGAAGTGTTGTAAGAATGAGCTTGTTGAAAACTGGATATCATAAAGTTAGGAACACCCTTGTCTTATATCCTGATACACCATTTACTGAATACGTACCTGTTCCACTGGTGACTTTATAGGTATAACTGGTATTTTCGTCGTCTTCATCATTCATTCGAGCAGCACATTTAAATGCAGACAGCAAGTGCTTCAGTGTCTTGACGGATTTACGAGTCTCCAAGGCGGAAGCCCATTCTTCAATCATTTCCTTTGTGACCACTTGAGCATCGGCATGGCTCATTGCGCCAGTCATTGGTTCATCCAATCCACCAGCATATTCCTCATCTGAGAACTGGGATTGCTCTGGCTCTTCCTCTTCTTCATCCTGACCATCTTTCATAACTTCATCTTCGGGTTCGGATTCATCTTCAAGGTCTTCATCGGATACGTTGAAATCCAAAAGTCCAGATTCCTCCTTCTTCAAGAATTCGTAAAACTCGGGATCTTGCTCCTTGAGTAGTTCGAGTTCCTCTTTGTGCTTAGAAATGTCTTCCTTGAGAGCACCTTTCTTTCCCTTCTTTTTTTCCTTGGGTTGATCTTCATCTTCTTCAAACAAAGCTTCATCGTCCAATTCTGTAGTTTCATCGTCCAATTGATCCATCTCGTCATCGTCCACTTCGTTCTCGACATCGCTATCGGCAGCTTCTGTTTCGACGGTCTCCAAAGCCGCAAAGTCATCATTCTATGAACAATCATATGCGTAAATGCCAAGCAGAAATTTTGAGCAATATAAGTCCAATTCATTACCTCACTCTCATCGCCGGCATCTGAGTGTTCCTCAAAACCACCTTGGAAAAAGTCTTCGACGCTCATATCGTCAAACCTACAAATCAAAGTGTGAGAATTACAATGAACAATACGGAACTAGTCCCCAATTCCCTTTGCGTACTTGGCCTTCTTTGAATCGTCTATAGTGGAAATGGAGCCGAGAATGAGTCAGTATGGGCTCGAGGCCGACGATGCCATGGTTGCGTTGGATCGCAGACAAGTGAATTTACCTTCTGCCTTCTTCTTGTTAGGCTTTCCTGCTTTTCTCACACCATTTGCCTTGTTAGGTTTTCCGGATTTCGAACGAGCCGTGGACTTGTTGTGTCGACTTTTTGCCATTGCTTTTCTCTGGTCTGTGGCAACAAGAATAAATTATTTCCCAAAATTTTGACCGCGAAAGCCATAGCCGTGACTGTTAAATCAGTTGGGTGCCAGACAATGACAGCGAATTTGCGACTCGACCCGACCATCAATTTCTGCATCGACAAAATTCAAAAAGCGTAAACTCAGACGTTTACCTCTGAATATCAACCCTTAGAGCTTTTCTAGTTTCAAAATATCTATAGGACCGGTTTTAAGTCTCAATATTATGACATTCGGATGATTGTAGCTAAAAGTTGTAATATACATTGGTTAAGCAAGGTCTATCCATCTATTTTACAGTTATTCGGGATGATCCACTTTCTTCTTCATCATCTTTTCTCTCTTTGTGTTTCTTCTATGTAGTCTACTAGACATGTGCTGTTTCCATTCCAAGTCTCCGTTTAACACGACAGGATTTGCAGATTGATTGGTACAGACTTCGCAAGTATGTTTCTTCCAGCTTAAAAGTTTCTGCCGTGGACTAGACATGTACATTAGTACCATTCTCACTTCACTCAACAAATCGAATCAACACTTACTCTGCATCTCCTCCTCTGGTTAGTAATTCGGATGAAAATTCATTCAAGGTGGTTGGGTCGGGCATATTTCTATCGTTTACAAAGTCTGTGTATACGTTAGCACCATATCTACGCTGTGGCCTGTCACAATTCACCACCTACCCTGTGCAATTCTAACTGCTGTATTTTTCACATTCTCGTCCCACCGGCTAAGATCTGTATATAACGTTTATGTCAGTATGTCTGATCGACAGCTCCGCAACAAATATATACTGTGAACTCTAGCTCACCGGTTGCATCCAATAAGTACAGCTGAACCGATTGTGACGGCGTTATCGAAAGTATAGAAGATTTTATATTGGCAAGCGTATCTTGAGTATTCCAGATAGTGGGTAGTAGCTTGTTCCTTATCCACTGTACTTGACGTTTTGCATATCGCCTAGTAGCCGCTTTCATCCTTTCAATAGACTCTTTTTTCAAAGCTTGCAATTCATTATCCTCAAGATTGCCATTTTCAACCGCCGTAAGGTACTCATCGAATTCCTTGTAACCTGCGCAACATTTTCCATTATTTTAGTCATATATCATACATCATGCGTGTTTCAAACGATGCCCTTGACGGGACGCTCAGCTTACCAATTGCCTGCCAAATTCCACGTTGATACTTCTCCAAATCTTTACCAGGCATATCTAATGTCCCTTCCTGTACTCTTTTTCGTAAAGATGACAGCTCGTCGAAAAGGCCAAGCTAAAGCGACTGATTAGAACATTGGCTGCAAGACGACTCTCACCAATTATATGCTTACCTCGATCATTTTCATAACACGATCATCTAATCTTCTGTTAAGCGTTACAGGATCGGTATAAAGCCAAAATATGATAGTGTTGTATCTGAAAAAACAAAGCGGTCTTAGCTTTGACATAGTCGCAAGTTTACATCAAAGTTTACCTACCTCAAGTTCACGTCTGTCTTAGCCCGTTGCTGCTGTTCCTTTATAATCTCGCTTTGAGGTCGTCCCATATCTCTATAAACCTTTTAAAATTACTGTTATTTAAAATTTTGATAACCATTTGTCACCTGTCATCACACTCACTTTTAAGCTTTTTGCTATTTTTCGGCGGTCGCTTGGATGCCACTTTGCTGCCATAATGGGATCCACTTTTTGCAATTCTTTATACAAAGCCTGTGTATCCATAGAGGATATGCCATCCTCTTCTTCCTGTTCGTCTGATGATGAAGATCCGTCGGTTGCTGTAGAGATCAAGGACATGGGCCACAACAATGATTGCACATAGTAGTTGGTGCCGCCAACCAGCACAGGCAAGGATTTGCGCTCTGAGATTTCTTCAATCTAAAAATTAATTAGACAAGCCGCTCAGTATCGTTTGTCGCCATATGCATTATACTTGCCTTATCTGAGGCGTCCTTGACAAACTGAGTGACAAGGTATTCGTCTTCGGGTTCTAAAAAATCCATCAAGTGATGTGGTACATTTTCACGTTCGCTTTCGGTCACCTTGTTGGTAATGATGTCCAGCCCCTTGTATACCTTAAAAAACGTCGAGAGCTCGGATATAAATGTTTTTGCCATGTTTCTGTAGGGTAGATAGTGGTATACTCTCTTACCTGCATGGAATCAGCATTGATCACTTCGCCATGAAGGGCCTTCGAAAGTTCAATGCCTAGTTGAGACTTGCCAACACCTGTTGTACCAATCACAGCAATTGTAGACCTCGTTGGTTGGAACATTGCTAGTCGTTGAATCCACAATTGTACACGTTGCAGAGATCGCATAAGTTGCAGAGATCGCTTTGTACAGTGGCTTTGGTACTCTGGCAGCCAAATTCTACTGACGGTCAATTTTTTTTTTTTAAAAAAAAAAAAAAGATCGAAACTTTGGTCGTTTCTTGCCAGTACAGCACGACTGTAATTCTGTACCTGCGGGAAGGTGCAAACAGGTTGCTTACAATATTGCTGTTTCTTCTGATGGAAGCACTCGCAATAAATTAGCAAATCATCATGAGATTATTCTGTTCAATTGATCAATACAAAGTTATACCGTATGATCTCAATTTAAATGATGTAAATAACAATAACCCCATAGCAGTAACCCCATGCTGTCCTTATTAACCTATTTCAAAAAATACTGCAATTATTCTTTGCATTCTCACGAAAGTTGTTTTTATCTTCAATACATTATGTAGCATTTTTCCATCCATTCATTGAAACTAATCAGCTTATTGAATAACTTCATTTTAATAAGTTCCTTCAATGCCGTAAAGAAACCTAGAAACATCACATTATTTTTGTCTCAGGAGATAGTCATTATGAGCAATGTATGATAGACTCTGTATTTGCTGCAGCTGTAAGGTAAAGTACGTGCCTTTCATTTTAAAGCAGGACCAGTCGAAAAAGGGAATGTCGGAGTTCTCATTTCTCTTCTGCAAGCCTTTTCACCAGACACTGCCTCGCTCGCTAGCCTATTCTGATTCTCAACGGCAATGTCAGTCCCACCACTAGTGCTCACGACCGAGCACTCCCCCGATACACCTTCCAAGGGAATACTTAAAAGAAGACCCGCCGCACCAACCACATTACAACGTTCATCATCCTGGCTGGCCACTTTAAATTCTCGACTTGGATCTGCAATACACGGAACCACTGAATCCCCGCCGGCTCTAGGCATAGTGGAATCCAAAGAGGTCGGTTATCCAGGAAAACTTGTACGATCACAAACAGTTGGTTCAGTGCCTTTTCAAGTATCAAAATTGCCTGTTGCTCCAAAGCTGGCTTTGGAAGGAGCCGAACTGAAACGAGTCCGTTTCTCGGTGGTGCAACTCACGCAGGTGCAATTCTATGACTGCCAACAAGACGACTTAGGCAACGGGATAGAGGAGATTAATCGAAGCTCGACAGCTAAGGCAGATAACAATATACCAAAAATTAATCAGAGATATTCTTCGTTACCAAAACTCTACCAAATACCGTTGTCCCCAACCGATAGTCGTATGCAACATGTTGTGCCGGCGCCCAACACTTCTCAAAACTTACTCGAAATATACCACACCTCCTGTCGAGCACGTGAAGAGTCAGTGCTTCCAATTGTTCAAGCTATTTTAGAGGTATGTGCCATGCGGGAGTTGTTATCCTTACCTTCTTTGACTGATCCACTATCGACGTCAAGTCCAAAAAAAGACCGCAAGACCTGAAGCAGATGAACTTATCCCGGAACTCAATCAGCCATTTCGCTTCTGAACCACTCTCTGATATACTAAGTCTAGACACAGGCTTATTGTTTCTAGACCTTAGCCATTGCGATTTAACTGATGCTGTACGTGACACAACAAACATCCGAAACGTTCTTTTATTCATACTAACCTACAATTGCAATTGGTAGCCTCTCAAGATCATCCTACATAGTTTGCTTGTTAACGATAAGTTACGATCTTTGGCACTGGCTGGCAACAAAAAACTCACCTCCGCTGGATACACATACATTTCTATATACATCAGCAAAGTAAGAGTACACATATAACTACATGACATTGCTCCATTATGCCAACTTTTTTCCCCATATAGTCCCGCTCTATCAAATATCTCGACCTCTCCTCCAATACCATTGACAAAAAATCTGCAAACAGTCTGTCGGAATCACTAATGTTGGCTACGTCGTTGCAAACTCTCATGCTGGATTCATGTTATCTGTCACCGGCCATCCTTGATATCTTTAGCGATGCTATACGCACATCGGTCAGCCTGCACGAAGTATCTTTGCGAGGAAACGAATTCAACAAAAAAGCTTTTCCACCTCTCTGTTCAATGCTAGAAATACCACTGGCACCAAAGGAACTTTTGGATTGTAGTGGGTTGGTGACCTTGAATTTGAGCGGAAATGACCTCCGTCACGGAATTCGACTGCTTTCCAAAACCCTCACGCAGAATAACCAGTTGCAAACACTGAACCTTCAAAATTGTCATTTGGATAGCTCTGCATTGGTTCCACTTGCCGAGGCGTTGGTGAGTACTACTAGTCACCGTTCGGTGTTTTATGATACTCTGGTACTAACCGTGGCATCCCTCAGAAATCCAATACTGCACTGAAGAAAATTGATTTGAGCCATAATCCACTCAACACACCGCATCAGGACGGAGTAAGTTTGAACTAGTGGTTGGTTTCGATCGTAACAACGGTTTTAGTAACCTTTCTTGCAGGTGTATGCGTTGAAGCTTGCTCTCTTCATGAACCGCTCATTAACGGATATTAGTATGGCCAAATGTAATCTACATTCCGAAGGTAAAATACAGAGATTTACTTTATTTAAAAGCATGTGGTAGCCAAACTCACCGAATTTCTCTATTTTTCCAGACGCCATCGCGATCGCTGAGTGCCTCCCAGAAAACAATGTCCTTTCTCGGTTAGATCTTTCCGGTAACCCTGCAATTGGCATTGCAGGATTACTGGCCCTTTCGGTTTCCGTCAAAATGAGTACTGCCTTGACCTTCCTGGATATCGCTATTCCGGTAAGTTGCATCGGAGCATACCACTAATCTACAACGAAACTATATGCTGACCGAACTGCTAGCTGAATGATCCAGATATGGCTCATCTGCAGAATGATATCGTTAGTGCATGCACGAGAAACGCACAAGCTATGTATGATTCTGTTGGAAAAGAAAGCCAGAACTCGTTGACAGCAGGGAATTCTTGTGATACTCGAGCTTCAACGCCATCCATGGAGCAGGTGACGGCAAGTGTACAAGTCAAGGAAGCAAACAACACTCAAGAGTCCGAAGCTCAGGAACCATCTTTAGACATGCTCATAAACAACATCAATTCCTGCGCTCATGATTTGACAGCTACCATAGACCAGTATCATGCTTCTGGAAAAGAAATCGTTGACGACAATCTCCATGTAAGTACAAGGTGTTGGTAGTACCGCCACCTGTGCTTTTTCTAATCCACCGTCCACAGAAGCTTTACGTGCAATGTCAAGATATACAAAGTGTGTTACTGAAACACTTGATCCAAGGTAACCCTATAAACAATTTAGTAATCCGCTTCATCGGTGTTGGTTTCTCACCACGTTTCGCAGATGATGATGAAACGGAGAGTTTAGCTGAGGCAGCCACACATCTCAACGAAGCTATGAAAAGCTACCATCAGTTTGTAGCTACATCCAAAATTAACAAGTCTTCACAAGCTGGCGTAGATGCAGAACTTGCCAAACAGATACAAATGGAGAAGCTCAAACGCGAAAAACAAATCGAAGAAGGAGAAGCGTTCAGGACAGGCTGAAGTCTCAGGTTTTAGCATAATGTAATCTTTTCTCACAAACATTAGACTGGTATGGCGGGCAGACCTATCCAGATGGCTGCATATTAAAAAACTTGTAGCTCTGCACACAGTATTACTGGATGAAATTGTCGGCCCTTCCATAGGTGTTTCGTCATTATTTGCATAGATAGACAAACTGTGGAGGGGTCTTAACTTGGCCATGCGTAGCTTCACTTTCAAAGATATGCTTTGGCAGACCTTATGACGTGAGATACACTTTTAAGAAAATGACGGAAATTCCATGTACAGTTGACATGGGGGGGGAATGCATATAGTCACGAGGCGGCGATAGACATTGCTTATGGAGTGTATCAGCCCTTACGCGAGTAGTTTCAAAAGTGTAGTGAAACTCAGCGTGGCAAAGAGCAATGTGAGAAAAATGGCAGTAAAGGCATATATGATGTGGATATTCAGTGGTTCTATCAGGAAGAAGCGTAAGGTATTCGTGGGATGAAGAAGGTACTGCGCGTGATGGAGAGAAGCTCGCTGCCACTGCCTCAAAGAAAAACGTAGATCGAAATTTACTTGGGTGACATGACCGCTCTGGCCAATTCTGTGGTCCCCTGGTACCAAATTAGGCAAATCGGAGTTAATATAAAGGGCCTTACCCATCCAACTGAAATCCCGTAGCGGTTTCGTTCTCTTTATTTTCCACTCCTTCTTCACATAGCAAATAAAATGACCGAAGTCATGAAGACTCCGCCACCATCTGCATTTTCCCCGCATTTACGGCCTTCAGACAATGATCGATCGAATCATCGTCGTAGTAACCGGTAAGCTCTAGCTCATCGCCAACCCTACCATGGCCGGTTTGGTTTCTGCTGTACCACACTCTCATACCCATAAACATGTTTATGTAACTAATAATAATAATAAAAAAAAGGCAACAGCGATCGTACAGTAGACAACCTAGTACTGATCATGAAGAAAGTGACGATGAATTAAGAGAACCTAGTGAATGGGATTATCCAGACCAGGCACTCCAGCGACATATGGAGCTTTTGGATGAAAAAAGAACGGCCAATTTAGAGAGGTTAAACAACATATTCGAGTTGCAAAAGGAAAACCTGAAAAAAATGTCAGATGCCTTTGAATATCAGGCTTGGGAAGACTTTGCGGTAAGAACCATCCCCAATCGTCACTGCTTGTCTCAGTTCTCTCATCGGACCTGCAGTTTTCAAGGTTGTCACTACGTCGATCTATGACGGAGCACGTTTGCGAAAAGATAGTCAAATTGCAGGATGAGCTAGAGGGTCGACCAATAGCACGAGGTACAAAAATCCGCTCTCTCTGACTGGTAAACTGAACTCTATAGATTGACTCCCCCCATCCTACCCACAGCGTCTACCAACCCGCTTCATTTGGCGTGGAATCCGCCGGAACGACCAGAGAGTATTAATATCCTTTTTGGAAAAAAATATGTTTATCGCTATGCTATTGCTATTGTGGAGCTTCTGCATGTTCCCCTCCTCCCCCCCTCCTTTCCCTCCCCCAGAACGAGCGCACTAACGAATTACCTTGACTCGCTGCCAATACGTTCCTTTGTACAGGGTTTAGAAGAATATGAGATAGACGATGATATACGGCGAGCCAAAGGCCAGTACATGCTAAGAGACTGGGCTGAGAGCTCTAGTGACGACGACGACTCATAACCTCACCATTATAAATAATAAAAATTCCACTCACAAGGTAGCCATTTGCTCCTCATTCCACTCTTTTAAAGACGCAGTCCCAATCTTCCTGCAGATCACATTTTGCTTTCTTTTCAATATGGTTCTCCGGTCGCCTTACGAATACCGATTTTTTCTGAGGACATTATCGTCATGTGTGATTCCTGTGTATGTTTACTTCTTTTTGCCTTATTATATTCTCTGGGGGGGGGAGATTCTCTTCTTTTATGTGGTCAACGTTTCACGTCACACTTTTGCAGACACTACCGGTAATTGTAGCTAGAGGTGGTTTTTCCACAAGGTTAGTTGACTACCTCTTCCTATAATTATTCTTTTGAGTCGCGTGCAGTTTTCATTTAATACAAATATATTGATGGGAATATACTACCTAAAGTATCACCCGCATCAAATCAGGCCAGAGAGAGATCCGTCTGTCAACGACAGCATTTCTCGAATTTTGTCTTCTCAGTGGCTTCGCTAGGAGTTTTTTCATTTCCTTAGATCAGAAGTATATGAATGTTTAGCAGCAAGAATGTTTTTTTTTCGGTAGGCTACGTTTATTGATTTGGCTACTTTTGCCGGTTCTTTCTCGTCATCACGTCAAGTGTGAAACAATTTTGGCAGTTTGGAGGTACAGCCCACGGATGTTTGACTTGGCCCACAAAATGACCGCCACTTGGGAGCTTTATGATAATCATTTTATTGTGACTACGTAAGGGATTTACTTTCCCACTACGGTTGACTATGTCGCTCACTATTACGACTAAGACAACCAGATATATGTCAGTAATGTACATCTGTCACTGAGCCATAAAGTAGAGTCGTCTGTAACTTGAAACCGTGCTTTTAGAAAGAAGTTGTAGAGCAATCGCAACATGTCAGTATACCAGTCGTGGACCATGACATTTATACTACCGAGGACCACTCGGCAAGTTAATTTCTTATTTGCTACAATGTCCACTTCCGTACCGTCAAGTTGACTCCATTGTAGTCAAATGCAGTACTGTATATAAGTAGACAAAGACGTTAAAGTAGCTCAAGCAATGACATTCCTATGGAACTTTTCACAAATTTGTGTGATACATTGACATCCAGTAGAGTCCTCAAACCGGAAAGCAGCCGGTTGATTTGCTCACCAATTGCCATGCTCGTAAACAGTAGGTCTCCATCCAAATAATACCTTCATTGTATCGTACCCTTTGCCTATAGCAGCCATTCATCCTGCGAATACATACCACAAATATGAAATGTGTTATAGTGTTAACGCTAGCTGTCAGCGCATAATAATTACTAATAATTACATAGTTAGCCCCCTCAGGTCCCTGCTTACATCCTACCCCTTAGAAGGAAATAAAAAGAGCCGTACCATACACTTATAAAGAAGTCATATTAAGTCAAAATCATAATGGTGTGTAGGTTGACGCCATCCTGGGTGATAGACAATATTCTTCATCCTACAAACAAAATTTTCAGTTTTTCATTTGACACTAGATGTGAGTAGAATTGCTAAATTGCTTCAAACCATGTTGTATTGTGCCAATTATTCTTTAAATGGTCATATTCGCAACGCAATATTACAGTAAAACTTCTATGGTAGTTTCTCAATGCAATTTTGCCGTTATTTGACCAACATCAGCCAGATAGGCTACTTAAATCCAGTGAGTGCAGAATTAACCAACGCAATCGTTCAAGGCCATACCCATTTTTTTTGCTGGTGCGGAGTATCTACTTATCCTACTGTCCCATACTGCCATGGTTGAATTCGTGAAATTGATAAAATCGGTAATTGTGTCATCAAAATTTTTCTACTGAGCGAAATTTTGCTCTTGAGCGCGCGTCTGTTTTTTCCTGCACTGTACCTAGCTGTTATTGTCTAGCTATGTCCACTGTAGGTAACCTACACAACCTGGATCAGCAAGTAGAGTCAACACCCAAGGCATCCAACCCTGTCTTTCAGCCACGATGCAATCGAACACCTCTCTCACAGCTGAACAAAAGCGAGCATGTGTGGCGTGATTCCAGAACCTACGCTCGATCCGCCATCCAAGCATTAGAGCTTAAAAAGCAACAACAACAAGAAAACATGCAACGATCTCGTAACCCTCCTGCAGCAGCGGCAAAACCTAGTCTCCATGGAGAAGATAAATGGGTTAAGGCTTACACTAAGGCATTTCCTACATTTAAAATCTATTTTGATGGCATGGAAAATTCAACTCGCAAGCGTCTTGAAGAGAAAGTCAAGCTACTTGGTTCTGTAAGTGCACCACTTTTTTTCTTTCACTTATAAACCCGATGATCTGAATATTCATTGAATTGGCTATTTTTGTTGTTATTATCGCACCTCAGAGCGTTGAGCAGTTTTTTTCTGCCAAATGCACCCATATTGTCACTGGGCGACCTGTGCCTGATGAGGTAAAAGCTGCTACAGCCAGAAAGATGGCAGATGTCGGTACAGAAGCGAAAAACCAAGAAAACATACCAGACAATGAAAATGGAGAATTCTTTGGCCAAACAAGGATGCAAAGGAGTAGCAAGGTAAAATGCTCAATCAGCCAATTTTTTTTTCTTTAGGATACCTCTGTTGCTAAGCCTATTTCTCATATTCTAGCCGGCTTTGACTCTCAAAAAAGCAGACAACGTTAGCAGGGATGGCGATATATTCGAGATAGCTCATAAGCATAAGATAAAAATTTGGAGTGTCGACAGTAAGTTGTAAAAAAAAAAAAGAAAAAGGTCTTTCTGGAACGTCTGCCACGGTCGTCTTACATCGACATCTTCTTCTCAACAGAACTTCAGAATCGCATACTGCCATTGTTATTCGATGGCCCTCTGCAGCGAGATTTACCTAATGATTCTGTAGCACATCGTCCCATACCACAAGAACTTCCGCGAATGCTTCAAGAGGAAAAAGTTTTTGGTCCCAGTACCAGTAAACGAGGCGAACACCAAGGCCCCAATTTTGTACGTTTCAGTAGTCACTACGTGTTCGTCGAGGATGTCACAGGCTCGTATCGCCCTATTGTGGTAAAGGAATATCCCAAGACGGAACAATCCAAAACCACGCCATCCTGGCCAATACTACGTCGAAACAAGCCCGGTAGAAGCCCATTTATGAAAGAACATTCATCCGACAACAGGGATCCGGAACCAGAGAAAAAGGCTGAAGCAGCTGAAGAAGTCTCTTCAAAAGCTACTAGCAATGCCAGTCGAAAACCCCTAGCCGTTCATAAACCCAGTGCTTCGCTAAGAGCATTGAATAGCCAACAAGTGGAAAAACTTGAAGATGGTAACAGTGCTCAAGCTGATACTAGAGCATCCATTGGTATGCCTAGCTTCAGTGCTTCAGGAATACATCAATTTGGCACGTCAAGGATCGTTTCGACGTCAGGATCAGCGGTTCATGGTTTACCACAACCACTTCCTCCCACTGAAAACATCAACCGGCTTGATAGACGTGTTGTCAACAATGCAAAGCCCAGTGTAGCCTCATCACATATAACTACCAAGCCCGTACCAGGCGACCAAAGTGTGGCAGCACAAGGAGCCAAGCTTCGAAACGCTAAACGACATAAAGGCGCATCTGGTAAACGACGACCTCCACCAAAAAATTACTGCGAAAACTGCCAGCAACGCTTCTATAACTTGAAACAAGTAAGTTTTGTCGTTGGCTTGCGAGTGCCTCCGATCTAAAGTATTAAAGCTTACATCTTTCACATTACAGCATATCAAAGACCCAAAGCACCAAGAGTATGCAAAGAATGCAGATAACTTTGCAGACCTTGACAAGATCATTGAATTGACTCGACGGCGATATAAAGTCGAATACTCATCGAGTAAGACTGACGAACGGTCAGAAGTCATAGATGGTCCTTTGCCTGAGCGCCAAGCTCAGGAGTCACAAGAACCTGAGCCGAGCAGCTCATTTGTAGTGGACGACAGCTGGGAAAAGTTTGCGGATATTGTGTGGTAGCCTTTTTTCTCGGTTTTCAGTGCTAATACCCCCCCTTCCTTTACCTATCATGCATCATATATCTTGTTCTGCTTCAATGTACTTTCCTCTTTCGTATTCATCAACCTGTCCCTTTTCGACCCTTGTACCTATAACATTGCCTTCACGATCAATAAATCGTAATAATCAAAATATCCCATGTCATCTTGAGTGGTGTACGCTAAGGCTACTGTAATCGGCGCATAATGTGCCCGTCGTTTCTCTTATCCAATAGTTACAAAGTAACAGCATTTCTGTCCTTTTGATATTATATGCTCAGATTTTTTTTAGTTAAAAGGTATTTCGAAATGAGGAAACTATGGTTTGACGCGCTTTTGCACGTCGTCTGCGTCAAAGTGAGCTTGTATGCTTCCCTAAGGTGTACTTCTTTGATCTGCCCAGTCACGTGTCGGAGTATCAAACCTCAAAAATTGAAAGGTCTTTGCCACTATGACCATTCACACTCTTCCTCCTACATTGTAATTCACTCCTTATGGACCGCTTTGTCATTAAACGACGTAAGAAGCATCACAGCTGTTCTAACGTATTGAAGAACCAATATTTAATTTGTTGCTTTTGTAGCGCGGCCTGAGCCTCAACTGGACGCTCGAACGATTCCCGCATGGTCGCAGGAAGAACGAACGCTTCACGTGGAATTCGATGACAACGAACTCACCCACGATTTACTTGATCTCCGGAAAAGTAACTATCAGACGACACCATTCTGCACGTTTAAACGCCTTTATTAACTCATCATTCATAGACGCAGATCGACAGGGCAATCGAAAGCTAGTGGATGCTGACCTGGAGAAAATCACCCCATTGCTTATGGAATTCGGCGCGACAGAGTATCACATTGATCTGATACTGGACATTCTTCTCAAGGATCAGCATAAACTAAGTAATAATTGCTGTATATATGGATTTTCACGACAAGAGCAGCGTGATTGACGTGTTTTTTGTTTCAGCCGACACTGCAGCTCGCAAACTTATCAAACTCATGCTGCCGAGGGGAAAGGTGTCTGCTAACCACGCATTGAAAATTATTGCAAGTCTTTCCGGACGAAGACTTAGTGAACGAATTCAGGTAGGGTGCTATACATGGCCTATTTTATCGCTCGCCGGGCATTGACCGAATCGTTCTTAGGCAACGCTCCTGAAATGGATCGTTACAATCTATGACTTGATTGACAGCAAAGACAAGGTGGCTAAGTCGTATGGTATACTTTTCCACTTTCTTGATTCTGAGCTACTACGGTAAGAATCCCTTCAGTATGATCCATGGCCGCTAACACCACTAGCTGACAGCCATTATCTTAGACCGGGCATTTGCCATCTACTATACTATATGACTCGACGTGTTCATGTCAAGTCATACAGAATACGACAGCTGTAAGTCTTTTTTTTTCATGATATTCCTCTTGCAACAAGAGGATCCATATACATACTGGAATATCCATATTAATCGGAACTTATAGGATGCGACAAGTCAGCAAAAGTGGAACAGATGTCAATCTTGCTGGCTTATTTTCAGTTTACAAAGACTTTGAGCCAAGCATGGTTATGACTATTGTCCCTCCATCTCGGAAAGTTATCTTCAAGGTGAGCATTACTATCATCCATTCGCCTCTATTCCGAGCCACAAGACTAACATAATTGTTGTAAAAGCATCCTGATCCAGAGTTGATGGAGTCTATCCAATCTATACAGGCCCGCTGGAATGGTCCATCACTACGAGAGAATGGACTTTTCAAGCCCGAAATAAGAGAAAGAACAGTAAGTAATATTTTTTTCCTCAAGTTTCAAGTTTGACCATGTGTGTTCACTAAATTTGAAATTCGCAGGCCAAGCGTCGAAAAGTAGACAGGTTCCTTATACCAAAACCCAAGACCTGGAATGCTGATAGGGTAGGTCATGGAAGCTAGTATTATCACTTATATTGAAAATAATAACCTTAACGTCTTTGTTTCTCAATTTGTAGCATGCTGCTGTCATTGAAGACATGACGAGTGCGACGGAAATGGTGCAACGCATCACCAAACTTGTCTTGCCAACTGAGCTGGCCTCAATATATGACAGCCGTCTGTTACAGCATATAGTTATGTGGAATAACGAACGTAAGTGCCTGCAATGGCGAATACAAGACAATCTTAGCGTCTAATACATCTCTTATGTAGCTTCTACTGTGGAGAGGCTTAACCTGTGGTTAGAGCAGTATCTAGCCGATCTGCTGTATGCTCAGGATCAAGCAACCGACTCACAGCAAGCCTTGGGCGACTTTCTTCAAAAGGTTTTCTCTATGGCCGAATTCACCAGGGTAAGGAGGATCAAAATGGGGTTTGGTCTTGCATGCCATGGCTTGACTCATCTTGTGTCAAACAGGAACTACTACCCGCTTTCGAAAAGTTCTTGGCACATTATCTTTGTATATGGAATGGTCATGATCACAAAGAATTGATATTTAAATTGATTGCTTTCATAAAGCCTGCATCCTTTGACGGTAAGTGGACACTTTGAAGAGCAGAGGCAAATGATTGTTGACACAGCATGCCTAAAGATCACCCCTGCCAACTAGATATCTTTAAGCGATACCTTCAACCACTTTTCCGACTTTACACCGTATCTGATGTAGCATGGAAGGTATAACCGCCGATCACAAACCAGAGAAGATGATAGAACGAGTAACTAAGCGATCTAACTACTTTGCATTCATATCGCTAGGCTCGGTTAATTACGACATACACTGCGTGGTTAAAAAATTGGGCGTTATTGGACTGGCGTGGTCATCAAGAACGACGGACTGTAGGCGATGCCTCCCAAGACAGAATGTAAGGGCGATTTTACGGTTCATGGTTTTTGCTTGAGGAGTACTCATTCTAACCCGTAACCCTGCAGTATCACCCATTTCGAGGGCCTTCCATACAATATTCAGTACATTGAAACCATGGAAGAATTTGTTCTTCATATTGATAAAATAAGTGTGCTTGGTCTCCAGGTATGTAGCCACAGTTTTATTGCATGCAACCGAATACCTCAATACTAATTCCCGCATTCAGATGGAAGACGGCAACCCTATTCTACAACACGCCACTCTTTCCTTCTTTGAAGTGGTAAGTATCTACTATTGGTAGTAAGACAAGTGTATGACCCAGCCTTTCTAATCCCCGTCATTATGAAGGCGTCCTCCCTGCCTACTGACTTCGATATACCCCTAATTACTGTTCCATCGCACGCTCTGGTTGTTCAACATTGTCTATCTACAAATGGTATGGCTATCAGTCGGATGTGCGGTGTACTACTACAATACTATCTAGCACTCCAAGACACCTCGGACGAGAATGAGGAATGGAAAGGAGCGTATACTGAAGAATACATCAACATGTTCAATTCCATGGTGACGGACGTGTGCAATGCATTGTGGAGAGGCAGAGCACTCAATAACAAAGAGAACCACGCTAGTGGATTCAACTTGCCAAGGTAATGCCATGTCCTACCTCGTGTTTTAGTACGATCGTACTTTGATTTTTCTGACAGCCACCGATCTTTTTTTTTTATTTTAAAAAAAAGCCATGTTATCGACCAATTGAACACAGTCTGCCATGATCGGAAGCAAAACCTTTCTACAGCATTATTGATTACGCATTCACCGGCCTTAGCAAGCTATTCCATGCGGTTCATGGAGGTAAGGAACTCCATACAGCACATTAAATTGAACCTGAGAGCGGAGTATTAACTTTAACCAATAAGGACAAGGAGAAGATGGTAAATTCAACGCGACCACTAAATGAACCAGTAACAGCTGCTGCTTTGCAGGAGCTTGCAGAGGTAAGTGTAAGCTAAGCAACATATCCCCCTTTGCCCCTCCCGCATCTGCTAACACGTGGTTTCTGCGCTTATCTAACAGCAGAATGGCGGTGCTCACATCACGTACAAAGCGTTCCGAGAACAACTGTTAGACCAACTCGAGAGCATTGGATTTGTTGGAATGAAAGAATTCTTGTATGGCACTTTGAAGTCGTTAAGACAGCGAGAAGAGGAGAAAGCATAGTTTAAATATAGGTGTAAAAGGAGAAATAAAAAATAATTTTTTTTTGCCCAGTGAAAAGACTTTACCTTCTACGTCAGCAAAGCGTACAGCTTTTTTTGTGGCATCTTTGTGTACCCTCGCCCATCTCTCTTGTTGCAGCTTCATCATCATCTCTAGTAGAGTAAGCATCTTGACACCTCACTGTTGCTTTCAATCCTTACTCATCTCTTACCTTGCATCTAGTAAAAGTAACGCGTCAAGTATGAGAGAGATCATTCACCTTCAAGCTGGTAAGCATCTCGAGTTTCCCATCCTTTCATCTTGACTTGTCATATTAACTCTCTTCGTTTTTCGCGTCATATTAGGTCAGTGTGGTAACCAGGCAAGTCTCTACAACGGTGGATGGACGTGTTTCAGTCTTATTTACCGTTGACTGACCTTCTTCCTTCTTTTCCTCAGATCGGTCAAAAATTCTGGGAGACTATTTCCACTGAGCATGATAAGTATTCACTCCATAAACACGCCTTTTAAAAAAACGATAAAACTTACCTTTCTTCTCGTTTCTACGCATCGGAACTGATGGCCGTTATGCAGGAGACAATGATCTTCAACTTGAACGTATCAATGTCTATTACAACGAGGGCCACAATGGCCAATATGTTCCAAGGTAAAAAAAAAACGCGCGCTCACTAATGTCACTAAAATGGTTTCACATGTGCTCATATAATTTGTTCCTTTACCATAGAGCTGTTCTAGTCGATTTGGAACCTGCAACCATGGACTCCATCCGCGCTAGCCCTCACGGAAAGCTTTTCCGCCCCGACAACTTCATCTTCGCTCAATCTGGTGCCGGTAACTCCTGGGCTAAGGGTTACTACACCGAAGGTGCTGAACTTGTCGAGTCCATTTTGGATGTCGTCCGCAAGGAGGCCGAACACACTGACTGCCTCCAAGGTTTCCAACTCTGCCACTCTCTTGGTGGTGGTACTGGTTCCGGTCTCGGTTCTCTTTTGCTCTCCAAGATTCGTGAGGAGTACCCCGATCGTATGCTCTGCACTTACTCCGTTGTTCCCTCCCCCAAGGTCTCTGACACCGTTGTTGAGCCCTACAACGCTGTTCTCTCTGTCCATCAATTGGTTGAGAACTGTGATGCTACTTTCTGCATTGACAACGAAGCTTTGTATGATATCTGCTTCCGTACCCTCAAGCTTACCAACCCTGGCTATGGTGAACTTAACCAATTGGTCTCAGCCGTCATGTCCGGTGTTTCCACCTCCCTCCGTTTCCCCGGTCAATTGAACAGTGATCTTCGCAAGCTTTGCGTTAACATGGTTCCTTTCCCCCGTCTCCATTTCTTCATGGTCGGTTTCGCTCCCTTGACTGCCTTCGGCTCTCAACAATACCGCAACATGAGCGTCCCTGAATTGACCGCTCAAATGTTCGATGCCCGTAACATGATGGCTGCCTCTGACCCCCGTCACGGTCGTTACCTCACCGTTGCTACCATCTTCCGTGGTCGTCTTTCCACCAAGGAAGTTGAGAACCAAATGTTGGCTGTTCAACAAAAGAACTCCTCTTACTTCGTTGAATGGATCCCCAACAGTGTCAAGACCTCCTTGTGTGACATTCCTCCCGTTGGTCTTAAGATGTCTGGTACTTTCATTGGTAACAGCACTGCCATCCAGGAACTCTTCAAACGTGTCAACGAGCAATTCACTGCTATGTTCAGACGCAAGGCTTTCTTGCATTGGTACACTGGTGAGGGTATGGACGAGATGGAATTCACTGAAGGTAAGACAGACAGAACTCTTTTTATTATTATTTATTTATTATTTGTTTACTGACGTTGCCTATAGCTGAGTCCAACATGAACGATCTTGTCTCCGAATACCAGCAATACCAAGAAGCTGCTGCTGATGATGAGATGGAGGAGGACGAGGATTACATTGAGGAGGACCCCGAGTTGGCTGAAGAGTAAATGTGTCCCAAGACACTTTGAATCGCTTAACCACGACTGCCTTTGTTTTCTCTCAAGATCTCTTTTTTCTTTTATAATAACCCCCCGTATTTTTAATACCTCCAATCTTTTTATGCCATTACGAAAATCCCCCCCCCCCTTTTTTTTTTCTCTCTTTTTTTCTTGAAGGGCAGCCTATGTATCAGTTGCAATGATCTTTAACCCATTGTTATATGAAAACTAAAAAAGTATAACGTATACATCTTTCTTGCAACAGCTGCGAGGTGTCCAGTACGTATGTGCTTGCTTTTTTGTTCTACGTCCATGGTTGGCCATTTTGGGGAATGCCGGAGCACAGCGACTATCACTTAACAAGCCACGACACGCTGTGGATGGTTCCAGTTTATGACTTGAGTGACACAACCATCATTCTATATTTATGATACAACGAGTATTTGTTTTCCACTTGATTGGAGATTTTATTTTATTTACAAGTAGCAGGGCCAATGTAGGTTGTTGGCGAGACTGGAGTATATGTCTAGCTGCGGCGGCGGTATCTACAAGGTCATATCGACGCCGTCGTCAAAGTTCTCTGGAAGCACTTCGCCTATTGCAATTGCATGAGTATCGTACCAAGCGTTCCTAGGTTCAATCAAGGCCGTTCACTTACCGAATAAATAAACGCTGGTATCGTCGATGGCAGCGTTATAAGCCAGAAGAGAATTGTTGGCAGGGCTCACTGCAGCTGTAATGAAGTTAGTTAACTGTAATGAGAAATCCCCACTTCAATTGCGTCATACCTGTTGATAAAATGGATCTATTCAGACCACCCTCCATAAATCTAGGTTTCTGCGGAGTACTTTGAGCGCCGAATTGCTGAAATCCCTCAAAGATATTACTATCTCCGTCTTCAATATCGAAGTTATGTCCTATAGTGTTGCTAAGAATAGGCGACATGTGGATAGATGCCTGCGAAGTAGCGGCTGCAGTAGGTTCCAGTTCTTCAGCGCTCGTATCGACGGCAGCCGAAAGCTTTCGCTTGTATTCACGAAATTTGCTATATGACGGCGACTCAAAATTGTGGTGTACACTGGAGGAAATGGTTTTCGGGCTGTATGACCTTGGAGGAGTGATCATGGATAAAGGTGGTTTGTTCACTTGATTGACAATCTATATGGTGGATGGTGGGTCAGAATGAAGGTGTTTGTGTTATACATTCGCATACAGTATTACTCGCCTCATCGCAGAGTGAACGGCCTGGTGTCAAAGACCTCGTAGGTTTATCGTTGGTCATTTCATTCTTTGTGTGTACAGACTTGCCTCCCCGGTTTTCTTTGAACAAACGCTCGTTGATTGGGGTGGAGCCTGATTTCACCCCTGACGATCCTGACTTGTGCTCTATTGGTGCTTTCGCATGCAAGGTCTTATTTTGTGTTGTCTCGTATGTTGTTCCCTCTGCAGCTGGCCGTATCCGTCGGCCATTTCTATCGTATTGAATAGTCGGTTTGGTAGATATTGCTTCTGATGCAGGAGGATGAAGCGCTTCTACGGGTGACTTAATCCTAGACAGCTGTGATAGTTCTGATGCCGCTCCCGTTACTTTTGATAAATAAAACGTGTTAACTCCGTACAGATCATGTATCTCGGCAAAGCAAATGATTCACTCACTGTAGGGTTTATGCTTAATTTTTTCATGTGCGCCATGTCTATTGCTTTCCTTGTAGCTTGCATCCACTTTTTCGCGAACTGAATCTCTAATATCCTGCACTCGGTGCTCAGAAGACCGGACTGTAAGGCATAAGTACTGTGAACGAGCCAGCGCAAGTAACAAAGGATTGTAAAAGCATAGATTCAACTTACATCGTTTTAAGGAAGGCATTTGTATCGTGCATGGACGATTCTCTTCCATTCCAAGATCCAGACTGCGTTTTCGTTGGTATATATTGTGAACGTTGGTGTCACCATGGCTGAACCCATTCAACTGATTTTTCTCTAGCATGCTTATTATCGCTTTTGCTTTAATGGTGCGTCGTTGATGATATGCAGCTTGACTTTCCGCCCAGGTAACTAGTCGGGTATCCATCTCTATTTCACCTTCATTTGCCATCTCGCTTTTAATTCGGCGAACAGTGTTCCATGACTCCATCCACATCTGTGAAAACGCATCAAGAGGAAAGTCTACGCTGCTATCTTCATTAAGCTTGAGAGAGCTCTTGCTTGCCACCAGTAGCTCATCTGCACACTGTTCCCAAAGTGAGCCAAGTGTATCCATTCGTTGCAACATTTGTTGTTCCATATAGCTTGAAGAACTATTGCTCGTCATTTGTAGTATATAGTGTGGAATTCCGGTTCCATCGCGCTGTTGTCTCTCAACTTGTGTCTAATGCCATCGTCAGTACTATTAGTATTAAAAACAGGCGTCATATACATTCATACGAGTAAACATAATATTTACCTGGTACGAATCCAATCTCTCAAGTTTTTGCTTTATCGTGCGTTCTTTGTTTTCTGAATCAAGCCTGAATTGCTGATGTCGTGCCTCAAGCTTGGCAACAATCTTGTTTGCTTTCATAGTTGCTTCCTACAGGTTACGTTAGGATACATCTAACTATAATGACATTGCCGACAGGTCCATCTTACCTCTAATTCCATTAATCGTCGGACACTGCTATCATTACTGTTTAACGCAATCATTGGCTCTGTAATTGATAATTAGTGGTATGCAAATCATTTTCTATGACCAATTTACAACGTACCATCCAAGTACTCTCGACTTCTCTCCATCATTGTCTTCAATACGAGGGTCGAAAGGGCCATCATGATTTTTTCGATCCTATCGTCAAAGGCACACAGTTAGATAGCGTGAGCGAAAGACATGACCACAATTCAGTATGACAAACCTCTCTCCTCTGCAATCTTCAAGATAGCTTCTCCTCAAAACTATATCGCCTACTAGCCTGTTTTCCTTCTTCAGCTCTTCTAGCCATTTATACGCTACCGATCGGTACTCTCTTGGTTGCGAGCGGTAATCCACAATAGGCCAGCAGTGTGCAAACAGCTATTGAGATGTTAGAGCAATAGTTGCAAGTGCAGCGACTAGAATTGAACTAACCTTCTTCGCTTTGTGTGAATCAAGCTTGTTGAACAGAAACCAGGACATTAGCTCAAATGCTTTGGTGTTATTTGCACCCGAGAAAGCATCCTGATTTACTATAACCCCAGAGTAATGCGAGTTCGTATTGTTTGTTGGTTTGAATCCAAGAATGGATAAGTTTTCAGCTAATATATGGCGTGGAGACGTTTGTGAATGTGACATTATGCGATTCAGGCATAACGCGCAAGGGACGCGGTCCATTTCCACTTTTTTTTTACATCGTTAAACGCGCTCCCCCTCTCACTTTCATTCTCCGACCAGCATGTCAAGGCGGCAAACCAAGCAGGCAATGAATGACTTTTATGCCAAAACAAATAAACTGACGATTTCTCGTTCCAAGTCATCAAAAAAGATCGTGGTGAAAATATTCATTGATGTTCTTCTCAAGCCTTTCATGACTAAATACTGTGTTAAAGCAAATGAAGATGTTATAAACTTTAAGCAACGCGTCTCCTCTATTGTAAGGTCCATATATATAAAATCCTGCTTTCTAAATACTAAGATGCCAATGAATACTATAGGCACTATAGTTTCTCCGTTACGCCTTACTTCTTGATACCAAGGTCATCGTAGTAAGCAGGCGAATTGTGCATAGCCGCTGGTCAAGTTGTGGCATTGCTTTTAGCATTTACTGGCCGGCTCAATAATGATAATTAAGATGCAATTGAATTGAATTTTAGAACCCTTTTGTATAGCAGCAATGTGGTTTATAGGAAGAATACAAGCTTTGGCAGCGTCTGTCTTGGTAGCTGCGTCATTGCCCTTCGGAGTTTAAATCATGCACAATAGGTGTTTCCCGCCTCTGAGTAACGGGCCACACTTGTCTATCGTTGCAGCGTCATGTCAGGATATGATGACTTATTGACGTCCTCCAATTCGGGCTTTCAGGATTCTCTGGAAGATAACCCTTTTGCCGATGCAACCTCCCACAACTCTAATGTCGCCCAGTCCATGATTGAACCTAGACAAACTTCGACAGAATCAACCGCTGAGCAGGCGGAGGATTACAGCCAAATGTCAAAAAGTCTAAATAATCTAAGCATTGATAAATCGCCAAGTACGCAATATAGTTCTCAGGACACTCCTTATGAACAGTACGAAGAAGATAATGAGCCCATCGTAAGTGTGCCCCGTATGTATTGCAACCATGTTATCATTTAGATTGACTATCCGCTTTGCTTGGCTCCATCGTAGACTTCTGAGTTTGACCACACAGACAGTGTACCCGAAAGTGGATCTCGTCCGTACTTCGAGGTCAGCGTGGAGGAACCCCAAAAGGTTGGAGATGCTATTAATGCTCACACGGTGTACAAAGTTAGAACAAAGGTAAGCATATGGTGCTGCAGCGAGGTAATCTTCGATGGGAACATGCACTAAGTGCCTCACGGTAGACCAATTCATCCGCCTTCCGCTCGAGCGAGATGGTGGTGTCCAGACGATACCGCGACTTCCTGTGGCTTTATAATCAACTGACAGTCGGCAACCCTGGTGTTATTGTGCCACCTGTACCGGAAAAACATGCTCTTGGTGAGTGCACCATATCAAAATGGCAGGGTGGTACTTTTTTGAGGTAACTATTAACGATACATTGCTTTAGGCCGATTCCAAGATGAATTTGTGGAATCCCGTCGTATAGCATTGGAACGATGTCTGAGAAAAATTGTTGCCCACCCTATGCTTTATGGTGACCCTGACCTGAAAGTTTTCCTTGAGAGCGAGTCCTTCAATATTGATGTAAGTTTTCACCTTTCACTCAACTGCGTTGGCTGAGCAGTAGACTTATATTACGACAATAGAAAAATCAAAAACGAGCTGAACCAGAGACGCCAAAGGTCGGCTTTATGCGTTCATTCGGAGAAACAATCTCCAATGCTGCCACGAGTCCATTTACAAAATTTGTTGAGGTCGATGAATGGTTTGATACCCGAAGAAACCAGTTGGATATCCTGGATGGTCAATTGAAGTCATTGTTGAAGAGTGTTGAAGCTGTCGTCAAGCAACGAAAGGGTGAGCCACGCACTAGTTGACCTAGAGATGAACAAAGTTTTTGTTCTTCAAACTTTATTCATGTCCTATTCGCCTTCCTATAGACTTGGGTACTGCCTCTTATGACTATGGTGATAGCATGATTGCTTTAGCAACCGCTGAACTTAATAGACCTCTTTCTGTTCACTTGACTGTGCTGGGCGAACTGCAACAGAAGATGAAAGATTTGCATGAGAAGCAGGTACGACATCACGTGAAAATGGTGGAGCTATTCCAACCTAATCTCATCCAAACGCTGCTATTTTGTAGGCCAAGAACGACATTCTGACTCTTGAACACACGATTGACGAATACATTCGATTGATTGGGTCTATCAAGGTTGCATTTAATTCAAGAGCCAAAGCCTATCAAATCTATCAAACTACGGCAAGCGACTTGGCCAAGAAAAAAGCAGCATATGAAAAACTTAAAGTGCAACCCAAGACTCGACAAGATAAATTGTTACAATCAGAACAAGAAATCACAGCGGTACGGATTAATGATGATGCACAATTTACGTATGGTTTTTTTCTCAAGCTAATTGTCGTCATGTATAGGGGGAGCAAAAGGTTGAATCGTACCGAAAGGAGTTCGAAGAAATTTCTAAGCTTATCAAGAGTGAACTCGATCGATTCGACAAAGAAAAAGTAGAAGACTTCAAGACCGGAGTGGAAAGCTTTTTGGAAAGTATCATTGAGAACCAGAAACAGGTACGAGGTTTTAGATTATTTCTCATGCCACAATTCACCTTGCTCAATTTTTTAACCTTCTCCATTGCACCGCATAGATAATTGCATTATGGGAGTCTTATTTTGAGCAAACTGCAGACTCTGAAGAACCAGAACAAGAGCGTGAAATGGCTTAAGTGTATATTCTATCTTTCATTCATGACACCCAGTCAATAATAAAGCATCCAGCAACGCAAAGAAAACATTACCACTTCTTACCGGAACAGCGATCTGGGGTTGTTAATTGAAACCATGATGTGTTACGGATGGCGCAGATCGCTCATTGAAGTTGGGATTATTATCCAACTGCCAGCAAAGAGTAATAATAGCGCTTCTAATTGGAGACTTGCTGAGAGATTATTCATTCTCAGATGCAGGCGCCTTTCCAGGAAGGCTCCTACAATACAAGGTCAAATATAGTAGATTTCGAGTTATTGTCGTTGTTTGATGCTCCACGTGCGGTACTTGGGCAGTTCTCAGTATTCCTTCCTTTGCTATTGTGAACCCGGGCATACATCGCATGTCGCACAGTAACAAATAATGACTCGTGGAATGATCATAGAGCCAATATTAAAAATGCTGCCTGGGAATTTGCCGTGCTTTTCATCCACAATAAGACTGTGAACGCATTGATCCTCGACCCTAAGATATGAAAAAATTGCATTCTGCTTCTGTAATCCAATCTATGGATTCATACCAACTTTAGTGGCATTCAAACGGAGCGGGATCTGCAGAAAAATTGATGTGCAAAAGGGACCGAACCGCCTGACTCTGATCAACTGCTACAAAATTATTCTGAGTGAGTTGCCAATTCAATGCAAGAGTAGTGCTTTGTCGCTAGCTGTGCACTTTGGTACTAAGTGGCCTATTTCCAATGCATGATATAAATTTGATGTGTATACATTGATTGGTTTAAAGCGCTTGACTATATCCATGCGATACAATCTGATCTTCATGTTTCACGCAATAATTAGCAACAAACACACCCATTAAAACCGTCAGAGTATAATTAGAAAGTTAACAAATGCTGTACAACTTGACACCAACTTTAGCACTGCATCGATCCCAGATGCTATTTTCTTCTTTCTGCAATGCGAGTCTCACACTGGTCCTGTGGTGAGAATATTGTTCACAGTTGTCAGGTAACTTTTTCTTATTTGAAAACTCGGACTTAAAACGGGAAAGAAATAATTCTTTTAAAAAGAGACTCAAAATCCCTTTGGTTCTCAATACCGACGTACCAATTTTAATCTATTATGAAGTTCTTCCCTATCGCTGCCTTGGCTAGCATACTTGCAATCACTGCTTCGGCTGCCGTTCCCATGGAGAAGCGTGCTTCTTGCAAGACTGATGATGGTATGTTGTTATGATAATGTTTATTGCGCCATACCATGTAATTAAACATTGCGCCTCAAAGACTGTCCCGGAGTCTATTGCTGTAACCTCAGTACCAATAGCTGTGTCCTCGACCCTCACGACACCATTTGCGGTATCCCACCAAAGACTACCAAGACTACTTCTGTCAAGACCACCACTACAGGTACAGGAAAGCCCACCAGCACCCCTCAATGCAAAACCGATGATGACTGCCCTGGTAAGCAAATGATTAATTTTGAAAGAAAACATATTTACTGTTATTAATACTTTGTACTGTCTTTTGTCTATCGCTAGGTGTGACCTGCTGCAACCTTAGCTCAAACCAATGTGTCAAAGATCCCAACGATACTATCTGCGGTATCCCTCCTACCACAAAAACCAAGACTACCACGACCACTAAATCCAGCACAAAGACAACTACTGGAACTGGAAAGCCCACCACTACTCCCCAGTGCAAGACCGATGACGACTGCCCCGGTAAGAATATATGCTCATGCAGCTGCTACTGTTCATGTATCCACTTTCTGACTAAACTCGCACACTCTAGGCGTAACCTGCTGCAACTTGAGCACCAACCAGTGCGTCAATGACCCTAATGATACCATTTGCGGTATTCCACCCACCAAGACCAAGACCACCACTGGCACTACCAAGACTACCACTAAGACCACTGGTACCGGTAAGCCCACTACCACTCCTCAATGCAAGACTGATGATGACTGCCCTGGTTAGTATCTATCTGTTTAAGAAAAATTCTGGCAAGTACAAATTTCCATGTACTGATACTCTGTTGAACTGCAGGTGTCACTTGCTGCAATCTCAGTACCAACCAGTGCGTCAATGACCCTAACGACACCATTTGCGGTATTCCACCCACCAAGACTAAGACCACTACTGGCACTACCAAGACTACCACTAAGACCACTGGTACTGGTAAGCCCACTACCACTCCTCAATGCGAAACCAACGACGACTGCCCTGGTATGTACAAACTGTTGAAGCTGAATACCAATTAGCGAAATGAATTGGCTTCATCGTTTATTAATTCCTCAACTTGTATTTGAATAGGCGTTACCTGCTGCAACCCCAAGACCAACCAGTGCGTGAAGGATCCTAAAGGAACCATTTGCAACTAAAGAGCTATTTATTAAAACAGGGCATTAATTGAGCTTCTGTCGCGTATCAAGCTCAGTTTAGTCCTAAATAATATCACTAGCATGTATATGTTTGGCGAGTGAGCCCTGTGAGTGCATTGATAGCAAAAAATAACCCACAAACAAAATAAAATTTGCTTTTCTTATCGATATTGAGAAATAACTGTAACATTCGTAACTATTGCTACCAGTGAGAATATGGTAGCTGAACGGTTGGTGGTCTCAAATTAATATAATATACTGCTTTATTGGCATAGTACTTCATAGAGATGAGAGCAGTTTACTCTGCATTTAAACATATTCCACGATGGATGGAGAAAAGCAATGAGTGTGATAACTGCCGGGGTTTATTTGCGATTGAATAGAGTACAAGTTACAGAGTGACGGACGAAGTGGTTTTTCAAGATAATCGCATTGTTGGCTTCGTTGTACCTGTGATTTGTCTAGCCACCCCGAGAAAATATTGACTGATGTGAAACAAACCCCATAAGCCGGTAAAGCCGGGAATCCTTCTGATAGGGAGGCATAACCAATGATCATTCAGTAAAATTCAACTCCAAAGAAGAGCAAACGGCCTTTGGTACGCGCGCTTTGCATATGGGCGTACAGTGCATGGCAACCGCTTAAGGTAATGTTTGTTCTACCCTGCCCTTGAGGTGGATATAAAAGGACGCCACACGATTCGAACAACTTGCTCAAGTTGCTTTCTGACATATCAATATGAGCCGAATTGTCATTTCCTTGAACATTCCGGGCGTGGCCAACAACCAACCTCGTACTACTGAGTTGGATGATTAATCCAACAGACTACGTTGCATCTCCGCCGTCGCTAGCTGCGCCAAAGGTGGGGTATATAAATTCCAAGTCTTGCGTAATACACGAAGCACTATTCTTTCCCATCTATCTTTGTCGATCCGAAACCGCACCATGTCGCTAACTTTGTTAGAAATCAAATTGAACAGTGAAGATTTGCGACTGTGGTCGCCAAATACGTGGAAGACGCGATTTTCGCTGAATATCAAGGTACGTGCACTGCTGGCTAACCACAACTTTGCTCGTCGTGAGAACTCATCAACGTGCATACACAGGGTTTGTCGTATGATACAGAGTTCCATTCATTCGTCGAGATAAACAAGAAATTAGAGAATATTGCACCCGGTATTCCGGAAAACAAAGTTCCAGTGCTTATTCATGATGGAAAGGCAGTTCAAGAGTCATATGAAATTGCAAAGTATCTTGATCGCCAATTCCCCAAACCATCTCTTCTGCACAGTCAAGAAGGTGTGCATCGCTATCTGACCGCTCACATAGAAACGGAACTTGCGCCGCTCATCTCTAAAATGGTTGGGCTGAAAGTTTATGAAAACTTGGACGAGGAAAACAAGGAGTATTATAGAAGCAGTCGCGAAGCAAGATACAAGGACACACTGGAAAATTTTGCCGGTGATCAAGAGGACAACTTTAATAATTTCGTTAAAAAGTTTCAATTGATCGAACGAATGCTTGGCCAATTTGTGTGGATCAGCGGCAGTGAGCTCGGCTGGGCAGACATTGTTACAGCATCCTGGCTCATATTTTTTGAAACCTTCCAGCCTGAACGACACAATCAACTACTCGAAATATACCCTAATGCAGCAAATTGGCAGAAGAAGATGAATCAATATAAACAGACGAACAATCAGTGAATTATAATGGTGGCAACATGGGCGAAAAAGGGTTATAATTGATGCATTCAAGCTCTTAAATATCATCTATTCAACATCGTCTTCAAAAGAGTTTGTTAGCGACGTAATGCTCATCTTGTAATTTGTACTTTTTGGCTTTATAAAATTGATGTTAGTGGTGAAATTCTGGAACAAATGAATGTCAGAGTGTATTTTCATCACAGGAAACCATCACCCAATTTCGTTCTTACATACATTTTCAGTAGATGCTTGTATAGCTACATTAGCTGGTGTATCGGTGGCAACGATCATTTGGTCGTCAATGGCGCGAAAATGTTGTCGCAGATCGGTTTCGGAAAGGTACAAATAATCCCTATACTGCTCAAATAAGCCTTGCGTTTGATTATCCACCTCGACTTCAATTCCTTCCAGCATCAACTTTTCATCTTCTAATCGGTTGACTTCATTGTGCAGCCAATCGAGCTGAGCAGTATCGTTTGATTTATTGCAGTATTGCGCATCCAGCTCTACATCTCTACCTCTTTTGGCTATGTTAGTGACAAGAGTAAAGTGAGTATAGCAAAATTTAAGTTCAGCATACATCCATCGTACGTGGTTTTTCGAGTTTTTCTCTATCAGGCCGACACCTTCCAAAACATTGGTGATATCGTATATACGTCGCTTCTGAACCTGTAGTTGTACGGCAGCAACGTTAAGATCCAAGTCTGCTGTAGGATCAGACTGTAGTAGGGTTATGAATTTCCGAGTTAGCTGACGTAAAGAGCTGTCCTGGCGATGGTTGGGTGGATAATTGTTATCGCCTGTATTTAATGCTTCAGCTTGCTGTAAAGACGATGAGCGTAGTAAGGAAGGGCGTTTTGATGGTCTTTCTGAGATCTCATAAATATCAGTAGACATAGCGTGAAGGGCCGATCGTGATGGTCTCTAAAAAGTATATGGAAGAGGGAAGAGAGTAAATCGGTAAAGACTCGTTTTGGTTGGTACGTGTTACAATCACACTAGAATCTACTTGTATTGTTGGCCAGTGTGGCAAAAAGACAAATATAGGGCATATACTTTTTTCAATGGCAGGTCTCCTTGCTTTGTTTCATCTGCGGTTATTGGCGCACAGTTGAATAAACTTGACATAACCACGCTTTGAAGCAAAAACTGTCCAACTTGACGTTACCTAAGACCATTACGGTCAAATGGGTTGAAGGGGAAAGAAAGAAGAAAAAAAGTCCAGAACAACAGAGGGATACTCGCTCTAAAAAACTGACGCCGAACATATGTAGAGTGATGGTTTCGGGATGCACTCTCCGTACGCGGGGGTGGGTTTGCTCTTTTATTTGTTAAACCATATTCACACCAAAACTCCATCATCATCCTCCGAATCTATGCCATAGTGACTAGGTACTAAAGAGGAGGTTGATGGCTGTTGTTGAAGACCCGTAAAATCAACCTTGGTCGTTCGGCTATCCATGGTTCGTTTGTTTCTTTTTGACATTTTTCTTCAGTTATCCGACTTGACCAAAAGCTCGGATGAAAGCATGTATTGGGCTTACCTTTGGATCATAGCAGCAAAGCGAAAAACTTGTACAATATTACGGAGGGTAAGTAAAATAGTATCAATTATAGCCTCGTCTCGTTGCGCGTTGGAGCAGCCCGTTGTGATTAGCACCAAGGTAACAATGCAAAGCAATAGCAAAATTATATCTACAGCATTATAGTAGGAATGAAAAAATGCTCGTCCATTCGCCACCGCTCGAATGAAGACCTCAATGACCATGGCCGAGTTGATAGCATATTCAAGAGCAATAAGCGACGGTGATGGGCACACCTCATTGAGAGACTTTGATATTCGATGCAAAGATTGTCAGCCTCCTGGCAAACTCTCCCTGCGTTTGTGACAACTTGTGAAATCACTCACCAAAATTAAAGACAGCAAGCTCAGCAGAGCCAAAACTAGGTATAGAAATATATGAAATCTCGAGTATATGAAGCGATTGGCTTCATTCTTGACCATGTCCCACCACGTTAAGGTCCATTCCCGTCTGCATGAACGGAAATCAATAGTCTTCATGAGCAACAGACATTTACATGACGGCACTGGAGCAATCGCAAAGAACGCTTACTCGGAAGGATAAGTGTTTGTTAATATTGGAGTTCTCTCATCGGATGTCGACATGGATTATGAGCATACAAAAGAGTCAAGTGCAGTGCATAAGGCAGGAAAAAAAATCAGGTGCTGGAGTTTTTAACGGTAAAACTGATTTGATTTGATTCAAAAATTACACGTTTAATAAGGAGGACTTAAAAAAAAAAGTCGCCTTATAATCGACTCCAATCAGTACTATGATGAGTGGGCTCAATAGTTCTCGCTACATATGTAGGGATGTTTTGTGTCAACCATAGCTGCTGATATTGTTCATAGCGCTTTTTGCTTAGGTATTGAGGTCGGCCGCGGCTACATAAAAATCAAAAATTTAGTTAGTATGGATGATAGCAGCTCTTGCCGCAGTCATTTCTAACAAAGTACTCACATGAACCCAAAGTCAGCTTCACCATGTGCATCCAAATATGGTGCCGTCATGAAACATCCAACACCATTGTACAATAACAATAATAAGCTCCTTCTTATCCAGATATAAGCACCCACTTCTCCGCCACAGCTACAGGAAGTTCAAATGTGTGAGTTTACGGGGGTCAAATCATGAACATCAATCGTACAAAAACATGGTGAACTTACATCGCTGTGTGCATATTGCACTCTCCTTGTTCACCTTCCATACAGCAGTAGCCTTGCAAGCAAACAAACGTGCCACACAATAAACATAGTGCAGGGTCGTTTGGTACATTTCCACATTTTCTACAGGCTTTGTGCATGCTTTCTTCAAAAAGCTGATCCAGTCGGTTAGGTAAGTCAACTAGGTGGAAAACAGTTGGCAAACCGATGGATATTCTAAGTAATTGAGTGTAGGCAGGCGCATTTGTACGAATTAATGACGTTGATGTCTTTCTGGAGTAATCTATATAGTGTTGGCACCAGCCGTTAACGGCCGCCGGTTGCCGAATAATTTCTTTCATTATCTGATCTAGTGTTGGAAGTCGTAAACATTTCAGCAGTCGGTCGAATTCAGGCATTTCTTCTTCAGAGTTTTCCAAAGGTTGTATAATCAATCCATGCCGAACGACCAAAAGTATCATACACCGTCGTAGATAAGGCAATGCAAATGATCGTAGTAGGCCGATAAAGGCGGCTTCGCTGACAGTTTGGAAGAAGCGGTCAACAAAATCTCTTGGTACAGAAAGTATGTCCATAATGATATATGTGAATGCGCGAACGGTTTCCTTATCCACAGAATCGTTCTGTTGTCTATATGCTTCCAAATGCTTCCGAGCTCTGTCACCCGCAAGTTTCTCATTTCCAGTGAGGCCCTGCAACAGAGCAACGGCCGCCTTGACGATTTCGGCCGTAAACAATTGTCGTACAAAGTGGTGAATATTCAGTTCAAGATTGGGCACCATACTCATGCTGAGCTCTACTAGCACTAAAAATGGTTCGTCTTCCAGCAAAGGCTTGAGGTTCTCAAAAACAACGGTCGCTTTGCGATCTGCCTCGAGCATGGTGCGCGCAGCCTTGTTGCTGTAGAAAAGTTGAGCGACTCTAGCAACATTGACGGAAGCTTCCTTTTCCTGACTGTCGATTTCTTGATCTTCATGGAAGACACGCTTATAAAGCATCACGGTTTCTGAAAAGATCCTCAGCAACGTTCGGGTGTGTTCAGAAATGCTGTCAATCAGCGTCCCGGTGTGCTCTACTGTTAAATCGCTGGAGGCTTGAGTCGATCGACCGCGCTGAGAAATTTCGATGCTGGAAATGGTGTATCCATAAAGACCCCATAAAAGATCCATAGATTCTAAAAGCTTGGTATCTACAAGGACGGAGGTCTCTGAATTTATGCCTTTCACTATGGCTTCTAGTACGGTTGCGAGTCGGCTGTACATCTTTTTGACCAGAATCATATCGGTGGGATCAACGTTGACGTTCATTGCTTCTAAAACGGATTCATCTACACCTGCAGTTCTTCCAGATAGCCTTCCTGACCATGGTAGTCGAGAGCTGAGGTCACTGGTCATCGTCATCCAAAATCGGTCTTTTAAGAACTTGGAGGGTTCAAATTGCCTGCGTTTTTCTATTTGTACGAGCAATTCATCGATGCCTTGGGTCATAAATGTCTCGTAAAGTTGATCGTTGGCACCAGCGAGAACTCCGGGATAACTCTCAGTTTTGCCTTTCCAAACGATAGGCAACAAGGTATTACCAAGCGCCTTGCAAAGTGGGCAAAGGTATTCCAATCTTTCAAGATTTTCGGGATGCTTGTATCTGCTTTGCGCGGCATGCCTTGATTCAATGGAAGCATAATAGGTTTCAAAGCATTTGACATGCATCAAATGGCTGCATGTTGACATATGGAGACCAGATTTATGTGATTGAGGTGGGAAGCCGTGAACATTGGATGCCCTTGGTTGCTTTTTGCTCGAAGAGCTCTTCTCAGACGTTATCGGCTCTTCCTCTGGCAATTCGACATCTAAGCCTTGTTTCATGTTGAAAACATCTGCTATGACATCGGCATCGTCTAGGGGGGTTTGACGAAGGAGTGTCGATGGCTGTATAAATGCCAGCATTCCATAAAGTTGAGAGGAATCTGCCTCTTCCTGGCATACAATACAAGTACCGGTAGGGAAATGGAATTTCCTTTGAACTTCTAGTTCGCCATCGTCAGATCCTTCTAATCCATCGTGAGAAACAGCTCCAAGGTGATCCTCTTCTTCAACTTCCATGTCGGTATCAGTGTCCTCATCATCGTACATATCTTCATTTTGTGACATGAAAGTAGTCTGTGCTTGTGCAAACTGAGCCATGATCTTGGCTTGACGCTCCTTGGCGGCCAATTTCTTTCGTTCAGATTCAGACAAGCTATGTTGACCATCTGCTCCCTCAACTTGTTGAGAATGAAGCACTCGTCGTTCTTCCCTCCAAATTCGAATATGATCCTTTGCCTCCTTATTGCCCCGAGCTTCGATGTTGCTGACAATCCAAAGGCATCGCTTGTGAAGGTTTACCATTTGAGAGTCTTCAATGATTTTGAGAAGAAGTCGTAACAGTGAAATGTGCTCTCTCTCTAATTCATTTACCATCACCGGGAATGAGTCGGTAGCAGCATACCATATGAAACCAGGAAGTCCTTTCTCCTCCTTATCCCAAGTATAGCGATTGTACGTTTCTTCTGTGTAGTCGTTGTTTTCATCCACAATAGCCATCATAGCAAGATACAAAGCTTGCTCTGTGATCGTATCGCTTGTTGGTGCTGATGAAACTTTGCAGTTCCATAGAGCATAGAATATAATTTGAAGCAAGACACGGGAATGGAGCATGTTACCCATACGTGTGAATGGGCCGGATGTGATACGAGCGAGTTTTGGAATAATGAAGAAGTCTTGTGGGTTTACGTCTAGTCCCTGACTTTCTCGTTCTTTCTTCCAAATCTTTTGTAACGCGGCTTCAACATCCTCACGATTGTTGCGTGTATAATGCCAAAAGTGTGGATCGATGTTGTCGTAATATTCTGGTTTGAGTTCGTAAACTCCGTGATCGTTCAAGCCATCAGGTGCTTTAAATTTGGCAACCTCCGATAAGATGTGATCAAACTTGGCATCTTCTGACATGCTCTCGGTGATCTTTTTGCCAAGCTCTGAGTGGGCCATGGGAGATATACACAAGTTTTGAGTGATTTCTCTGCGAATCTTATCTTCTAACGACAGGTGCGCAGCGTGTGCGCGTTCACTTCCAAAGACAATGAGCAAACTTAGCATTTCTTCTACCATATAGTTGGCTTGCGAAGTATCATAAGGAGGTTGGTTTGGTTTTCCGCTGAACCAAGCCAGCAAACCAAACCGGTCTAAAATCGTGGTGAAGAGGTGATCGGGGTCAACTAGAACAAAGCCAAACTGAAGGAGGTACAGATCTGTATCAAAAGTGTTTTCTCGTAGCGAGACATCTCGATAATGGTGTGCCTGACAAAACCAATTTGCGTTTAGTAAACATGGAAGCGTGTAAGCAAAATTCCTGTATACGCTGTCATACCTGATTACGAACGCCAAAGCCATTGCGAACCCAAAATCCTGAACGAATTTGACATAACAAAACCATGGTCCTCATAGGCCAGTCGAGAATAGAAAGAATAGTGTCCTCAGGCGAAAACTTGGGATGTATCTCATGCAGCTTTGATACCATAGCATTTATGCCACCAGACCATCCGCCTCGCTCTAATACGGCCTCATCCAGTAGATGGACGTTCTCCAAAAGTTCAGATAGAAGCCAGTGGACAGGTTGGTGAAATGAGACGGGATCTTTGGATACATCGAACTTTACTACCGAAAATTCGCCAGCATTGACGGTTTTGACGGTGTGAAATTCTTGTTCTTGTACGCCAGCTACACGCAACTGAGAATATTGCAAAAATGGACTTGATTCATCACGCACTTCATGCTTTCCAGGAACCCAATCAGTTAGGTGTTTTAAGACACGCATAACAGCGCGGGCTAGCTGAAGTGGCGCCAGATGTTCGTTATCATCTTTGAGGTCGCGAACTGAGAAAGCATCACTGAAGCGTCGGCCAATCTTGGCAACCTGTAAAGTGACATTGAATGCATCTACCCAAGCGGTGCTTTCGTATTCAACATGGGATCCGGATTGTCGAACAATAGGATTCATGCCTTGAAAGATACTAACGAAATCCAAGTATTGACGCAAAAGCAGTGGCTCATTCCGTATATATCGTCGGACCGCATCCGGATTGATGATATAGCGAAGGTCATGGAAGGCATTGTAATATTTGCGAGTCACGAATGCTCGGCGTTCACAATTAATTCGCAATTCGCTAAGTCGATCCCCGAGTGGAAGAATGATTTGATCGGTAAGGAAAAAGCTGGACAGTACGGAGCACATGATACCAAAAAAGTTGTAGTCGGATACCAAGGTCGTTGCAATAGTTGGTACGGTTAGAAGCTGCACTGAGAACAGTATAACTGACAATGTGAATTCTCTATCACGAAGCAGGAATGCATCTGCTACACTAGGATAGTTTCTTGCAAAGCGCACACCTGCATGAATAAACTGTTAGCATTGTAAGGAACTGTAGTTTCAAAAGGTGGTTAACAGTGCTTACCTAAAATTCGCTTGTACGATAGGTTTGCTACCAAAGTGCTGATGAACATCTTACGCAAACACATGCGCATATCTTTCCATAATCGTAAGTCGAGCAGCATGAAATAGTCTAGTCTCAATTTCTGCTTGAACTCTGTAAGCATTTTGGATCCAAACGGTTGGTCACCACGCTGCTTCTTCTTTGCCATGGCAGACGCGCCAATTTGTTCCGAGAAATTCAATTCTTGATTATCCAGGTCTTGGAATTCTTGTATCAAACCCGACAGGTCCCAAGACAGATCCGCAATATCCCCATGTTTACGACGTTCGTGCCATCTTTTTCGCTCTACTTCACGTCGTTCCTCATGATCTTCAAATGTATGCTCCGTTTCGTGCTCGGAGTCGTCGGACGTTTCAAATTGCTGCCGCTGCATAAAGGACGGGAATGTATCTATGACGTCTGTAGGCTCAGCACCTAAAAGTTGATACATGGTAACATCGTCTTCATCAAGGTCATCAACAACTATTGCTTCCATCATGGCGGGTTCCGGAATCGGCATATCGTCGTCGTCATCGTCTTCATCAATATCATCATTATCCTCTTCCTCTTCTTCCTCTTCAGGTATTGACTTTCTTCGATAGCGTGTCGATAATGATGCCAAAGCTGGCTTCAATGCCCACTCTTTACAAAGTTCTTCACATATAATGTCACGAATGATGGTACCACCATCTTGTACATCAGGAAAGAATTTGTAATGTCCAGAAACAATGTGATTCATCCAATCACATAAAAGAAAGCAGACTTGTTCACGAAAGACATCTCTGGCAGAGCGAATCGTAACAGCAAGTCCAATTGATGAGATGATTTTGGCGGTCTTTACAAGCTCAGGCAAATTAGTGGATTGTACAACAACTTCACGGCCCTATAATATGTAGATTAGTAAGCTAAACATCACAGTGAAGTGACTCATAATTTAAAATACATACATGTGAATCGACTGCTTCTGCAACTGCTTTTGCTCTTGCCGGTGAGCACAGAGTAGCTCTGGTGACTACGTCGATAACCTCATCGAAAGAATGAGTTTCGTCATTCCACAAAACGAGGGAATAGATTTCTTTTTCATCGTCGTCATCATCATCGCTGACATATCCAGCTATGCCGATCTTTTCAGTCATAGATGCATCTTCTACTCCCGGTTGGTGAGACTTTGATTGTTTATGTGTGCCACTAGGTGCGGCATCATCGTCTTCCATATCATCCTCATCAAAATCTTGAAGGATCTGGTCTTCTTGGTTGGAGAAATCAGGCAATACACCTAATGCAATCATTGTAGCTCGCGCTTCTTCCTCAATCTCCTCTTCGGGACGTGGAAATGAAATCTCTTCAGGTGAGGTTGAAAGCGTTTCAATCATGAAATCCAGGATTCCACTAATAGTTCCTCGTATCGAGTCGAGTAAATCCGGTGGTACAGATGAGAGTGGCATTTTCGATGTTGATGATGCCCCCGGTGATGAGTTATTGCTAGCATTGGCTTCTTGTTCGCCACTTTGGCCATTTCCAGCTTGACTGTCGGCTTCAATCGAATGAATAGAGCATATTACTGGCACCTTCCACGCTTCCGGATCACCACAGTCGCAGCAGCCACCTGCGCCTGGGCTAATAGAAAGAGAAACATCGTGTCCCTCATGGTCAGTTGCATGATAGCATCGAGAACAAAATACACATGTATCGTCAAAGGCACAATTTCTGTTTCATCCAATATGAGTGAATTAGGTAATAAAACATTTTGAACCGAGTTATGCAGACTACATACCTGCACTGATAAATGGCTTCTCCTTTTTTAAACACATGTCCACATTGCCTTCCTCTCTGTGACTCCCAGTATTCTGGACCATCACTATCCTCGTCTAGAATGACGTTCTCCGTATTGTTGGAGAGGGTGGTGTTACCGACAGAATTAGACTGCTGTCTATGCTTTGCTATTATTGATTTAAGATTGCGCCGATCTCCAGTTGCAGTGGGAAAGAAGTACTTTTGCATATAGTCTATATTGTCGTGCCACATCGATTGAAAGCATTTTACTATAATCGATTGTTGAGATATAGAATTGTACTGGTATAGAGATCGCTTCGGTGCCTGCGCTAAAAACCGCTTGAGAGGCAGCGCTGTTCGTTGTGGTGATGGCGAAGTAGTGAACATAGCTTCATCGAATTTGCTTGAACCTTCATTTGCCATACTTTTATTTGTGTTTCTGTCTGAACTGTTATGCTCACCATCGGCCGGGTTCATGGTGCAAGGACGAGGTACTCCTTCCAAATCGTAGGAATGGCTTCCTTCTTCAGTAAACGAAGCATGCTTTATCACGTGTATGTGACTGCTTGGAATCTCGTCATGCTGGCCATGAAGCTTGGACAAGGCAGTGAAGTGTGGCTTTTTCTGTTCGCAATTCCTCAACTACGCTTGACCTTCTGCTCAGGACACTAAACAAATGTCTCGACCACAATTACCAGCTTTACCGACTATTGAATTGCCCGCCTTTTTGGAACCTCTTAAGCTTAAGAAGTTTCCATTGAGGACCTTCCCTGCAACATACGAACCTCCAAGACCAACGAAACCAACCCTTCAGGTCTTTGGTCCTGGTTGGGAAGGCAAGCAGGCAAGCTTTGATGTCGATTGTCTTTCCATGCAGGTAAGTCATTTCCGACACCAACTTGGAGCGATTGCTAAATACTGACGTCTTGTAATTAGGTATACCTCAAGTTTTGTGGTGTAGACTTTGACGTTGTACACAGCAACGAGCCGTACTCTTCACCAAAAGGTACGTTCACACATAGTGCGCGTGTCAAACCCGAAAAGAGGACTAAATTTCAAATATGTCTACAGTAAAACTCCCATATCTTGTTGTTCCACCCGACCATTGTCTCTATGGCGAACAGATTCACCATTGGTTACAGAAGAATGTAAGGATACTATACTGATGGACAGTTTTACGGTGTAATATGAATCCTAATTGCAGAATTTATAGGAAAAGAACAAGAGGCTTGAAAAGGAAGCCGAAGACATAGAATCAAAGGCGTTTGTAACAATGATAGAAAAGAAGCTGGGGGCCGCTTTGGTAAGGACAGATCAATGAACTTAAATTTAATACGTCCATGGACGTCTAACATCATGTTGTCATTGCAGCTGTTCACATTATGGCTAGAGCCATTGAATGCATCGGAACTGACATCAACCAAATACTTCGGACATGTTTCTAGTCCAATAGATAAGCTTCTCGCTTACCGAAAGAAAGAGGAAGTAGTACAATCGCTTTTGATTGATCGCGATGTCCTCATTCGAGAAGAGATATACCAGTCAGCAGCGGATGCACTGTCTGCCCTATCAGTGAAGCTAGGGGCAAATGATTATTTCTTTGGTAGCGAGTAAGTCAAACATGCGGTCACTAAAATATGACTATACCCTACGGTACTAACCGTTAAATAATAGCTACCCTACTTATCTCGATGCCGTTGCCTTCGCTTACTTTCATGTTATACTCGCCATCCCTCAGATAACTGATTCGAACGCTGACAAGGAAGCAAAGCGTCATGCCACAGAGCTTCGCAATCTTGTCCTCAACCACAGCAATTTAGTCAAATACACGAAGAAGATGTACAGTACTTGGCTCAAATAATGTTTGCCCTACAAATGTAACCTACATAGAATAAAAGAAAGTTAATGAAGAAGAGGTATTGGGCTGGATTGGGTTTAATTGTAAAGGGCCAACTGGGAGCAAGTATTATTTTCAATATCTAGTATTGTGAGCGGTGCAATATTGTTCTCAGCCGCTGCTTCTAACTCGTTTTTGCTACTGTAAGAACGTTTTTCAAACCGATTAGACCGAAGATAAAAAAGAAAAATAGCAACTATTACTTACTTAGGATGTATTTACTTCGCTGCTGCTCTTTATGCACAAAATTTGTCTGCTTTCCCTTAGTTCTGGAACAGACGCCTGTCTGCGTACGGAAGTGGAAAATTGAGAGCTGTGACTGAAGGCAAAATTTCGAACTGCAACTCATGGATTTTTTTTTGGGCAGCTCCTATAGCACAAGAGTTACCACTATGTTTTACGATTTCAATATACCATACCCGACATCGGCTGCAGATCGCGTAGGTTATGAGAATCTGAAGAAAATTCTTGTACAGCTTTCAAAATGTAAGTGGCTTCAATATCACTTTGCTGCATAGCAAATGCTAAGCTTAATAACACAACTTGTCACGATCCGTTATGTCTTCAATAGATCGGCGAGGTGTGGTTGCGCTCAATCATACTGTCGTTGGCAAAGTCAATGCTTCCCAGGTAGTTAAACTTCTCTATGTTCATATGTATTTCATTTGCAGCACTAACGCAAATATAGGCAAATCCAATTCTACCTGTTGAAGCTTCACCAGATATACAGCAGCTGTCTAGGTTAACAGTAGTTGCTGACGATGTAACGCACAATTATGGATTGGTAAATAAGCTTTTCATATGCATGTTTATCTACCCATAATATTTTGATTGTACAACTAAGCCGTTGAATTATCTGATAGCATTCGAACAACCCCACTGTCAATGCCTTTGATCTATTAGCAATCCGTACATCGAACGAAAAGGTCTTTGCGGCTGCATGCTCTTCATATGAAATCGACATTATCTCGCTAGAATGTAGTAGCCGGCTACCATTTTTCTTGAAGGGCTCAACACTTGGGCAGGCGTTGGATCGCGAGGTGTATTTCGAAATTTCCTACGCGGCTGGCATACGAGGTTCGTTCACCTTTATTTTTTACCATACCACCCTCTTAAAATACACAATATACTCACAACTAATGCCTCAGATCAAAACGCACGCCGGCATTTGTATAACAATGCAAAGCGATTGGTTACTGTAACCAAAGGGAAAAACATCATCTTCTCAAGTGAAGCACTCAACGCTCTCGAGATCAGAAGCCCTCACGACCTTATTGCATTTGGGGTTTCCATTGGTCTTAATCAAGCGAAAGCAAAGGATTGTATCACTGAGAATTGTCGACGAGTATTGAAACGAAGCGGTAAGAGGGGGATGTCTAAGATCAAAATCGAATTGCTGTCAGTGTTTTAATTCCTACACTTATAGAGACGAGGAGAGTAACCCATAAAGCAGTTATTAGTGTTGTGTCAGATAAATCAGCAGAAGCGGTCAAGAAACGAAAGAACGAAGCAGATAATTCACAAAATGCAAAGTCAAGGAAAACACAATGAATGTACACAGCTTGCCTTGTTTCCATGGCATCTGGAATATTCAATAGATCTCCCAATTAGTAAAAGCAAACGCTTTGTTCTGCTACATCAAAATGTATTAATTTTTATTTTACTATGATCAATATGCAGTATTTAAAGTGGGAGAATTCATGATGAGTGTTATTACAATATAGAGTATTCTGACTAAACTTTTTAGACCATTGAATTTATAGAATGACGTTCTTGACTGACCATTCCAACTCTGAAACGACCAATTCCTTGAAGCGCTTCAAACTCATCCTCTGTCAGAGTAATGGTCCTCTCTTCAGATTCCTGATTGCTGCTCTCTATGTCTTGGCAAAGAGACTCAATTGGGTTGCACAAATCAGCTACCGATAACCGTCTCGTTTGATTTGCATTTCGCTGTTTCTGATACTCAAGTTTAGAAAGTGCAGAATCATAAGAATGATGCCGTCTATAGAAACTTTCAGGTGTTTTGTCTGGATTTTTTACAAGATAGGTAGCCAACTTGGGTAAGATACCAAAGTCGGTATCATTGGGTGAGAGCGGGGATAGTGGTCGGTGATGGTCACTAATGGACTTCCTACGCCAAGAACCAACTGGTAATTTCCAGGAACGCAAAGCAATGTACCCTATCGGTGACTCGTTTGACAATGGCGGTGACAATGGTGCAAGAGTTGGTGATGGAGTAACATCATATTCCGTTCTTGATTTCCATGAACCGATAAGACGTTCAACAGGCGGAATGGTTTCGTGTGTTATGTAGGACGGAGGAGGGAGGCAGTTGGCAATTTCATCCATAGAAGAACGTGAGCGTTGCGTACCGCCACTCTCTCGACGGGGAGCGGAATCAGCCCTTTGTCGCTTGTACGGCATATATTCAGAGTCGTCAGATGACATTTCAGGAGAAGAATTCAATGAGGATCGTGAAATACTGCGCTTATGCAAACTAGAGGCGGTGCTGTTGCTGCTGGTAGAGTCTCTTTTGGTGCTACTTTTTTTGCTTTTGGGTTTATTTCGACGTACAGCCTTTCCGTTACTATGAGTTTGCGTGTGTTGCATCATGTTATCGAAGCGACTGAACATTCTACCGCATCCAGGCACAACACATTGGAATGGTTTCTATTAAACAGACAAGATGTTAAAAAATCTGTGAGCATATATGTTCGCACGTTACCCTTTTCATTTTCACTACCTCTCCAGTGTGTTTTCTAAAAATATGAGTTATAAAATGTCCATCAGTATATTGATCAATATATCCCACTTTGATGCCAATTGATTGCTTACCTCGCATGACGAGCAAGGTGCTCGCTTCGCGTAAACACCATGTCACAATTTCCAAACCCTGTACATCGAAACAGCTTTGGTTTTCTAGATGCATCACTGCGACTTGCCGATTTCATGCTGCTTGCTGCGGATCCAGAGTCATCCGTCATTTAGTGGTACTTCTATTAAGATGCCGATTCAAGGAAGTTGCTATGGTGTCCCTGTTGTTCCTGATTATCTGACTGGTAAAGGATTGGATCCAGTGCAGTAGAACTGTATGATTGGCGTGAAGTGAGCAAAAAGCTGAGTCACCTAATGAAAGGGGATCGAAAAAGGTTTAGTCAGGTCAGTGAACAAACTTTTATTTTTATATGTCTGTAGATTGGAGAATAACTGAGGTAGGTGGTTCAAAGAATATAGCGAGGTGTACGCTCAATTGGGAAATTAAGTCTTTCAAGGTTGAGTTGCTCCCGACACCTGTTCGGAGCAAGCAGTCTATCCATGTTAGCATAGCGTTGGTCCAATCCGAGGGGAATTTTGATTCTACAAATTTTATGGTATTTTACATGAGATCGGCAAATGCTTTTTTCAGATGATTGATGTTCTAAGCATCAAAGCACTCGATCGCAGGGAAGTGTTGCTGGCTCAAATTGCTATTTCTTGAATTTAGCAGCAGGGACAGTCTCCACGGCATAAGAAATGTTCCGGAAGGTCGTATCGGGGAAATAGTCTATCCATAGCCTACCTATTTAGAATATCAACGCATGTACTGTCGGTTGATTATGGAATGTTTCACTTTCTTCAACTCTATATTCCGTAACTGGATTTCCATTGAAATGGTGTAGTGAGTGTACAGTGGTCAATCGTAAAGAACGGAAAAGGTGGGAAGACATAATGGAAAAATGACTCTATTATTCACAATATAAGTAAAAGATTGAAGTGATGTGCACCTATGAACAGATACATATTGCGTGGGAGGTACCTAAGGCTAGGTCTAGCACTATTCTAGGAGAGTCATCAAAAAGCACTTTTTGAGGTACGAAAACATGTTCCAAATGCCCCAATCCTAACCGGCCGGCGTGGCCACCAAGGCCCCAAATGTACAACTGCCCTGATTCTATATTATACAATATGGCGTTAGTTTAGTAGACACACATTGAAGCATTGTTAAATACGCACCAGAAATTGCTGCAGCCATATCTTGTACCGCAAAAATCTTGGTGATCCTTTCATCGATCTGCACTCGCCGCGGCTCTAGGGTTTCTATAATACCTTTGCCCAAACCAAGGGCACCATATCCACAGCTGTATACTTCTCCATTACCTTTTGAATTATCATAAGTATGCAGTATGTAATAGTCTACAACCTTTAACAACGCCTACCCTTCAATATTATGGAAAAAGGACCGCCTGCAGCAATGTCAACCACATCACTAATGCCAGTTTCTAATGGTTCCAATATCTTTTGGTAAGGGAGAATGTGAGAAGAGCGACCAGTCTACGGTATACAACATTCTGACCGGTTAATAGCACCTACCCTGTCAATTTTTCGAGAAAGCATCCCTTGACCATATTCGGAATTTCCCCAGGTCCATAGCTTGCCTTCATCTATAATAGGCTTAAACATAAACTTGCGTGTCTGCCCTGGCTTGTAAAACCTAATACTTACCTGTCAAAACAAGGCTGAAATCGGTGGATCCTGCTAATTTGGAAATGTGCTTCCCCTCCATGAGTGGGACTAATGTTGGGGTGCTTCTGTCGCTTGAAGAATCAGGCCCTAAGCCAAGTTGTCCGTCTGGTCCCCAGCCCATTGAGTAAACATGTTTCTTATCTGCAAAACGTTCAGTGACAACAATTAGAATAAAATTAAGGTAGCAGTCTCTGTTAGAAGCTCTGAAGGTTCTCACCAGTAGCTAATACCGTGTTGTCTAATCCACATGCTATATGCGTAATATTTCCATCTATTCCGTCCACTTGAACAGGGGTTGATTCTAATACTTGCTCTGCCACTGGCGAATCGTGTTTACTTTTACCCGTGCCCAATTGGCCATACATATTGTTTCCAAATGAAAACAACTTCGTTCGGCCTAAAAATAGCGAATATGAGGTATTGTTGGCGTATTACGAATTGATATGTCTTCGAGCCGGGCAAAGTCTACCTTGTTCATCTTGGCTTACAATATGTGAATGTTCACGGCCCGCTGCTAGAAATTTGATTTGGTCGTCTGAGACCATTGCAACGCCTCGATCACAACTATCAAACGATTGTCTACCAATTCCTGCATCGTATTGAATATAAGAAAAACTTGCCTCAACAGCGGCATATGGAAAGGTACCTCACCTAACTGACCGCTGCGGTTGAGACCGTACGAATGCACAGTGGAAGAGTATCCATCGCTAGTGGCTATCAAACTATGACCCCATCCAGCTGCGATGCTACATATCTTTCCGTCCTGTAAACGTAATGATATCTCAGCTTTAACTATTGAATTTTAGTGACTGGCTACGGGCTAATTTTTACATACGTGATGCTGTATAGGTTCAATGATCTGCTTTGGTTGCACGATGGATTCAACATTTTCAGTTACGGGAGGTAGGCTTGACCTTAGACCCCAGACCCAAAGAGAATTGGCGTTTGTCGCGGTGTGAATAGACCGCTGCAGACCAGCAGTACATTTCCTTGAATAACGCAACAGCATGCTGTCTAAAAGAAAGAGGGAGCTTAGTTCATACAAATTCGCGCTCGAAATTGTGACAGCTCAAATTGCAGAAAGGTCAAAAGATTGGGTATGAACAGGTGCAGTTTTTATTCACGCAGCTGTAACTCTTTTCTTCGGTACTCGGAACAATGATCGAATTTTATCTAACAGCTTGGCATCAACTTCCTTCACTTTCTTTGTCGCTACTTCGGCAATATGATTATTTGTCTTCAGAGGGGCAACTTGGATTCTCTTGCCAGCAAATAATCCCGTCTTTTTTGGTTTAGAATCCGATTTATCCTTGATTTGCGGCTGCGGTCCAGTGGCCTTGTCCGATTTCTTTTTCTTCTCTGATTCTCCGGTTACATTTTTCTTGGCCGCGTTGCTCTGTTGCTCCTTGGTGTGAGCCTTTGGTTGGTGTGTCACGACGGGATGGCTAACCTCGGGTTCCATTTTATTTTCCCGAGCTTTATCAGATTTTGATGATGGCTCATTCTCTTCGGTGCCAGGTAGAGGCTTTGGCATAGTAAGAGGTACAGGGGTTGATAAAGATTGAGTATCGGTGTAATTTCCATTAAGCCATGCGTGTTCCAAAATATCTTGCGCAGATGCTCTATCAGCAGGCTTCACACAAAGCATTCTTGCTATGAGTGCAGCGGGGGACGACTTGATGGAGTGTGGTACATTGTAAGCGCCAATGCTTATTTTTTTAAACAAATCAGGCATGTTCTCGCATTGGAAAGGAAGTTTTCCTGAGAGCATTGCGAATAATATGACACCACAGCTCCAAATATCGACCTTAGGTCCGGTGTAAGGTGTGGCTGTCACCATCTCCGGAGCGGCGTAAAAAGGTGAACCGCAATACGTAGTCAATAACTGCTGATCATCGCACACTTTGCCGAACCCAAAATCACAAAGACGTATATGTTGATTCTTGTCCAAAAGCACTGTAAGAGACAAGGGTTTAGCCTTCTAAAACGCAAAAAATTAAGTACCAACAATTTCGTACCATTTTCCGGCTTCAGGTCCCTGTGCACTATGCCATTCTAAGAAACATGACGGATCAGCATATTTTGAAATTAACAAACTTTCCATTGATGAAAAGTGCGCTTACATCGTGAATGTATTTGACAGCTTCGACAATCTCTTTGAACCATTGTTTAGCCAAATTTTCCTCTAGTCTTCCCCTTTCCTTTATTTTGTCGAAAAGCTCTCCACCTTCAAGGTACTCCATGATGATGTAAATAAAGTCGTCGTCCGTTATAACTTCGTATACCTCTACAATGTTTTTGTGGTGAAGTCTCATGGAGAAATCGTGTGAGATACTTTTTTCATTAAGAGCGTGAATCTTTTGGTCCTCATTTTTGAAGTTTCGTTTATCAACAGTCTTTATAGCAACCTTTTCGAAGAAGTAAAAGCAAAAAAGAGGGGAAAAGGTTGGAAACTGCAGAATACAGCGATCTTCACGTTCGATTTAAATCTGACAAACCTGTTGCAATGTCTGTCGATGTTCAGCTAGGTATACTTTCCCAAAATTTCCTTTGCCTAGAGTTCGAATACGGCGATATTGCTCGTCAATGGTGTACATTCGTCTGGATTTGACCTGTCATAGGGGAGAAGTCAGAAGAAAGATGGTGTTTGGACAGCATAGAGAACAGTATAACGCTAACCTCATCTTCTCTAACTACCTCTGACATTATTTGCCAATTTGCAAGAAAACAATGACAAAGTGCGAAAGCGACGAGATGCTCTTGCAAAGAAGAGATGCGATATTTCGGAAACTAACATTCGAAGGTAACAAGATATCAGACCAAGCGATCATTTGCCTCATCAAAAACCAGACTGATTTCAAGGCGAAGAAAAAATTTTTAAGGGCACTAATATCCAAACGATTCGTTTACAGTGGCAAAAGTAAATTTATTACTGGGGGTTGGTGATGGATTTGACTTTAAACTGCAACGGCAGGAGAGTCCATCGGTGTATCTCGTGTAAAAGAACTTAGGAAACTAATATTATAGTCGTAATCAATCATCATCATTAAATTCGCCATCTCCATCACCAGTTTCTTCCTCATCGTCTGCTTCTATTATTCGTTTCCGTCTACCCGATTTTCTCACCGGTCGCGCAGTGGGAGTACTCTTGCCCTCTGCAGGTTGTCCTGTTGGTGATGATTAAGTTAGCAGTGCCATAAAATTTAATAAAGGATAATTAACGATTAAACTAGTAGCTTACTTGTGCGAAGTTGCTTGACACGCTTTGCAGGAACCACTGGTGGAGGAGGTGGTGTATCATTTTCATCTTTTGTTTCGCCTTCGGTGCCCTTTTCACGGCAGGCATTTAACCTCGCCTCAAATTCATCAATAGATCCTTTCATCTCGGCCTTTTGAGACTTTTGCATTTTGCCCTGGTGAACCAAAATAAGTTTTTTTTTAATTTACACAATTGCTCCGATACACATGACTGATACCTGGCCACCTCTATTTCCATAGCCATACTATTGAATATCAAAATCTGGATCTCAACTATACCTTTACAATGATTTCGGTGAATAGCTTGGACACTCCTTCCTCGTGGAGCTTATCCTGATACAGTGGCATATATTCCAAAAGTTTGCGATAACTCTTTTCAGACTTGAATGGCAATAGTGATAGACAAAATGTAATATCCCTCCAGAGTCTTTCATCGTCACAGTTTTTGTAGCGTAAGCATAGTTTGTCCATGACATTTTCCGCTTGTTTTTCCTAGATATATATGACGGGTCAGATCGAGCTCCGCAGTCTGTAATGACTAAATGTTAATGTTGGCACTTACTTTCTCTGCAAAATCAAACGAAAACAAAAACTTCATGATCTTTCTAAATGGTTCCTCTTGGATTCGAGTTTCGGGATTAGAGAGACTGCTAATAATGTCCGGCAAATTGTTGTAAATCGCATTGTCCTTAGAAGCAAGTTCGCTGAAAAACAATTTCGCTAGGTCGGATATTCTTGGCTCTGGGTCTTCTAGGCACTTTGCCATTTCTGCAATTTGTCCTTTGATTTTGACCATACCGTTTAAGATAAGATGCGTTAGTACCATGAGCGCATTCTTCTTCACAAGAGTGTCGTCGTCAGACAAGCGGTTGTATAAGAAGGATATGTTTTCGTCAATCAGCGTACTAAAGCAAACAGCCATGTCTCCCAGAGCGATGACCAAGTTGCTTCGAATAGCGGGATTTTTAGATTTTTCCAAAATGGTGAATAGCAGTTGGAGGTGAGATTCACAAAAGTCTGAACTGACACACATGAACTTGGATAGAGCGAGTGTTGCTGTCACTTGGAGGGTTGGATCCTGTAATGATGGAGTCAGATAGAGAATTGAAATTAGCAGTAAGCATCAAAATCATTACTTACTGTGTAAACCTTGTTTCGGGTGCAAATCTCTGCCAGCAGAGGTCCATATTGAGCGAGCAGTGAATCGTTGCCAAATAAGATCTCTCTTTCTCTAATGAATAGCATATGGTCACCAATATCGTCGTCAGCTGTTCCGCCAACTTGCTCCAATTCATCTTCAACAGCAGATCGTGCCTTCGTATCTGAAAGCCAAAATATCCTTCAGTATGCATACTAACGAAAACTGCAGTCTCTCTCTACTTTACCATCAGCCTTGCGCTTTTTCCTTTTCCAGGCAGCTTCGATGATTTCCATATGGACAATATGTTTGATTGCAACATGACCGAGTATGGAGCAAAGTTGGCTGAGCTTCACCGATTCAGTATACACGGCAGATTGCGGGGGTGGTGCAATATGTGCTACACTAACGTCGTATTCCACCTGCATAGCATCTTCACCTTCCAATTCACCGTTGTTGTCCAACATAGGCGTATCGAGTGGAAGATCACCACTACCAAATGTCTCAATTGTCTTCATGCGAATGATTTCAGCACATAAGATTTCAGGATGTTCTCCAAGGCCGTATATCGTATTGATTGCTTGTTCAGCCATTGCAAACCACTCAGGAGATGTGCTTGGTTCTTCAATCATATTCTTTAGTTTTTTAAAAATGGCATGGTCCATAGGTAGGCGAGTGCCTTCATGAAGCGCTTTTCCTGAACGGCTAAGGTTAGTATACGAAGCACTTCCACATAATACTATGTAAGCCAACTCACCCTTATCATTTTCCTTACTACCTCCAAGTCGTTGTAATGCAATGCAAGTGTATTTTGCAAGGGGTAAATCAGCCTACAGTCGAAAGGAGATCAGAACATAGTCTATTCATTCTCATTCACAAGGGAAATTTTGAAGTTTACCCTGCCATAAGACCCAAGACCAACTTTGAGCAGAACATCGATCTTCTCAGATACAATTTCGCTTTTCGCCTTTGCCAGCATACCAAGGATAATGATGGCGCCGCGTCGTTGAGGTTTTGGTATTTCACGCTTAGAGTAACCTTGAAAATGCCATCATGTTAAACACGTCAGACTGTAGCTTACAAAACATTGTCAGACACTTACTGTAGACTGCCCAGAGCTTGTCGATAACTTCTTCTGGAATATGGTTTTGACTCATTAAAGTGCACAAAAGCTGTTCTAAAGATGTAAGCTCGGCCAAAGTTGTATTGAAAGTAAGCCTGGAAAGTGGATTAATGATCATGGTAAGTATCAAATTATAAACTACAAATACTTACTGTACTAAGTTTCTTGCAATAGTATTGATGTTCTCTTTATCTGACAAATTGCCATCGAACTCCAGATATAATGACTTGTAACATTCCAAAAGCTTTGTTTTAACACCTTTCCCTTCATCAGAGTTATCCTTAGTCCAGATCAAATGTGGCATTCTCTTGATTCCTTCCTGATAAGCAACTCAACGTCAATAAAATGAATTCAAAGACGGCCGTAGCAAGTGTATACTTACTGCTGAAGCTTCAATCTTGTAATTCCACGCAGTGACAAAGAAATCCATTGACTCTACCACTTCTACCTTCGATTTGGATGCCAAAAGCAAACAGATAAAAGGTATGGCTGTTTGTATCTGGCTGATGAATTTGATTGCGTCTGCGTTGAATCGAACTGCTAGATTTATACGATGATATTCATCCGTAGAAACAATACTGGATGGTGGTACGTTGGCACGTTCTGGACTTGGGGTTGGAGGACTTGCTGTTGGATTTCCATCATTTTGTTCGGAGCTTTCATCTACTGTTTTATCTTCCTCATTATTTGCTTCTTCCATTTCGACGTCTTCTGAAACTTCAGTTTGCGGTTGGTGCGTATCGTCAACTGTACCATTAGTGTCTTCATTCTCATCGTCAGCCTCTGCAAGTCGTGTTTCTTCCGAGACTTCTTGTAATTCTTGTGGCGCCTGAATCGCCTGAGCGATGGAAGAAGCGCATTAGCGGATGCAACGCCATTAATTCAAAGTTCGACGTTTTATACTTACTGCCAATTGATTTTGTAACTCTTCGTATCGTTCCTTCCATTCGTCCATATCCAATAGTCCTCCGTACATAGTGTATGGATGAGTTTGAATCAATTTCGTCAACACTCTAACAGCATATCTACGCACAGAACTAGTTTTATCTTCCAAGTGACGGATGGCAATGGTGCCCAGAGTGTGGCGTCTCTTCGGGAAACTAGCCTTCTTCAAACTAATTGAACAATTCTGTCAATGCTCGTTCATGGTGGAGCATAGAAGGTAACAAAAGACTTACTCCAAGATTTTGAGGTATATTTGCAATACTTTTGATCTAGTGAAAGCAACAGAATCCAGCATTCTGTCTTCCAACACATCAAAGAATCCATTAATCTGCAAGTTGTTCTGATTTTCTTCCGGTTTAGTAGTCATGTCGATGATAAGATTGCCTACGACTTCCACGATGGCCATACGCATGGTGTAAGACTACAAGTTTCGATTAAAAAGGTTAATTTTTTCCAATGCCATCTTCGCTTTGAGAAGATATCTTCTGAAAAATACCTCGCTATCCAGCTGTCCTATCAGTAATCCCATGTTTTTAAGCACAACTTTCGGACAAAGTTCTGACATTCTGACCAAAAATGCGGCAAAGGTTTTGCTATTAGGAGAGTCTTTGAGTTCCTTGCTTGTGTTATCTTTGAAGACTTTGTTGCTGATATCTCTCAAAACTTCGTCACTTAATTGCCTGTGGTCGTGATTCAGGACTAGTACTTGAAGAAATTCTGCCATAGGTTCGGCAGAATGTTCCCAGTACTGTAAATCTTGAATAATTGTTGTTTGTGCGCCTATTGGGAACGGATTAGAAGCATGATCGCCAATACATCTCGTAACGTGATTTTGTGCCTTACCAAATGCTTGGCCATATTTGGTAACAGTAATTCCAAGAAGATTAAAGACAGTTGCTTTCACGCCAGAGTTTTTGATACTGGCGGAACTCTCAAATATTTGATACGCTGGTTTCGTGAAAAGACTGATGTAAAGTTGGTGCAATATGTCAGGAAAGATGTTGGTGCATACATCTTCTTAAATGGTGAAAATTACCTCAATAGCAGATCTCGTTCCGGAGTCAGTGGCCAAATCTTTTGTATTCGTAGCTCGAGTAAGGATGCCATAAGCTCAAAGGATCGCAGCTTTTGAGGATTCCAATCCCAAGTGCTACTATCATCATCTTGTGCCTTCGACTTGCTGCGCTGGAATTGAAATATCAAGGATGTGTGAACACAATTGAATTGTACCATCAATGAAAAGACTAGCTCGTTATAACTACCTTCATTTTCCCGGATGTAGAAGACGATTTTTCTTCCATCGTAAGCAGAAACCAATGTAATATGAATCCGTACATTTCCAATACTGTTTTATGAGTCGCAAAAGTTTCCTTCTCATTGGCTTCTATGTCGGCTGATGTCGCTTTGATCTCCTGCCGAAATGCTGACAGAACAATATCAACCAGTCGAGCTATAAATTTCGGTCTGACATTATCAAAGTTCCTGTCAAAGTTGGGGTCAGCGTTTACGTGTAGGAGCTCAAGCGGTCAATCAATCACTTTTTACTTTATAAAACTCCTAATCTTATCGAAGACCAATGGTTCTGCGATGGTATCTGAGGATACCTCTATTTTGTCAACAATATCTATTGTACCCATTTTCGTAAGTTAGTCAAGTCTCTTGTCTTCTACGCAATTCTTTGGTGCTCGTACCATTCAAATAGACTTCCAGCTCCTGGCGATTGCGGCCGATAAGGATCACTTCATTTAGAATGTGGTAGTTCTCGATGGAGTCTTCTTGAAGATGAAGAAGCTCGTCATGAAGGTTGAAGTCGAGATCCATGCAATTGTCTTTTGCTGCTCAATGGAAGACGTTACAGGTGACTTCGACACGTTCAATTTGGGAAAAAACGCGCCTGGCAGGCAGTCACGTAATTCACCAGAAAAGACAGGAGAAATTTCTGTCTACCAAGTGAGGTTCAGTTATGTCTTCGGATTTTCGAGACGATCACGAAGAAGGGATCGATCAAGTAGACACAAACTTCTTCGGCTTAGAAACTGAGCATATCTCTTCAGACGCTCAACATTCACCTGAAACTGAAGCTCTACTCAGATCTGGCCCTTTCCTACAGCAACACCTTGGGCTCAATGGGATTGGCCTTGATGGCTTGGAAGACAGCATACCAACTGCAAGCGTAGACTATGGAGAGGGCGATGACTTACCATTGGTATCACAGCTAGGTGGTATCTTAGAAACTTCAGTATCATTTGATACAGCCGAAGACAGCCAAGCACGGACATCCAAAATACCACCTCTGAAAAAGAATTTTCGAACGAGGAATACTTCGTCTGAAAACAACTTAATAACACGTATCAAGAAGCGAAAGATAGGGAACTTTAAAAACAAACAACGCGCATCATCAAATTGCGAAGAGACTCAGCCTGGAGATAGCCAGCTTCCGGCGTAAGTACACAGCAACGCATTCATAAATTTATGATATTTTTTCTGAAGATCGGTCTCTTTAGGTCAGGAATGTCAAAACTATTGGAAGATGATTTGAGAGCACATCACATGTCATTGAAGGCGTTAAAGGATCAACTAGAGGCCAAGCTTAAACGGCTGAAGGTACGAAGAAGGTGCTTTGCATGAACGAAGTTTGCGGTAGATTAATTCGAATTATCGAATAGGCCGACGAATCTTTACTATTGTATATGGCGCGGCTTTCCGAAAACGATTTGGAAGGTGTTCAGCCGCTGTTTGAATCCGACGACATCCCAGCTAATTTCCGTACTCAAAACGATGATATTAATGAAGAGGAATGGAGCGACCTTTACAAGAAATTGAGCTCCAACAGCGAGCATGAAATGGGGGAGAGCTCAGTACAGAGGAGATACGTTACAGACACTCTAGAAAATACAACGGTCATGCCTCAGCTGTCTGAGGAAGAAGATGACAATGACTTGGAGGACGACCTAGAGGACGACCCTGAAGATGCTGACGAGGCTGAAGACGAAGAAACCGCATTAAAAGCTCTAAATCAAATGATTACAGAATTTGGTGGCGATTCCGAGTTCTAGGCACTGTATTATATAATTAATTCATATAATGTACATAAAACAATCGAGAAACAATGTCTCCATACAAAAGACAACGAACATCACTTGAAAATAGCTGTGCCGTTGGGCTGGAGTTAAAAATTCCTGCCTCGAGCTGAGCCAATAATGAAGCGTCGCGTTGAACAAAATCCTCGCTCACAAACTGAACCCCGTTCGTTGCCTGGTCCATATCCCCCCACCTTCGCGACTGCTACTCCATCATGGCCAGAATTGCGGTCTTTCTGACACTATTATGTGTCGTGTTTACCTTTTTCTCAGTTGAAGTGGCTGGAAAGCCAAACCCGAAACTTGAACGAATCCTGAAGATGACGAGATCCGGCAAAGGCACTGCCAAACTTGATTCACAGAGCTTCGTTAAGTCCCTGGAAAGCCCAAGAGATTATGCAATGGTTGTATTGCTCACTGCATTAGGTGACAAGTTCAAATGCACACCATGCAAGTATGTACATTTATGATTTTTCGCTCAACAATCATGCCTGAAGTCCAGATTTGACGTACATACTAATGTGGCTGCTTTGTTCCTTTAAGAGAGTTCGACCCTGAATTCCGACTAGTTGCATCCAGCTATCATAAAAAGAATGAAAAGACTGATTTGTTCTTTGGACATCTCGACTTTGAAGACGGTCAATCTATCTTTCAACAGGTACATAATGTTCACAACCAACAATAGAGCGGTTCGATACAACCTTAGCTCATACAATCAACTAACTCAAACGTCACTATCTTTTACCAGATGAACATCATGTCAGCTCCTACTGTATTGTATTATCCACCATCAACCAAAGGAAGACCAAGTGAGCCCAGACGATATGATGCCAGCAAGTAGTAAGTTGATAGTACCTTGGAAATATGCATTCTATGCTTCACATATGCCTAATACCTTTTGCAGCGGTTTCACTGCAGAGCCATTTGCTGATTTCTTGAGCAAGGAGATTGGCCATGAAGTACCGGTTATTCGACCTTTCGATTACACCAAGAATGGTCTTAAAGTGTTCTTCCTGGTTGGTGCTTTAGCCATTATCAAGCTTTTGTATACACACTTTGCTTTCGTTCTCAATAACAGATATACATGGAGCGTGATCAGTTTGGTAGGTGACAATGTACAGGATAAATGTGTCATATATGGTTACTGATATGAGCTGCTACAGATTACCATTCTTACCATGATCTCTGGACATATGTGGAACCACATCCGTAAGCCCCCGTACATCATGCCTGGTCAAAACGGACAGATCAATTATATTGCAAATGGGTATGACGCCTTTTTTTTGTGAGGTCAGGAAGATGATGTAGTTATACTAACATGAGTTTCCTGGTAAACTACAGCTTCCAACAGCAGCTGGGTATGGAGTCACAAGTTGTTGCCGTCATCTGTAAGTGTTGCATATTCCACAGAATATTGAAGTGCTTCGACTCACTTTCTGATACCAAACCTTTTTTAGACGGTATCTTGTCGTTCTCCGTTGTTTCGCTCGCTATTACAGTCCCACGACTTGAGAAAACAAAGCAGCGTTATGCTGTCTGGATCTGGATGGGCTGTATTCTCGTTGTGTTCAGCTTTTTGATGAACTTGTTCAAAATTAAGAATGGTGGATATCCCTTCAAGCTACTGTTCTAGAGGTAGAAAGCGAAATGAAGAAAACCAGAATGAATATAAAAAAAATAAAGGCACTCCAGCCAATTGCAAACTATTCACTACAGTGCCACCCAGATGTTAAGAAATTGGTATAAAAAATGCTTTATTACAGGTAATACCTGTCTGGAATATAATAAGCTTAGCTATTTTCATACCGCTTGCGAGCCTAAATTAACGCAAAAATGAGTAACGCATACAACGGCCATGTGCTAGCGAACGGGTACAGCGAACGCAGCACAAGTATACTTACCATGTACTTTGCGCGGTCTTTGTATGAGGTGTTAGCTCCCAACTCTTCCATATCCTGTCTTCCTCCAAACGTGCCTAAACCAGCACCTTTGACATAAGATTCCGCCATCACAGGGGCAACGATACCAGTACCCTCCTTTCCTAGACCTTCGCCGCTTTTCCAACCCATGCTCTTCAGCATACGAGCACCGACATTGGATTCAGACATGGGGTTTGAGACAGAAGCAGCTTCAACAGGCCTGCATCAAACTTGTATTAGTTAACTGCTTCATTTACTCTGTTAGCATTAGCAATAACGTACCGTGATCCTGGAGCAGGTTTATGTTGTCGAGGTGGTCGATGACTGAAGGATGTAGCCTCATCATCGAGAGGTAAAGGACGATCTGGCTGACCAAATGCCATCCTTCGTTCCGCTGCTCTGTTACGATATGAGGATTGCTGCTTGAATAATTAATATGGATCGTTTATGTACAGTTTGGTGGTGATGATAAGGCAAAAGGCCATCAGGCATACATTATCCTCAGTCTCTTCAGCTTGCTTTTCTGGTGACGCTCGAGTAGCGATGAGAATGAGCTTTTTACGAGCTTTTTCAACGCAATCTTGATTGCCGAGATTAGTCTGGTATCCCATTTGGTTACATGGTCAGTATCATAAAGTCTGGAAGGCATATTGCACTGAAAGTCATTATGTCAAATCTCGATGGGGATCCTACTTTGTGTAGTTCAGAGAGGCTTTCGTGCCGCCGCAGTTCCTTTTCGCTCTTGAATTTTCTTTGGCACAGCAAACATGCCATACGAGATAAGTCAGAAAATTCTTCTTGGTTACTGTCTTCGCTCTCTGCTACGTTTGCAAGCTCTGCCTGTTTTTCATTCCATTTCTTCATATGTGTATGTATCTATTAAACAGCGTAAGCTGACATCCAATAGGAAATCATTGTTGCAAAGAATAGCTCTATTTTACCTTCTTGGTTGCCATTGGTATGGCATCTCGTTCATTGCGTTTTCGCTTCTTGTCATTGTCGACGGAATTATCGGGTATAGATGTAGAAGCTTTGTTTGATTCGGGTGAATCTTCCGCGATGGCAGACGGCTTATTGTCGATTTCCTCTACTGCTGCTGATTCATCTCCACCCAACTGTTCGAGCTTGGAATGGATGACAAATTTCAGTGGTTGTTTCTGCTGTTTCTGCATCAAGTCGATCAAGTTGTGAAAAAAAAGGTCGAAAGTCCGCTCACGGCAAAGGTAAATTTAAGGCCTACCAAGTTAGGACACAACTCTCGACACTCAATGGCCGAAAGCAATAACCCCGTACCACTCATTACATTCATACCAGTCGTTATATGCTGTATAGCGATTGTGCTACTTTTACAACATAGATCTTCACAACAGCGTGATCGAGTCAATGAAGGTAGTGTGTCGCCTTAGGGTAAGCTGTTGCTAATCCTGCGTTATTCAAATCTGTTTTACCCCACAGCGGACGCTGCTGCAATAGCTCAATTATACCAAGATGCCGAAATGGACGAGCTAGAAGAGGAGGAAGAGGTTGAGGAGAGTGTAATGGGTGATGGAGATCAAGATAGCGATCCACAGGAAGGTACATCAACTGCGGTTCGTGTCAAGAAAGTTGGAAAAAAGCGAGCAGAGAAGTTGAAACGGAAAGAACATATGAGGCAATACCGAGAAGTAAGTACAATGTAGTCTTTAATATCATTAGCAAAATACTCAAGTTTCAATAGTATCTCGATAGTCAGCGAGAGGCTCGAAAGTACAACGACGAAATTGAAGAAGAAAGATACCGTCAGCGAAAGATTGCAGAATCGATAGAACGCGAGAGAGAGGTATGGAAATCAGTCATGTTATATATGGCTAATAAAAATTCAGTATGGAAAAGAATATACATAGTGAAATGGTAAATTGTTTTAGCATGAAAAACGATTGAAAGCGCAGGCGCAGCAACAACAGAAATTGGACAAGGAGCGAGAGAAGAAACACAAGTTGGAAGAAAAAGAGCAAAAAAGACTGCAAAATATTTTACAAAAGTATAGAGACAAGATCAAGCGAACTGTACAGGTAATGAATGATAAAGGGGGGGGGGAAGTGTGCGGTATGAATTAGAGAAGCTATTGGGGTCTGACTTTCAAGAAATTAGGACTGCAAATATACAACAATAGAGCAGTTGTCGAAGGCGATTCACATTTCTGATCAGGTAAGCTTGATGTGCAAGATGGTTGGCCGTGGTAATTAAAAGCTCATACAAGACTGTTTAGGATACGATATATATCTTGAAGCAGCTTCTTATTGATGATCCGCAATTTCGATTGTCGCTGTTTGAGGAAAGCAATATGAGTTTCCTATATGTTACTGATGAAGACTATGCACGATTGAATGCATATATGCAGAAAACCGGATATTTCAGCATAGAAAAAGATGCTGAAAATATCATCAGCATACTGACTCAATAAATGATCAGTTATTGTATGTTGAGCTTCTCAATGATTTCTCGTAGACCTTCCAGTATTTGCATTTCTGATTGCTCACTAGCCTGTGACGAAGCGCTGGCACCTGGTCCGCCGTTAGGATGTAATGCAATGCTTGATAGTTTGTTCGATAGATCATCCAACTCAATCATCTGGCTGGAATTCGCTGATGAAGTAGATGGAGATTTTATCATGTATGTCTTCAAAATCTGTATAATCTATTGATAATCTTCTTGTCAGACATTGCTTACTGCAAGTGTTACCAAATATAACATGTTTAGACGTATATACCTGTATAACTTGTCGGAGCATTGGCTCGTCGTTGCTTGGGCGTCCATTGCGTAATCCAAACTCTGAATGATCTGCCATTCTCAAGCTTTGTCTATGCTTGATTAGCATATCTAATCTTGATTGAGCGAGGTGCAGTGGTGTCCTCGTGATTGGCCTTCGTGCGCTGAATGCTTGTGTTCCATCTGCATCAAGGTGCGGTTTTGGTGAAACCTTGGCTCCTATAAACAATTCTGGTCAGCCTTATGTAAGTAGATATATAAAATTATCTTGAGCACAAATCATACCAGCATCTAAAAGGGCGATCACAGTATCAACACTATTCGATATAACGGCCAAGTCTAATGGCTTGTTTCCAACGATATCTCCAGTTTGACAATTTGGGTCAGCGCCGTACTGAACCAAAACTTTAACAACGTTTGCATTTCCCGCAGCACTAGCAACCAGTAATGGAGTTCGCATTTTAGAGTCTCTTATTAGATCGGGAACCAGCTTTGGAGTAGTTGCGTCCAGGAGTGCTCGCACTATGATAAGCCCATTAATTGTGCGATCCCTATCATATATCACTCAACAGCCTATAAATACCTTTTGCAGCATCGCCTTGAGCACACAACATGAACAGCTCGTCTCTCTCTTTTGAATTTAAAAACATTTCTCTCATACGAGTGGTAGCTAATGACATGGAGCTTCTGTGATTCTTTGGTGTTCGAGTTCGCATGGTTCTATGCAAATTCTCTTCTGCAGTCGTGTGGTTTTCGATAGAGAGAGCTCGTCCTATTGAATGTCCTGGTGCATGATTCTGTGCGGCATGTCGTTGAGCTGACGACATAAACAGAGTTGCAGGTAATTGTGGTGCTGTGTACGGCATCCTGAAGGGAAGAGAACAATGCAAATGGTGGAGGGGCTGACTTTGGGGAGTGAAGGGTTCTTGAAATTTTCTGTTCGGGCTATTTGGAAGGAAAAATGCTCCTTTCCAGGAACCCTGCCGGCTTTCTCTTTGCAGCAGCTGCAAGTTTGGTATGAGTCTACGTCGCATGAAAATGACGTAAAGCCGACAAGTTCATACATTCATTAGGCTACAGACGCACATTAGCGCTCTATACTCATTTCTTTTCAAATGATTTCAATATTTGAAGATAGCGTAACAAATTATCATATTTTTTCGCTTTGCCTATAAGGGTTTGAACCCCGGCCGTCGGGCAATTTGCAATTACGCTGGTGTTCACACACTGTCAACTTTGATCAGGTATACTAAGTCATTACAGGATAACCTCTATTATGATCTATTTTTCTATATGATGCCTACGTACAATATTGATAAAATAACATACAGATGCAGTGTAAAGATGCATGGACGCCGGTCCAGTTCGTCTAAAGTAGAGAAGACAATTCCCATTATAGTATGTTGCCATTATGAAGTGCCGAATTCAAATTACGCTTTCTTGTCCATGAAATCGTAGAAAGCCTTTTGTGGTATTTCAACATTACCTGGGAACCGAATGAGAATATGTTGACAGCATGTATCCAACGATCATATCAACTGAATCTTACCGATCATCTTCATTCTCTTCTTGCCAGCTTTCTGTTTTTCCAAGAGTTTCATACGCCGAGTAATGTCTCCACCGTACTAAATGATGCGATAACCAAATTTTAGATTTCAATGGAAAGCTTAAACATCAGCCAACAACCGATCGGAATTTAGGAGATTTGATACTTACACATTTCGCGGTAACGTTCTTCCGCATGGCGGTGATTCTTGAACGTGGAAATGAAAGAAAAAAGTCAACAAGGGAAGAAAAATTAGCTGGACTACAAAATGAGCACACCCACGTTTCTCGGGCAACAATCTTATGGCCAATGGCTGTTTGAATAACAATCTCAAATAGTTGCCGTTGAATCAATCCTTTTAGACGCTTGACCCAATCTCGGCCAACTACTTGCACTTGGCCCCTGTGTAGAATGATAGATAGGGCATCCACTGGCTTGCTATTGATCAAGACAGTCATCTGGAGATATTTGCCGCATTAGGATGGAACCCCTTTCGGAAATGATACGGTCAATCGAATAATAGAATGATAGTGGTGCATACCTTGACCAAATCGCTCATCTCGTATCCATTTTCTTCATAATCGAATGTTGCGTAACCTGATGTTCGACTTTTCAGCTCATCATAGAAATCGGTAACTACTTCAGCTAATGGTAGCCGATATTTCATCAATACTCTTGTCTCATCCATAAACATGTACTCTGTTTGCTCTCCTCTTCGGGTCTGATTCAGCCAAAAAAGAGAAAGGATTAACAAAATGTAGCAAGCAAGCACTATGGACAAGCCCTAAGATCTTACTCCGCAAAGATCCATCATTTGCCCCATATATTCCTGTTAAATTATACAGTGGTAAGTATTGTGGCGCTATATCTGCATTTCAACTCAAGGGCATTTACCTCTGGAAAAATCATTGTAGCTAGAACCATAGGCTCCTGCAAATTCAAAACCTTGGTGGAAACTTCATCTACACTTGGGAAGTCTGCAGGGTTGCGAACGATTTTTTCTTCGCCATTTCTAAACACAACTGATTTGCAATGTCAACTAACTATGCATCCAGCTCCAATACAGCAACTTTGCAAACCTTTATATGGTACAGTCGGTTGAGTTACAATAACGTTCGCCTCATATTCCTGCCAAACAAATGTCAGTTATTACTGATCCTCCGTGATATCCGGAACAACATCTGCCTTACTTCTTCGAGACGTTGCCTAAAGACATCCATGTGCAAAGTTCCCAAGAAACCCAATCTCCATCCTTGTCCCAGCGCATTACTGTATACAATGATCAATCCTCTATTGCAAGCACTCTGAAGAGGACGCATAAATGAATAGTATACCTTGTTTCCTTATGCACAGATACGCTAGCATCGTTCAATGTAAGCTTTTTGATGGATTCATCCAGTTTTTGAAAATCTGTGGTATCAACAGGGAAAATTCCAGCAAACACCTACAGAATTAAATATCATTAGCTTGATCATAGCTTGAGGCGAAGCTATCATTATCCTTACCATTGACTTTGCTGCTTCGAAGCCTGGTAGCGGCTCAACTTTGCTCTTCAAGTGATGAAAAGTATCACCGATATGTGCTTCAGATGCAGTTTTCATTCCGCAGATGATGTACCCCACTTGACCAGCGTGCCTGTTTGCAATGTCAATTAGGCATGAATCATTCAACACGTAGGATCGACATATACCCACAGGTAACCTGTTGGAACTTGTTCTGGGTGCATGATGCCAACTTCAGAAACTTCATATTTTTCTTCTCCATGCGCAGACATAATTTTGTCGCCTAGATAGCCCGATGTTAGGTTAGGTAGATGATAAAAGCAAAGTCATTTGCAACTCACCCTTTTTAATAACGCCATCTACAACTGCCAACATACATACGACGCCAACGTATGTATCAAACCAAGAATCAAACAGCAACGCCCTCATAGGCTTATCCTTGGATCCCGTCGGACTTTATGTTTCCATCCAAATAAGTCATCAAAATTTGGGTGCTCACTCTTGACTTCGCTAACGTACCTTGGAATATTGTCTATGACACTGGGTAACACCGCCTCTATATTTTTTCGAGTTTTCGCAGAAATCTGATAGCAGTATTCCGTTAGTACACAAAAATGAACTGATGTACGCAACGAAATTTGTATACCTTAAGGACGTCAGCAGTATCCAGCTCAAATGCGCTATGGATTTGCTTTACAACTTTGTCTGGGTTTGCTCCAGGTAGATCTATCTATGCATCCGTGGAATTGTCTCAACAAACATTGACTTTATCACCATAATAAGTTTTGACATATACGGTCCCTTACCTTGTTGATGACTGGAATGACATGTAAACCTTGACCAAATGCAAGGTAAAAATTGGCTACTGTTTGTGCTTGGATTCCTTGAGATGCATCAACCAGTAACAAAGTTCCTTGACATGCAGCCAATGATCGAGATACTTCATAACTAAAGTCAACATGGCCCTGTCATAAGTGCACGCGCAATTAAATTCATACTCATAAGAATTTACTCATTGTCATATCGAAATTTTACCGGTGTATCAATCAGATTCAATAAATACTTTTGGCCTTTATAAGTATAGAACATAGATACAGTCTGAACGAGATGATGTAAGTTCAATGCGTTATTTGTGAATGGTTTCTGAATTCCTAGGCTCACCTGCGCCTTTACTGTAATGCCTCGCTCACGCTCTACTTTCAATTTGTCTAAGACCTGCTTGTTTGAACCCTGATCACGAATCGTTTTCGTTAATTCCAATAGCCTGTGATATGAAAAAGAAACATCAGCTTATTAAGATCTCATCGATGACTGGACATTGACCCAAAGAATATTATGTAGAGATATGGACCTGTCAGCAAGTGTACTTTTTCCATGGTCTGTTGAAAGAAGTTTGATTACAATGGCGAGTGATATCATATATCATGATGAAGACAGTCATACCAATATGCGCAATAATACTGAAGTTTCTGATTCTTTCGGCAGGGATATCGGTTAAGTCTATTTCTTTGGTTGGATCTGCAGATTTGAGTTTCTTGTTGCACATGTCAGTTTAAAGTTGTTATGGAATGGAACTGTTAAGGTACAATCTGCAACATACCTCGGTTGTTTTACTTTGCCAACGTTTCTGTATATAATGTCGAATACATTGCTGCTGCCGTAAGTCTGCCGACAAAAGCCTACTCAATCCATACAGTGATCGCATGGAATGGAGGTGAAAAGTAAGATCTCGCCAAATTGTCATAACCCCGCTGACGGTGGCTTTTGTGCTGCAACTTTGGCTAAATGCCACTTCCTGGAACTTAAAATTGTCGAAGGCGAAAGCTGGACCCTCATACTTCACTTAAAACGACAGCGATGAATAGTTTTTTGAAAGTTCACCCCAAAAGTTATTTTGGTGCTGTGAACAGTAGCTGTCTATAACAGAACTGTTAAATAACGCAACAATCGCGAGAAACGTCTTGTTGTGCGTATCAACTGTTCCAAAGATGTCTTTGGTTTGTATGAAGCACGGCTACGTCGAATTGCCTAATTTTGCATCCAATAATATAGGTATTATCTCTTACATATTATGTTCATGCAGACATGTATGTACACGCCCGATGCGACTAAGGGACGCATGATTGAATCAACCATACAAATACCACATTCTGCACCATGTCGATAGCCCATACCGTGCTCCCGCATAATGAGCTGTTCAACCTTTATTATAGTTTGGAGGCGTTTTCATCTTTAATAATTTGGGAGCTTCTATTTCCCTTTCAGTTATACTCACGGGATATTATCGACAGCCAAGTGATGTAGAAAGGGAATAAAGGTGCATTTGACGAATTGGAGTCATACTAAGGGTGGATCCAAACATGTAGACGAACAGATAGATAATAGAATTATGCCTTTTATTTAATTCAAGAAGGTAGCACTAAAAAGAGTGTAATACAGTAGGGTAAAGCTATTTCGCATTGTACTTCACATTTGGAACAAGAAGGTTAATCGCGGAAGTTGAACGGTGACGTAAAAAACGTGGCTATTGGATCATGAAAAAACCGAAGTCCACAATTCACCCCCGATCGAGTCATAATTCCGCTTTAATCGCGCTTGCTGACATGTTACGAATCCAAAGGCAATTCTATACTCTAGCTAGAGGTTCTGTGAATCCTAAAGCTCTTCCGCGGAGAGTAGTCCTATCCTCGCCTCTGAAGCCGAGATTGCCGAATTCAGCCCTCGGGTCTGTCGGCATAAACGTTACCGCAAATTGCGGAAAGCTAAGTGTTGCTTATGCTGTCTCTAGGCGTCTCTATAACAGTGGTGGAAATCCTCAAGGTATAGCATTTTAACAACCTCAAAGCGATGTCTGTTCTTCGTCGGTAACTATAATCGCTTGCAGGAGGATTCCGACTTCAAAACCAGCAACAAGAACCGCAAGAAAAAGCCTTAGATCTCTATGTACGCAAGCCAACCATAATGAATTTTTTCAATCATTATATAATAATTATACATCATCTAGGGTATCGACCTAACTGCTATGGCAGAAAAAGGAAAGCTTGGTACGCACCTCGATGGTTTATGGTGATCTCTCAATGATCGTTGTATACTCATTTGCGATTAAACACATAGATCCTGTCATTGGCAGAGATGAGGAGATCCGACGCACAATAGAAGGTATTTTATCATTCTTGCTCTAGATTCACGATCATAGCGTATGCTAACCAATTTCTACAACGTAGTGTAAGCACGCATGATTTCAATACCAAAAAGCGGGACTTGAATTAAAGCATTTTTCATTGTTCGTAAATAGACTGGCTCGCCGAACCAAGAATAACCCCGTATTGATCGGTGAAGCTGGGTAAGTATAAGTTTCACGCTGGTTAAAAATTCTGGCAATTATTAACTGATCTCAAATAGTGTTGGAAAGACAGCTATTGCTGAAGTAAGGTTTCTACCTTCGTCATGTCGACCGAATGAGTCGTAACTCACTGTGATGCACCCTGTAGGGATTGGCCCAAAGAATCGTGGCAAACGAAGTTCCTGAATCAATCAAAAACAGAAGAGTTGTAGCTTTGGACTTGGGTGTACGTATCGCACCTTATAATTCCAGTTACAGGTATCGCAGATCACTGACAATCTTACTCATTTCAGAGCTTAGTAGCAGGGGCTAAATATAGGTGAGGAAGTCAAATATAAGCTGGCTACACGGTAACGGTACCTAGTAATTTGATATTAATGGCGCCTTAAAGAGGAGAGTTTGAGGATCGCCTGAAGGGAGTCCTTAAGGAAGTCATCGAAGCCGATGGCAAGATCATTTTGTTCATCGACGAAATTCACAATCTGCTGGGATTAGGAAAATCTGAAGGTGCTATGGATGCCGGTAACTTGCTAAAGGTAACGAAACTATACGTGATTTATTCTTGTTTCAACCCCTTTGACTGACAATTACTCCAGCCGGCGCTTGCTCGGGGTCAACTACGATGCGCTGGAGCCACAACTATAGATGAATACCGCAAGGTATGTAGTGTTATTTTTTTTTTTTCCGGTTAAGCTCATCTCTCGTAACGCGATAAATTTTTCCATAGTATATCATGCAAGACCCTGCCTTGGCAAGACGGTTCCAATCAGTCATGGTAAGTAAATTTGTGACGTATAAGAGTGAAATCGTTATTTTTTAAATTGAACGCATCTCTTTTGGTCTCTTCATATGAAAGGTGGATGAGCCCACGGTAAGAATTGTCATTAAGATTGCCAAACAGTTTCTAAAAATGACACCTCTGACACATCGATGATTAGGTTCAAGATACTATATCAATTCTGGTAAGCTAGGATACATTTCTGGTATTGTACTCCGTTCAACTTCTGATATACTTTGATTGCAGAGAGGCTTGAAAGAACGTTATGAAGTCCACCACGGTGTCCGCATAGCAGTAGGTGACCAATTAAGATGCACGTAGCTGAAAGTCATTTTTACTAAGTATATTTCATAGGATTCTGCTTTAGTAGCTGCTGCTGTTCAGTCCCACCGTTACATTACAGATAGGTGCGTGTTAGCGAGAACTTGATTGCTTATGTATTTGAAAGCTAAAATTATCTGTAGGTTCCTTCCAGATAAAGCCATCGATCTTGTTGATGAAGCGTGCTCAAAACTAAGACTTCAACAAGAGAGCAAACCTGAAGCCTTGGAAAGCTTGGATCGTCAAATTATGACCATTCAAATCGAATTGGAGTCATTGAGAAAGGAAACCGATAGTCTTTCCGTAGACAGACGTCAGAAGCTTGAAGATGATCTGAAGCAAAAACAAGAACAATCTGACAAATTGACAAACCGCTGGCAAGAGGAGAGGTATGCGATCGTCTTCAATAATCTAAGTAGATTCCATGCTTTGACATTCCATCCTGTAGGCAAAAACTTGAGAATATCAAGAGAACTAAAGAGGAACTCGAGCAAGCTCGGGTCGATCTGGAAACAGGTACAAGGAGTTAAAGGTCTGGATACATATCATTCTACCCTGAGACTGAATTTTCTTTATAGCTCAAAGAAACGGCAACTTTCAAAAGGCATCAGAGCTGCGATATGGCATTATCCCCAATTTGGAGAAGAAACTGCCAAAAGAAAGGTAAACGGACGTTCTTTTTTTCTTCTTTTTGGTCATCTAGACAGCATCAATCCTTATTAACTTCCGTATTGAAAAAGCACAACTGAAGAGACCGAAGAAGGGTCGCTCGTGCATGAACGTGTTACATCAGACGATATTGCTCGAGTTGTAGGACTGATGACTGGCATTCCAGTACAGGTGAGTATTGTTAATTAGCCATCCACATACTTCTGGCAGACTATCAATCGTACTCTATTTTACCAGAATTTAATGCGTGGAGATCGTGAAAAGCTGCTCCATATGGAAGATGCTTTATCTAAGAGAGTTGTTGGTCAAGATCCTGCGATCAAGGTAAGTAAGCATATGCCTTTAACTAACCGCTACACCAAATTCTAACGCAATAATCTTCTTCAGGCTGTTTCCGACGCTGTCAGGTAATTTAGAGATGATAACTACTACACCTTATGCCAACTGTACTAACGTTTCGTTATGTTCAAATCAACAGATTGAGCCGCGCAGGCTTGAATAATCCTTCAAGACCCATTGCCTCCTTTTTGTTCCTGGGTCCCACTGGTGTGGGAAAGGTAATGATGCCTTAATGCTACTTTACCTGGCGCTTCCTACTCATACTCACTCTTTTTCAATCGTAGACTGAGCTATGTAAAAGCATCGCTCAGTTCTTGTTCGATACAGAGAATGCTATTATTCGAGTTGATATGTCAGAATATATGTAAGCAATGCACATCCATTTATGGTTTATTTGTAACAACATATTCAATTCTATGACAGGGAGCGCTTTGCAGTCAGCAGACTTATTGGCAGTCCACCTGGTTACGTTGGACATGAGGAGGGTGGCGAGCTTACCGAGGCTGTCAGAAGAAAGCCCTACTCCGTGATCCTCTTGGACGAAATGGAGAAAGCTCATCGAGATGGTTTGTAGAGCATGATGATGAAATGTCAGCAAATTGAACAAGGCGATTAACAAACACATTCACTAGTATCCAACTTGCTTCTGCAAGTTCTGGATGACGGTATCCTGACTGACAGTGAGTAAAATGCCGTTTTCTGGGCGATTTACGATGATCACTGATTGCTTTTCTTCGCAGGCAAGGGAAGAAAGATCGACTTCAAAAATACAATCATCATTATGACTAGCAATCTTGGTGCTGAATCCCTTGTGACAGATGTTGATCAGGAAGGTATCGTTAGTGATAGTGCAAAGACAGAAGTCATGCACTCAGTTCGCCAAGCCTTTGCACCTGAGTTTGTCAACCGTATCGATGAAATGGTAAGTTCTATTGATTAACGAACCATGATTGCTTCAACATAGCTCACCCTTTTGCTAGGTTATTTTCAACCGCCTGTCTCACAGAGCCTTGAGGGATATCGTTGACGTCCGACTTAAGGAAGTTGAGCAAAGACTCAGCGATCGTCGCATTAAGCTGGACGTTGACAAGGAAGCAAGCGATTGGCTGGGAGAACACGGATACGAGCCTGCCTATGGTGCACGACCTCTTAACCGACTCATCCAAAAGAAGCTCCTCAACCCTCTTGCTCGTCTCCTCATTGATGGGGGTATTAGAACTGGCGAAACTGCAAAGGTCACTGTCGTTAAGCTACCATCCGGTCAGAATGAACTGGATATTAAGCGTAACCATGCTCCCGGAAGCCAGCCTGCTAGTAGCGAACACGATGCGATTGAAGAAGGAATGGCTCCGATTGGCGAAGAAGAACAGGCTGAAGCTGATCATAAAAATAACGATAAATGAGCATTGTGATAGCTAGCTATTTGGCGTCTTATCACCAGATAAAATAAAAAAAGAGAAGACAGTATGAATGATAATTGTTTTTTAGATTCATGATGCTCTTTTGTCGTTTAATTTCTAAGGGTTTATTTATAACAAGCCTGTGAAACATGGATGTACTATATGGTGAAGGGCAAGTGCCGACGAAGACTATCAATTGTAGGCTAACTAAAATGCATATGTGCAAATATTCTAAGCTCATGAAGAGATTGAATTAAATATGATGTGACTGGGGTATTGCAGAGATGGAGGATACCGCAAGAGTCGCTAGGAGGGCTCGATATATTGAACAAAATCTCTATCCATCCTGGCACACTTAGTTCGGGTCTCCGCATCGAGGCTTATTGGTATCAGTTCATTGTTAGTGCTATCAGTATAGATATATGGCAATCTCAGTACAAACATCCCATTAGCTGGGATTTTTTGAGGCTCTGAAAATGCTGTATAGGTATAAGAGTCTCCAGTTGTGTTATCTTGAAACTAAAGCATACATAGACGTTAAAGTGTTTAGTTTTACACGTTAGGCCCAAAAATCGTTAGGAGAGATGTACTGACCCTGCAGACAATATTCATTTTCACACTACCAGATGCTTCTGGAATGACTAACCATATCCGTTGCAGTTGCGCAGTAATCGATGGTTTGTTATTGCGCTGTTCTCCAGTATAATTACAAGGGCAAAGGATATAAATTTGCGGATCCTGCTGAAAGAGCCGCTTGGCAGACTCTTGCTATATCATTTGTAAGCTAAATGTTCATGGTTATCCAAAAGGATCTAGTAAAAAAAAACCATACCTTGGCATGACCATGCTTGAAAACCTTTCCGTCACCGCAACTCATGAAGCGGTGACCAAGGGGACACTCGTACTCCAAGTGTAAATAGCAGTGGACAACTTTGCTACTTTGACCAATTGCTTTGTCTCCTCTTCGTCTACGCCGGCCTTCTCGCTTATTCTCGGGTTGAGCAGGAATTACGGCCGGTACGGCAGTCGTGCTTTCCAACTTAGGTTTTGCATTTGGGCGATCCGGTACTTCTACTTGACGAGCTGCAGTGCCTAGAGCAGGAAACATATCATACGATGGAACAACCATGGTCGGTGCAGGCGTGGTCACTGGATTCTCATGATTAATGTAACCTCCAGGCTATTTAATTAGTTACAACCATGCTTACCTTTCGGTGCTTGGCCGAGAGCTGGCCAATTAGTCTCATCCATCGCTTGAGTTGGAGGCGATTTTTCATTTGCACTTGCGGTACCTTGATGGGCCGCAGGAAGCACAGGTTTTATCTTACCAGCGTCCACTGATTCGAGCTTCAGAGGTATATCCCAAGGCAAAAGGAACTTCGCTGCAGCTGTAAATCCGTCATAACCTTCCAAGCCAACATGATGTTTGTAGGCTTTTGCATTTCCCAGCCGAGTAAGAGTTGTAAAACCTTTCTGTTCATTGGGCTTTGTTGTCGTTCCTTCATTTGCCGTAGTCAATGGTATATCTTGGTTTGGCTCCGAAGAGCAACAGGTAAAGGACTGGAAGAATCCGATATTGGCACTCTGGGTAAAGTGTAAGTACTCTTACATTATGATTACGTCTCACTGACATCAGTATGCTACCTGTAATGTGAAAGGGTCTTCACGTATTCTCTGTGACTTGCCGCAATTGCAAGCGTGCAATGGACGATATCCACTATTGTGAGCACCTGACGATATTTTTCCACCAACATTGCCATCCTGGTCATCTTCGACAGTATCTTGATGATCGACCTTTTGATGTTCGTGTCCACGCTGTTCACAATGATTAGCACATAGGTGATCATTTTGAAGCTAGTGAGTGATTTAGTAGCTCACCTTCAAGCAACATTCTCGTCCAGTCAAACTCCTGGCTTCGCACTTCTGCCGACCTTTTTTCCATATATTATCGCATTCATCGAGTAGGCGATCCTTGTATTCGTTATAGCACGGGCCTTGTGCGTAAAGTTCGTACATGTTTAAAGCAATATCACGCTATCGATAACATTAGAATCTAGCCATAGTCGCAACTATTGTGTCATTAGCACTAACCTTTAGGTAGTGATATTGTTCTGTATAATATGGCGGCAGTTCCTTGCTATATGCGTCAACGCTCTTGTGCATGCTTTCTGCACATTGACTTTGTACAACCCATCATTGAAACATTAAAAAGAGCAAATGAATGATTGGGAGGATGGTTTGATGCGTACCTTTTAGAATACACATTATCAACGTCCATTAAAAGGTCAATTCTTTTCCTTAACGCCGCCTCTACTTGTTGTATAATGCCCTTGGCTCCTGGTGAATCTGTGACCATTGATGTTCTAAACTCGTCTTCGTAAATTTGCTCTATCAAAACATTTCTGCCGATCGCTAACGCGCTGAATACTTGGATAGCACTTGGTAGCTCTGTTTTCACACTTCGCTTTGCTGTTAGGTTAGCAGCTGCATTGATGGCGGCTGGAGATCGACCTGCAGCATGAACGGCAGACTTCAATGCGTTGGATACAAAATTTCGTAGTAATTTTCCATTGTACTCTGCAATTAAGCTCTCTTCGTGGGACTTCTTTTGAATTTTTGTCCCTGCAGTTGTGCTTGCTGTGTCGACATCTAGCATTGACAGTAAAGACTCCAACTCTACTGGTTGAAAATTGTTCGTCTCGCGTACGACATTGTGTCTGCGTTCGAGAGGCTCAGACGATGGAATGATAAAAACAAATGACTGCGTAGATGCTGAAGGTACAGTGAATAATGTCCTAATTTAATATTTAGGAAGCAGTTAGTATATCACTATGTGGAGTCAAATTTGCCCGCTACTCACCTATTTTCACTCCCAGGTGTAAATGAGCTTCCACCATCAGGCGATGATGAAATCAGATGCAAGGCACGTAGCATGTATTTGATCCTAGTTTGAGTTGAATCTTGCAGCTTTTTTACAGAAGCAGCTAAACTATTATCATTCGTATTATCTTGATTATGGGCAACGACCTATTATTGTTATAAAGCAGCTCAGTAATTGTTAGCTATATGTGCATGACTGAAGTGTACTTACATTCATGCCTACAAGCACCATACTAGGTACGGATTTCCCTGGCCCCCACCACGAAGCTGACTTTACCGGGGCGTCGCGCTCTTTTTCGCGCTTGCCCTCTTTCCTTTCTACTAGCACATTCGGTATGGCTATGTCCCATTTCCTCCAACAAGCAATTAGAAGTTGAGTCATATGTGTATTGATAGATTGCTTCGCAGAAGCTAACGTGGAAAGAGTCGCTGGTAGATCTGTGCTCATCATGGATGATGGTAAAATTGGCTACGTACCACCAGTATTAGTAAGTCTCCCATTTGACTGTGCCTCCCATTCATTCCAAGTATACCTACCACAACTAAATGAGATATCCAAAAAAGCAAAAGCAAATTCCGTAGTATATAGCTTTCGTATTGTTCAACAAGATCCTTTACATGCTGCCAACTGGTATTACTACGGGAGCCAAGGTTTATCCAACTATTATTGCCAGCTAAAAATCGTACCTGAGGATCAGCCTTCAGTATTTCCGCGAATTGTTTGAGTTTATCGGAATCAACCGTGGTATCCAAAAGTATGTAAACTGTACTCCGAGATTTATTGAAATACATCTGGAGATTTTCTGAAAGCTGGATACGAGTATTAGCACTATGACCTTTGTAATAGGATATCTAGCAATTCAATCACTTGCCATTGTCGAAAGCTCCTGCTTTTGAAGGCGTTCCATATAAAAGGAAAAATTAGTTGTGTCGCCGGTACTTACAGTACTGCATAGTTCGTGAAGACTTTACCACTTTTGAGCTGGAGAAAGCTGGTTCACCGACAACACTATTAGCGGCATCTATGAATGCTTGTTGACCTTTTTGTGTAGAGGCGCCTCTGTCTTTGCAGCCAATGAGACTAACTATAGAAAGGGATGAAGTATTGAGTGGAACGCCTGCCCTTGAAAGCAAAGAGTGAATGTATTGCATTCCCACGACGTCGGTCATTAATGTTCAGTTGGCATTCACGATCGGATCTCGTTGCTGCCCTTTAGACTTTCTTTGGCTACCAGCTTTGAGGGTCATCTGGGATTGAATTTTCATTTGAGCGAGAGATTGGCCTGTTCCCCGGTCTTTTTGTTCTAAATCATGACAAGAACAACTGATATGAATCTGCAATCAATTGAATTATCATCTTTAATTTTTTGATCTTTATATTCTAGTAATATTAGTAGTCTTCTGTTACAAAGATATTCGACGTAGCCGTGCACTTACATTATTTTTCGATAGAGTTTCCGTGCGCAATCGCAACAAAATGACAGTCACACTCCCACTTACCATTTCAGTCTCTCACTGGTGGGCGAGCATTCACACGTTGATTCGCTTTGCTCATTTCGCAGCGCTGTCCTATTTTTTATTGTATATTTAATCTCTTCGCAAAACTAAACGGTTTATGTCGAGCACATCGTTGTTCAAAATACTGGGCTTGGTATGTAAATCTCTACTGCCAGCATGATTGATTTGTCAACCCCGAAAACCCTCCACTAAACCTACCGCTACCTTACGCATTGCGTACTATAGGGCCAATCTGGAAAGCCAGTTATAGAAAACTCATGGGCCGATGAAGGGGAGCGATTTTTTGGTCTCGAAAATGTAAGCATTTGTATTTCAACTCTAAGGGTCTTGGCATCGGCGGAATGGTTAGATGCACAGCCCATACGAAACGATATTCTACGTAGTCCGATATATATGGATATGACTTGTCCGTCATCTTAAAGACTTGTGCATACGCATGCCATGCTTTTCATATTCCCGGCTTTCATCATACATCATATAGTTCATATACATCCTATAGTGCATACAAGGATATATGGCAACATTTGATACTGACTTATATTTGCCCACTTTTTTTTCCTCCTCTCTTTGATGGACCCTGCCGAAATGTACCAGTTTGGAAATACTTGGTGAGCTTCGCTTTTATTTACATCTCTTTTGTCAATGATTGTTGCTGAGCAGCCATTAACTTTGCAAATCGGTCACATCTAGTTACTGTAACTCAGTTTTACAAGCATTGTACTACTGCAAACCATTTCGAGAATGCGTAAATAACTTCCCGCAGCAGCTTCCTCCACCTCCTCATACCCCCCTACCAACAGTTCCAGGTTCACCATTGGCCGCTGGTTCGGCTGCATCCTACTTCCCTTCCACTCCAGCTTCTTCTACCGCATCTCCAGCTTTTGGTGGCTCCAAACAGAACAACACAAACGGCGCTCTGCCGAACAACAAAGATAGCAGCAGAAATGTACTCCCTTCAAGAGGTGGCCCACCTCCTGGCCATCAGAGTAATGCCAACGTTCTAAACAACGTTGATAAAGATAACGCTTCAATTATATCCGTCCCCGGCATGGAAGATACTCTTTTTGCCGCCTTAAAGGATCTTTTTTGGAAGATATCAACGCAAAAGAAAAAGACTGGTATTGTTGCACCTATACAATTCATCAACAAGGTCAAAAAAGAAAATGGTAAGCGCCAGAGGTCTAGGTGTACCACTCAGATACAATTGTAATAGCTCATTGAAACATCCGCTACCCCCTCCCCCTCTCTCAGAATTGTTTCGGTCTAGCATGCACCAAGATGCTCACGAATTCTTAAACTTTGTCCTTAACACCATCGCGGAGAATGTGAACGACTACCAGAAGAAAAATGGTCATTCACAAAAGGATAGTGTTGGCAGTAGTAACGGCAGCGTTAATGATTCAGAATCTGAGGGACTTCGATTGAACGGCGATACTGGTTCTGAAAATGATTCCGTTCATACAAATGGTAGCCAGCCTGCCACTTGGGTACATCAACTGTTCGAAGGCGTATTCTCCAATGAGACTCGGTGCTTAACTTGCGAAACGGTAAGATGGGTTATCATGTGCGCACGTTTGCTCTAAGGCGTTGTTTTTCTTATCATGCCTGATTACGAAATAGGTAACTAGCCGAGACGAAGCATTTATGGACTTATCTATCGATGTTGAAATGAATTCGTCCATTACCTCTTGTCTCCGTCAATTCTCTGCAAGTGAAACGCTCTGCCATAAAAACAAGTACTTTTGCGACGTTTGCTCTGGCTTGCAAGAAGCAGAAAGAAGGTAATGGTTTAATTGTCTTGGGGAGATCGATTGGAACAATTGACTGATCAACCCTTTTATCTTGGCCATATACAGAATGAAAATCAAAAAGCTTCCAAACATATTAGCGTTGCATCTCAAACGCTTTAAATACCAGGAACAACTCCAGAAGTACATAAAGTTGACATATCGTGTTATGTTCCCATTTGAGCTTCGGCTTTTTAATACCGTAAGTAAATTTTTTTACCCTGGTTGGTTGCACCAGTTCTACCTAGAATTCCCATCCTGACAAACGATACCAAACTCAATATGGTATTTTTAGTGCGATGATACCGAAGATCCCGATAGAATGTATGAGCTTTGGGCATGTGTCATTCATATTGGCAGGTAGGTTGACGGATTCTTTATCCATTTGCTAGCAAAGAGTACCGTCTCACACATTGAAACAGTGGACCACACCATGGGCATTATGTCACAATTATCAAGAGCAATGGGAAATGGTTATTGTTTGATGATGACATCGTTACGGTATGTAACTTCTGAAGTTTCTGCGGGGAAATTGAAAATGACGAGAAACTCTAATCGAACCCAAATTGTTGGAAACCAGTCCATTAATGAAGAAGAAATACAACGCTACTTTGGAGATTTGCCGGGTACTGGTAGTGGATATGTTTTATTCTACCAAGCCGTTAATTTAAACATGGATCCCGTTGGCGTGCCAGCTGCGAACGGCCAGACTATGCCCCAGCAGCAAAACGGCGATGTTGACTTCAAATTATACAACGAAGACGTATTCAACCACTCAGATAGTAGAACCGATTCGCCGCGTGGTACAACGCCTACACCTGTATCCATTCGAGATGAACCTTCATCTAACGACTCATCCGTCAATGGCCTGCCTGTAGTGCCGGAAGAAAAGCGATCTAGATGGGGTCTCCGGAAAGGGCGTAAAGATTCCACTAAAGAAAAGCGATAAATGAAACAAGCTTAAAATTCAACCAACAACCCCCAAGAAAAAACAACAAACACACTGAAGGACATACTTTTCCTTTCCATTTCTATTTTTCATTTTAGAATAATCGCTTTCCCTCCAATTATATACATTTACTTACAGTATTCCCTACTGGTGTCTGCCTCTTTTGCAAATGATTAAAGCATAGTGTGAATGTTACATTTTACATTAATGCGCCGGATAATTTTTTTCATTTTAGTTGCCACGTCGTCATTCGAATGCCATCAGTCATCTTGACACGCGAAAGCCTGCCGTAAGTGGGCACGATTAAATGTCCGTAATAGCCACCAGCCAGCGTTTCAACTCAACCATAGTGTCGCACACTGACTGCGGAAGTCGAATGCGGCACTCGGCCTGGGGTGTTGAGAACCCCAATTAGGCATGAAAATTAATGCAGACTATGGAATGAATTAACGAATGTTTTGGGCTTTCAAACGGAAACAATGGGGCCAGTTCGACAAGGATTTGAAGCAATTGTTGTTTACAATGATCAGCACCAAATATCTTCTGCGAACTCCACAAGGGGTGGGTATCTCCATGCGTCGTCATGCTTACGCTTGGCTCGGTGCCACTTACCCCTGGCAAGGCCGATGGTGCCGACAGACATCACCTCATTTATCAGCATCCATAAAAAAAATTTTCTTGGTATTTAAAGGCCCACACTGCCTTGTCATTTCATCCCTTTACTTTATCCTTTCCATTCACTTTTCTTTACCATGGTTGACCGCAAGAGACCTCTCAAGCTCAAGAACCTATTGCTTCATAAAGATCACCATCATGAACATGACTCATATTCTGACGACAAGTCAAAAATCAAAAATGTCAACAAACTTGTCATATCACCACCTATTCTTTCACCTACTCGAACCAGCAGTCTTGAATACCTATTGTCTCCAACATTGTACCCTTCAAAATCCATGTCGACCCACATGAACTCGGTTTCACCTAGACCTCCTGTACGCGCACGAGAAGCTCAAAATGTCACAGCGGCTGTTGATGTCATGCCAGAACTGCGACCTCGTCGACGATATTCGTTTTCTGGAGGCAAAGTCAAGATGTATAATAGCCCACATGTTCCCACGCATCGTGATATGGACCGAGAAAGAGCGCGAAAGATGCGTGAACTTGAAGACCGCATCGTCGGCAGAAGACAAAGTACTGTCAAATTGACGCTCACGCCACGTACAGCGGTATAAGTTGCGCAACACAGCCCTGGGTCTCGTACGACTTGGTACTCCCATATGGCCCAAGACAAAGATATTCATCATAATATCGTAATTACATGTTTAATAATCCGTTTTTATCTCTTCAATTTACCATAGACTCATTTCACATACTTACTTAATATGCTCCAACTACCCTTTTTTTTCTTTGTTTTTCTCCTATGCAAATATTGCTTACTTCATTATGATTTGTAAAATAAACTCCCTCCTGGTCGGGGGGTCAGCATCATTACTCATTTACACTGCAGCGGTACCTGACTGAATGTGAATTGTACGCTGTGTGGAGAAAGTGGCATAACAAGTCCATATGAGCGTACAAACGTTGAGACACGCTATTCTTTGTCAAACACTTTGTCTATCATGACTAAACACGGTACAAATGTGGTCTACCTTATCGGCACACATGCTTTTGGGGTTCATCATTCGGCTTACTGTAATCAACTCACCATTGAATTGACCGGAGTTGCATTACTTCACTCAGCTAATACAAATTTTTTAATGACTGAACATTAAATGCAAGCGCAGTCTACTCAACAGATAGTGACAGTAATTAAACCCGTGGTATTTGCTATCCTCATGATATCGCTATTGCTATGTTAAAGATAAGTCACAACAAGGCCCAGTCATCGACAGCTGATCTCTGTACTGATATGCGGTGGAACGTAAATATGGTCAAAAGAGAAGGAGTGAGGGTAACGGACAAGGAAAACCTAGGACACATCAGGCCTAGAACTACGTGCACGAAAGCATTAGTCAATTCGTTTCTGTACACAATGAAGGCCTTCGGTTGTAGTAGTAAAAGTAAACTGGATTCGAGTATCACTGCTAGAAAGTCCCGTCCCTACTGCTCCCCCTTGAAGCTTATATTCTTGAAATTAAAGTTCTGATCGTCACCAAACCTCAGCTGTGACCACATGCTTTGTATAGATCAATCATAGTATACAGTGTCATGCCAGATACATGCTAGCTGACTACTAACTCAATAACTTCCTCATTTTCGTAAAGATCATAGTATGATATACAAATGGTTGGCCAAAGGGGTTGCTCTGATTGGCTAACGCGTTAGGGGTGGTCGTCTCGCAGTCAAAAAATTTCAATAGGTTCATGCCATGACTGAGATATTTGGTTCGTAATAGCTGTTGCATAACGGTATGTGCAGAAAAAAGGAGTATCCAACCACTTGCCAGCATTGTCATTCACACTTGGCCCATTAATCCTAACAGCGTGCAGTTACTTTCTCCTAATACATGAATGCATTCATTGACAGCCAACTTGATCTCGTTGCCAATGAACGAAAATTAGAAGTTGAGGAAACAACGCGACTGCTCTCAGCATGCTCACCTGCACAGCTGCAGAAACGAGGAGTCGCTTTAGTAGGTCTCAGGATCGCATCGATGAGAACTGGCTTAGGAGGAAAAAGGTAAGGCATTGTGAAAGGAGGCCCAGGGAGCCGCCGCCCTTCAAATTATGTATGCAATGCTGATAACGGCGCAAAATATGTTAGTTTACTGGATCTGGAGCTAGCGCAGCATTTGACCGACTCTCCTCGGTTACCATCCCATAAAATCAGAACGGGTGATATTGTGGGCCTACAGGAATACAAGAAGGACAAACCAACATCGCAAACGCAATTGAGTGGTGTTGTATCCAAAGTCACTGATACAACTGTAACGGTAGCTTTACAGGGTCGGGACGATGATGAGTTACCGCAGGAATTGCAAGACAGGTGTCAGATGTACGTGACTTTTTATGGGTTTAAATGGAGTGACAACTGCGTTCCTAACATAATACAATAGAGTGAAATTAGCAAACAATATAACATATGAGAGGTGAAGTTCAGCACAATTTACAAAGAATCAGGAACGGTATGAAGACAGTACCGTTAACCGGAAATTCATTCAGAATGACCCATGCGCTCAACGATCTTAAGAGAGACTCCTCGAATACGCCGTTACAGCGGGTCCTTTTTGGCTTACAACCGCCGGATGTGGAAGAGGTGAAAGAGGTCAAATTTTTTGATGATACCCTAAACGAGAGTCAGCGCGAGGCTGTTCGTTTTGCCTTAGCGTCGAAGGATATAGCACTTGTTCACGGCCCACCAGGTTTGTGATACTGATGTAACATAGAAAGCAACTCGCGTCGACACACACGCTAACATACCGTATTTTTCCTTCTCAGGGGTAAGAAACGATCGATGGTGGTTGCACAACTGTATACATGTGCTCACCGCGCCATTTACTTATCCTTTATAGACAGGAAAAACATACACTTTGATTGAAATTATACGACAATTGGCTGTTGTTCAAGAGAAAAGAGTACTAGTCTGTGGACCATCCAACATTTCCGTTGGTAAGGGAGCAATTCCCAGAAACTGACAATGCTGTCTCAATCAACTGATATCCTTATTTTAACAGACAACTTGGTGGAACGTTTGTCCAAACACCGTGTCAAAATCGTACGTTTAGGACATCCAGCTCGGATTTTGCCTAACGTAATGGAACATTCGTTGGATATCATAACTCGGACCTGCGATTCAGGACGAATAGTAGCTGATATCCGAAAAGAAATGGACGAAACACTTTCAGCCATTTCGAAATCAAAAAGTTGGTCAGAAAGAAGAGGGCTTTACGGAAACCTCAAGGATTTGCGAAAAGATTTCAGAGTAAGAGAGAGAAAAGTGGTTGGAGAAATTATTCAAGGGTCAGAAGTTGTTCTATCCACCTTGAATGGCTGTGGAGCACGTAATATGATGAATCAGGAATTCGATGTTGTCATAATAGATGAAGCAACGCAAGCGTTAGAAGCGGAATGTTGGATTGCATTGCGTAAAGGCAAAAAAGCTATCTTAGCTGGTGACCATTTACAGCTCCCACCTACCGTCAAATCGAAATCAGGCTCGTCTTCTATTCCTGTTATTCCCAAAACTCTTGAAAAAGCAACATCTTTATCCGTTACTTTATTCGATCGACTATTGGCCATGTACGGGAACAAGGTCAAACGTATGCTGAAAGTTCAATATCGCATGCACCACAAGATTATGGAATTCCCCTCTCGAGAACTGTACGATAAAGAACTAACAGCGGACCCTAGTGTGTCTGAGCGATTGTTAATGGATCTAGAGCCTGTTGAGGAAAATGATGATACCTGTTCACCGGTCGTATTCATCGACACAGCGGGAGCTGGCTTGATGGAAGCTCAGCTTGAGGATGAAGAAGACAGCAAATTGAACGAAGGCGAAGTGGAGAAAGTCATAGAACATGTCGAAAATCTTCTCCAAGCCAATGTTTCTGAAGGCGATATTGGAGTTATAACGCCTTATTCTGCTCAAGTTAGCAAGCTTAACCAAGCAATGAAGGATAAATGGCCTGGTATTGAAATTGGAACGGTGGACGGATTCCAGGGTAGAGAAAAAGAGGCCATTATCGTCTCATTGGTTCGCTCTAACGACAATCGCCAAGTTGGGTTCCTCGGAGAAAAGCGAAGACTGAATGGTATGCTGATGTTTCATCTGTAAACAACCTTAAATTTACAACTGTTCTAAAAAAAATTTTATTCATAGTTGCTATGACACGAGCTAAGCGGCACCTATGTATCATAGGTGACTCCGATACCCTCTCAAGTTCAGATGGATCCAAGAAGGGTAAAAAGGATAAAAGCGCTATTTCAGATGGTGGGTTTTTGAAACGATGGATGGCATGGCTTTCTGAAGAAGCTGATGTTCGATACTGCGAATATTCATGAATGGAAGCGCCCTGTGGCTGAAAGCAGCAAGCCACGTATCACAAAGCCACTCTGGTTGGCGAGACGAACTGCGGATCTTAACCCCATAGAAACAAAATAAAACATGAAGACGTTTTGTGACATTTCTAAAAGCAAATTCTTGGCATTTATCTTACCACTTGAGCTCAGGTGAAGCGAATATATACGTGTACATTCACCTAATGAATGACCAACTTTGGTTTCAAAATTAAATTGTGCATATCAGGAAGAGTCTGGGGCGTAGTTCACGTACGCCATCTGATTCTTGAGCCGATATATTTCTTTTCTTTTCTACGAACAAAATCGAAAGTAACAAAGCACCTACGCTCACTCTCCTGCTTGTTTGCTTGTTCTGCACTACCCTGCGTGAATAGCTTCTTCGCACACAGCCACTTTCTCTTTAAACTTTCAAACGGCGACATACTGCCAATTTTAGCCAACCCTTTAAAATCAGTGCGGCGTCCGGACTTTTCCTCGTCCTTTTGATCTGATCCGACTTTGCAAAATGGGTATTCGAGACAGCATTTCTGCAATTGTCCACAATAAGAGACAGCCAGATTCCTACGAGAAGAAGAAAGAATATACCATTACGAAAGTTCTTGGAAATGGTACTTTTGGTAACGTTCGTATGGCCAACCGAAATAGTGACCAGTTACCAGTAGCCATTAAAAGTATACCAAAGGTAAATTCTATATCTCCTAAACTAGCATTCTTTAACACCGATGTTTAACAAGATATACGGTTTCATCCATTAGAAAAATGTAGCGGGTCACTTTGAAGTAGTGTACCGTGAGATGACAGTACTACAAGGTAAATATTTTTTCACCTCCTATGTTTCAAAAATATGTTCCCGCCATCCACTGGTCCGCTCAAGAAGCATACTAACCTTCGCGCTTGATGAACAACTATCTATAGGACTGTCGCACCCCAATATAACAACGTTTTACGACTGGTTTGAATCACGGTAAGCTTGTGTAGGGCTGATGGCAAGGCTATTTTTATTTGGCGTATTTATGCCGAGGTGGTCGCCTTTAAAAACTAATTATCCTTTTCGGACTATAGAGAAAAGTTTTATCTCGTCTTTGAATTGTAAGTGCGCGCAGTGGGCTGGGCACGATCGAATTTATGTAGTAACTCTGCCCCGTCCCTTAACAGAGCCACAGGAGGAGAACTTTTTGAAAGAATATGTGAACGTGGCAAATTTACTGAAAAGGACGCTGTCGTCACCATGAAGGCTGTCCTGAAAGGTGTGGAATACCTTCATGAACATCAGATTGTTCACAGAGGTATAAAAAAAATTGTGTTTCCGACTCGAGCCCTCAGTCCTTGAATCTAATTGTTCTCTCCGGTCCTCAGACTTGAAACCCGAGAATCTGCTTTTCAAAAGTGAAGACCCCGATGCCGAACTAACTATCTGTGACTTTGGGTAGGTTTACTTTGCTACCTAACAAATCATGCGTAGTGCCTTCGATACTTACTACGCTATTATGATATAAGTATTGCGAAACACCTTACAGACGAGTCTGCTGTACTCACCACCATTTGTGGCTCGCCTGGCTATGTCGGTATGTATATGGATGGCGAAGCAGCGCTGATGACTTTTTCGCTAAACATTTTGAATAGCTCCAGAAGTGCTTTTGCGTAAAGGTTATGGCAAGCCAGTTGATATGTGGAGCATAGGGTAAGTCACGGTTTTGTTTGATGGTTCGAAACATTGATCAAATGTTAACACTTTCGCTTTTTCTTCATTAGTGTTATTAGTTATACCTTGTGAGTTGAAGTTCTTTTTTTTTGAGAATCAACCGGTTTATACCAAGCTAACGTATTACTACAGACTCTGTGGATACCAACCATTTAGAGCAGAAGATAGGGCCGAACTCCTAGACGAAATTGTGCATGCAAGATATGAATTCCATGATCGATACTGGCACCACGTTTCCATTGAAGGTATAGATAGTAGCTTTAAATGAATGGCTTGAAGTTTTTCGCAGCATTGACTAACATTGCATAATTATGATACCCATTTAGCACGAGATTTTATCAAGCGTTTATTAACTATCGACCCAGCTAAACGCCCCACCGCATCAGAAGCATTGAATCACCCCTGGATGACTACAGATGCCGCGCTGGATGAGGACTTGTTAGAGCAAGTGAGAGAAAATTTCAACCCTCGACAGAAATTCAAGAGCGCTGTACGATCGGTCCAAGCGTTGCAGCGGATGCGTACAGGTGCGACTGCGCACAGACTTTCAATACAACTCAGTGAACAGGCGACGTCCGATACCGAGGCCAACCCGGCGACACAATCCACCCCCACAGCATTCGGGTAATCGACTGTAGCAAACACCTCTCCTGGCTGGCTCTTTGAGGTTGTAGTAAACTATAGTTTTATTGTCGCCTTGCCTCTTCTTCCCTCATTTCTCTGATTTTATCTTTGTTATCGTAATCTTTTGCCTATGTGTATTTCTTATTCATCCTATGGTGCATAGCGCTAACTTCTCTTAATCTTGTTGTACTTTTTGTTTTATTATTGCAAAGTTCGAATTGAAGATATTTTTTTTTCTACCGCGCCCTTTTGCTACTTATAAGCGCCTGTTGGTCAAGAAGTTGGCTAAGGGACGCAGCTGGTGATGTTAAAGCGATAGTGGATGGTGCGTATGCTCAAAAAAAAAAAGGACATTCAGTGTTGCCCGTCCACCAAAATCAACTATTCAATGCAGACCTCCGTCAGAACATTTTATCACTGGGAAGTTGAAATAATGTACTAGGCATATGAAATGGCACATCCATGCATATTTATTCGTCAACAGTTGAAGAAAAGCCAATAAATGTCACGAATGGAAGAAAACTGTCACTGATGGTTCAAAATTTCGATGAGAAAGCGATGAAAATTAATCAAAGTTCTTTTTTGGTTGGTATGGAAGGACATAAAAAGGAAGCCCATAGATATGATGCTACATGAGCTATAGTCAGCGCAGGTTCATTCTAAATGATAGCGAAAGAAATGTAAGCAACCTGATCAATGTTATCAAAGAGGCAAAAGCTCCCTACCTAGCGTGTTGAATGTTCTTTTCACACTGAGCACATAGTGGAGTCATGGTCATTTCACTGATATAAGGAACGACATGTCCACTTGTCATCGGCAAGTCCTCACTAGTTTGATAACTGAACTGCGGCACAGGGTAGGAGTTGGGTCTTGATTCAGGTCGTTTATGGTCGCGTCTAAATTGCTTGATCAAAAGGTATGAAGTAACAATCCCTATTAGGAGCAATTTAGTATGTACATCACAATTCTTTGAATTTCAAAGTTGATATCAGATTTCTCACAGTCAAAGGCATACAAGTCGGCAGAGAGACCTCCAGTTACTCGAGAGGCAATGAGAATCCCTACTATCAAGTTTGAGAGAATGACACCAATCCTATATAGAGATAGATAGTTAATAAAGTTATGGTGTACTCCTGGAGCCTATATACAAGGACATGATATTTACGAAAAGATGATGCCATTGGACAATAAGGATTTATATAAACTGTTTCCGAAAACTTTGTATTGTCGAAATACCACTCGCAAGAAAGCAAATGAGAGAATAGCGTTGCTGAGAATGTCCACGCCGATTTTTGCAAGCGCAGGCCACCATTCTGTAAGGACATTGGTAAGAATTTTCAACACAGTCATAAGCAATTAGTAGGATTCATGAGAAACGTACTATTTTCCAGCTGGAGTTCAGATAATTTAAAGGCAACGTAAAAATAAGTTCAATAACCTGGCTTCATAACATGACTACATCCAAGGGTCACACTGTTACACTTACTGAGCACATTCCTGTAATGGGATCTTGAGTGCTTGTTACTCTTCCACTTGTTGCATCTAATACCATGAGAACAATATATCCACATTGTGCTAGTGCACCAATGCCCAGAAGCCACCTAGCTCTTTCGTTACAGACATATGCCTTGTAAAGTAGGACTGATTGAATGCAGATGCCTCCAAGATTGACTGTAACGATGGAGACCCAGTAACGCTGAAGAAAAAAAGTTATTAGTGTCATGAAGATTGATTTGACCTCCTAAATCTACTCACAGCATCACAGTTTAGCATTGTCAGAGGATTCAATAAGCTAAAAAGGATAGACAGAAAGGATATAGTTGACTGAAAGAGGACCACGGCATGGACAGGTTTGCGAGCGACCCAAGCAAGCTGAAGCGAGCTTAGAATCTGCCAGATGCTGCAAGAAAGGCATAGACTTAAGTAAGCTATAGTCCAGTTGTTGGTGCGAATGCCTGATATGATGGAGGAATCAGCAAAGCAGTCTGTTGAATTCATGGATTAAGTAGATAAAGGATACAGAGAAAAAAATACAAAGACTTGTAGTTTATATACGATTGTTTTCCTATCCCAAAAAATAAATACTTGGCGCAATGCTGATATGGATATATTCTGCCAAAATGTGAATTCAAAGCAATCGCACTTCCATGTTTTTTTTAACATGTCATGTAGTACATTGATGACATAAATCGGCTGAAGTTATTAGACGCATCAGTCTTTCTTTCTATGCAAAATTGACGAATTTTATCAGACATCTCGAAGTTTCAACGATGGTACATGGGAAAACTTTGTTACAAAAAGAGTAACTTTTCTCTTTTGTAGCCCCAATATGGCAACTCTTATTTTTCAAAAGATATGTTGCGCTTTGGCAAACTAATCGAACCATGGATTAGCTTGTGCTTGGATACCAAATACAGGTACCATGCAGTCTCTGCATCAATCCAAAATGAATCGTGACTCTTTACCTCGCTCTTGCTTTATCTAGTCAAGGACTACAACCTTTCGGGTTCGAGCCTCTTGCTGTGAGAATTCAGAAATCCAAGAAGGGTATTGCCTTCACCATGTTCATTTATTTTAAGCTCAAAATGATCTTTTTGGCTCAATCGTGGGCTGTGGCGATCTTGTTCGGTAATCAAATGTCTTGCTGATAAGCAGTTGTACGTAGTTCAAGATTAATTCATCGCCATTTCCCAGGCATACGTATAACAGGAAGTGAACTTGAGTAATTTGAAAACTATTGGCATAGAGTTTTGTATTTTTTATTTTTATTTAAGTCGTCTCTGATGACTGACTGTAATGATAGGGACGATATAGGTTACCCGGGTAGTCATTATCGCGTGCCTGGTGGCTTATTTACCTCCCCCAACAAAGCCGGCAGGTAACGTTCAGCTGAATTCCAAATTTTGGGTGAGGTTCATTCACCGGGAGGTTGGGCAGAGTCGAAGAATCTGTCAACCACTTTTTTCTGTTCCATTAGAAATGGCCCCCCAAAAGAAAGGTAAATTCAGTAAGAATCCCGTCGCCATGCTGATACGCCAGCGTCTCATTGCCCAATTGTTCCTGGATAGAAACGAAAGCACAGAACAAAGGTCCTCAGGGCCTGATCAAGGCTTACCTTATGGCCTACAATCAAATCTCTTTCTTGGGATGGTCTTGGATTCTTGTATTGGCCATCAAGGAACTTGTTGAAAACGACTTCAACTACACTGGTGTCTTCAATGCTGTCTGGAAGTACCTTCCTGCTGTCCAAACGGCTGCTGCCCTTGAAGTAAGTACCGATGCACGGTTTTTCCATGATATAGCCTGTTGAACTCACATCCCTGCTGTGAACAACTAGATCATCCACGCTGCTCTAGGTAGAGAATAAGGAAAATGGAGTATAGGAATGAGTATCGTTTTTTAACAATGACTTTTATTTTAGGCTGGGTTAGATCCTCCGTGGCAACTACCTTCACGCAAGTTTTGTCTCGAGTGTTTCTCGTTTGGGGTGTCAACTTCCTTTTCCCTGAGATCCACACTCACTGGTCGTTCACCACCATGGTAGTCTCTTGGTGCATTGCTGAATGTGTTCGTTACGCCTACTATTTCTTCAACTTAGCTGGCGGTGTGCCCAGCATCGTTAACTGGCTTCGTTATACCTTGTTCTTTGTCCTATACCCCACTGGAGCTGGATCAGAGGTTCTCATGATGTATGTCAGTTTGCCATACGCAAAGGCTTGGAATGAGTACTATTACTACCTCTTGATTGTCCTCATGTTGGTCTACATTCCTGGTAAGTGCTGAGTTGCGCAGTGTGATACTCAGATTACATGTCTTACTCATATTCGTTTGCCACTATAGGTCTCCCAATTATGTATGGCCATATGATTGGACAGAGAAAGAAGTACCTCAAAGCACAAAAGGAGAAGAAGACCCAGTAATCGTTATATATAGAGAACGTAAATGTTGCCATATTTTTGGATAATTAGATGTAGCAACTTATTTTACTTCAATTCTGACTCTAATTTTGAATGGCTATCAACTCATTGGTGTCAGAGTGATATTTGCTATCACCGAAATATAATCGTTTAGCTAGGAGGAGGCATTGATCTTCCAATCTTTTTATCATGCATCTTCTTTCGGCTATGGTTTGCCATTTTTGCCTTGTTTTTATCTTTGTAATTGCGTTCTTGCGTTGGTGTTTTTGGGGGCCGTGGATTGCGTTCGTTTTGCTTTGGAGCTGAAGGTGCGTCCTGCAATTCTGATTGTTGACCATCCCATAAGGCGTATTTATCCAGTATCCTCTGCTTTCGTGGCTATAATGGAAGATGAGTGAGTACGCTTGTGAAGACTGTTCATACATAGTAACCTAAAACTTACGTTTCTTGAAAACATGATGCTCCATCCTTCTAGCTGCTCATCTGTCATGTTTGTCGCCTTCCTTAATTGCGCTCTCTGAGGTGACCGTCGAGATGCTGCACTTCGATCAAAGATTGTGATATTGTTGACAAATGCATGTACCAGATCACTTTCGTGGATAATACCTGGGTCGATTTCAGTTTTTCGTTCTCGAACGACGTCCTCGCTTCCATCTTCTACAGCTCCGAGATCTACTTTGCCAGTTGGCATGCCGACGTCGTCATAGGTATCATCTATTTCATCCTCATAGATATTTGCAATACGCTCTAATAAGTTCGCCTTCTCACTCTGAATAAATGATTTGTCGTCAAGCAATTTATCAGCAGTTCCACGGCTTCATAAAGAAAATAATAATAATTAGCAAGTATTCCATCATCCTTGCCGGTGGGTGCTTCTAGCTACTTACTTTTGCTTTCCGCGGTGAATCTGTTGCGTTTGGACCTTCTTGCCAGCAAAAACGTCGAACTCGTCATTATCGAAAATGTTTCTTCGGGTACGTAGTTGACTGTCGTCTGACAAAGACAAGTTGCTCATCACAGTTGATACTTGCTCATCCGCCGGTTGCTCTGCTGTCATGGGCTTTCTAGCCAAAGTACGATCCATTGTTGCGAGATTAGGTGGCAAGCTGTCCTCTAATAATTGATTCGTTACCTGCTCGACATTGCCACCGTAATGCATCAAGCAGGCCTCAACAAATCCTGCGCCAAGGTCAGGAAACAAGTCGGTGATTTGGGATATCAGGATTGTCATCTTGATATACGACTCATCAGGTTGAGGAGTAGTAACTGCCGGAGTCGGTCGTGGCGCTTGAAGAGTTGATTTCAATGACTTCATCTGTTGTTTTCGGCGTTGATGAGATTCAGTGGTAGTGCACATAGCTCGTAAATGCTCCATGGACAAGACCAGAAATTCAAGCTGCTCATCCTCGCCATGGAACTTTTCACGATTCACTTTGGATATCTTGTTGCCAAGCATTGCCTCTATTTCGACATCTATTATGAGTGGGGCATCTATGAGAGATGTGACTGATGTGTCTATACCGCTCCGTTCTATCAGATCCAGTAACATGTTGTTGAGATGATGTATCGTTTCCAGATTGCCGTCCGCACTGTCTTCTCGTTTTTCCAGCACTTCCCAGTCATGCAAATTGGTAGCATAGCCAAATTGAGAGAAAAACGATGCATCTATCAGATTGTTGAATATAGATAGCAACGTGAGCTTGGTAGACCTAACCAGCCGAACCTTATCCTTTTCATTTTTGTTGCGGAGATCGATAGCAGTCTGCTTAAGTGGTCCATCGTATAAAGTGACAAGCGAAGTGATGAAATCTTGCGACGATTCAAATGCTTGTGCAATAGAGGTGGAAGCGGAAAAGAGAGCGTCTAAACCGGTCGACAACGCTAGAATTTGATGCAACTCTGCGTCTGTCAAAACCTGACGGTTGAACGATGCGTAAAATTCGGTGATGGTGCCAATAGACTGTGTATACTGTTCCAATACATCTGTTATATTGTCTGTTATTTGCTGGAAACAGTTGCGGACGACTTTGATGTTAGCCTTGGTGTACAAGGTCGCGAAGTTCAGTAGGCGATCTGGTGTAAACATGTCAGCTGATGCCAGTGCCGAATCGGCAGCAAGGGAAGCGGTCGCTCGGACGTATAGCAGAAAAACAAGCCTCAAGAGCTCAATATCTGCATATTCTGGTTCGGATAGCTGTGCGGTAAAGAATGTGTCCAAGAATTGAGGCAGATCAGGAAAGTCACTGATTGCAGCTCCAATTGATTCTGCTAGTAGCAGATCTTGGATGGATCCCGCCCATAGCCGATGAGCAATGTCCCACTCATCATGACTTATGCCTGCAACCGACCGAGGTACATATGGTGGTATGGCAATCATCAGTAAAGAAATAAACGGTGAAAAGGTGAGTGGCAAAGCTGTCTTTGTATGCTTTTACTGCGCGATAATTTATTCAAGTCCAACCATGGAACATGTCTGGGATTATACATTGATATCAGCAATTCCGCCGTTGGTTATAGCGTAGGATGCTTCGCTTTCAGGAACATCGGGAGAATCATATACTTTAGCTACACGTTCTTCACCGCGTCCCTTTCGTAAATATAGACGTGTTGCTGATCTAAGTAAAAGAAATCGCATTTAGATAAACTGTCATGGGGCATGAAACTCCTAATAGACTGCTGCAAGACTCTTACGCGTGTGCCTGCCCAATAAGATATCAATAAATGTAGTTTAACGTAAAAGAGAGAAAATCATTGCGATTGACTTACTAGGATATGTCCACCAACAGGCTTTTTGGGATCGGCCACAAATGTAAGTCCAGCTTGTAGAAGTATAATTGTTAACAAAAGAGAAAAAAAAAATTGAAACGAAAAACACTGGAAGCCAAAGATACCTCCAGGATCAGCGCACATCTGATTTGTTACATAAACAGCAACATTATACTCTTCGGAAATCTTTAGTAAACGATTGAGCATTAATCCAAGCTTTTGCTGGCGCTCTGCCAATTCGCCTCTTCCTGAATAGTCGCAACGGAATAATGCAATAATTGAATCCACTATCTGAGCACAATCCTTCAATAAATGGGGGGGGGGGTTCATTTTTGTGTGCATTTGGCCTTTGACTCACCAGTAGCTTGTATATTCCTCTCTCTTCAGCAAACCGGGTAGATATTTCTGTTATGAGATCCATTTGATGCTCAGAATTGTAAGCTCTGGCCACAACAATATTTTCCAATGCCATTTCCGGATCAATATTATAGCCTTCAGCGATGCTTCGAATACGATCTGGTCGGAACGTTCCTTCGGTATCAATATAGGCTATAGCAATTTTTTAATTGAATAGCGATTTATATTTAAATGAGTGTTTACTTCACTTACCTGCTTTACCATTTGCTCCGCCCATCAAGGTTGGTAATTGAACTTTGACGCAAAAGGTGTGGGCTAATTGAGTCTTGCCAGTTCTGTACTCGCCAAATGCTTATTGAAAGCAAGTCAGCTATTTCTACTTTTTTAAATCCAATTACAGGATATTGAACTTACCTTCGGTAATCGACATACTTTGAATGCCGCCTGCAAATGTTCATGCATCAAACTTGTCAAAAATCGCTGACTGAAAATATTCTGTCAAGTGCTACTCACCACCGAGAAGTATATCAAGCTGCTTACTTCCGGTCGATATTTGGAAGACTTTTTTTCTTGCATGTGATACATCCATTGCAGTTATAAAGGAGCATCTCTAGAAATAGAGAATAAACTTCGGAATGGATGTTCATGTTTAAAATGGCATTCAAACTCGCCTTACTGAGATTTTAGAAGCTGCTTCCTTGATTTTATCGACTTTGTTTTCTGATAAGCCCTTTATCTTGCACAAATTGCGCTTTGTAGCCATATGGATACCCTTATGGTCTCTTTCTCGTCAGAAGCTAGGATAATATACTGTAAAGGTAATAGCTATAATGAAATATTTTACCCTCACGGTGCATATACCTGCGGTCTTGAGCTTGTTAATATCAGCCACATTGATACCGTGAGACTATATTCATTTTTAGGGAATTTGAGTCAATCATGAGAAACGTTCTGTACGAATATAAATACCTGCAGTTGATCGACATCTGTAAAAAACAGCTAGCACAACGGCATGAATGCGCTATATCGCTCTTAGTTACGGAAGAACAGACTAACATACTTCTTCATCTCCTTCATCTTGAACCTCATCTTGGCTTTTTTCTGTTATCGGTTCATTTTCATTAAGAACTTCAGCATTTAGTGGAGTAGTAGCTCGCCTGGCAGGCATTTGGGGAAGAATAAGGTAGAGAGCAATTGCGGACTTGCGGCACTGAAATATAAATTTCCAAGGGGTTTGCTACCACAAGCCATACTCTCATAATGAATGTATGCAGAAACAAACCGGCTAAGCATATTTATTTTTGAAAAACTCTTTTGATGAATGAAAAAAAAAATGCCATTGGAAGCTATCAGTTGTACTCTCAGTGCCTGTGTAGTGGGCAATTGACTTCATAGCCAGGCGAACAGCAGCTGACCTAATTTAGGCGCGTCACATTGAATGCCCAGCAAAGACGCGACGGATTTTTTTTTGTACAAAGCTAAAGACGTGGTTAACCCTTACAGCCATGTCATTCCCATCACCACTACATCACAAGCCAATAGCAGTACCTTCCTCGGAAATAAGCCGGCGGTCACTGTCTGAAGCAGAATTAAAGAGACGTCGTCTAAATGTGCGTATCACACTCTCTGTTTGCTTATTTTAAAAGCTTGACTTACGTTCAAACCGTCATTACAGAGTCCAGCACGAGGAATTCTCAAATCTTTTCCCGCAAGCTCGCCATTTAGAGATTTCAATCGTAATATACATGCTAACGCATTCACTTCGCCAATTCACGCACCAGAAGATGAGTTCGTATCGATTACATTTCTTGAGCATTTCGCAACCATGTATTAGTGACCAGTACTAATCTCTATCGCACTGGGTATAGCTTCGACGCTACGACAGAGTCAGGAAGAGAAAGGAAATTGGGCAGTCGGCGAGTTAGTTTTGCGCCATCAGCTCACGTTCGGTACTGCTTGACTTAGGACTTGATGCTCATCGCCGGCATTTTACTAATATCCGTATTATAGCTTATTTCAGGAAGCAGATAAGCAAGCATCGAGCAGAGGAGAAGAACGAAAATCGTCTGATCTTCAGTCCAAATTGATGAAAGCGGCAATGGAAGAGAGTCACTCTGAAAGTGCTGGCTCATCAGTGACATCGTGGGATGTTGATCTAAGCCGTGCAGGGTCTACTGAATTTGCTAGAGGTATGCGATTGGTTTTGCTTACAAGGAACCGGGTCATCGGCTCATTCATCGTCGTTCCTTTTACTAGATTCTCTTTCGAAATCACCGGCGCATGACAGAAGCTCGGTGCAATTAGGAAACGCTCGTTTTGATGACTTAGCTGAAGGCAATGACGACGAGACAATGGAGATCACCGGAAAAATGGCATCTCCTGCGGCATATCGACAGAAAGAATTCCAGGTTTCACCAGCATCCTCTCGTCAATCCTGGAATCCCAAGGCCAATGCTGCAATCGAACAATATGAAGATGATGGCATGGAGACCATGGAACTCACACAAACCGTCCGATCAAGCGGCATTCACACATCACATTCACATAATAATCCCAGCTTTTCACCATTTCGCAATACCCCCACCAAAAATCGCTTTAGCCCGGGGAACAGCTGGCCAGCTTCCCATTCAACCCCTCAAAAACCATTTTCCACCGCTGCTGGCGCCTTTAATAACACCTCCAGTCCATCGCCTTGGGGAACCAGCAAAAGACAAAGTCCTAGTGTTTCGACGAGTAGATACCATAATGACGCAAGCATCGATGACAGTCTTGGATCCGACTTTGGTGACCGAATGGACTCATTTCACAAACGTGGGACCACTGGCAATATTCTGGATGAAGAGATCCCTGCTTTTGACGATTCCTTCACTGCAAGTGAAATACCTGTTATGGAAAACATGTCATTGGATGAATTTCTATCCTACGCTGGAATCTCTTTCATGGATAACATTACGGCTAATACAAGTGTTCCAAACTTAACAAGTTTCGATAAAGAAAACGATCCACCGCCGACCCTCGCCGACTATATTATAACTCATTCAAGCACCATACCCGAATTAGAGCTGTATCAATACTGTTGCAAGGAATTGACCACGTTGATGGAAGAAGGAAAGACTTCGATCAAAGAAACAGAAGAGCAGATTCAGACGGCGACTCCAGAATTCATTTCAGACTATCTCACCGACGACATGGACATGCGGGAGCTATTAGATATTCGATTTAAATTAATCAAGCAGCATGCTAGATTATCCGGCAAACAAGAGTGGTACATTTGGCGACAAAATTTGGTAGGCGAAATCAATCAAGTATTGAGGCGAAATTTGGCAAAACTTCAGGAAGAGCAAGAAAAAGTTGATCATAGACTTATGAAAGTCAACAAACGATTACCGAGCTTAACATCGTTTTTAATTGATATGCGACAAACTTATATAAAGGCTACAGAAAGGGCTGCAGCGCTACACACCGTGGATGAGGAGCAGCTTGCAGAACTGGAGACTGAAATTGAAGAGCAGAAGACGTCCTTGGACACCTTCAAAAAGGATGCAGAAGCACTTAAGGATGAAGAAGCAGCCTTGAATAAGCAACTAGAGGGTTTGTTAAGGCGAAAGCAGCAATTAACGAGCGAAATTGATCATGCCAACAAAACCTGTAACGAGTATAAATGCCTTACTATGGATGATCTGCGATCTGCAAAAAAGCACTACAAGGAATGTGTCGATATTTGCCGATGGGAGCCTATCAAAGTTTGTCCAGATTTACTGGCATTTGTTTATGACCAAGATCTAGAAATAAGGATTGATCCACATAAACTGAAAGCAAGGAAGCCTGATGCCACAATGGTACGGCTGGGATCAGGCGAGCACAGCATAATCGTATGTTCGAAAGTTCGACTGGAAATCCACGTTCAAATAACGATACTGATATATTTATGCCATTTCAGACTGAGAGGATGCTTCCTGGTTTGCGGGATATAACCCAGAACAATTGGGATTCGTCAGTGGTAAGTCACAGGATGTCAAATCGGATGGTCTAAAATAATGCCAAGCTGACCAGTAGGTGGAACTTTAGATCATTCAGAACGCTGCCTTATACTGGCGCCAAGTCAAAATCATCAAGTCTGAGCTCGAAAATGCTCAGTCCGGTTATTCTGTCCATATTGACGGCTTGCAGGATACAGCTGGAGTGGAGTGCCTGGTCACCATGTTCAATTTTACTGCCAAATTTAAATATACCGTCAAATTTCCCGTTCGACCTGAGGAAGTGATCGACTTTCCGCAAGTCAACGCAAACGACTGGACAGTAACAAGAATCTACGGGGATATTAGGTAAAGTTCATTGTTTCATCGCGCTTCTATAAATGTCATTCACACAGGTATCTAACGAAAACGGGGAAAATATGACGTTACAGCCAAGACGATATGGAATTGCTAGTACGGAAACAGATCCATTCGAATGGCCTTTTACAGCTACGGAAATCATTGGATTCAATAGTTGAAGAAGCCAAGTTAATTATAGATCAAAAAGCATAGTTTATCCAGTGGAAGCAAATTGTAATTTTCGTTTCGAAGGCAGTGCCAGACCAAACAGGCAGTTTTGCCAAGTTCGTCATACTTAATAAAATTGGCCAAGCTGCCTCTGCCATTTTTTTTCTCCAACCCCACCATGGCATTCAGAGATTTCCAACATTCACTCGGCAAGCTTACGTCTGAAGTAAAGTCCCAGATCGCAAAAAATAACCCGTTGCAGAATGAGGAAACCAAGAAGATGTCAATGTGGATCTTTCAGGTACAGAAGCGTGATGAGCTCGCGCTTTCAGACACTTTCCATCACATTGCTGTGCTTAGATCTGACTAGCAACTTTTATAGGAACGTAACATTCTGGCGGAAACCAAGACATTGGCATATGAACACGGAGAAGCCAACAAGCTTATGAAAGCTTGGGCTGCTGACGAAGGACAAGATATTGAGGTTGGTTTGCATGCTCGTGAGTATCGCCGATTGGATGCGATCTTAAACTAATTTGTGGCCTATCAGGACATTAGCGATAAGCTTTTCCAGTTACTCAACAAACAGATGCAAATCGAACAAGAGTTTGCAGGTAAGAAAGACACAAACTATGATGCGATACTTTAGACCGATTTATTTGCTGAACGCTAATCCACGCGGTGACACTGCAGCCAAGTACCAAAAGTATCGACATGCTTTGAAGAGTATACGCGAAAAGGAATCTACTTTGACGGAAAGCCGGGAAAAGAAGAGAGCACTGCAGGCACGCATTGCTGCTTTGCAAAAATCGAGCCCTCGTGCAGGCAAGATCAAGGAGTTCCAGCATGAACTTGAATCCCTGGTAAATGACACTCGTGGACAAGAGGCTGAGATAGGTGACTTCAAGCGCTTTGCTCTCCGGGAGGCATTTTACTTGCGGTTCAACGCTATGGCCGAGTATGCCGAGAAAACGGCTTTATTGGCTGGTTTTGGAAAGGTAAAGAGACCATTCATGATGTGTAGTGGTGTAAAAAAGCACAAGACTAAAACCCAAAATTTCCTTTCTTCTTGTCATGCAGTATATTGTGGATCTAGTTGACATCGAGCCCACTGCCCCAGGTGAAGATAGGAAAGCATACAGTAACGGCCAACAATCAGCCATTATTCTGGCGGATGCACTCAATGCTGTCAATGATTGGAAACCTTCTCATCAGGATTTCCGTTGCACACTGGCAGAAGGAGAAGGGCAAGTCCGAGAAGACGAAATACCCCAAAAGGAATCTGCCCTGCATAAGGACAAATCTAACGATTTGGCCGAAGCTAATACCAGCCAAGCCGCCGCCCCTCCAGTGGCCGAAGAAGCTAATGACACAGTTTCCCCCATCCCTGAAACTGAGACAAATTCAGCCGCAGAGCAAAACATGGCACCTTCAGTAGCAGCAGCGCCTCAAATACCCGACCTACCACCCAGACCAGTCCCTGAGGTGCCATTGGCAGAAAGCCAAGTTGAAGCTCGAAACTCTACGGAGCCACTATCGCATGATGAGGCTAGCGTCAACCCCATTCTCGACACCAATATGCAGAGCCCCGTTCCCGTCAAAAATGATATCTCACAGGCTTCCACGGGATCCCATACAATCCTGCATGATTCAAACAAGGAGGAGATCGCTGATACTACCGCAGTACCTGGTGAACCTATGCACTCACCATGGCAAGGTCACATGACGGCACCCCAATCGTCGCCAAGACCACATCACCTCACATCATATTCCACCGAAGTGCAAGACCCCGGACTTCCAAATTATACCAGTGGCAACTATGGCCAGTTGTACCGAAGAGTGTCTCATTTAAGGCAGTCTCAGCGTCCTTATGCAGACTTCCAACAGCAATTTGTCCAACCTCGTGTAGGAGCTGGTGGCTTCAGAATTCCAACTAGTGACGAACGTTTGCCCCCTTACTCACCATCAAATCAGCAGTATAGCGATGAAAAGCGTGGATAAAATATAACCCTGAGTTTCAATCGAGCCACGTTGCCCACAGACCTAGTTTGACTTACTGTGCACTGCTTCCCAGTACGATTACGCTAAGACATATCCTTAAACGTTTAGGGACATACGCTTTTCAAAGTGTTCATAAAAATATATATTCTTTTTTCTTATCAGCTGTTATATAGCCCATAGGCGTAAATGGAAGCGATTGTGAGGGGAGGATTTAGATTATGATATGTACATGAGTTAGAACTAATGGAGGGAATGGTTGCTATGTGGTAAAATGAAGGAAGTCTATATTACATCTTTTTTTTAAAATGGCGTGAGCTTTTCTTTTTTTTTTTCTTTTTCTTCCTTTGGGCTTTGCTTGTCCGTGGATTTTGAAATCCCACTTTTTTGGTCTTTTGCCCAAAAGCCTATATTTCCTTTTTCTGTGTTTCGCCTTGGCTGAGAAATCGGTGGTTACCTGATTAAAAATCATGGAGGAAGGAAGGATCACCAAGGTAGCGTCAAATTTCGTGCAGATTGACTACGGTGTGCAGCCATTCATGATGGCGTGACTATAAACGAAAAAGATGAATAAACGGGGGGCACAGTCAATTTATAAAAAGAAACAACGTCATGGATGGAAACTTACTGAGAAATGCGAATTAATCCACTTGTGTACGAGAGAACCGTCAATACGAACAAGTAGTTTTTCTTCGCAGATGGGACATGGTCTATAAGAATATTGTGTGCCACTTGAATGCCGTCGATTGAATTCGGGAACACTTGGGCTTGCCGGTGGAGAGATGGATATAGGTGACGGTGGTCCCGTCAGTAGGTATGACGGAACCCGCTGTCGTGTCACTGCTGACGGTTCAGCAGCACCATTTGGTGTTGTCATGGTCGGTGAGAGCAACAGTTTGGATGGATATAATTGTATGTATACAAGTAAACAATGTAAAGAAAAGAAGGAAACCAAAAAAAAAGAGAGGAAGGAAAAGACACTTAGATTTACCCAGACCTTTATATGCTTGCCAAAGCCCACCCCCCATCGCATTTCCCGAAAAGAGTATCACGCAGTGAGTCAATTGCCATGGCAACCTGAAATAAGGTAGCCGAAATATTTCAGCTCCCCCTCCCCGCCAAAGAGTTAAAGAGCACAGCAAGGAAAAGGAAAAATCATGGGTCGTGCTACTTGTGGCTCATGTGAGGCAGTGGGCTACAGTCCTTCCAAGTGCTTCCAGTGAGTACGGCATAAAAAAGGTACCAGTTACCGTGGAGTGGGATGGGGTTGAGCCAAAGGATAATAGAAGCTATCATTTTTGCTATAGCATTTGTTTACAGGCTAGTGGGGTTTATGTTCCCTCCGCCCTGTCTATGCGGGCAGTCCCGGCTTAGCCTTCGCTGCAATTCGGGTGAATGATCGTTACGTGTCCTTGGCAACGATATCGCTTACAAGACTATGACGCAACTTATTGACCATACGGCAAGATAATGATATGAATGCAAGTGGTCACTAACTATCAAATGGGAGTATCATGTCAGAGCAAATATGGCATAAGATCCTCCCCCAACTTGGTCATCTCTCACAAGGACTAAATTTCATTACGACAGTGCGGAAATGACATACGAGATGCTGATAAATTAGCCAAAAGAAAGGGCCCATGACTATGTCAAACGTGATGAATTGAAAAAGGTATTCATTGTGAGCACTGGCCAAAAGGCGATCGCCTGTGTACACACTGCAAAAAGGAACATCCAAAAAAGGCAGAGCCTGTTCGGAATTTCAAAGCGAGGTCATCCCAACATTGCCCACCAATGCCATGGAAACCAAAGAAATATGAGAAAGTTATCAAACATGAGGGTGGCGAACACGATATGCGCAGCTGCAATGTAGTTCAATTAGATATGTTTTCTGTAGTGAAAACGTGCGATAATGTCATGGAAATTCTTTAATGAAGAGCGTCTCCGGCCGTCAGGATATTTATAATAACCGTCGACATAACCATATCGGGTGCGTCGCAGGGGAAGTACGCACAGAAGCCACACAGACCATCATTAAACGACTACGGCTTTTCCAGTAATGGATATTTTGTGTCAAACGTACATCGCTTACACAGAGTATACGACTACATTCGTCATCCATAGTGGCAACCTCTAATGGCCCACTGTTTCCGGTAGTTGCTCCACACAGTGTAGCCCGTGACACACGGCTATTCAAGTTTAGGTACTCATCCCAATCACTTGATACACTGTGGAATATCGCTTTTGACATCTTGCAGTTGTGTACATTCTCTAAATTTATTATAACTATTTTAATGGTATCACTCCTCATCTCCTTTTTCTGAAAAGTACAAGTTTACTTTTAGTCTCCACAGCCTTTGGTGGGATTTCCCCAGTGACCCCAACGCAAAGTGTCTTGATCATTCCTTCTGTCGCATTAAGCGCTCTCTTGCCTCCTTTTTATGGGTTGCTTTCCACCAAATGGACGGAGGGAATCGGCATTGGATGAGAAACCCGTACTCGTCGAGTCGCCCAGAAGTCAGGTACCATAAGGAAATAGCGCTCCATGGCTTCTTTGAACCGAATTCGATATTGTTTGGGGGTGACGATAGTAGGTTCTCTACCTCCGCCAAGAATGCCTGATTCTTTGACCCAACTTTCTAGTTTCTTATCCCATGTAAATGTGCGTATGAAATCTAATGCAAAGCATCGATCAGAGAAGAGAAAAATCGAGTTTAGCTCGGATCCTATATATGGTCAATCATGGTGGTCTTGAGATCACATGGGGTACATTACCTACGATGCCGACAACCAGTTCCTGGCTCGCTTCATCAATACCAACTAGCAAAGAGTAGTCCATTACATTCAGTCTTGACAAAAATAACGTGTCGTTATGCAAAGAACCCCTTAGAATCTCCTTTGAATGTGCTCGTAAGAACAGAGGAGATTGGTACATGACTGAAAATGTGTACAGAGACATTAGATACTGAAACCAAAACAGCAATTAGGCTGGCCTAGGTGAGAAAAAAATGCTACGACTCAACATACATTCGACGAGATTCTCATCAAGAAGCACTTCATTTTCCTTGCCAGTGGCGTTGACTTTTCGATTGCGCATAGATCCCTTTAGGTCAAAGATCTACAACGCCAAATCCATGGACACAAATGCTGTTAGTTCCAGTATTCATTTCATTTCATCGTGGGGATATTCTAACCGATTCTTCCTTTCATGCAATGATCAGGTATATATATAAAAAAAAGCACTAACCTTGGTCACATTCCGCTGATAGAACAGGTTTTCCATGACCAACAAATCCATTTTCATCGATTTGCCAGTGACGGCATTCTTGAAACCAATTCGATAGAAACCAAATATTTTTGCCAACACTGTGGGCAGCTACAAAGAAAAAAACCCCAAAAAGAAAAATGAGGCAAAAGGATTAGCCCACCGTGCACTCAGAAAAATAGATCATGACACCCCATGCAAGATAGACTTACACCATGGAACAAGGCCTCCGAGAGATATTGAAAGTAGGCTGGTGCAAATTTGAGGAAAGCATCCATTTCTGGTCTCGACATTTGTTTCATCAGTAGTCGGTCATCCTTTGTCTTGAGAAACGCAGATCCACTTTTTCCACCGGAAGAATCCCATTTGATGCAGCTGGCTAGCGACCCCAGATAGCTTTCGTCGCAGCCACAATTCCTTCGCAACGCATCGAACTGTTCTGAGAAGAAGATCTTGCAAAAGAATTTGGTGGTACGATCAGAAAAGTGGTATTTAACGTGCGTTCCTGTTTCACTTCGAAGCGTTCGCTCAATGTGCATATCACTGATATTGTTGTATCCCATGTCGGGTGTTTCGCTCGCCACTCCATCCGATGTATAACTATGTATGCTCTGTTTGTCGATTTCATCAATCACACTATGCATGACCGATTCGTCCGTGTGGATGCTTTCTGAATACGTATCTCTTATCTCACGAAGTTTGCCAATGTAATCATCGCAGCTGAGGGTATAGGCGATGATCGTACTTGGTTCGTCTTCTCTAACAATGATCAGCGAATCGGGAAATACGTGCTCGATCGATGACCTACACATTATCGTTTTGATATTAGTTACCACACGTTGTTCACCGTTTTAAGAAAGAAAGTTATCAGCCTGTTTGATAGTTTAGTTGAAATGTGACTTACAATGGGTATTCAAGAGAAAGTAAGCTTCCAACGCCACGGTCAGCTAGCATATTGGCGATGGTCTTTATGAGCGAGCTCTGCTGAGTAGATGAGGTCTTATCATAAGCGATATCAGAATCTTCCCCTGGCAAATTGACAATACCAGGTGTGGCCCCGATGGTGCTGATCGCAGTGCTGAGTCTGGGCGGAAAGGCAGTAGAGCCAGGTCCAATGGCAGCCGTCGCTAAAGGAGCAGACATAACCAAAGAACCCAACGCTGAGGTGGATGGATCCCAGTTGGGGTCATTTGGTAAAGCCATGGATTGTGAAAATATCTCAGTAAGATTCTTCAGTGCCACTGGGTCCTGCTTGGTATCTTCGATATCTGTACCAAGAGCTGGAAGAGCAGTGAAGTAGTCATCTTGTTCATCATTATCTTCATTCCAATTTTTGGAAATCTCTGGTGTCACAAACTCATGAGATTCGTCGAATTCGTCCGTCTTGGTTAATGAAAAAATGCGATTGAATGTGGGTCGAAGACTTTCCGTCGTTTCCTCTTCGCAATCGGGAACTTCATCAAGATCAGTACCTTGAAACTCATCATCTGATTCCTCCTTCACAAGCTCCTTAACTGTGGTGTAAACCTCGATGGAAGCTTTGCTAGGAAGACGCTGTCGAACACCTCTGACTCTGGAAGCCATGGCAGCCAATGTACGGCGAGATTTATCAAAACGACTGGTTTTGGCCGGTTGATCATGGTCATGAGCGCCTTGCAAATACACCCGCTTGTCCGTTCGATGGCTTCTTGAGCTTTTAGAAGCTTGAGGAACCATATTATAAGTTGTGTTTGGCTTATGCATAGATTCCGACCGTCGTAGATCAACTCCAGCTCTGTCATTCATTCCACGGTAACCATAACGGTAACCACTCAATGCAATTTCTTTTGATTCTTCCATTGGAGGCTCGGGTAGAGGCTTATTCTTCCCTGGCCTATCTCTAGCATTGGATGGAACTACAAGGGTTACTTTGTCCTTGTTTGGAATCTGTCTTTTCTTTGCCATACTTTGAGGTGGTTGTGGTATTTTGGATGTAGCTGCAAAAGAGTTGGCCGACTGCGCTGCTGCAGATTTTGATTTCATAGTATCGAGGGTAGGCAAATGCGTTGAGGACGGTTTACGAGCAGTCATAGACAACATGGGTGGTTGACGACGAAGTAAATCAGCATCAGATATGCCTCGATCATTGGATTGGGTATTAAGAATATCACCGGGAGCTGCTTCTCTCACTGTGCGTTTGCTTCCGGCTGTTTCTTTCATTAGCTCCATGGAAAGTCGTCGCGTTAAAGATGTTTCGGCAAAACTTGGTTCCTGCACAGCTTGCTTTTGTAGTTCCACCATGGATTGTAAAACTTCCACCACATTAGTTGGTTCGGGAATCCCATCAACGTCATCCTCTATAACAGGAATGATGGTGGAATTACTTGGCGAGGAGCCCAATGCTGGAAGCTGTGAGGGTATGGGATAATGATCCGGCATACTGTCAGTGTAAGCTTCCATTCCAGATAGACCATGTGTATTTGCATGGCCAGAATCCAGATTAATGTCAAGTAATGGGAGATCAGCCACTTCAGCAGCCTTTTGAGCACGTAAATCCAAAGCCGATAAAGATGCTGTACCAGTAATGTCTGGAGGAAACATTCGCTTTAACTGTGTAGCTGTCATACGTCGTAGTTCTCGCTCTGGTTGGAAATAATGCTTCATGAGATCGTTATAATCAGTATCCCATTGCATAACGTTCATTTGCAGTTTCATTCGAACAAAGTTCAGACTGATAATATCGGTGGAAGGTGTGGTCGCATACACTGATTGCAATAATTGAAGCATCGCTTTTTTCTCTCCAGTGGCTCTACGAGACAGCTCTTCAACTTCGTACTTGCATTTTTCACGTTTGGTAGGGTGGACAATATCATACGGGAATTGCTTGTTTCGTGAACTCAAAGAGTCGTAAAACTTGTTAATCTTGCTCCTAATGTTTTCTAAATCAGCTTCCTTGATAGCAGATTGGGCTTGTACTTGAATGAAAAGTCTCATGGGCGGTACAAATACTTCCAATAATTCGATAGGTTCGTATTGGAATCGAACAGCGTAATTGTTAAGTCCAAAGTATCGAACATGATCTCGGTATAGGTCGTGAGGACAAGAATCGGAACGGGAAGGGAGATCAGTGAGATAGAACGATAGCTCCAAATACTTTCCAAAGGAGTATTTCCATGTATTCTCGGACATGTGAACGACCGGCGTTGGACTGCTGCAAATCTTGCAGAAACTCCACATCAGGATTGTATGCGCCATACCAGGTTGAGGACATGCAAAAGGTTCTATCTGGACGTTGAGTCGAGCGCTTCCATGAGCGTAGGACCGATAATGACTAACCATGGGACGTTCGCACATAGACGAATGACAAATAAGATTTGCTTCTATGCAAAGGTCCTCAATGTACTGGCCTATGGTAATATCACTTTGATGGCGGTAATACTCGAACATGCGAATTTCTGGGCCATGACATGGAACCGTTGTCTCCGTGCAGACGATAGAGTAAAGCGCCACTATGTTTTGATGATAAAATGGCGAAATCACTTCAGAGCTTTCCGTAATGTATGACTCCCAAGCTCGGCTTCGCATCTGATAATCTTCTTCTGCATGATCATATTCTGCGTCTAGAGCAGACGTGTGTTCGGAGTTGGTAGCCAAGGTAACTCCACTCAATGCACTAGCAGTAGACCGATCTGTCGATGCGATAGATGATCCAGTATGATGTGTTGTGACCATCGACAACTCTTGGACAGTGCTTGAAGACTGCTGTTGCTGTTGCTGAGCATACGCCATGAGTCGCTGCTTGTTAATATTCAGCAATCTCTGTTCCATTTCTCGAAGTCGAAGCAAAAGATATGGCGGAGGGAAGACCACAAATGGTGATGCAGACAATGTCGCTGATAAATATTGATCAATGGTAGCGTTGGTAACTTTAAGCTGCTCTTCATCTTCCAGTAGAGACTGATATTCAGGATAGTGACGTTGGAGTTTGGAAATATCAATGATGTCCTCATTTGATCCGATAACCTTTACTTCGTCTGACTGGACAGCCTCTCTCGTCAATGAAGCGGTGTCGGCTGTGCCATCGGATGTTGCCATGGATTGGCCAGTAAGGTCAATGCCAAGTCCAGCACCTTCTTCAGTATCTGGTGTTGAATTGGATGGTTGCGGAAGTAGATTGCGAGACTTTGCAAAGTCTCGTAATAAGAACGACTCCAGTTTAAGGTTATTGACAACAAAGCACATGAAGTCGACCACTCGTTTGACAGCCCTTAAAACAGATAGATCTCCACCACGAAGAATGATGGTTCCGCCAAGCTCAGGCGCACATTGGTCAAAGATAAGGAACGTTTTTCTTCGGTTGGGTAGCCAAGAGTGCACCAATGTCTTGATTTCAAACAGTCCGCAGTGTCCAAGCGAGAGGTCACCAAAATGTAGCTTGTCAATAGAGGGAATAATACTGGCACCAGTGCAACGAGCAACGGCATCAATGACACTGAGTTTTACATTATATACAACAGGGATATTTGCTTTGAGTAAATATTCCAAAGCCAGCCTTGATACTGAGGATTTAACAATAACCAAAGTAGGACGTAGAGCGACAATTCGAGCTACTAGCTTTCCCAAATGATCTCGCTCTTGAGATAGAACAGGTTCAAGTGATAAGAGCTGATTCTCAACGCGAGAATACTCCAAAGGAAAGAGTAAGATCAAGATCCTGGGATTAACAATGTTTCGAACCATTTGCTTGTGGGCTACATTTTTCGAGCAAACAACGCCCTTGACATAGGAACTATCCTTGGGTCGACCACCGGGTATCTTCTTGATCTTCACGTAGTGGCGAATGTCAATTTCGTCACCTCCTCTAATATCTGGATGAACATTGTCAGACACTTTGAGCAATAGGTTCATCAAGACATCTTCCCATTCCTTCAGCTGGCCGTCATTCATGCCGGGTATATTAGCATCTCCTAAAAGCTGTCGAACCAATTTTCTCATATGATCAAGAGATGCAGCATTGAGCTCAATGGTGACAGGAGCGGATGACACTCGACGATGTTTGGATGAAAAGGGAGGACTGCCCTTGACGGATATAGGAGAACTGGGGTCTAATGTTCCTAGCCAATTTGTTATTCCACTGACATTCAGAGGCATGTAGGAATTAGGTGTCATTGGTTCCAAAGTCATAGGTGAGGATGGTGGGCCGTCGTTGCTGTAGATGTCAGACAAAATACTGGGACTCATTTGCATATTGCGTAACAGACTCTTGCTCTTGCTTCGCACAGGCCGAACAGCTCCAGTGGTTAAACTACGTCGTCTCCGCATACTAGCTGTCTTGTCTTTTGGCCCAAACATTCCCCTCAACTCTTCAGTTCGCCTCGATCGAGCTCGGTGATCAAACGACTCATCTTCACTTCCGCCATAATCCAATGCACTGGTAGATGCCGTAGGGGTGGGTGGAGGCGCTTCTTCACTCGCTGATCCAAAATTGATACCTGCAAACGCAAATCCAACGGAGGGAGGTCGATCATAATTTCCACTTAAGAAATTAAGGACTCGATGGGGATTTTTGTCATAATCGTCATAATCACCACTCTCGCCATCGGATACGAAAGAATCGAATTCGATCTCATCCACTACCGTACCTCCGCCTGCATCGTGATGACTTCCGCCGGGTGATACTGACTGCCTTCGAAACGGTACAGGGGAACCATGTGTTCCATAAGGTCTATATTCCAATATTCCCAAAGAATTGTCCACAACAAACGAACTCAAGGTATTGGTGCGAGATCGAGGACGGAGTAAGGAGTTGCTAGCATCCACTAAAAATTTTCGAATTCCAGCCTCGTTATCAGTATGATTTGGAATGTTTGGTTGCAGTGTAAGTGATGATGTGCTTAAGCTCATATCCATGCTTGGTGAGGGTGGCGGAATCAGTCTTTCTGGTATTTCCAGCTGCAGGGTTGTGACGGATGCATTTCCGCTATCGGAAGTGGGACGTTTTGCAGCTTGAATATTCATCTGTGGAGGAGCTAATGGAGGCTTTTGATCAGGTACCACAGGAGATAGATCTGCCAAAGACTCTGGTGGTTCCATTTGCCTTTGATACGAATAGGTTTCATGAGCTATAGCCTCTGCTTCTTCTTCTTCCTGTGACTGAAGACTGGCGAGACAAAATTTACATACTCGCACTTGACCTTGTTGATTAATTCGATGACCTTGAATGATATTAGATGCGCACTTGGCACAAAATATTTGACCTTCATTACAAATATAGAAATGAGCAACCCGTTTTGTATTTCATATGACCCATTCTTTCTTCCATAGAACAATGCTTACCACAAATGCGACAATGATGTTTACGTCTCAAGAAGTTGAACGGTTGCTGGCAATCATAACATTCTTTGCATTGCTCGTCGGGCATCCAAAACTCGGTGTTTCGCTTTTCTCCCCGCAACCGTGAGATGATACGACCCAGAGAGTTAGAATTCGAGACAGAGAAAGTTGTCATAATCGATTGAGTGTCGCTGTCAGCTGAGGATCTTCGAACCATCGGGTAGCCGGTAGAATCAATCGATATTCTTCCCTGTACTTCGAAGTTGGACGCCTGAAAATTATATAGACGCTCATCCGCATTTGGCGTAGCTTCTGATGACGCCTTGACGCTATTTGCGCTGTGGTATGCAGATTTGTTACTGGATACGATATTGGTTCTCGGTCGTGGTGGTATCAAGACGTCTAGTGTTGGGCGGCGAGAAGCCGGTGGAGTTGGAGATGTAATGGTCACAATGTTCGGTTCTTCTAATATATCGTCGTCAGAGTCTTCCTCGTTTTCAGATTCTTGACTCTGCGATATTCGACTATGGTTGTCGGTCACATTGGACACCGCAGTCGGTCCTTTGCTACCACTGGTGGAGGCATATCCAGTGGTGGAGGTATTAGTTTGGTATAACGAATCGCCACCGTGAGAGTAAAAGTAGATACTGTCATTGTGATGATTCAGGGGCTTGCTTTGGGATTCATAGGTTGAGATGGACGAGATGCTCGCACCAGGAGATCCGACTACCGGAGTTGGCCCTGAAACGGCACTTTTGACTTTCAGAAAGAGCTTGCTAAGCACACTTTCGTTATCTGGTTCAGAAGGCGGACCATCCAAATTGAATGTTGTGAGAGTTGAAACATCATCGTACTCAAAGCGAGAATGCCTGGACCTTGGCATTCAATTAAGAACACAATGCGAAATTGACAGAGCAAGAAGGTTCAGTATCAGTTAGCAACCAGGAGACCTGAGCTGAAATGGAAAATTTCCCAATTTCGGCTGACTTGCTCACGCACGTCTGCAGTTGTCAAATCGCCCTGTCTTTCTACATGTCGCATGCAACGAAAAAAGCCAAAGCGCTAAAGTCGCTCAAAACGGCTATTCCCCAACTCTTCCAGGAGAGTCAAAAACCTAATGCTAACGGTCGAAGTTGTGCCGTTGATTTGAGAAAAATTCAAGAAGCATGCGCACTGAATTCTCCCATTGTCGAGCATCAGCAGCACGACATCGATCCCGAAGGCGAACTGCAATTTAATCTCGAAGTCATCCGAAATCTCAATAAGATACTTCCAGTGAAGAAAAAGGAGCCTACTGTCGACAGGGTCATACGCTTCATTGCAGCATTTATGCAGTATACTCAGAGCCTAGGTAACGCGTCTTACATAATGTTGGAAAGCAGGTTGCATGGACAACTCATATATTATTTAATGACCACGCAGACGTAAAGGAAACAGACGATATGCAAGATGATAATGAAGAAGTGATCGAAACCGTTTCCTCTCGGTTCGTTGAATTCTTATTAACTCACTTGTTGAAAGGCATCACTGTGAAGGACAAGGCAGTACGCTTGCGCTGTTGTCAGATTATAGCCCTCAGCATCAACTCACTTGGAGAAATTGAGTAAGACCAAACATCTAAGGATTCGATGCTAAAAATTTTCAAAAGTTGACGCGTGCTTGTTATTGCTTTTGCTTGCAGCGAGGACCTTTATCAAAAGTTGAAAAAGTCACTGTTCGAACGCGTACGAGATAAGGAATACTCTGTCCGAATACAGGCTGTCACAGCTCTATCGAGATTGCAAAATGCGGATGATGAAGAAGATGAAGTGGATGGTCGAACTGTCAGTGAGAAACTTATCGACATAATGCAACATGATCCAAGCGCGTACGTTCCTACAAATTTTTTCTTTTTTGGTTCGTGTATCAATCGCTCTGACTTTGAATCGACTGGATTTTTCAGGGAAGTACGAAGAGTGGTATTGTTCAATTTGGACCAAACAAAACGCTCGATTCCATATATCATAGAAAGAGCTCGAGACATCGATCCCATCAACCGACGTTTTGTATTCATCAAACCAATGTCGGAAATACCAGACTTTCGTATGTTATCTATCAGTCAGCGGCATCAACTCCTGGACGCTGGCTTAAAGGACAGAGATGCGCTGGTCCTCAAAGCTGTTTCCAAAATGATATCAAATCACTGGATAAAACATGCAGATCACAATTTGTTGGAGGTAAATATGAACCCTATTGACCAACCCGCTGTTTGGTTTACGGTTTAACCTGCTCTCCTTCAGTTCCTTGAGCGACTTGACGTGGTAGACAATCCTTCTGCCCATGGTGCATTGGAAGCTTTCTTCGATGCTCGACCAGATATCATAGAGTCTATCAATTTTAATGGTAAAGCTGTTTCCTTAATCAATACTGTAATACTGTTTGCTCACAATAGTCTTTTTTTAGATGAATTTTGGGATAACTTATCGATTGAATCCGCATTTCTCGCAAGAGTATTCACAAAATACCTTCAGAAAAAAGAGGTAAGTTCCTGATTTGGTGTGCACATGTCCCTTGATAGTATCTCAAAATTATTTTATAACGGTAGCTACATGAAAAACTGGATGTTGTTCTCCCAGAAGTGACTCGTCACGCCTTTTACATACAAAAATATAACAACGCCTGGCAGCAAGCGAGTCGGGAGACAGAAGGGGTGTACGAATATATAGTGGCTCAACTTTTGGATATAGCGAAAATATTAGACTATGCTGATGAAATCGGACGGCGGAAAATGTTCATGCTTCTGCGTACGTACCTATCAGAGAATGTACCTAATATTCTTCCTACGTTTCAATAACCATTTTCCATCTTAGGCGAAATCATCATGGTCCCAGATATCCCGGACGATCACCTCTCAAGTATTATTGAGCTAATCAAGATCATTTCATTAGGCGAGCGGGACTTTACTCGGTAAGTGCCGTAACTCGTACGGTGTGGTTATGAATATGTGCGCCAATACCACTGACACTTCCATTAGCATTATGATTGAGATCATATCAGATATACGAGAGCAAGTGAATCCTGAAGAAGATACCGAGGTCAATGAGGTATGAATCATTTTTCTCTGATTGCGGTGACTTTTCAGGTGTCTAACATGTAGCTACAGTCATCGCAGATCCCCGCCACTCCATCGAAGCGTATGCGAATGAATAGTGACTCTGCTAGCCCTAAACCAAGCACGTCAGGGGCTCCCGAGGAAGAATTCGACCCTGACGTGATACAAAAGATGCTGATCCAAATCAAATGTTTGAATATCTGCCGAAATATGTTAGAGCGTAGTGAAGAGGTAAAGCAGACTTTTGCAATAACGTGTATGTAATGCAATGCGAAGGCTAAATGCGCATGTCTTCTAGTCACTACAAGAAAATTCATCCATGTATGGCCTGTTGAATGAATTGATCATTCCATCTGTGCAAAGCAAGGAAGTTGTATTAAGAGAAGAAGGATTGCATTGCCTTGGACTTTGCTGTTGCTTGGACAAGGTATGTGGTTCAATCGAGCTGATATCTAATATTACGTGAGATATTAATCTTGGCAATAGACGTTAGGTCTTCATAATGTCCCACTGTTCATACATTGCATCAAGAACGGTCATACGGAACTACAACTTAAGGCATTGATGGTAGGTGTACATGCTGCCTAAGGTTTGCAAAGTCACATATCGCTCATAATAACTGTTTTTTGTCAGATTCTATTCGATGTCATCATGACTTATGGATACAACACTGTAGCACCGAAAGCAGGCGGAGTGAGTAGAATTTGATGCGATATGTATGTCGAATCACGATTTTTCGCGCCTAACCTATGACTATGATAGGACCAAGAACTTCGATCCTTATTTCAACATAGCTTAGACCACGAAAATGCTGATGTTCAAGCAGTCACCGTTCAAGGGATTTGCAAAATCATGCTTTGTCGCATGTTCAAAGATGCTGAGGTAAGAATACGATAAGCATTTCACTCCAATGGGACAAGCAAATAGACTAACCTGGAAACTTAGATATTAAAATTGATGATACTGCTCTATTTTTATCCATCCACGGTGGACAACCAAAAGTTACGACAATGCCTAAGCTACTTCTTGCCGGTCTACTGCTACTCTTCAAACGATGTACAGCCGCTGATCGTCTCGGTGAGTGTTTGCTGGTTGTTATGATATTTACTAACTATGGTTGTACTAAACTTTAACATTTGACTAGGTATTCGTTCCCGCTTTGATACATCTGCTCGGCACTCACAGTGATCTCGAATCAGACGAAGAAATGGTTCCACCAGCTCAGATAGTGCAGGTCATGTTGGATTGGACGGATCCACGAAAGATCTCAGTGTAAGGATCCGAATTACAGTCCAACGATATATGCTAGCACTGGGATCACTCATTAATTTACTCCGTCTAGACCTAGCGTATTGAACAACCCCGAAAAACCAGTAGATATGGGCGTACAAGCAGATTTAGCCATCGACATATTGAAAGCCATGTTTGTTGAGCATGGACGTAAGTTACCAGTTGCATCACATTGTCATCCATTTCTTGACCTGTTAACTCTTGTATCATCAGAAACCCGCAAGGTATTGTGCCAGATTCTCCCCAAGCTCTATATCGACGAAGCTGGAGAAAGTCGCTTCAGAACCATGACATTGTTGAGTGGCAATCTAGAACACGTAAGACGCACTTGTAATACTCAACCCCTGCGGTCCATAATACTGATCTTTCTGTTCTCTAGAAAAACCCAATCAACGATGCTTTGACACGTAATGCATTCAATCGTTTTAATAAGGGCCTACTGGCACATTTCAGCGAGTCGGCGGAAGCATTGGATGATGAGGAATTAGCAAAACTGCACAACTATGAGCATGTGCTCGAATTCATTCACACTGCACAAGAAGGTTGGCTAATATGCATGCCCGCAATTTAAACAAGACACCCTCTCACTATGTCATATTCCTGTTTAGAATACGTAGAGCCGTCATCTGTTGCCGATACGCCTATTGGGCCTAGAACTGCTCGTGCAAGGTATATATAGTCATTTTCTACAGCTATTTTAAAAGAAGAGAATTCTCACCAGATATCCAGATCAACCAAGGAGAAGGCTCGTCAAAACATAGAAGAAATTGCTGAAAAGAGTGACAGCGAGGATGAATCGGACGAAGAATCTGAAGAGGGATCTGAAATGGAGGAGTCTGACGAGGATGGGTCCGTAGAGGGATCTGACAGCGACTCGGACGAAGCGTCTGATAACGATTCTCATGAGGAAGGCGAAAATGGTGAAGAACATGCTGATCTTGACGATCGTCCAGATACTGATCATGATGCCAAAGTACCGGAAGCTGCGCAAAAGTCAAGAGCAGCTAAACGAAAACCACCAAGTCGTGGCCAAGACGAAGATAGCCCCTTTACCGAGGATGATGAATCAAGTAGTGGGTCTGATTAAGTTTGTAGCAAAGCTTATAGACATGTTTTATTTGTATGTAAAATGTAATCTTTACTATTGGTGTATTAAGCTTAGCGAATGATAATTGAGTACATTAACAAGCGAGCTATTAAGGTCGATGTTTGTGGGGGAATTTGAGTATATATTATTACAAAAATTTCTCTTTGTTAGCCTCGAACCAGGCGTCTAAACCTTCTACGGGGCGACCAAGGAGGATGGGAAGAGCCTTATTGACTGGAGAAACAAAGTCCTCAACAGAGACTAGGCCAATAGCAACGAAATGTGGCATGTGCACCACATCGGTGAAGATCTTGTAGCGCTGTTCAACAGGGATTTGAACGTACTTAATCTCCTTACCCAGAACTTTGGAGATAATGGCAGCGCGTTCATTGCCAGTATATTTAACAGAGGTAAGATCGTACACGCAATCATCATGCTTCTCAACGGGCTCTGTCATAACAGTGACAGCGACTTTAGCAATGTCGTTGGGAGACACCCAGTGCAGACCAAGGTCAGGATCGGCCGATCCGTAAATGACGTTTTTGGCACGAATAGTCTTGTCATCACTGAAGAGGTGATTGCTGAAAAACTGGTTGGGTCTCAAGGTCACGTATTTGCCACGGTTAGGGATGCCCAAGAGGCCAACTTCTGAGTCGTAATGTTGAGAAGCAATGAAGCTTGCTCTCCAAGGTCCACAAACGGAGGCTGACGAGACCTGAACAACCTGCTGTACGCCAGCGGCATAAGCGATGGTAGCGAGGTTCAGTTTGATGGCAGGCATATAGCGAGAGTGGACAAGGAGGAAAAGTCTGTCGTGGCCAGCAATGGTGCTCTTGTAGCCGTCTAGATCTTTTTCATAGTCGCCTTTCACAAGAGTCAGGTTGGCTGGTTGACCAAACAGCTGTTCTGCCTTGGATGAATTACGAACAAGAGCAGTGACTTGAACATTCTTCTCCAGCAGCTCCTTAACGACTTTACTACCAATACCTCCAGTTGCACCAATGACGTATACCTTGGACATTTTTCGACGTTTTAGTTCCTGTTGATGGTAAGGAAGTGGAAGCAGAAGATGAATAAAGTGGCATATTTAAAGGTTCAAAATTTTGTGCTGGCGGGTTGGACGATCGCTTCTCAGGCACGTAATAATTTCAGACCGAAACCAACATCATTCCGGATAACGTAGTCCGTAAGCGGCGACATAATCTACCGGCATGCCTTTAACACTGCTTGGGTAGAAATATAGAAACCCACATAGTAACATAGGGTAGAGTGTCTCCATACTACACCATTCACTTGCTGCAATATATCCATCGAACAGCGTTACGGGTCCTTTTTCAAATACCGCCAAATATGACTCAGTCCGGAAGGCTACGCAAACAAGGTGTTAGCAACACATTTGGGGCGTGCTCTGCCGCCAAAAGCATTAGTATTGCTGGCAAAGGCATTTATGTACAACACAATTAACGCAGCGATTCACGGGAAATATAGAGGTTTTATGTAGACAAGTATTTTATATGTTTCTTAGAGAGTATTATTCAGTGCGGATATGGATTAGATTTTGGATTTGACACTAGACTTCATCTCCTGGTTAGCCAACTCGCGTAATTCCTTACGAAGGATTTTTCCAGCCGCTGATTTGGGAATTTCGGCGATGAAACGAACACCGCCTCTCAACTTCTTGTGATTAGCAACCGACTTGGCGACTGAATCGGTAATGGCCTGTGCAGTGGCGTCGGTCGCTTCAACGCCAGGTGCGAGTTTGATGTACGCTCTGGGCAACTCAGTAGCTTGGCTAGGGTCATAGACACCAATGATAGCACAGTCAGCAATGTTCTTGTCAGTCAACAAAAGAGCCCCCAATTCTGCGGGAGCAACTTGGAAACCCTTGTACTTGATAAGCTCCTTGACACGATCGACAATATACCATTGCTTGTCCTCTGTCATGATAGCAACGTCACCAGTGTGCAAGTATCCATCCTTGTCGATGGTCTCTGCGGTTGCATCAGGCATATTGAGATATCCGAGCATAATATTGGGACCTAACGAACACAATAGCGCGGTTAATCATCAGAAAGCCTCATGAACCGCAATGCTAAGCAAGCAACTTACCAGCCATCCATAGCTCTCCGCGTTCTCCAGGTGCAACATCTGAGAAAAATAAAAAATCGTGGGTTGAATATTTAATGCTGTCTGCTTAGCTGCGATGATTTTGATCACTTACCCTGGCCACTCTCGTCAACAATTCTGGCCTTCATACCAGGAAGCAACTCGCCAATGGAGCCTGTAGAATTGCAGTAATCATTAGCAACAACGTCTATCAACGTCTTATGCTCCTCTTCAAGATAAACATACCATTGACGATATTTGAAAGAAGAGGAGTATGTGATACAGGTGAGGACTCCGTCATTCCGTAACCTTTGAATGACACCAACGTTCAATCGTTGGGCAACAGCTTCGGAAAGCTCCTTAGAAAGTGGAGCAGCGCCAGACCAGAAGTATCTGACGGAAGAAAGGTCGTACTTGGTGACGGAAGGATCCTTGGCCAACAATATGA